TTATGTCGGTGATTACTTTTTTATTCTTTTTGAACTTTTTAGGTGAAAGGGTATGAAAGCTCAAATTTTTAAAAATTTAAGGACTTACTTTTCATAAGATTCCAGCGTCGCCGCTTTCTTCAATTCTTCCAAAATCGTAATTTTCTTTTCTTCTTTATCTCTTTTTTCTTCAAAATAAATCTCTATTATCGCTTAACCAAAAAACACTTAGTGTGATTTTTAACTCTTGAAAGGAAATAGTTGCAAACCAGCTTCAAGAAGACGAGATAAAAAAACGCGCAAGGCGGTAGCGCAGCGGGGATTTTCGCGTTTCAGATGCGGAGCGCCGTCTAGCCGCGAATAGCGCTGGCCCGATCCGACCCGGCCCAAGTTCGAGCAGAATCGAGCGACACAAGAGCCGCTTGATCTTCTTCAACAGCTTCCGGTCAAGGGGCGAAGTCAAGAATTATTGGCAAGGGCGACTTAGGGAGCTCTTTTTCGAAGGCGTGTTTTTTCGAGTCGAGAATTTCTGGCCTCCTGCTTTAAAAAAAATTTAAATTTAAATTTAATAAGGGTGTCACTTAGTTAACTCAAATTTTTTGATTATTGAAATAAACAGTAACTGCCCCTTTGAAAAAAAAATTCGACCCAAAAACACCTGCTGCCGGATCAACCCTTTTTTCAATCAAGGCCATCACGTCACGGATATTTAGGTGATAATCGCTTGCTCAAGATCAGCTGTTTATGAGAATCATCTTTCTCAAACTCAAAAATAATTAGAAGAAATTTGACTTGAACAAGTTCAAGCTCGTTTCTTTCTAGAAGAAACCGTGGATGACTCTTTCCGGGTTTTCGTTCAATCGGGAAGTGCGGCCGCATGAAATCACAAATTTGCCACGAGCTGGAGCGATGCCAGCGGCGGCACATGTACCTCGGCTTATGAAATAATGCAAGTGTGAATAAGCTGACCCTGTCTTTTTGGCTACTCCCGCATTTCCCAAAATCCTGGATTTCCCAAATCCTGGATTTCTCAAAATCCTGAATTTCTCAAATCGCCAAATCAGGATTCTGCCGATTCTGGATTTTGGGAAATGCAGGATTGGGAAAAGCAGGATTTTGAGAAATTAAGGATTTAGCTTAAATTGGTCTCCGTTTGCCCGAAAAGAAGCCGATTCTGGCTTCTTTAACCCCAATCCTGGCTTCACCAACTTCAATCATGTCTTCTCCAATATCATTGATATTTTATCAATCATGGGTTCTCCATCGTCAATTCTGGTACATCGTCAATCCTAGCTTCACCGACTTAAATCATGGCTTCTCCAATGTCAATCCCGGCTTCATCGACGTCAATCCCGACTTCTTCAATGTCATCATTTTCAATCACGGCTTTTCCAACAATAATCTAATCTTGGATAAGCCATGATCGACATTCAAGAAGCAATAATAGAGAACTGAGAAGCCGGGACTGACATCTGAAAAGCTAGGATTGAAAAAAGTGACGACCGGATCGGATTTAAAGAAGCCGGGATAGACGCTGGAGATGCCAAGATTGACGTATGTAAAGCTAGGATCGAAATTGTTGAAGCCAGGATTGAAGTTGGTGAAGTCGGGATAGACTGTGGAGAAGCCAAGAAATAAAAGTTATATGATCAATCAATTCAAATTTGGTAAAGCAAGAAAACTGACTCAAAAGAAAAAATAATCCCGCATTTCCCAAAATCCTGAATCGGCAGAATCCTGATTTGGCGATTTGAGAAATTCAGGATTTTGAGAAATCCAGGATTTGGGAAATCCAGGATTTTGAGAAATGCGGGAGCAGCCTGTCTTTTTGGGCTACGCAACCTGTGCAGAAAACCTGACTCAGAGACCCTGACACAGGGACCTTGACTAAGAAACCCTGACTCAGGGTCTTAAAGACCTTAAATTAAAAGCCGCAAAGCAGCTTTTTTTAATAACGATTTCGCTATGCGGCTTTTGATTCAAGGTCATTAAGAACCTGAGTCAGGTTCCTGAGTCAAGATTCCTGAGTGAGGGTCCCTGAATCAGGTTTTTAAAGATTTGAAATCCAAAGCCGCGTTGCGGCTTTTTAGAAAATGAAGCCGCTACGCGGCTTTTGATTTACAGTCTTTAAGACCCTGACTCAGGTACCCCAGGTTCTTTACACAGATTGCCCAGAATTCTTTTCGATTCGGCAAAAATAACGCGGTTTAATTTCTGTTTTCTCAGAAATCGTGAGAATTTCCCCGAAAATCAAAAATCACCGAACTGAAAAAAGAGGATAATAAAAGGGCAAGCGCGCGAAAATCGTAAATAACGAGAATTGAGTGAGGTTGATCATTTCTATTTGCGATCATCTTAAAAGGAGAAGCTTCACTTTCCCAGCTCAAGGGGCGATCCATCAGAGTGTTGAGTGAGAAAAGGCAAAAAGACTTATTTGAACACTTCAAACGAAAAAGGGAAAATCAATCATAAACTCATCTCTCATTACAAACTCGGACACTTCTTTTGAAAAAGTGACCATATGCAAGATCGAGTTTGGGACTCATCATGGCCGTCTCTTTTGACGGTGAATTTTTAATTGAGCATAATTGCGAGTATTTTAAAAAGCTCGAACTTTGCAGAAAAAAATGATAAAATTATGAAAGTGAAAAAAGTGAAGAAAACGAAAGTTGTTCCGTTTCAAAAGTGCTCAACTCCAGTCGAAAATGATATTCGAGCCGGAAATTTGGAAAAATCAACGATTTCAAGTGCCTCGAGAATTTCTAGCTTTCCTTCATGGAGCTCATTTTCTTCCAGGTGAGCTTTTTTGGGTTAGCGTTAGGTTTAAAGTTAGGGTTAGGGTTAGGGTTGTCCCAAAAAAATTGAGGGAGGTATCTGAGATACGGTATCTCAGATACTGTATCTCAAACCGACAAAAAATTTCGAAAAATTTTGCATAGAAATCTTCAACCAATCAGAAGCCTGGATTCGCCTTATCGGCCAATCAGCAGCCAAATAATCGCCCACGCAAAATTAATCAAAATTTTTTGTCAGTCCCTAACGCCACCCCGAAAACTGGCCAATGGCCATCTCTTAAGGAGGTAGTCCTCGCTTTTTGCGATTTCGGCGCTTTTTGAACAGCGCTCACACAAAGTTGGGCTTATAAAGGAGGATGAAAACTTCTGTTTTAGAAACGTCTATCCTAGGTCTAGAGTTGCCAATCCACAAAAGAAAATTATATTTATCTAGCTAGAGAGCAATTTATTAAGATATCTCTGCCGAAATCGTCATTTTGACCAATTTTTGAACACGCGTAGAACCATCAAAATACAATCGCAAATTCGAGCCCTATTTATTTTTAGAAAGTTTATACGCTGGTCTAAAGTTGCCATATAATAAAATTAAGAAATTCAAAAAAATTTTTATGTAATACGATCGATCAAACCATGAGTCTCGAAAACTTGAAAAAAATGAGTTTTTGAAAAAAGGTTTATCTTATATTACCTTCACACCAGAGAGATTATTTATCATTTTCATACTCTTGAGAATTTCTCGTTTTTAAAATTTTTCATCAAAATCTCACTTTTCATTTGCGATTTTGGGGGCTTTTCTCTGACATTTGAAAAAACTGACCAACACAAAAATTGTAACTTTTCTTACGAGCATTCAGAATCTGGAAAGAAAATTTGAAAATTCCGATTTTCTCAAAAGCGAGGACTACCCCCTTAAAGGGTTAGGGTTAAAATTAGGTTATGAATCATAACTTATGATAAAGATTTCAGTGTTGGCAACTCCTCTTTAAAATTTCTCAGCAGCATCAGAAAATACTTGGACGAAAAATACGCCCCTGGAAGTTGACCGAAAAATGCATCACCTGTTTTCCTTCGCGCTTTTATCTGAGTAATAAATAACAAAGTTGAGATTTATGCTCCCTAATGCGTGTCATCAGGCTCTGTAAATCCTGATTAACGCCAATAGCATCCGCGTTACAAAAAAGTTCCTTCTTCAAAAGAGAGGATGAATTCTACTGAAGCAAATGCGTTTTTTCACGGTTTCGAGAGGGATTTATGCTATTGTTCTGGAGACTCAAACATAGAAAATGATCAAGAATATTCAAAATTGTCTTTTTTATGCTTTTATTTATCATTGAACAAGACATTCCCGCTGGATACAAAATTGTGCTCGTCGAAATTGGGCGCCAATTTCTATAGAATAAGAGTGTTTAAGGACCCCCCGTCAACAATTTTCGAAAAATCTATTTTCGGAATTTCAGAATTTTGACCCCGGAAATGGATTTTTCAGGTCAAAAAACGATTTTGAGGCTTCATTTTTTGGGGGTCTATCTTGACTCTAACACCTTCAAAATCGCGTTTGAAAATCGGACTTTTTGACGAAAAATGACGAAAAAGACCCAATTTTGCTATAATATGATATTTTTATTGGTTAAAAAAGTTCTCCGAACAAGTTTTTATGATAAATTGAACTTCCAGGAACACTAAGAAGCCAAAATATGGCTTTTTTGAAATTTTCGATTTTTGAGGAAAATTGTTGACGGGGGGTCCTTAAATTTGAAAAATCAGAAGCATCCGAAAATTTCTATCATTATTTTCTTCAAGCTTGTTGGTTTTCCTTGCCATCGCCGGAGTCTTTTACATGCTGCATCCTTATACAACTCCTGAAAACTGCAATGCCTGCAAGACGATGATGATTTACAGAATGACCGGTAAACGACCTCAAGTGAAGCAAAATATTCTTCAACGAAGGAAATCAAATTTTGAAATTTAAAAAATTCATTCTGAACTTCTGAAATAAAACGAAATAGCAAAATTTGATCGTTTTTTCTATTGAAACTTCCCATATTATATGCCAAGGAGATAAATATAGATATTTCATCAGCATTTCAATCATCGATTTGTTTCGCCCTGGGCCAGGGAAATTGTGGGAGGAGACAGCCGGGTAAGCTCTGATCAAAAGTCCATTGCCAAAGTGTCAAAATTTTCTGCTCAGAAAAAAAAAACAGAGAGAAAAATGAAAAATTGAAGATGACGGAAAACATGGATTTCATGCTGCTTTCAATGTAAAAAATGAATCAATTCGTTGAATCCGCGAAACTTTTGTTTTCAGGCTTTTAAAATGCAAGAAAATTGGAAACAAGGAAGAATTAAAGAAAAAATTTAACGAAAGTAAAGCGAAAATTGAAATTGCGCAAACAAAGCGACCGGAAAAACGAGATCGGAGAGAAATTCTTGAAAATGGTCACATGATCTCTTCTTCCAGGAATTTTCTTTCTTCCAAAAGAGCTTATGTTAATGGTATCAGCTCTTTTATTCAACATAATCTGTAACATCTTTAGATTATCTGCCGCGAATTTCCTCGACACCAAAACGCATCCGAACTTCACGAACAACTGACAGAAGCAACAGTTATTCGTTACCAGAGCCGATTCTTGAGATCAGCGAAATTCGTCCTCCGACTTTTGACTCCCGAATTTCTCCGGTTCAAGAAGCAAACAATGATTTCAAGCCGCCCGTTTTTGAAGCTCCAAAAGGTAGGGGGCTAGTTCAGTCAAAGGGAGTTAGAAACAAGTCTCAAACGGGAGCCTGTGTTTTGTAACTGAGCATTTCTCTCTAGAAATCACCACAGAAGCAGCAGAAACTCAAACTTGTTCATCTCTTAATCATTCATCAACACAGACTGACGAGCTGAACGACATCGTATTTGAACGAACAATTTCAGAAAACTCTACATCAGGTCATTTTTCTTTCTTATTTTTCCTTTCTCATCGTTGTTTTCTAGATGCTTCAACATCAACCTGGTTCCAAATGATCGAACTCACCCAACCAGTTCCGCCAGAAATGGAAGAAATAGAAGCAAGAGATGCGTCAACGCAAACTGAAATCAACGAAGAAAATACGAGAAAATCTTTTTTTGGACTCTTTTGAGATCGAAGTGAATACTTTATTAAAATAAAAAGGAGAATTAGGAAGAGAAAACTTCCTTGCCTCGAACAAAGACATTTTTGATTGATCTTGGATCAGCACAGTGGATGAATCTCTCCAACAGCTCATCTAGAAATAATGAAGTCAAAAGACACTAAACAAGACTTTTTACCTGGGCTGTCATTTTCCAAAAACGCAGTCTCCAAACTCGCCCCAACATCAGCAATAACAGCGTCAAATTCTTTTCCGACTTCGAGTGATCCAACTTGATCGTCGATTTTGAGAGCTTTGGCGCCGTTTAGTGTTCCAAAGATAAAGGCTTTCTTGAAGTTCAGGTACGAAGTTGTTTGCTTGTTCTTGATCGTGTTGATTTTCGAGGAAAGCTCAGCATATCGCATCGCATCGACCATTGAAGCAGATGTTCCGCCGGAAACATCGGTGCCTAGAAAATGCTCAACCCATTCAGTGTGAGGTTTTTACCCAAAGCAATATTGACATTTGCATCATCTGCGACCTTGTGGTCCAAGACACCACTCATCAAGGCAAAATTCGAATCTGGGCAATGAACGATCGAAGCTCCTTTTTCACTCATCTTCTTTCTCTCAGCATCTGTCAGGTAAATACTGTGGGCTACAGGGAGATAAGATGATAGTGTTAGAAAACTTTTCTTACCAAGAAGACATCGATCAGAAACAAGGCCGTACTTGTCGTAGACATCAAGGTATCCATCGTTCGGAAAAAGTTCCTAAAAATTTGAATACTGGAAAGCCGAAAAAATCACCTTCATCAACTGAATTTCGCCTTCATTCTCCGAAATATGCGTTTGAATCGCCATATTTTCCTCCTTCGCCATCTTGCCCAAGCTTTCCATCAGAGATGGCGAGCAAGAAACGGCAAATCTCGGCGTTATGATTGGCTCGACCAACGAATTTCCCAACCCACGTATTTCTCGAGCGGCCCAGGCGGTATCCACAACCGACTCAGCTGTTTTCTCCAACTAAAGGAAAGGTTTTTTTTGAAAGACCAAAAGTTATTACGTAATAAGTCGCGAGGGGATTACTGTCGATATTGCATTTTCCGACGTATGCTCGCTGGCCTTGCTCGGAACATTGAATCGCCAGGGCTTTTGATTGGCCAAAAATGAAATTTCAACCATCCGGTAAACGGAAATTTCGCCCAATTCCTAAAGCATCATCCTTATAAATCGTCCCAAAATAGCAAGCCGTTGTCGTTCCGCGAGAAAGAGTCGATCGAACCACAGCAGCGTTCATCTTTTCCGAAAAATTCTTGTCCGCGAATTTCGACTCGAGAGGAAAAGTATATGTGGTCAACCAGTCGAGGAGGGGGAGATCTTGATGCGCGCCGATGTTGCCGAATTGCGGGGCGTGAAGATGGGCATCGATAAAACCCGGCATCAGAAGAGAATATGGACCGAGCTTTTTGACGGTTTTTTTTGGAGTTAGGGTTATGCTAAGGATTTATGCAATTCGTGAGCGATAAAACTGATTCCTTGATGATTTCACCATCGTATCTCGCGACGATTTCATCCTTGTTTCCAGAGGCGTTTATGATTCCATGAGAGTCTTTTCAGAGGTTTTTCCTTAGATTCTTGAGTCTTTGAAGAACTTGATTTTTAGGAGGATTATCACCCGGAACTTTTTTTCTAATAATTATTGAAAACCTTTTCCTACAACAACAGCCCAATCATTTTTCGTCAATTCTCCTGCCGGATCGGTTCCAACCACAATTTTCCCGACAAAAATTTTGTCTCCTTCGCTCGCCATGATTTTCTCTTTTGCAAAGTTTTCTCTTCCTACCGCAGCTTGAAATTTGCCTGTTTCCCGTAAAAGAGGCTTTGAGAAATTTTTATTCTCTCGAAGAATACTTTTATTTTCTTCGTATTTGATCCGGTTCGAGAGGGAAAGTGGCTTTTAGATGGATTTGAATTTGGTTTTGTTTTTTTATGTAATTTGTCGAATGGAGAATCGCTCATTTTATGGTACTCAAACATGTCAATAAAAATGTTTATTCAAGGCCAAATGTTCAAAAGTCGCCCCTTGCTGATCTTCCTCAAAACGAAAATTCTGACCCAGTTTCTTTGAAAAAACGCGCACATTTTCTCGAGTTTCCATTTCACGAAATTGAGGAAAAATCGATACGTTTTTTCGGGCGATGAAAACATGATCGTATCGCAGTGATCTTTTTTTGCATCTTATTTTTGAACACAAAAATTTCTCAAGCCAACTTTCGTGAATGAATTTCCGCAAATTTATTTGAAGTAAACTATTTATAAGTCGCAATATTTTATTATTTATTGAAACAGTTTTCTAGAAAATAAACTGGGGAAAAAATCAATGAATATTTTGATATCTTGCTGTCTTTCATATGGTGCCTTCGTATGTGTCAATCATCATCGCAACCTCGCAGTCACCAAATGAATACTTCCATCCGAAGGCGCAGAGAATAGATGCATTTACCCCGATGAATATCTCAAAAACTGAAAAAATAAAAAATTTTAAACTCATAATAAAAAATGGGAATTAACCAATTTTTCGATTTGCATTTCTGGATAACCAATAAGATTGCTGTATTTGGCCTACAGGCCAATAAAAACCATTTCCATAAAAATCAGATCCAAAAATTGGTTCTACCCAAAAAATGAGCATAATTCAAACAAGCTTACTGAAACCACATAGGAGGCCGGTTTCTCCAGTTAATATATTGCAGACCATAAGTAAAGTCTGAAATATGTCAGAAACAAAAATAATTAAGGCTGTTATACCGTTAAAGCAAGAGTAGCACAAATGAAAATTGTGACTCCGACGGAGTAATTAAGCATAATCGGTCGCCAGCAATATGTGAGTGAGCTGTAGCATGTTTTCAGTTTGTTGTATTTCCCAAAGAACACAGATGGCGTCACCACATCGAAATGGACATATTGAACGATTGAAGCTTTCTGTATGAAAATTATAGCAAATTACCACTTTAAGTGTTTTCTACCCGACTTGTGTCCAAGTCAGACTCGAACTCTCGGCCACAGGTATTTGGATGAGTATTCATTAATTTGATGAGGCGCTCAAGACCATTTTCTAGCGAAAATTTCAGATATTAAAGAATTCGCAACTGAGTCAGATTGAAACTAGATCTTGCCTTCAAATTATCGATTCGGATCTTCCGTCAAAGCAGTCTCATTTCCGAAAAGCGTCAAATTGCCTTAATAATTCATCCGTTTATTCGGAAAATTGAAAGGAAAACCTCTAAGCGGATCAGCAAAAGCTATTGAAAAAAATAATAAAATTCGCATTTTCGCGGGAGCGATTCCGTACCGACAGAATTAACCACTAGTATCAGAAAATATGATCTTATAAATTTGCGTTTTGTATTCAAAGTTATCTATTTAAATGTCACGCTTTCCTCAGACAGGAATTTCCTGAGAGAAAGTTTTCCGTTCGATTCATGAACTCAAAATGCAGCACAAAGACATTAAATATTCGAAAAATTAACTTTTGTCACTCATTTTCAAAAAAAAGTATATTTCATTTTATTGTGAGTTATTTTTTCTTTCAGTCGCAAAATATTCAATCTTCTTCGAGGAGGAGCAATCTGAGGAGAATGAGAATCTCCTTGGGTAATCAGGGATGAGCCAGTCATTTTCTGATCCAGTTTGCGTGTCTTTAAATGATTTTGTTGTTTGATTTTTGGATTGAGTCGGTTTACTAAGGCTTTCGAACATTGCGACCTTTTCGCAGACTCTTAAAAAGATTGGAAAATGAGATTCAAGGGATATTCATACGTCCATGAAGTAGGAGAGCTGCATTGTGGCTTCTGATTCTTATCGTTTAGAATTTGCTGTTGGAAGTTTGAAAAAAGATATTATTCTTAAAGTGCTTCATTTTTTTCTTTTTTTTTTTAAAACACGACCTGAACTCTTTCAATCATCAAAAAATCGTCTGTCTGGCATGGTCGAGAATAGAACTCTTTTGTGAATGCTTCTTCTTTTGCTAAAGAATAATTTCTCGATTAAGAATTTTAAAGGAAAAGTACCGATATTCTCGCCCATGAAAAAAAATGCTCTGTTTATTCAGCGACTCGCGGGAAAAATTGATAGAAACGTGGACAATAATCGCCGGGGATCGATTTTGCTGCACTGCGCGTAATAGCCACACTCTTTTCACTTGTTTTTCTTATTAGTCCTTATTTATAGCCAGCGATGAATATCGACGTTTCCATTTCAAAAAAATTATATAATATATCCATGCCATGTTTGCAAGATAAGTTTCTTTAAGGACCCCCCCGTCAACAATTTTCCCTAAAAAATCGAAAATTTCAAAAAAATCATATTTTGGTTTCTTAGTCCGCCTGGAAGTTTAATACATGATGAAAACTTGTTCGGAGCCCTTTTGACCAATAATAATCTAAAATTTAAGCAAAATTAGGTCGTTTTCGTCATTTTTCGGTTTTGTTATTATTTTCATAAATTTATCGTCTCTAGAATGGTCACATGATTGTCACGTGTTGTTTTTAAGGATGGGGGTATATAAACAAATGTTGACGGAAATCTCTTCATTATGAGACTTTCTCTCCTGGCGGTAACCAGTTGGCAGTGAAGAATAGTTCTGACAATTGAGAAATTTAAAGCGATTGTCAGCTATCTCCACTGTTCCCTGGAAATCAGCCCCACTCGACAGAGATTCGTGAAATTCTTCCTGTTCGTTATTATCTTGCTGTTATTGGGTGCAATAAAACTCATCTTCATCACATTTATAATAAAGAAAAGGTCAGTTTTACGACGGTTCTGCATTGAATCAAAAGCTAAATTAATCAATTGATTTCTTGTTTTGAAAGTATAAATTGGTAATTCGAAAATCTTATACTCACAAATTAGAGAAAGAGAATTATTAAAATGATTGGAGAGGATTATCAAATGGAACATTTCGACGAGAATTTTGAAGAAGAAGATTATTTGCTAGATGATGTTGACACAGATGTTGACACAATAGAAGATGACGAAGATAAGCAGAAGGATGAAAGACCAGTTTTAAAAGAAGACAAAGCAGAATGCAGGACTTTGGGGATGAAACATTTGACGCAAAATACTCGCAATCAAAAGTAGAGTGAACCCTAGTTGTTCCCCTTTTAAAATTGTTTTTAAGAATCTCTCAGCCACCTGAGCTGAGCAAAGATAAAATAGAAAAATGGCTGCCCGGTTTTATCTCGAAGTTAAAAAGGACAACTTCCAGGACGACGATTTGTCGATTGATTGAGTCGGTCATGAGGCAAGAACTCAAAGATGATTGGAATGCGTATTTGTGGGAAGTGTTCGGATTTAAGGGCAAAAAAGGCTACATTTTCCGTCCAGACAGAGAAGAAATTGAATCTTTCGAAATCACCGCTTACCAAAACCATCTTCTCTCGACAGAACCTCATCTCAGAAATATTTATATAAATAGATCTGATCTGAAAGAAGAGACTGGAGAATGGAGTCTTCATCCTGATCATGTACCAACAAAAATTTCTGAAGGAGGTGAAGCGCTCATTCTAACACAGAAATTTGGGAAGAAAGAGTATGCAGTTCGGGTTCAGGTTTTTGACCCCTATCTTTTCAGTGATTATTACGATCACAAATATGTTCATCATAAAATTCATTTAGCTTCAGGTATCATGCTTTCTTATATAAAAAAAAACTAAGATTTAAGGTTATATAAGAGCTATAGACCGAACATCTTCTTTTCCAGAAAAATCCGAAAATGAAAAACAGATTCCAATTCACGAAAATGTCGTGAAAAACTTTGTCAATATTGAGCTTTTTCATGGCTGTGACAAGTTAATGACGGATTGTATTGGCTGGATAACAATTATGGAAAAATGTGATAAAACTATTCGTCCTTTATTGAAAAAGAAAAACCGACTCGACTTGGAGCAAAGAAAAAAAATGGCTTTTGGTAGGCTTCGTGATTAAGGATCCCCCGTCAGCTCTTTCCTTCATAAAATGGAAATTTTAAAAAAAATACCATATTTTTCGTTCTTAATGCGTTCTCTGGTTAAATTTGCTTCAAAAACTTGCAAAGAGGAATTTTTGACCAAGAAAAAATCAATATTTTCGCCATAATTTGGGCAAATTCGTCAATTTTTGCGAAAAATCCAATTTTCAAACGCGATTTTGAGGTTGTTAGAGTCGAGATAGACTCCCAAAAAATTGTTTTTTGACCCGTAGAATCCATTTCCGGGGTCAAAACTTAAAAAATCCGAAATTTGATTTTTCGAAAAAAGCTGACGGGGGTCCTTAAGAACATTCTATAAAACATATTTTGTCATATAATAAGAATAGGGCTAGATTTTAAGCTGCATAAGTTCATTTAGAAATTTTAGAAATATGGAGTGGGCTTGATTATTTACGGTCGATTGGGATTGATCATTTTGATCGAAAATTGCAAAACTTCTTGCTTCTAAAAAAAGTGGTCAAAATATGTGACTTTGGACTTGTAAATGAACGAAGTGGACGAATCGGCTACCGCGAAATGGGTTATTCTAGGAGAGGTTCCAAGTTTAGGAATACCTACGCACTTGGTGATGTTCATTTGATGTATTTTATTTAATTTTGATTCTAGCCGCTGGATCACCAGCCTTTTCTTGTCAATGGCAGCTGACTCTTTCAGAAGGGAATGTTATCCAGCCATTTGCATATTTCCTGTTGGGCGAATGGAAAACCGCTTGGACTCTGCTATTTAAACCAATAGATCACAGCGAACGAAGAAAAATAGAAGAGAAGCTTAAGGTTAATTTAGATTTAAAAAAATTCATAAAAGAAAAGTTTTTTTTTTAGAAATTTGGATCGATGAATATAATTGATCTTGCAACAGATAAAAAACAGTGTAGGTGCCAATATTTTGTGAATTGTCAATTATACGAGAACTTCTATTCCGGGTTAAACGACATCATATGTCTTCAAGATTTAACATCTGATTATTGTTTGAATGATCCGAACCTCACCAAATCCTGCCACATGGCCGCTCTTAAACGAAATATGGCAGAATATAAAAGCTTCAATTTGACGATGAAAAACCTGTCTCGAAATATCCTCAATCAGAACTTCAGTAACCTCTGTGTCCCAATTTCAGTCACGACTCTTATTCGTCATGCGATGAAAAATGATCTTGGTTTTGTTGAGAAAAAGATAACTCATTCGTTCGAACAAATTCTAACTATAATCGTGATGCTTGTTTACCCAAGAAGCATGGCTGGTTTGAATCTTAACCCGAACAAGGAAGAAACTAAAAATCAACTCACTGCGATTGATGATCTTTTAACACGGATTTGCCGAAGAACATATTTGATGGATTCAGGTTGGGAAATTATCAGAATGCTCGGACCAGATAATCATCCAAGACCGGCGAAATCAAATTGCATATGCAAACGAGGTCGGTTTTACAGTCAAGCTTTATTTTCAATATCGTCTTTTAAGTTTATCTCAATGAGAATTTTAACTTTACCCGACCGGTTACCGCTACTGGCGTGATTCTAACTATTGATGGCGAAATTTTCACCAAATGACAATCGACAGAATTGAGAAGAACGCATACGTTCTTCAAAACTCGGATTTTAATGAGGAAAATCCTTTGAAATCAGTCAAGGGTTAAAGACTTTTTGATTCTAAGAGTACCGATGAAAATTTAATAACCTGATTCTCCGGAAATTTCGACAAGAAATGGCGGAACCAGTCAAAATTGAGAAAAGATAAACCCCTCAAAAGTTATCCGAATCAAAAAGACCAATCCTTATTACGATAACTACGATTTCGTTCGACAATATTATGACGACCTAACAAGAATTGCTCTATACGAAAACGATAACTTGAGATTAAAACTCGTGAACGAGCATTCATCTATCGGAAATATCATATTTCAAATATGGAAGTCAATACTTGGTATCTTATGCCGATGGCGTATACTCTTCATCTTGAGAAAGTTTAAATAAAAGAAAAATGTTTGTCTGTTTGTTTCTAATTGCAGTTGATTTATAAAAATTAGAAGGAACTTTTTAAAAGAAAAAATTATAACTTATAATTTATAAGAGAATGACTTTAAAGTCAATTCTAACGACAGAAACTAATTTTGCTTGTAGCCAAAGGAGATTTAAAGAATTGAAATGGATGTTAGGATTTTTGCTTCTCTAGAATGGTCATTTGATGGTTACGTATCGTCATTAGGGATTGGAGTTTTGGAACAATTATTGACGAAATTTTCTGCATTGTTTTTTTTTTCCTTCCTGGCAGTAACCAGTTGACAGTGAAGAATAGTTCTGGCAATTGAGAAATTGAAACCGATTGTCAGCTTACTCCACTGTTCCCTGGAAACTGACCCTTCTCATCGAAAAAGAAGATATTTTTGAGTTTGATTATCATTTTATTTTACAGAATAATACGGGTTCTAGAATCGATCGTTTTCTTTTCATCATCAGGGTCGCTTCTTCATACAAGCAGTTTTGCACTCGTCTTGAAAAAAGCTATCATCGAGTTTTTTCTAGAGTTTCTACCTTTTGTCGCGAAGGAATTGCAATTTCCGAGCTTGCAAAACTGGCACTCCGTCGAGAGGTAAATGTGGCACTTGCCGTCGCTTTTGTCAAAATAGAAGCGCGTCGCCACTAGAAATTATAAATGTTACTCGCTGCGGAGATAAGCTAAACTCAAACATTCCATTATCTTTTTCTAGCGCCAGAGCATGTCTATCTTTTCTTTTTGAACTTTAGGATTTCGAAATTAAACTCTTGCTAGCACAAAAATCGACCGAGCTCTTTACTGTCTAGCAGACAAAATGTCTCCTAGACAATTTTTGTTCAGAACTTACTGTTGGCGAATCCACAAGAAGATTTCGGCGGACTCTGGTCGCAAATATCCATCATTTTCGGCGCCAAATTGAGTCTTCTAGCGCTGCTGGGGACAAGAGCATTATCCTCGTCGTCATTTTTCATGCAGACTTTTGCGCACATCTGATAAGTGACAAATCGGTTATTGTTGCCTCCCGCTCCTCTCCAAAGAAATGACTCGCAATCGCCCGATTTTGAGTTAAAATACCACATGGCTGTTTTTCTTCAACGAATTTCAAAGAGAGCGAGATCAATTAAAAGACCTAACAAAAAAAGCTTCCTTTTGAAATTTTCCTGAGAATTTGAGCATATCCTTTGTCCATCGGCAAGTGGCAGGGATTTTCTTGTTCCAAAGTTCCAACTGGAACGGCATCGAACTGCATCATTTCCATTTCATTTGAGCCCCCGAAAGACGGTCTTTCAGAGGATGCATATTCAGAGAAAAAGACATATTCTCATCAATAATCCTGGAAATACCGGAGGCGGGAAAGACGGTATACGGTATACGCCTGGATTAGTGTTAACACATGTTGGACACATATTGACAAGGAACAAGTTGCATTATTATTAGGGGCACCCTCTCCTGTCCCCGACGAAATACGGCTGCATAATCGAATAGATACTGGCGAAGGGACTGAAGTGGTTATTTGGATTGATGCCTCCTGATGGACCCATTCTTTTTCCAGTTGAAAATTGAGATAGAAGAGACGATTAAGGGTTTTGACTTGTCTCTTTTCTCTATTTTAGCCGAAATGAAAAATTCAACTTGTCCTGTTTACTCCGCGCCATTCCAAAATCTCAAATCCACCGAAGCTGTTTTCGTTATTTGCTGCTTCCATGTCGTTTGTTGATTCTTCTGGCTCTAGAGCCTCATGGGACGCAGGAACATCAGTCGTTGAAATCAGCTCGGGTGTGCAGATGGAACGGCAATCGTCGCGGCGGGAGAACAGGTTCAGGTGGTCCTTGACAGCGAGGAGATCATCGAGTAAATCCGGGCACAGTCGGCGGAGAAAGACTGGCTTGCAGGCGCCTCTGCTTTTGTCGTACGAGAAAAATCTTGAAAAACGTTAATTGAGAAATGTAAAATAGACTCACTTCTTCGGCGTCCCGCAATTAACATGATCAAAATTGCAGCAGGTATGGAATCCATATGGATCCTTGAGCTTAATGCTTCCATCTGCCATGGTCACCGTTCTGATCTTCTCCTGCGCAATGAACCTCGACGAGCATTTCTCATGGCTCAAGTCGTTTAAATATTCGAGTACTTGTTGCTCCGGCGTTTGAAATCGAGCCCCGAAACGGTCGCCAAAGCCTGTTTTTAAGGGATGAAATGGAAAATGGAACATTCAAGTGCTGAGATGTTCATTCAAAAGTGGCAATTAAATTTGAGACAACATGAGACGCGGCTGATTTAAACTTATTTATTCATTCATTTTTCGGTACCTTGCGGTGGAAGGTAATTTCCTTTTTGAATTTTCTTTATCTTTTTTTCTTTAATCTTCTTTTTTTTATTTTAAAGTCATTTTCATCCATCTTTTTTTTGGAAAAAAAAAACAAAAATTAGGGTTAGGGTTTGGGCTAGAGTTAGGCCCAAAAGAGACGATTTTTTGGTTGGGGTAAGGGTTAGAGTTAGGCCCAAAAGAGACGTTTTTTGATTAGGGTTAGGGTTAGACGGCTTGACTTAGGGTTGGTTCGAAAAGAAACAGACTGTTTTCATTTATAACATATGATATGTAGATAGATCGGTAAAGATGCTCAAGCAAATAAAGAAATCTCTCCTTATTGAATAGATGATGTAAAATTAAACCTGCGTTTCCCTCTCCTCCAATCTTATCTTATCCATCTCATCCCGCTTCCCGAAGCCTTGGACGGCGGCGATACATCCAATTCCAATTATTTTCTTATCAATCATCTTATTCCTCTTTTCTCTCTTTTCTTCCTCGGTTGATCTCTTTTTTCTGCTTGTTTTCTGTTTCTTAGGCTTTAACAATTTTTTCTTCTTTTTTCAAAAATGAATGTTTCTTTTCAGAAAGCCCGGTGGTGGTTAGTAGCGCTCCCCTAGCGCTAAAAAATATTATGCTGATAAAGCGCAGCGGGGCATCACGCGAACATCGCGAAGGCGCCACCATTCTTTCCATTTTTTACGAAAGTTTAGTTCTTGCTTCGAGTCTATGACTCATCTTGCCCAGATCTATTACCTCGCTTATTGCATACAGTGTTGTACAAGAAACAACAGTCAAGAAACTACGTGTAACTACAGACAACTCAGCAACTTGGTTTTTCAAGAAGCGCCCCTGATATCTTTAATTTCTAATAAGAGTGATTGCTTTACATGAGTCTTGTATTTTTAATATTTTACCTCTTCAAGTGAAGTATTGAAAGAAAAACTTAAAAGAGCTCCGTTGATGGGTTTAATTTTAATTTCAACAAGACAAATTTAGAATAAAATTTAGAATAAAAATAGAAGAAATTTTTTTCGGGAGCGTGTATCAAATTTTTGGACATTTTTGAGAAAATTGTGCGACAAAAAATGTCCAAAAATTCCATAATTAACTGTATCAATTTTTCGCTAAGAAATAAATATAAGAATTATCTTTGAACATCTTGGCATGAATATTGAAAAATGCCGGTTACAATCATGGTCTTTGTTGACTAAAATTTAAACAAATCAAAGCCTTATTTTTAAAGCTTAGGGCAAGGATTATCTGAACCTGTGTAAAAACCTGAGTCAGGGTCAGGCTCTCAGAGAGCATTTTTAAACCCTGACTCAGGGTACTACAAAGTGAGGGTTTGGATCTTGATAACCTGCGAAAAACCCTGAGTCAGGGTCCAGAAAAAGCTTCTTTTGAAACTCTGACTCAGGTTTATTCGCAGGTTTTTGAAATTCAACCCTAACCCAAACTTTGTAGAAGCCTAAGTCAATGTTAAAATTATGCTCTTTGAAAGCCTGACCCTTATCAAAGCCCTGACTCAGGTTTCTACGCAGATGGACGAGCCAAGGATGTGGTCTGCTCTTGAACTTGACCTCTTTCTTTTTTAAAGACCAATAATTTATTAACTCAATAGTGGTACTATCAAATCAGGATAGATATTCTTTTTTCTCTATTGAAAGATGCGGTAACCTAAGAGAGATAGTCGCATCAGATGATCTCATGAGCTTAGTCCGCGATTCATATTCTAACCAGAATCAGTAAGAACGCCTTAGAGACGTCTTAAGGTCGTGACTCTCTCAAAAGCATATTTCTTATTTCTAATTCAAACTTGCGTCAATTTTGGTTGTTTATATTTTTTTAATGCCAATATGTTTCGTTTTGTCTGAAGAAAATTATGTCACGTGTGAATGCAGTGCTAAGGGTAGGAACGTTAAACGGCGCCCGAAAATGCGCTGCTACAAGTGGGTCGCCTCGTTAGAGCCTCACGTGTATTTTCAAAGCTAGAAACAGCAGCACTAGAATTATGAAAACGATGACGTCAATTTAGAAAAAGCGCGACTTGGCAGCGCGCCAGTTTTTCAGAAGATTGACAAGGCTGACCCTTATCTACCGCAGAATAATAATCAGCTCGAAAAGAAACGGTCACGAAAGTTCTAGCAGCGTTTGAAAAAATGATGAATCATCTTTTTAATAAGAATGAAGAGACACTTATAGAACATGCTGTAAAACCTGTGTTGAAAACCTGAGTCAGGCTCTTAAAATTTTATGCAAGCTAAAATACACCCTGACTCAGGTTTTAAACGCAGGTTTTCTAGCCAAAATTACAGTTATGTCTTAACTGAAATCTCTGTTCGAAAACCTGTGTTGAAAACCTGAGTCAGGCTCTGAAAATTTAATTCAAGCTAAATCAGACCCTGCCTCAGGTTTTTAACTTCGGATTTTTTGAGCCAAGATAACAGTAAAGACATCACTGTATAATTTCCCAAATCAAACAAGCAAACTATCCATTCCAAAAAAGCGAAAAAGAATCCAAGCGCCAGCTGAGGGCGCCGCGCTCAGAAATTATAAAAAAGGAAAAGAACCGCTTTCAATACAAAATCCAAGTTCTCATTTCCTTTTTAGATATTGAAAGACTGTATTTGAGTATGCTGAGATACCTCTTTGCGATCTTTGCTATTGCTTCAGCGATAAGTCCAAAATTTTTTGAGTAAGTAGATGTTTTTTAGTGACTTTTTATCGTAAGAGATACCCTTAAGATAACGGATTTTATGATATATAAGGAGATTACCAATTTTTTTACCGTTTATTTTACGGAGTGAGACCCTTATTTTTGTTATTTTCTAGTCTTAAGGCTGTCGACATCGATTTGGTTAAGGTTTGACCCTAACCCGAAATCGATGTTGACAGAACTTGACACCCTTAACCGCTTTTTAATAGCAGCGAGCACCCTATTTTTTTTTCTTTCTTGTCATATATTTTCCCGATAATCATAAAGGGAAAATATCAAAAAAGATACCCTTGAGAAAAAACGCTGTCGTGATTTTTATGAATTCTTGATTTCAGTTCGCTCCAGCTGCAGAATATTGCGATCCCGAGCGACGTGGAATACAAAGCATTAGAATCAAAAATGCTCAACCAATTACTCAACTCAAATTTCAAAGGATTCGACAAACTCGGCTAAAAGGCCCTATTTTTCGTTATAAAACTCAAAAATAAAAATCTTTCATGAAAAGTTTTTTTATTTATTTGTGTTTGATTTGCAGAGATAATTGGATGAAGGGAGAATTTTTTGACCGCAGATTTCGTTGACGATCATTTTGACGGTTTTCTGGACTTTGTTGTATTCCCTCCTAAAAAGTGTAGGTTATGCTTAGAGGCTCCAGTTAAGGGGAGTTGTCAGGACCCGACAAAAAATTTCGACAAATTTTCCGTGGAAATTTCAACCCATCAGAAGCCTGGATACGGCTAACCGGCCCATCAGAAGGCCACGCAAAATTTGTCGAAATTTTTTGTCGGTTCCTGAGTCAGGAATCCTGACAGCTCCTAGTGAAGGGCGAAAAGTGAGGGTGTGACAGTTTCCCCTGACTCTTCATGAATAATGAAGCTCACCTTCTTGGAGATCTGTCAATTCCAGGTTCGCCTTTGAACCCCCTCGGACCCGGCTCTCCCGGTTCGCCTCGCTTCCCATTTTCTCCATAGTCTCCCGGGTCGCCTTGTCGCCCAGGTGGCCCTTGTCGCCCCGGACGGCCTTTGGAACCCTTGTAGCCGATCATTCCCGTTTCACCTGAACTCATCTCAATCATGAAAAATCTGCGGCTTTACCAGGATCTCCAACAGGACCTCGCAAGCCAGGATCACCCCTGGAACCCTTTTCGCCTTTGAATAAAATCGCTGGCATTAAATTTCAAGCCGTTTTTTTTTCATTGAAATCAAGGAAGACTTTGACGCTCGAAATTCCATTCCTGGATCCTGAAAATCTGCTGATACAAAGAAAATAAGAAGAAGAAAAATTGTTTTTATCATAATTTGTCTCTTTTTTAATTTTGTCTCAGGTGAGAATTCTTGAGTGCAAAAGATCAAAGGTCATCATGTTCAGAAAGTTTTCTTGAATAGGATTATCTTTCATACCCGGCTCATACCCGACTGAATAGACTTATTAGTCGAAAAGTCGAAAACCTGGAAAACTATATGAATTTAGTCGAAAAAGTCGAAAATAAGTCGAAAAGTCGAAAGAAAAGTCAAAAAGTCGAAAGCAAGATAGCGATTCTTTCGACTAGATTTTCGACTTTTTCGACTAAATTTTCGACTTTTTCGACTAGATTTTTCGACTTTCTCAGCAACATTGCTTTCGATTTTTTCGACTAGTCGGCAATGTCGCTGACTAATAGGGTCAAGTCGAGTCGAGTCGAGTCGACTTATTTCCACAAGCAATCAAGTCGAGTCGAGCTAGTCTTTTCGGCTAAGATTCGACTAGACTTCGACTTTAGTCGAAACTCGACTAGTCGATTTAGAACCCTGTACCCGGGGTCAGGTTTTCAACACAGGTTTCTTGATTCTGTACTCATTTCTTTTTGACTCGTGTTCAATTATTCAATATTCTCAAAGTCATTATTCATTTTCTTTTTGATTTTATTAAATGTCAATGCTGCATTTTGGAATTCATTGCCGGCATTGATCATGGTCAAGCATTCGAATTGAACTTCAAACCTTCCGGAACGAAAAAAATGGAAATAAACCGTCACAGAGATATAACTTGCTTTTTCTTTCTTTTTTGTTGGCTTTTTCTTATTGTGTTGCATTTCGGGACTTCTGATGAAACTCAGGATTACTTCCAAAAAGCAGAATCCCAGTACAGTACAAATTCTTCAACAAGCGATGATGATTATCAAGAGTCAAAAGCTGAAAAGGGCAATGAAAAAAGAAGAGTCGTTGTTGGAATTTTAGCGTAAGAATATTTTCTTAAGGGGGGGGGGTCGACGAGAATCGGGATTTCCTTGACCAAAAATGCAGGAGAACGTGATTAGATAGGAAAAATCTGATTCAATTGGTGAATAGAAAAGGGTTGAAAAAATCTATCGGCGAGAAGTTGAAAAAAATTTTGCCAGATAAAGTCGGTCAAAAATATTGTCAAAGTAGGGCCATTTTCGCGAAAACCAAAAATGGTCAATTTTTTTACATTTTTGTTCATTTCATCCCCTAAATCTAATTTTTATCAAATGATTTTAGGCTCAATAGAGCCTCAAAAATGAGATTAAGGGGTGAAATTGAGAAAATTCTGAAAAAATGACCATTTTTGGTGCATTTTCGCGAAAATGGCCCTGCTTTGACGGGATTTTTGACCAATTTTTTTCTGGCCAAAATTTTTTTTTAGTTTTCGCCGCCTGATTTTGACAACCCTTTTCTATCCACGAGTAAAATCAGATTTTGCCTATCTAATCAGGTTTTCCCGCATTTTTCGTCACGGAAATCCCGATTCTCGTCGACCCCCCCCCCTACTTAATATAATTAAATTATATTTAAGAACATTCGAAAATTATGAAAGAAGAGAAGCTCAGCGAGAAACTTGGCTTTTATCATCAGAAATCGAGCATAAATACATCATCGACAGCTGGACCCCTGAGTGGCGTGCCGAAAATGAAATCTTCGGAGACATCGTTTCTATCAATGCGAGCTTCAGCGGGTATTCGAAGGGATTCGGAGAAAAAATGTACCACTGGTTTCAATATGTCGCTACTAATTATCCGGAAGGAACGATTGTGGGAAAAACAGACGATGATTTTTATGGTTGTTCGAATCTCTATCAAACAGTAATGGGTAGAAATTAATCATTTCCGAAAATGATCCGATAATACGTAGAAGAAATTTCCATACCCAACTGAAGTCCTGGATAAATACAGCCCTCGAATGTATTTTGGCTGGTGGCATCCTGACTCCGACATCCAAAAACCAAGTTTGCAGAGTCGCCCTGATCTGGGCTCGGCAACCTGTGCAGAGTTGCAAATTTTGGTTTATTTTTGCCGAGCTGAGCTGACCTGGTTGAAAAATTCTCGTAGCTGAGCTGAGCTGAGCTGGCCTATTTCGCAGCTAAATGAGCTGAGCTGATCTGAGCTGCCCTTTTTCAGAGGTCATTGAGCTGAGCTGAGCTGAGCAGAGCCTGATTAGAGCTGAGCTGAGCTTAGCTGAGCTGAGCAGAACTGATTATGTTCGAAAATTATTGAGCTGAGCTGAGCTGAGCTGAGTGATACTTGTCTAAGCTGAGCTGAGCTGAGCAGATCAGATCATTTTGGAAAATCACTGAGCTGAGCTGAACTCAGCCAGCTCAGCTCACTCAGCTCAACAAATTTGCAACTCTGAACCTGTGTACAAAACCTGAGTCAGGTTTTAAATTGCTTTTATGAAAACCAAAATAGCAGTTTTTTAAATAACGCAGTCGCCAAGTTCCATTAAAAAAAACCCCGTGCGGCTCTTTATCTTAGCGATTTGAAAACTGACTCAGCTTTACAAAACAGGTTTCCAAGCCCAGGCCCTGATGCCGAATTCGTCCTTATAAGTTGGGATCTCATGACGGAAATTCTTCAAAAGCCTCGGCTCGGCAACCTGAGTAGAAAAACTGAGTCAGGTTTTGATTTTTGCTCTTCAAAACCTGACTCAGGTTTTCTACTCAGGTTGCCGAGCCAAGTCAAAAGCCATATTGCCACCATGTTCGAGACGCATCTTTCTGCACAGAAAAAAATACGAATGTCCGATACGGATCAGACTTTGGAGGAACTTCACTTGGCCACTGGCTTGGCCAAATCGGGAATATAACGGGAATACGAATGAATGACAGAATGGTTCATACGATTAATTCGAAGAAATGGCGATCTCCCGTGATAAAACCTTACTGTGGGCCGATGATTTCTTTTCACAAGGCGACTCCTGCTCTCCAACGGTATTTGGAGTGCTTCGATCAAGATATTCCTGCTTCAAAGAAATTTTGCGAGAAAGCTCAAATCTTGACGACATATTCAGTAAAGAAGCACTAACCTGAAAAAAAAACTTAGTTCTTGAATAAAATACCTTTTTTTTTCATTAAGAAAAATGTCAAAAAGCCTTGTTCTTGCATATTTACTGTGAACCTCGGCTGGAAACCTGTTAAAAAAACCTGAGTCAGGGTCTGAAAGAGGGTCTGACAGACCCTGACACAGGTTTTTTCAAAGGTTTCCGGGTCCAATTTTTACAATACAGCAATAATTAAAGACGATTCTTGATGGTGTTTCGACTTCAGATGTTATTTTGCGTCAATATGTCAATAAAAAAATTCAAATAAAAAGCACGTGATGGCCATCAAGATTTCGCGTGAGCCAACTTCTAAATTTCGCGTGATCTAAGGCCACGTCCAACTTGTGTGTGACGCATTTTCATGTTTTTTTGCTTTGTCCCAGAAGAGCATCACGAGTTGGTTCGATCCGGGCCCGAGCGCGAAGAGGATTGGTTAATTAAGGCTAGCCTACGCGCAGAATACTCAGCGCCGTGACGACTCGAAAAAAGGCTTTCATTCTCAAAAATACAAAAAAGACTCGACAAGAGACGAAATTCTTAAAAACGACCAAAATGTAAGCAAAACTCATTTTTTTTCAAAAAAAAATATTTTTTTTTTAAATAAATTTTAATAAAAATAAGGAATTTCATGATTTTCGATTTCAAAAAAAAAAATATTTCTGAGATTTTCTCATGATTTAAGAAAGCGACACCCTTATTTTATCATGCAAAAAAGTTAAACAAAATCTTTTTTCAAGGATAAAATAAGGGTGTCGCTTCGCTAAATTCATCTTTGCTTATTTGTTGTTTTTAGATGTTCACTACGATTAAATCATTCTTCGGCTACTCCGTTGAGGAAGAACGAGTCCCTGCGATGGAAAAGAGCGAGCTCGAGGGATGGGAAATTATTGATCACGTGAGTTTTAAATTCGATCAATTTTGATCGCCTTATTTGGTCTTTTCGGCTCTGGTCGTAAAATACAAACCTGGCTGGTTCATAAATATGCTAATTACAAAATTGCTTCAAATTGACAAACGATTCTTTAGGAGCAACAACAGAACGAATCGGAATCGGAAACTCCCTCGGTGCCAGTAAGGAGGCCGGAAAACAACAAAACCGCGGTTCGCAAATCGGCAAGGAGGATTCAAGGTATTGAGAAACGCGAATTTTCAATCTCATCAACACTATTTTTTCCCAAATTTTCAAACCGAGAGCCAAATCGATAAAAAATTTCCCGAAAAAAAAACATCAATTACACCGTGCCCCAGGGGTCCCGTGATGCTTCGCAGATGTTTTGATGTTGTCATCACTTTTTTTCAACTTTTCTGAGCGATTATTTTGAGGGAAAGGCGCTCTTGGACTTTGGCTCTTTTGATAAATTAAGACAGCGAATTGCTTGATAAGTGCTTTTTGTGATTTTCAAGACGAAGTGGGAAACATATTTTTCGACTGTCTATTTCTAGGGCAAATGTTTTGGGAGTTAATTTTGATAAATGAGAAATCACGTGATGGTTTGCTCAGCTTTTTCTTCCACAAGACTCAATTTAAAAACATAAAATTCTGAATAATTTTCTTTCAAAAGGATTCTGATCATTGGCACGTGACCATTTTCTATTCATACAAACTCTTCGTTTAAAAAATTGGCTCTTCGCCAGGAGATTCAGGCTCTCTTCGTTTTTGATAGATTTCCAAAATTAACCCACCCGAATTCAGATTTGATCCCAACGATGCCCAGCGACAAGTACCAAAAGCCCTCGAAGAAGACGAAAAAGGGTTCCAAAGTTGGCCGCACTATGATGACCCGCTCAATGAGGCAGCCAATTCAGCAGCCACGATCCAAGTCCTTCCGCGCCTAAACCTTGCTTACCTCATCCAATTTCCTCTCATTGTATAATTTTCAAGTGAAATTCATTTTCACAGGTACGTTCAAAAATTAAGGGCGCCCCGCCTATTCTCCTTATAGAAGTCTTATTAATCCTCTTTTCTAGCCATCTATGACCTTGGGATCAAATGTCTCGTCCGCTCGCCGCTCGTATCAATCGTTTTAAAGAAAACCATTCTTCGTGGATCATATTTTCCGGCAAAGAAAAAACGAATATGCCTGGTGATTATCCTCGTTCACGCAACTTTTTTTTTACATTTTTTTATATTCAAAGTACCCTTTTTCAAGCCAGGTTTTCTGCTCGTTTTAACGATGAATTCCTAGCTCATTTTTTTCTTAAGGATGTCGACACGAAAGAAAACTACAGTTTTTATATCGTTGTTGCCATCCTTAAGGTTCAAATTAAGGATCTCAAGAGCGATAAATCTCAAGAATTTGGGTTTTCCCGGTCCTTGAAATTTATCGCTTGTGAGTCCCTTAATCCTTCCCGAACCCCAATTATTTCATGTCTTGAAGTGGTAAATCCTCTTCGCATCTTTTTCTCCCATTTTTTCCTTCATGAACTTCTTGTTTCTCAACCTACATGTTTTCAACTTCGTTATCATTCAGAAATTGTTCTATGTTCAGTACGCGGTCGATTTCTTATCGTCGCAAAATTCAACCTTCCTTATTTCTTCTTTTCACTATTCGAAACCTGCTCTGAGAACTTTCAATTTTGACTGTTTTTCTTGAAGTAGGAATCAAGGGAATCAGTCAAGGAAGGTATTCTAGAGCTAGGTTTCATTCAAGTATTCTTTTTCATATGTAAAGTTATGCCTTGCCTTAGTTCATTCATATATTTCTAGTGATTATTCTGACTTGTTTTCTTTGTCATTTTTGGGTTCTTCTTTTAAAAACTGTATAATTATGGGAATGATTTTATGATTCGACAAAGAGCGCTCCAGAAAATGACAAAGAAAAGAGGTCAATTTGTTCACTAGAAAATCGAAGATCTGGTTTATTTTTAAAAACTTGCTATCCTGTGCCGTCGGACGCGGCATTTGCTCTTTGAGGTCGCATCATTCTCTGTCGATTCATTCGACAAAACTTTGTTTCTAGAGCTACGTTATGATTCTCATTGTCCGATGCTGTATTATTCTCAATTACAGGGTCGTTCAATTGTGACTGAAAAAATCTAAACCGAAAAATTCTAAATTCTTCGCTTAAATAATTTTTTTAAAAAGCTCAGAACTTTAATAAACTGTTTCAAAATTTTTTTTTTCAAATTCAAACCGTCAATTCTTGCGAATAAAAGAAATCAATTATTCTTTTTTCTGTTGATTTTTATTTTGATTAGAAAATAACTGGTTGAGATCATCATTGATTCTTGAAGGCAAAATTTTATATTTTGAAAGATCAGAGCAGTTTGAGTAAATTTCAAAAGCAAAAAGGTCAATTTTTCGTTGAGTTTTTGATAGTTGTGTCAAGAATGAGCTTCTTTTTAAGATTCACTTCGGTTTCGCACATCGGAGCAAAATTTTCACAAGGATATTTGACAGCTGGTTCTTCCGCCATTTTTCGGGCAATCACAAAAGAAAGCTTGAGTATGTCGAGTTTTTTATCTTTCGAAGCCAAAACGATAGATTCGTTTAGCGCTTGAAAACAGTCATGAATCATGAGATAGAAAATGGACGATCGAAAAAATATTGAAATTACCTTTGAGAAAAATTGATCCATCGTCTTGATGGGCAGAAGTCTGGAATGGCGACGCATGAATGATGATTGTATTTGGTGGAATTTCTGGCGAAGGCGAACATTCAGGTTCAACCGGTTTTTCTTCGTTGATTTCCTGATTTGGGATTTCTGTCATCTCTTTTCTGTCATTTTTATTTTGGTTTCTCTTCGGCAATGCACTTCCAGCACCTCCAGCGGCCGGTGAGCCTCCAATAACAGGAGGCTTGTCCGTCGGCGTAGCTGGATCTTTTGGCAAAGTTGGAGGACTAGTCGTTGGTGCTTTGGGACTTTTTTCCCGATCTTCCGAATCTTGTTCCCGTTCGTCTTTTTTGCGTCGCCACGCATTTTCTGTATAATCACTGTTTTTGCCATAGCAGTTGTCGGCGAAAATAATTTTTGGAACGTCATCTATGTCAATTTTATATTTGCATTGAGGTTAATGCTTACCATGAAGGATGTTTATCAATTTGTTGAGACTTATATCCCCATGTGAAAGGCATATTTTCTTCCCTTGTGCATCATAATAACCATGTGAACTTATGTAAAGAACTGAAAAACTATGAGATTCGAGTCATACGACATATGTACCGATTGGACATTCTTGCTCATTCTTGAAAGATTCTAGCAAATTCTTAGCTTCTCCCACTGTGACCTCGTTCAAAAGTACATTCCAAATTTCTGAATTTGTTTCCTTTCTTATCAATCTGTAGACATCGTCATTTTCTCTCATCTCTGGTGGATTTGTTTGATTTTTGATCAGGGCTCTCATCAAATCCCTGCCGTCATTATTCTCGATAGGAACTGGGTTCTTTCTTGTACATGTATTGTTTTGATGGTCATCTATGATTTCCATTTGCCAATTAAATTTTCCAGCAATTTGAAAATGTTTGAAAGTTTCTCCAAAGTAACCATTGACAATTTTTATAAAATCTTGAAGAAAAAAAAAAGTTGATATTATCAATTACCGAATTAAAAATACCTCTCATGTCATTATTATCAAGACAGGCATCTCCGACCTCCTCGAAATTGTTGACAATAGCAAGAAAAATTGGAGCATAAGGAATATTGTACTCATAATCATCATCATCGGAGTATGAAGAATAAGCTTGTCCATCAGCGCGAAATTTCTCTATATTGACGAACCCATTGTCCCAAAGGAGAGAATGAGTGAAAATAAATGATTCTTTGGACGGCTACTGCAGAAAAAATATCTATGAAGACTTCGGTTTTTTAGAGAGAGATAAAAAATTTTGAGCCTGTCCTTGGTATAAAATTTTATTAAAATTTCTTTCATACTTTGTTTTAGCGAACTCCAATATCAAATCCATACATAAATTGAGACCTTCATCCAGAGTTCGAAATCTGAAAGAAAATGGCGACTGCCACTTTACTATTACAGTGAAAACCCAAAAATTGCCCACCAAAATTTGGCCGCTTTTTGTCAAAATCCACCTTTTTTCGAACCTGAAATCAACCGAAAATTTGGCCGCTTTTTCAAAAATAAAAATTTTCCATCAGAATTGGGCCAAAATGATGCTATTTCTGATCATTTTTAGGTTTTTTCAATCTTTTTTCAAGTGTTTATATCATTTAAAATCACTCAAATCAAATAGGAATGTCTTAAAACAAGCAAAAATTTGAATAAAATTTATCAAAAATGTAAAAATCATGCCGATTTTCGAAAATTTCGAAGCTTAGGTTTTTGAAGGGGAAACTTGGCTACCCGGCAAAAAACCAAAAATTTGGCCGCTTTTTTCGGGAATTTGTATCTAAAAACCGGCCAATTTTCGGGTTTTTACTGTATACCCATATTACTTATAGAATTTTTAGTCAAACAGAGTAAAAAACAGTTTTTTCGACAAGTTGAACATATAAAAGAAACGTTTTTCGAAATATGAATGTCTCTTTTGATAGAAAAATGAAAGAAATAAGGTCTCGGGAGGAAAATTTGATCATTGACGTTATATTTCTTTGTCATTCTAGAAGAAAAATAAATATCTTCCGAAATGGCAGTAAGTTGGCAGCTGCCAGTAACTGCCAGTATTCTTAAAACTGCCAAGTGACTGCAAAAATTGGCAGCTGCCAGTAGCAGTCGTGGCATTTTTGAAATTTCGAACTCTGCCTTCATCAGTGTCTTTTGCAAAAACTTTCATCGTATTTTGTCTTACACTGTACGCATCGAATTTCTTCAATAACTTCTTGCTTGTGCTAAAGATATTGGTCCTCTTCTTTGCCATCCTCTTTTCATCTTCAATGGTTTTTGTCAAACCTTCTCCAAAAGAAGTCGATTCATAAAAATTTCTTTAATTTTTCATTAAATTTGATCTACGAATCATCAAACCTCGGGTAAAAAGAAACAACCAATAGATGATTGTCTATAAAAATATTTAAACCAATAAAAGAAACATTTTTATGTATCTTAAATTCGAAATATTATGTTAGCTTACATTTTGTGTCTTTGTTTTTCATGATTTCCTTAAAGAAGTAATGCAGCTTTGTTTAAAATTTTTTTGTTGATGGGAAAGGGGGGGGGGGTCCATGAACCGACAAATTTTTGTTATCCCAATTTTTCAACCAATCAAAAGCCTTGATTCGGCAAACTGGCTAATCAGCAGCCAAGAAGCCGACAAATCAAAATTTGTCGATTTTTTTTTTCGTGTCTGCAGCCAAAAAAGCTGCATAACAATTCCTTTAGAAAAAGACCTAAATGACATTCTTTGTTCTCGAAAAGAACAATTTCTCCTTCATCAGATGTTTTTCCATCAGTGAGGAGAATGACAATCAGGTTTTCAACGTCACAGAAATTTTTCGGACCATAGTACGAATCATTCAATTGCTTTTTCGCATGGGCGAAATTCGATGTGTGTATAATTTTCGGAATAAGGCGATGCTTCTCCATCCGTTCAATGATATTTTTCTTTAAATAATCTCCAGTTAGAAATATTTTTAAGCAAATAAAACCTTTTTTATGTCGTAGTTTTCTTGAATTTCTCGATCTTTGACGGACATACCACAGTTTATTTTGTCTGGTGCAACAATTATAACACCACATTCATTTTTATATCTTTTGGTCTTTTCGACCTCTTTTTCCATGGTCAAAAAATAATTATGGTTCGTCAATAAACGCTCTTTCAAAAAAGCATTTTATGAAACTCAGCGAATTTAAGAGCATCGTAGATTCATTTCCGAGTCGACTAAGTTTCCGACTCAGTTTACGACTCAGTTTTGTTATTTTCAATCATAAATTTTTTTGTGATTAATGTTTATTCAAATAGTAGGAAGAGCACTTCTGACCATCATTGATTTCCGAACAAAGGCAAATTCTTGTTCCGGATGGGCCATGACGTTGTGGATTTCTGATTTGTCGATGAGGTCATTTTCACCCCAGAGTTTGTAGAGGATTTTCTTGTGGGCCTTTTTGCGCTCTGGGAGGCGGAGTTTCGATTGACTGAGGATGTACCTTAAACATAAAATTCGTTAAAAATTCCGAAAATTACCTGAGATCTTGGCATCTATCAATGGGATCCTGCAACTTCGAGAAATCAAACGGGCACTCGTGTTTCATCGGCATCTTCCGAATTTGATTGATCACAATAAAAATCTAATTCCGATTAGCTCTCATAAAATCCTTAATTACTTGGAGCTCACCCAAACTGTCCCGACAGCGACGCAAACAGCTGCGATAAATTCAAGCCCTGTGAGAAAATCGGCAAAAGTCCCGTCATCACTGTTGAGGTTTAAGGAGATGTCTTCGCTTCCGGCGCCACCAGTAGTTCCTATGTTTGATATTAATTGAAAAAGGATGATTTTTAGTGAAAAATTTATAAAAATTTCAATTTCAAATGGAATTATTTGAAATTAATTGACTAACAAAGCAATAATCTATTAAATAAAATGGATTCTATTTGAAATGACTGTACCTGGATCCTGTATTCCTAGAAAAGGGAAATTCAAAACTCTTCCATGATTTCAATTTTCAAAAAAAAAGTCAAACCTTTCGCTCCACTTTTTCGACCGAAAACTTCGTCTACAAAAAATATGAAAACCGCCAATTTCTCCATCTCAAATTTTTTCTCTCCCACTGAATCGCAAAATAGAAGCAAGAAAAAAGAGTGCAGCTAGCTGTTATGGTGCACCTGCGCGGTAAAAAGACAACTCTTCATTATCGATTGTAAAATGTTACTTCGGGGATTTATTATTTGCGACAAAATGGGCGGAAGCATAAATCATTTGTGAAACTCTTTAATCAAATTTTACAATTTCGACCAAGACAGACCCTGACTCAGGTTTTCTACACAGCTCGCTGAGACAGGACATCATCCTAGCATATTCGACCTGATGAAAAATAAGAGCGGATCCCTCCATTTCTATCAAAAGAACGTTGATTTTCGCCACTTGAAATCAATTTATCATTCATTTCTCGTCGGTTGGTAAAAGAAGCAAAAAGTTCACCGATCACTTCATTAGCTTAAAAGTAAGAAAATCGCAGCGCATTTGTGAGTTCAAGCTGAAGAGAAAATCATCATTTGGAGATGCGGAAAGATTCGCTTTTCCTGACGCCAAATGTTTCGAGAGCGTGCTCAAGAGCATCGAGTACCAGGTCAAATAAATCGACGGCTTCGAGTTTGGACGAGAGAGCGCATGAGTATTTGAGGCGAAAGTTCATGGTAGCATATTTTTCTACTCAAAAGAATTTCAAAAAAAGATGAGTTTTAAGGCTATTATAAGAAGGTTTTCTGGTCACAGCCAAAAATTCAAGTGATTTTTAAATAAGCAATAAGATTGCTATATTCGATCTACCGGCCAATCAAAACCCTGATCCATAACATCACTTCCATAAATTGATAAAACCCGGTCTTTTTGGCCCAAAATTCGGGCAGAACGAAAAATATGGAACTGATTTTATGAATAAAGATTTTGATTGGCCGGTAGGCATAATACAGCGATCTTATTGGCTATCGAAAAATACACTTCCATATTTGGTTTAGTCTTGGTTTTTGTTTTTTCTAGCTAGAATTATCAATTTTTAAATGACATGCAAATCACTGTCAGTAAAACGAATATATCAAGCTTCAAGTGAGCATCTATTTTTCAGAATCAAAAGTCAATTATTTAGCCGTCAAGGATCGGCGCAAGCTTTTTTCTTGCTGCGATGAAGAATTCATCCATTTCACAGCATTTAGTTGCAAGTTTTATATTCCTAATTTTCAATTTGCACTTTTTAATTCGAAAAAATGAGAGATTTTAACGGAGAAATGAACTTTGAAAAGAACTCGCGAAACCGGTTTTCTTTTTCTTCAGCTGCAAGCGACGATCCTTACCATCAGGGCCGGTTTGATTCGAAAAAATGAACGATTTTGATGGAGAACAAATCTCGATTTGTATCCAACAATCCATTAAACCCATTTTTAATTTGAGTTTTTCCTCCGCCTTTGCCACAAATCGTCATAAATAACTGATTATTTCACAATTTTACATGTTTCTTTTCTGAAAAATGCCATTTTCACGAGATTTATCGCCGAAAAACAACCTTTTTTCGATTTATTCACGAGTTCATGATGAATCGCTCTTTTCCTCGACAAAGTACACCTTCTTTTTTTCGTTCCTCAATTATCAATTTTTAAGCAAAATCGCTGCAAGAGAGAACAAGTAACCTGAAAGTCGAGAGACCAAGAATGGCGAGCCAAAAACTTGATTCTGAGTTGCGAAAAAGTGGGAATATCGATGATGGATTTTTGGAATTGGAGCGGATTGAGAACCAAAGTTCAAAATCATGAATTTGTAATTGGAAAGTTCAAGTTTAATGAAGAGGGCTTAGGGTACTAGACCGGGCAATTATCTTTGATGAGATCTGTTTTTTATCGAACGATCTTTCTAACCTCCTTTTTTCTGCAAAAAAAGAGAAGAGGAAGCGATTTTTCGGGCTTAACCAATTTATAGAAGTGATTTTGTTGATCACGGGTTTGATTGGCTGGTAGGCCAAATACAGCAATCTTACTGGTCATCCTAAAATGCACATTTATTTATTGTTTTAGCCCCCATTTTGAACCCAAATAGCTTCAATCTGAAGACAAATTGAAACTTTTCTTAACACTCGAGAATAGAAATAAAGCATTTATAATTGATCTCATTTGTTTTGGAAAAGCTTTAATGCAACCTGCTGGCGACGGGGAAAGAATCTGTCATCAGCAGATTCAGGGTGCTCTTTTTCTTAACACTTGAGACTTTTTTTCGCCAAAGAAATAAATATTCAGAGTATTTTCAAAAGACTCCCTTCAAAAGGGCTTAGATAGGGAGATAGAAAAGGTAGAGAATACAAATCTTTGACGAAAAAAATACATATCAGTCGATAATTGGATTTATATGCAATAATCGTTGGTAGGGGCGTAATCTTAAACGAACGCATCGAATCAAACCGATTAAAAGGGATCAGGATTTATCAATGCATCGAGAAGATTGTCTTTCGCGCTAATGTCACGTCTCAGGATTTGGTTCAAGGATGAACTTACATGAAATCAGCCAAAAATAACACACATTTTTAAAATAAGGTTCTGAGATCTGACTGGCCTACCAAAGGAACGCAGACATCTGATTGACCCAAGTTTTGGTCGAAATTGTCGCATCTGTCATGAGCCAATAAAAAATTTCCGACAACCTTTGCGTTAAAATTTTCAACCAATCAGAAGCCTTGATTCGGCTGACCGGCCAATCAATTGCCGAGTAGCCTCCCACGCAAAATTTGTCGAAATTTTTGTCGGTCCCTGACGCCATCCTGAATAAACGGCTTGGCATTTCATTTTGGGTAGAATAAGGGTGTCATTATGATATTTTTATAGTAAAAAAATCAATTTATGACTGTGATCTCTTCCTTTCTATTCAATCGCAAAGTCTGAACCAAAAAACAGCAGCCAAGAAAACACGCCTGATCCAGTAAAAATCAACAGCACCTCTATCTCGCCTAATCCAAGTATAAGACACGCGTTCGTTCAATATTATCTTCCTCCGCAATATCTTACATTTCCGCGCCGCTAGAAGGTGCTGCTAGCGGCTAAAAATTGGCACTGGTTCCTTTTTTTTCAATCAAATCAAAGCGCCTCCGAAAATACAATTTTAGCATGAGTAATGATGAAGAAGAGGAATTCGTCTTCAGGTTTCAAAAATTGAAAATTCGAGCTTGAATTTGATTTTTCTAGCGATAAATACAGCCCGGAATTTATCGCGAATTTGCGGGAAAAATTTAAGGAACGCTGTAACAGACAAAATACAGGAACAATCGGATCAACCGAAGATTCAGTTGGAATTCTTGGAAAAATAACGGCCGGACTCCAGTCTGTCTCAGAGACAATAAATGATATCGTAAGCAAGAAAACGAGGATGGTGTCTGAAATCGACAAAAAAATTCGACAAATTTTGCGTGGGCGGCTACTCGGCTGCTGATTCGCCGGTTTTCGGAATTCAGGCTTCTGATTGGTTGAAAATTTCCACGTAAAATTTGTCGAAATCTTGTCGGACGAAACCGACGGTTCAAGACACCTCCCCAAAATAAGGTCTGACGAATGTTTTTAGAAAGATCAGCAGAAGACTTATGGTCTTGGAACACTCAAATTCAGCCTGGCTTATGATTTCGCTAGCTCGACGTTTATAGTGAAAATCATGAAAGCAGATAAACTCCCCGCTATGGACATTTCCGGCACCTCCGATCCTTACGTCAAAGTATGTCTTTCTCCAACCCCTTTTTCTGTTCATTCTAGAGGTATGCCTGCTTCCCGACAAGAAAAACAAGCTGGAAACAAAAGTGAGGAGGAAAACTCTCAACCCTCAGTGGAACGAAACTTTGGTCTTTCAAAGTAACCGAGGGCTGGTTTTCTCCGATGATTAATTTTAAGATTACCCCTATGAAAAGATTTCCCAGCGAGTCTTGTACCTTCAGATGATGGACTGGGATCGGTTTTCAAGAAATGATCCTATCGGCGAGGTAGGTCAAATGATTAATAATTTTCGGTTCATGTTTTTCATCTTAAATTAAGGTCTTCGTTCAACTGAATCGAATTCACCTATCATCAGACGCCCAAATCTTCACCGAGCCCCTCGCTCCCTGCACAGCTACAGTAATAGCCCCCCTTCTTCTCCATGATTTCTTTATATAAAATTCTCAGCAAAAACGCGGCCAGCTATTAATCTCGCTCATGTATGTCCCTCTTGAGGGCCGTCTCGTCCTGGGGATCATCAAAGGCTCAAACCTCCGCGCGATGGATCTCAACGGCTCATCTGGTGAGGATCAAGTCCCTTTTTTCGAATCATAATCAATCGTTTAAGATCCTTATACGAAGATATGGCTTCATCATCGAGGGCAAAGGATGGAGAAAAAGAAAACTGCTGTCAAGAAGAACACGCTGAACCCGGAGTTCAATGAGCAATTCGAGTTTTATATCCCAATGGAGAAGTTGAAGGACTATACGCTGGAAGTTATTGTGATGGATAAGGATAGAATCGGAAGAAACGAGTGTATCGGAAAGGTAGGAATATGTGGAGGAGCAGAAGTGATGTAGCACTCTGACGAGTCTGCCAAGTTTGACGAATTAAGGTCCGACCGGGCTATCGGTCGGGCACCCAAAAATAAACTGATTGGTTGAACCCTTTTGTCAGTTAGGGGTTAGGGTTAGGGGACAGTGACCACTAAATAGGGGTTCTGGCCCAGAACTTCTGGGGGTTGAACACACCTGAGTTAAGCCTAAGGAGGGGGGCGTTGGGGGGGGTAGCCCCCTGTGGCTAGGCCTTCGGGGGCAGCCCCCTAGATTAGCACTTATGGGGGAGGGAGTAGCCCCCTGGGTAAGGCTTAGAATAAGGGGCTGCCCGACCGATAACCCTACTATCTCGGAAGTGTTACCGTTATGTTGTTTCAGGTCATCCTCGGTCACAAGGGAAGCTCTTTGGAAAGACAACATTGGAGAGATATGATTTCAAGGTAAAGAAATAAATTTCTTCAATAAGCTGACGGGAGGGGTGTCCTTAAGCTAAGCCTCTCCTTAGGCCTTGCCAATCTCAGTTTTTTCAGTCCAAAGCTTCCGTCATCGCAATGGCACGTCCTCAAACTATCAAAATCAAACTGACCACAACTTCATTTTATCATAATATTTGTCCAATCTGTATGCCAAATAAAATCTTCTTTTTAATAAACGAATCGATTTTCAAATAACAACATTTATTGAACAGTTAGTATCGTTGATGTTTCTTTGGCTCGTTGGGGAGCTGTCACATGAGTAATTGTGAATGTTCGCTGTCACGTTGACGTTTATTATTGGCTGAAAAGAAAATTGAGGTGGATTTTGAACGATGAAAAAGTTAACCTGTAAATTTATCTCCTGATTTCCACTCGATCGACTCTGAATCGCCGGAATGAGCCCTTCGTCGGTAAGTACTTTGTCAAACGAAATTATTCGCGGTTTTTCGAAGCATTTGTTAAATTGACTGTGCGAGGGTGTGGATGAATGGCGCTTTTGATAAAGCTGACGGGTTTGGTAAGCCTTTGAATTTTCGTAAGCCTCGAGTCGGTGAGCATCGGATTTGTTGCCCGAGAGGACTTTGTGGATTTTGAAGAAGCCGAAGTAGACCAATGGGGAGACGCAAAAGTAAGAAACGACCAGGATTCTGAGATTTATATAATATATGTATTTTTCTTGAAAAGGCGCCTTTATGATTTCTGTATTCTGTTTCTAGAGTTCATAATAAGATAATTACTATTATATTTTTTATCCAAAAAATCTTTACCTTGAAACATAGAGGCAAATGTGCAAAATATGCTCCACCACCCAAAACGGCACTAGCTCCTTAACCACATCGAGAAGATAAAACGGCAAAAAGCAGATTGAATAAATCGCCGAATCCATCTTGTTGTATTTATGAAGTTTATGCTGAAGACAAAAATCATGAAAAAATTGAAAATATTTTCTTACGAAAAATTGCGCATCCTTTGCATTGACAGTTCGTCTCGGACCACTTTCTTGTCGAAGTCTTGCGTTTGTGATGACAGAGTTCAGGATCAAGCTAGGGTTAGCGTTAGTTTAGGGTTGGGTGGGGATAAGGGCTAAGGAAAAATACTATGGTGCAGAATATGTCGCGAATGTCACAAATGTCACGAATGTCACGAATTTCACGAAACTCACGAATCTATGTCTCAGTTAACGTGACATATACAGTCAAATCGTGACATTCGTGACAGATTCAGTACCGACTAAAATACGTACCTGACGATGATAGGAAAAACGAAGAGAAAAGCGAAGATGACAAAAGCATAGACATTTCGGGCTAAAAATAAATTTTCAAAGAATTTTAGGGCGTAGAAATCCTAATCATTCAACAAATCATGACTCTGATAGGCTGGGGGGACAAATAAATTCATTTAGTTGCAAAGTCCATGAGAGTGAAGTAGAGAAAGAAAAGAGAAGGGATTTTGAATTGCCGATTCAGAATTGGGCAGCTCTCCAGCGAGAGTCTTGCTCGCGAGCGCTACTCAGCGAGGGCCTGTATCACGGTGTGGTAGCTTGGCCAGGAGTTGGTGCTAGACTTTTGTCCCGATTCCCACTCTGATAGAAGACTAGAGAATCTGATTTACACTTGACGCATAACAGTACTTTGTCAATTTGCTGAAAAATGGTTCCGATCGTCGGACTATTAGTACGCTGACAAAAGCAAATAAAGGGCTTTTCTTCCGGGATAATCATTCTTTCGCACACCTCCCAATCGATCAGCTGGTGCATTTAGTACTAGAGATGACGCCTAGGAAAAGACGTTTTTGCGAAAACAAATGGTTTATTTGGATCAAAAAGCCTCTTTGGATTCTTTTTGTTCTGGGCTTCTTTCCTCATGGCATTATCAGGTTAGATAAAAGCTGTTTGAAATTATTGTCAAAAAAGTAGTTTACCAGCGGAATTCATAACGACTTCATTATTGCTGGAAAAATTAATTGACACCGAAGTGGGAGAAAACATATTTCTTGGCCCTGCTGATTATGGACACTTATTTTTGGCATTTTATGGGTTGATTATTTCAATATCCGCCTCCATTATTTTCGGCATTTATGATAATGAAACTGACAATGTAGGTCAGAGACAAAATCAACAAGGAGTCATTAATCAATTTTTCAGCTTTACGGAATTTTATGCAGATTGTATATTTTCTCATCTGCGGTATGCTTTGCTCTCCTTATCTACTATATTATCTACGTTTACGAGAGAAGTAAGTCACTTTAGAGAGTCATCCTAATTTTCCTCAAAAATAAAATTAAGCCAGAATGTACAAAGATCTGCGTGTAGCTTACGCTATTCTCTCGTCCCTCGAAAAAGAAATCGAAAAGCTTGGACCTCAAAAACAAGGCGACTTTGTCTTTGTAGAAAAAGAAAAAGCTCATCCAGGAGTAAATATAAACGATGAACGTGTTCAGAAGAAACTTATTGGATTTACTATCTATAAAAAATCCTTGGAGAAAGCATTATTTAAAGGTATGAAAATCGTATCATTAATTCATAAACCCTTTTAGCTCAATATTATTTCCTCGACGATCTGCGCAAGAAACTTATTGAATTGAGCGAAGATACAATTTGATCTCTGTAACAAAGAAACAAAAAAAATCTCATCAAAAAAACCTCAAAACCGGGCTTTTCGCAAATACCTGCAGTTATTGATGGTGACAAAGCTGGCATACACAGTCCGCAAATTTGATCGTGAAAGAAGAACAGCGGCGTTGCTACTGCGCAAGGAAATCCGACGATAAAGCATTTTACCAAAATTTTATTCGTGCTCGAGCTGAGAAATTTGCTTCTGTTTTTCTTGGTTCAGCAAGGTTTGGGTGAGAAGGAATTTAAAACTGGGTCAACCGAGTTCCTGAGAAAAGGCTTTTTGATTCCAAGGCATCTATCAGCCATCATTGCTACATTAGACATGATATTCACGCCAGAGCAGACGTAGACCTAAGGGATTTAAATCCACTGTGGTATAAGAAATCGGTCATTAGACCTACCCATAAATTTATAAATTTGCAACTGATGCGTGTTCCAAGATCAAATCCACCAAAAAAGAATAAAAAAAGCAAAAACCAAGAAAAAGAAGTCATTTTTTGAAGAGCCAATAAGATTGCTGTATTTGCCTACTGGCCAATCAAAACACTGATCCATAAAATCACTTCAATAAATTGGTTTAACCCTAAAAATGGCATAAACTAAGGATAGGAAGTGATTTTTTGAAGAGCCAATAAGATTGCTGCATTTGGCTTACCGGCTAATCAACACCCAGATCGATCAAATCACTTCCTTTTCTTGGTTCTGCCGATAAAAATGGAACACGGTCCTGAATCGTCCCCAAGTTGTTGTTTCCAACTGTGTTTCTCCGCTCAAAATCGTCAATATATCCCGCGATGTTTGAACGATCAAATAGCTGAGGGCGAAAATCGAATTGAGCTGCATCATACTTCTCGTCCAAGTTTTTCGGGAAGGGCGACAGTACATGATGAATAAAATCAGTCCGTGGCCGATGATTCCGCCGATTGAAATCAAACCGATAAGGATGGCGACGACCAGGTCGATTGGTTGAACCCTTAATTTTAATGAAAAAACAAGGGGAGAGCAGGTAAAACTTGAAGTTTTTCTCCCAGTTCTCGGTATCTTCGTGATTGTAGTCGGCATAATCGGCATAGTTTTGATAGCTGTATTGGTAGTATTGAGAGAAATAGGAGGCATTGTAGTCACTTCCAAATTCGTTGCCAAATTCGCCTAATGAAGGATAAGGGTTAGGGACCTTAACTTAGGGTTAAAGATTGAGTAAGACAAATTTTTGGGGTTAGGGTTACGGCTTGAGAACATGAGAAAAAATTTCAATAGATTTAACATTTTGAACCAATCAGAATCCTTGATGCAGCAAACCGGCCAATCAGGAGCCGAGTAGTCGCCCACGCAAAATTTGTCAAATTATTTTGTTGTTAGGGTTAGGGTTAGGGTTTTAGGACTCGAGAAAAAATTATTTAACCAATCAGAATCTACGATTAGGCTTACCGGCCAATCAGAAGCCGAGTAGCCGCCCACGCAAAATTTTTGTGGGTTTTTGACGCCACCCCAAATTTTTCAGGGTTTTTAAGGTGTCTTATTCCCAATCGCTTACCTGGATGATATAAAATATTGCACTCAAGGTCTTCAGGAGAATCGCTCATGATCTGATTTCTCTTCAGCTTTTTTACTTATGGCAAGTCAATAATTGACCTCTGGAGTGGACTTGGTAATAATTTCAAAATAAAAATCAATCGATGCTTAAACTTCTTATCACTCATTTATTAATCTTATGATCGGAGAATAATCGATAGCGATTCCTTTTTTGTTTTTAAAATTTTTATAAAAGCGAAGTAAAAGTCTTTGAAATCGCATGTTTTGGGAGAAAAGAAAAAGTTCGAGTATTGGGTTTATCTTTGATTTGAAACTGATCCGACAGATGAACGAACTATTTTTCGCAAATTTAAATCCGTTTCCAATATTGTTGTCCGAATAATAAAATGACGGGGGTTTGGCGGCTCGAATTCGCGAAAAATCGAGGCAAAATTACGATTTTTGAAATTATTTTTTTTACTGAAATCTGATTGGTCAACCAAGATCTCGAAATTTTTGCGGAAAATCTGATTGGTCGAAATTCGATCTTACTCCCCATATTTCATATAATAGCTATTTTTCAAAAAGTCCTTCCTTGATTTTCTAATTGTCACATGATTCGGATCTCTTCATTTTCGACGAAAAAAATCTTGAGATTATGTTTCTTATATCGGTTTCAGGTGGAATGATGTGCTCATATTGGAAGAGTGCTATTGCCTTAATAATGTTGGACAGATGACCACATATTTCGTATGAATTCGACCGCGGACTAATACTCTAACGCATTCACCTTAATATCACAGCACTCATCGTCCCGTCAAAAATAATCTAAAAAACTAGGCAAAAGTCAATTTCAGGAGTTAAGAAGACTTGGAGTAACAAAATCTGGAGCAACCGAAATTTTCAAACCGATTTTTAAGGTTGTTAAAGTCATAATTAAGGGTATCTGACTCGGTCAAAAGAAAGCCCGGGCCCAAAGCCGGGTTTTCGCCAGGGTTTGAGGGGGCCGGGAGGCCCTTAACATCCTTAAAAATCGGTTTGAAAATTTCGGTTGCTCCAGGTTTTGTTACTCCAAATCTTCTTAACTCCAAAAATTGTGTCGAGCCAAAAAACTACTTCGTTATATTCGCGCAGGTTTATGAGAAGTAGGATTGGAACGACAATTTTGAACTCTTGAAAAAACTTCTTGATAAGTCCAAGTTTCAAAAAAAAACTTGCATGAGAAAAAATCAGTCTGTCGACTCAACACTGGAACAAATTTACCACTCTCTATCATTCTGAAAATTAAATTTCTCAGAGAAAATGAAAATTTCGACTGTTCTCTTCGGAGTTACAGTAGGTGACTATTTTTGGACAGTTGAGGATCCAGCTGGAACCATCACATCAGTTGGCTATCCAGGGGGATATTCAAAGGTAAGAATTTATTGATCGATTCTGCATCAGAAAATCTCAGAGCGAGCAATGGAAATTCCGCGCCCCAGGGGCGGCAAAATACACTTTCATCTTTGAAGACATCGATCTTCATCCCGATTGCAACAGCTACGTGAATGTCTATGACGGCGGCTACACTCCTCGTTGGACGCTTTGCGACTCTGACACTGGAAAAGTCATCACAGTCAATCACTATCGGCCGGAAATTTATCTGCAGAAGGGATATGGATACATTCCGCCAGAGAAAAGAGGGCTCAAATTTAGCTTTTACATCAATGATGAGTACGTTTCGACGACAACGACGACTACGGAAGGAACAACGATCACCTACACGACAGGTATGTTTATTGTTCAAATTCTTTCTCAATCGATAAGGCGACTCAACTACTATCGACTCAACCACAACTCCCATTTCACCATCCTCAACTGAATCCACAACAAGCACGACAACCGAGAGCACCACTTCCCCGCCTCCAACAGACACCACATCCACAGAATCATCCACAACCACTATGACCACCGCTTCTGCCGTTCCAGATCATACCAATATCGCTGGATACCCAACACCTCCGCCTTACCCAGCTCCTGGATCAGGCAACTTTCCCCCCGGAGATTTGACCGCGGACGAAAGCTGCGGAAACTCAGTTTTTGAGCCGGTCATTCAAGGATTCGACTATGTTGCTCAAGGTAAAGCTGACCTTTTCCACCAGAAATCATTTTTAAGATCGTTATGTCCGAAACGGAGAAGAAGGAAGATCCTCATTTTTCTCAAACGACCGCGTCGTCAACGGAGAAGAAGCCGTCCCCCACTCCTTCCCCTGGCAGGCTGGAATCGGAACGCAATACAATTTCTACTGTGGCGGCACTGTTGTTGCGCCAAATTGGGTGGCAACTGCTGCTCATTGCGGAGAACTGGTATTTATTGGCTCTTACTCGAGTGATATCGCTGTTGCTGGAGCACATGATTATCGAAACGATAAGACGAACCAGCAAAGTCAGGAGATCAAGGAAGTGTTCATGAATCCAAACTGGGAGAAGAGAGGCAAACAACAAGGAAGGATTTTTCAATGCATTTTTGAGCGCGATTTCTAGAGCTTTGATAAATCCGTTGAAAGATGTGTGCATGCTCAAATTGAAAGGCTCCTTCACATTCAACGACTACGTCCAGCCCGCTTGTCTTGCCCACAAGGACTGGTCTCTCCCAGATGGATTCCTGTGCGTCGTTTCTGGCTGGGGCATGACCTCGGAATCATCCTCCGGCGCTGGCTCCCCGGTTCTTCGACAAGCAGCGTTGAACTACATGAACGATGATGACTGCCACAAGCTGTACAAGGAAGGCAACGGACTTGAGACCTCTGGTGACATGCAATGCTTCGGAACACGGCCACGTAGGTTCTTTTCTTCAATCAAATTACAGTAAATTCTCAGTGAATCCACCAAAACAAGGCGCCTGCAATGGCGACTCCGGCGGGCCGCTTCACTGCTTCATCCACGGAAAATGGTACTACTCCGGCATCGTATCCTTCGGAGCTTCCAAGTGTGATACTAACATCGCTTCCGTCTACGGAAAAGTCTACAACTACAAGATTCATGACTACATTCTCGATACAATGGCGCAAAATCCCTGAAAAGAAAAAAATAATTTGAAGAGGCAAAATGTTCTAAGATGATAAAATTTTTATTTTATACTAAGAAAGGCCGAGTCAAAGATCAGAAGGTTTTCTGCTATAAACTCTTGTACAGCTTATATTTTTATCAAGCATCGTCGTCGTCAGGTGTAGTTTAGAATCTATCATTTGAATGTTTGTTTGCGTTGTCCCTTCATGACCTCCCTAAAAATGATCAAAAATCAGGATAAAATCGATGTCCTTACCTTTGTTTTAGCAATAATATCATTGAAGCCAGGCCTGAACTCGGCAACAGACACGACTTGATCGCCAGTCGGACTTTTGTGCTGATAAGGCTGGTCGAATCGAAGAGGAAATTTCATTGGCGGCCCGATGGTCAGATAAAAGGTGGACTGGTAGACATTGGGCTCGATCTTGTTGTACTCAATGTCGCATTTCATCTTTTTCGCGAACATTTTGTAGAAGATGCTTCCTCCCTCGGCGTCAATGTATTCGGCAACACCAGTGGAGGATTCTTCTTGCCAGCGGCCGAGGAAATTGTTGAGCAGCTAGTAGAATAGACTGATAATTCAAAAAGAGACACAGAGATTAATTATATAACTTGTCAAAAGAGTCAATCCTTCGAGAAAAGACGGAGCAATAAATCACGATTCATGAGGTGCTCCTTAGATTAAGACTTGGTTCTTGGTTCCGGAAATAATAAATTTCTCCCTCACACCTCTTTAAAAAAAGCCTTTAACAAATATCAACCTTTGAACTCTCCTTCAGAAAAAAGTCTCTTTTGAAAGCTAGTTATATAACTTGTGACTTACGGTTTTTTCTTGGGGCATTTCCGTCGTTTCTTCTTTTCGATTCCTCTCTTCCAAAATGATGATTTCCTCGACTTCGACTTTTAAAACTGACTCGTCGATTTTTGGTCTGCTGCTTTTTCCGGGTTTTGTTTCAGTCGTCACTGCGCCGCCGATGAGCAAAAGTGCGAAAATCGCCAAAAAGCCGAAAAGAAATTTTAAAAGAAGCGTTTTCGTGTCTCTTGATGCTCGATTCGAATTCGCGCGGCGGGATTTGTCGGTCAGCTGGCTTTCCTTTCATTTGGTTCCAAGCCAGAAAGTTTTGCTAAAGGGATTATCGAGGCACCGGTTAATTTCAAGCTTGATGATTATAGCGTCCTAACACTAGGTCATGTGAAAAACCAGGTTAATATTGCTAAGACGAACTAAATTCAGGTGTTAAAAACGGATTTCAAGTTGAAGGCGACACCTTAGTTTTCAATTTATAATTTTTCTTTAAGAAAGGGGGCAATTTTCCAACGAGTAAATCCAAAAATTGGCCGATCTCTTTGACCAACCGAATTCCATTTTAACGCCGGAACGCATATACGACCCATTTTTGGGTAATACGATTTTGTTCATCAAAAAACCCATATTTTATTTGTTATACGTATATAATATGACCACGCTCAAGTTATATTTTTGTAGCTTAGAGTCCGTTTATCATATATAAACCCGGATTTTTATTCTCTTTATGCCCAAATCGCGACAATATTGGGTTAAAAAATGGTCAGAAATTGGCAAAAATGGCCATGCGTTCCGGGGTTAAATAAAGGGGGTGGCGTCAGGAACCGACAAAAAAATTCGACAAATTTTGCGTGGGCGGCTAGTCGGCAGCTGAGCCGAATCCAGAGTTTTGATTGGCAGAAAATTTCCACGCAAAATTTGTGGAAATTTTTCAGTCGGTTCCTGACACCCCCGAAGAAAGAACCCCTTTTCTACTGAGAAGATTTGAAGTTTTTTTGATCGAAGAAAATAAGACAGTGACAACTGAAAAAATAAGTTTAATTTATTTCTTCTGGAACCTTTCCTGATCAAAAGTCTTCAGAAATTCCTCTCTTGAGTCTCTACTTCCTTCTATTGACATTTCTTTCTTCTTTTTTTTTTAGTTTGTTTATCAAAAAAGTTAAAGCGGAAACTGCCTTTTTCTCTGCGCTTGTGTATTTTTCAGTTCACAAGTGGGGTCAACTGAAACCGTATTTTTTCCTCAGCACGGTTGATAAAAATCGAGCTCAGCAAGGGAGCACTCGAGTTTATTATATCGAGGGCGCCAGAGATCGTAAACGCGCGGTTCAGCGTCGCGATATTGAACTAGAATAGCTTTGAAAACTTTCCCTATCTGGAATTCTTATGTTAGGATTGCATCTCAATGATTCTCCTGAAAAAAACTGGACCTTCGCAAACAAAAGCATTAAAATCTTTCGCAAACTATTTTCACACCTGCAACAGAAAAGTTTGTCCGCGAATAACAATTGTAAATAATTTCGTAAACACTCTCTTTGAAAATTTTCGGCGCGTTGAGATTTTGCTTGAGCTGTCGCTTTTCTTATTTCTCATGGAAGGATGCAATAAGCCAGGCTCCAAGATCTGAAAAACTTAATCAGAAGTGATGCCCGGGTCGAAAAATCAGTTTCATTATTAAGGTTCCCCCCCCGTCAGCTCTTTCCTTCAAAAATGGAAATATTCAAAAACACATTATTTTTGGTTCTTAACGCGTCCTCAGGTTAAACTTGCTTCAGAAACTTGTTAGGAGGAATATTTGACCAAGAAAGATCAATATTTTTGCCAAAATTAGGGCAAATTCGTCAATTTTCGGCGAAAAATCCAATTTTCAAATGCAATTTTGGTAAAGAAATAGTCGAAATAGACCACAAAAAATGAAGCCTTAAAATCGTTTTTGACCCGTAGAATCCATTTCCGGGGTCAAAATTTTATAATCCCGAAACAAGATTATTCGAAAAAAGCTGACGGGGGTCCTTAATAATTATTGATTATTATTTTTCTGCTCAAAATTTAATTCAAACGATTATTCCTTCGGGACCCCCGCCCCTTCAGCTTTTTTCGAAAAATCAAATTTCGGAATTTTAGAATTTTGACCCTGGGGTCTATCTCGCTTCTAACACCCCCAATATCGTATTCGAAAATTGGACTTTTCGCTAAAAATTGACGAATTTGCCCTTATTTTGGCATAAATATTGATTTTTCTTGATCAAAAATTCCTCTTATCAAGATTATGAGTTTTTAAACAATGGTCTAAATTTATTATTTTTATTTTGGTTCTTTGTTATCATTAAATCAAATCTGATTTCCTAACAGATAGTTATTTGGGATAATTTATTTCCTTTCATTTGAACATAACTTATGTTACATAAGGTATAAAATTCAAGTTCTGATTGGAAATGGACCACTTCAAATGGTAAAAGCGTTCAAAAAATTATTACGTAAGCGAGGAAAGGGTCAGACAGGTATAACTTGATCGATGGTGCCTTTAATGATACCGGTCTGAAACCCAAGAATTTATCAGACTCACGTGCGGTTTGGGGGCATTTGAATGCAATATCTACCTCAGTACTTCAGTAGGGAGTAAAAATGTGTTTGGAAGTAGAAAATCAATCTTGAGGGCGATAAGAAAAACTGATTATTCTCTTCTTTCGACTCGGGGAGAGATTTCTTATCTTGATAAGATGTTGAATTTTTCCGTATTTTTTCAAGAGACTTAGTCATATCTTCAAGTTGAATCGTATTTTGTCGTCTAAAATGACGATAAATAGAATTATGCTTATCCATGTAACATGTTCTTGGCAAGCAGCCAGAATTCTGTAAAAAAGGTTGAAGTGTTTAAAGTCTACCAGGAAGCCCCAAACAGTTCTTATCTTACCACCAGACCACGTGGTTGGTCATTCCCGTTGCGCTGTTCTGACGTAACAACATCTGAAGCTCAATCATCTTGGATTTAAATCTTCATTTCATGCACCAGTGGCTTCGATAATGTTTTGACAGGTTTTGAGTTCATAGGCTGTTTTTTTCAAAGATCTGGTAATCGGATTAAATCGCATTCGACACCTTCATTTTCGACAAGAAAGAAAAAAGGCAGAATGGAATATTCAAAAACTTACGTGATCGTTGATGAACCAAGAAAATAGTTTTCGACCCGACGCGCACCTTTTTTCGTCAGTACCTGATTTAAAATGCTTTAGCCAGAATGGCTTTACAATATGATTCTCCAATCCGCTCAAAAATTTATAATCACAGAGCTCACTCACTGTCAATTATCAATTCAAGAAGCTATATGTCTCGAATCAATTTGAGAAAAAGTCGTTTTTAGTGAAGAAAAAGGTAAAAAAGGGTAAAAAGGCGTTGTTCTTATTCGTAAAAAAACTCGTAAAGTATTATATAATTTTTTCATCAAAAAAAAAAAAAGTTCAAAAAAGAAATGTCTCTCCGCGGCAGATATCGTTAATTTTTATCGTCAATCAAATCAAAGCGCACCTGAACATTGCTGATTTTATTGACCTTGAGTACCACGGCCCAGCTTTCGTCGTTGAGCCTAATTAATAAAACTCATGACAATTATACGATAACACTCCTTTCCGGGTGAAATAAAAACATCCAAGGGTTTATGACGGTTCAATCTTACCTAACAACATCAACAGAAAAAATATTAAATTTTATAAATTTATTTAAAATGTCGCCAAATGTCGCTGAATGTCACGGAATGTCGTCGAGTTATATCAAAAAAAGAAAACAATAAAATGTCTCAAGGCCAATAGTAATTTTCAGAAACCAATTTCAAGCCCGTATTCACAATATCCTGTTATGACAGAGAAGGGATGACACTTTTAATGTCGCCGAATGTCATCGAATGTCGTCGAATGTCGTCGAATGTCGTCGAATGTCGCCATTTTTGCTTTTTATTTAACAAAATTAGGTGACATTCGATGACATTTGGGGATATTCGACGACATTCAGCCACATTCGGCGACATTCAGCGACATTCGGCGACATTCGGCGACATTCTTCGACATAATTAGTATTACCTCTTTTTTGCCATTGAAGGATATCATGAATACGGGCTAACGATTGGTTCCTGAAAGCTCTTATCGGCCTTGAGACAGCCGAGGGTTCAGCAAGAAATGTGCTTATCTAGTAGTTAACTGTGAGGTTTTGTCTTGTACAAAAAAGACGGAGCGGGCAAAAAGCCGCAGAATATGCGCTCAGTGTTGAATATTAAAAGAATGATGGCATATTAATTGGCCCCTGTTTGTGGCGGGGCTTCGAAATAATTCTGTTTACAGAACCATTCTGTAGAAAACAGAACTATTCTGTTTTAGTAAAATCAAAGAATGGGTGTGCGCTTCGCGCCTGTTTTTCAGAAATCTCCAGAATGGAGAGTATCATGTTTTTTGACACTCTCTTTATATTTTTACCGCCGCAGTTACCCATTTCGGGCAACAATCATGCCTTATTTAAGTTTTGTTAAAACAGAATAGTTCTGTCAAACAGAATGGTTCTGTCAACAGAATTATTTCGAAGGCCGGCCCCTGTTTGTTGTATTTCGCTCAAAAACAACCTTGAAAAAGCCGTCAAAAGAATAATTTAGGGCGAAAAGGACGAAATTGGAATAAGAGAGGGAGAAGAGGAAAAATGGAAGGATGCCTTATTACTATGAAGATCATATGGATCATCTGGCGATGTTGATGATTTTTCCCGTTGTTTTGATTGTTCTGCTTCTTACAGGAAAGAGACATGAGAAAATGTTTAGGGGCTATGGTTAGGTTTAGGGTTGGGTAAGGATAAGGGTTAGGGTTAGCCATATCCGGTTAGGGTGGGCGGATTTTTCATTCTCAAAAAAGGTTGCTTCTTTGGTTCATCGAAAATTCTCCAACGAAAAAGCCCTCCTTTCGAAAAATTCGAGTCGAGTCACTGCTGAAGAATCAAAATCTTTCCCGATCAGAAGATTTTCTGGGAAGGAAAGTTGAGTTCGTTGATCCAACCTTATTCTCATCGCCAGACACCTTTCGTTGTTTGAAGTGTGAAAAAATTGACGATTCTTATCGCTTTATTGCCTGTTATAAAACCGCAGCATCCGCGGCAGACTTGGAAATTCTCAGCAAGTCATCTAAGGTTGCTCTTACATAATACCTACCGATGGGGTGTTGGATAGCGGAAAAAATCTCATCGGAGCCTGGGTTGGGCTTGTAAGGCTAGTTACCAGACATCCCACTGACGGGCGCTCTGATTCGTCCGTTTAATTTTTCTCGAATTTTCCATAAGACTCACGTAACCCGTTTTTCCAACATCTGACGAATCAGAGCGCCGACCAAGAAAATGTGTGGTAACTGGCCTCACTAGCCTAACTCAGGCCCGCTTGAGATAGGCACTCTGATTCGCCACAGCGCTCTGATGGAAATGGGGTTCTCCGCTTTGTGTTGGTGCTAAAAACTCGCAGTGGCCAAGTACAGGCAGGTGTCAAGCTGTGCAAATAGGATGCAACGGGCACACCAACACGCGCAGCCTGCTGCGATGTCCTGCAGAGACTGGTCCTAGCACCAATTTCGAGCAACGCTCGGTGTGAGATGGCTTCAAAATCAGCAAGCTTAGCCGAGGATAAGCTCAAAAGTGAATTTGTAAAATAATAAAAAATTGGAATTTCATAAAACTTTGTAGAGTAATTTTTTGTAGATTTTAATTCTGAGACCGAAAATATATTTATCTGACCATAGGCTTTGGTCCATAGGCTATGGAACATAGCTCACCTAGCCTGCCCTTGACAAGAAAGTTCGGGTACCAATTGGTATTGTCTGCTCAAAATATAGTCCAGAAATAGTCTCAAAATGTGCTAAGGCAAAAAGAGCAGATTATAGATAGCGATTCCGATTCTTATATTTTTCGATTCTCATAACTTTATTATGACCAAGGGAATCTAGATTTTTTTATGAAGATGATTTTGGGCTTGATAATCGAAATCTCCGTAATAGGGCGAGATTTCATAAAAATTCAATTTTTATTCTTCTATATCTTCATTTTTAACCGGCTGAGCTTGATCCGAGTTTGCAGATCAGTTCCCCTTGTTTGTGTTAACTTTTGCTCAATCCATCTCACACCGAGCCTTGCTCAGTGTTGGTGCTAGGAGCAGTCTCTGCGGGACTTCGCAGTGGGTGGCACATGTCGGTGAACTCCTTGCATCCTATTTGCACAGCTTGACACCTTGCCCGTACCTGGCCACTGTGAGTTTTTAGCACCAACACAAAGCGGAGTGAGCCATGGAAATTCCGCTATCAAACACCCCATCAGTAGTAGCTAAAAGAGACGAAATTCATCCTCTCTTTTTTTCTAAAAAACGGTCTCTTTCGAATAATAGAGCCTTAATTTTAGCAATTTTATGAAACAATCTTGACCAAAAGAATTTTCTTGAGAATCTTTGAAGATTCAAATCGGAATCAGCTGTATACTGAATAGTTCGAATAAAAAGGCGCTGCATTGTGATTATTTTGTCGTTTTGATTGTGTCTTCAGCACTTTGCATTGTCTCCGGCTGGCGTCGTTATAGAAACTTCCTAAGGGCGACACCTCAATTCAGAGTGCTCCTCCCGAAGCCACGTTCCACGGTCATTAGAAGATACGAAAATACACACAACTTCGACTCAGACTGTAATCATCCACCTGAGAGATCCTGCGCGAAAAAAACGAAGAGGTTCAATTCCAGGTTTGCCAAAAAGTCATATTTCATATTCATGAGCTAATAGCTATCCATTTGTTAACTTATTCGAATAAACTGTCAAACAGACTGTTTTTGATCAACTTGACTGAACCATTTTCTAAAAGTTGAATTAGAACCATTATCTTGGGGAAAATAAGGGGGAGGGGTCATGAACCGACAAAAGTTTCGACAAATTTTGTGTGGAAATTTCAACCAATAAGAAGCCTTAATTTGACCATTCGGCCAATCAGCAGCCGAGTAGCCGCCCACGCAATATTTGTCGAATTTTTTTTGTTGGTTTCCGACGCTACCCCGAAATAAGGAGGTGTCGATAAATTTCAAATTCGATAAGGGTATCATCATTTTTTGGATATTTCCATCACAATTTTAGGAATAAAGCATGGCAGTGGCACAGCGACATAAATCATTTCCACTCATCACTCCGACAAACAACCGTTATTTGGCTTTCAAGTGGGACAGGAAAGAGTTCATTCTAAATGTCTGGAGTCGAGACTTTCACAACCTTGTTTCTCAAGTTTATTTTAGTTGATCAAGGTTCAAATTCAATTTTTGACATGTTATTTTTGGCGCTGACGGCTGCCGCATAATCTCGTTTTCGACCAAGTTTTCAAACAAAATGATAATTTGATGTAGTAGACCCTTCTAGAAGCCATTCATTTTAACGCAAAAATCTGAGGGAAAAATGCATTATGGAAAAATCCTTATCGCTCCCATTTTCTATCACTCGGCAAATAAGATTGATTGACAAACTTTGACGCTCCGTATCAAAAGTACATAAAGAAATGCTTAGAAAAGAACAGGAAATATTTGATATTGACTCTGTTGAAAGCCACAAATACGATGTCCACAGGAATAGAATCGCCAATATTCGATCGACTGTCGATACCAGACCGCCAGTAACTGCAAGGAAATGCTTGAAATTAATTCATTTATGAGTTTAATCGGGTTCACGTAACAGTAAGGGTATCACCGATTAAGAGGGCAACCTCCCTTATTTTGGGGACACTGACTATGTCGCCAAATGTCGCCGAATATTGCTGAATGTCGCCAAATGTCGCTAAATGTGGCCGAATGTCGCCGTATATAGCCGAAGATCCCTGAATGTCGCTCAATGTATCCAAATACCGCCGAATGTCGCTGATTAACGCCAAATATCGCCGAATATCGCCGAATATCGCCGAATGTCGCTGAATGTTTCCGAATGTCGCTGATTTTCGCCGGATGTCGCCTAATGTCGCTAAATAATGCCGAATGTCGCTGAATACCGCCGAATGTCGCCGGATGTTGCTGAATGTCCCTGAATACCGCCGAATGTCGCCGGATGTTGCTGAATGTCCCTGAATGTCGCGGAATGTCGCAGTACACAGTCAGTGTCCCCCTTTTTTTATCTTTTTGAGCATCTTAAAGAACTATTCCTCCAACAGCTCCTTCTCGAAAAAGTCGAATTTCTCGGTGAGATTTTTTTCTTCTAAGTTGCAATAACAAACTTGGATTTTAGCGAGCGAAATTCTCAGATCGAGAACGAAAACGTCAAACTTCTGAAGAAAATGGTGCGCATCAACGAGACAGGAGGACGCGTGGACAATCGCAATCAGAATCAGTTCTCACGGAGCTTGAACTCGTGGAAACGCAAACAGGAACTTGATAGAATCGAAAGAGAAAATATCTCTATTCTCAAAAGAATCGGTACTTTTCTCTTCCAACCGCTTATCTTCATTTTTTTTAGCCTTACGGGAGCCAGAATACGATCAACGATTGTTCGAAGAAGATTGGCTTGTTCATGACCAACTTTCTGCAGCTGTAGCGAGGTAAGCAGTGAGATACCCTTATTTCGCTTAAAATCGTTCAGGTACCCGAGAAGATGGTGGGAGTTCCCGAAAAAATCTGCACCTGATCTTGATCGTCCAAACACAGGTGCAAAACTGCTTATTTAACAAATCAACGTAGAAATTCCAAAATAAGGAAGTCACTTCCTTATTATTATTTTTAGAAAGAAAATTAAAAAAGCTTCCACAAATAGTAAGAGGTTTCGTTTTTGGGTGAACGGTGATGGGATCAGAAAAATAATCATCAAGTAGGAATCCTTGACTGCATTTGTTTTTACAGTAGCTTGGGAGAGTAGACAGGCCATGACGTAATCAAAAAATATAACGTCGAGGAAAACGATATTTCGGCGACTGTATGATTGATACTTTGAAAACCTGACATATTGGAAACAATCAGCAAAGTTCAAATTTTTGTATCTCCTAACTTTCGAGTCGAAAGTATTGCGCAAGAGGCTCAACTCATGACGGACTTTTATGACCTCCGGAAGCTTATGTATGTAAGTCAAGATGCGGGCACTTGACCACATCAAGTTTTAAGAAGATAAGGATGTTTTTCTTTTTGCTCGTGAAAGCTCATTTCTGCTCGCCAACGCCCCCTCCTTTCGTTGCGCAAGGTTTTGCAACCGTTTTTCTCCATTCTAGAGAGTTCTTCTGTAGAAGCACGGTAAAGCTGACAGAATTTCTTTCAGGAAGCCATACATACATGCGTCGACGAAGAAGCCAGTCAACTTCCAGCTCCCGTCCGAACACATCCGCCAAATCCCGTTGAGCAAACTCCACAGTTCGTCACCAGTCAACTTTTCAATCGCACTCCTTATATACTGTACATTTAGTCATCTCCGAAACCATAGCTTCAAATACAAGTATATCGTTTTCAAATCAAAAACTGCCTCATCAAATTTATTTATTAAACTTTGATAGAAATAGAACTTCCATAGCGATCAGAGAAAATTGATGATTTGGGTCGCTGGGCTGTGGGCATATATTTTTTCATTCGATTTTGTCGCTCAAGCTGGTCTTTTTTCAAACGAGCGGTTCTTTCCAATTCGACTCGGCGGATTCGATCTGAAATTTTAATGAATAAGGGAGTCATCCTCTTAAATGAAAAACCTTTTTCGTATTCGGTGATAGGAATCGCGCTCTTGGAACTTTTTCTTCCGACGACATTATTGACCGCATTGTAGTTTTCGTACTGTTTCAGGATCAGCGGCTTTTCCGGCATTCGTTCGCAATTGAAAGCGCTTTTGGTTCGCCAACGAACAGATGTCGTTTTTGGTCGCTTGACCATTGGTGGTCGCCGACTGGAGAGACTCGACGATGTTCTGTAGGACGTCTGGGTCGTATGGCATCTAAGATCTTGGTTGTTTTTTTCAGAGAGCTGTTAAACTAACCTGATGATAGGATCGACTGCTGTTTTGTCAGAAATCGTCGATCGAGTAGATTTCGCCGACGTTTTTCTGCTGATTGCCAATTCTGATGCTTGCGATTCCGTCAAAGAAACTACAGAAGAAACGGCGGACTGAACAAAAGTCTAGAAAACGACCCACTTTCCCGCCAAAAACCTGAACTCTGGACGCGACAGGAGTTGGTTCATTTTTGTCTTCTTCCTTGATTTCAATTTTGGGCGGCTGCTCAGAAATGGCGGTATCGGTAGCATCGGAATGGCCCTCATTATCATGATCTTCTACGTCAAATATATCGACTTCTACGTCATCATCGTTGTTGACAGTGACTTTGTCGACGTCGAAGATTGCTTTTGACAGCTTCATAGTTTCTTCATGCAGCCTCTAGAATTGTGTCTTGAATATCAATTTTTTTGTCAAATTATCAATTACACGATGTACGCGATATTCTTCGTTCTATGGTTTGATTTTCTGTTATCAAATGAAAGTACTCAAAAAAAAGATTAATTTTGAAAAAAAAATCTTTTTCTTATTGCTAGGCATTTTTAGAGCTCTTTTTGACTTGTTAAATATTGATCTAGAAAAAACAGGCGCCGAATGAAAAGAAACCCGCGCTTCCTCCATGGAGACAGAAGTACGTCACTATTGACAATTGGACTTCCGTATCGTTGATAAGAATATTAAGCGATGTACTTTACGGGTCAATCAAATCCATCAAGAGTCCAATTTTTAAAAAGCCCTTGTCCTTCTCTGCCCTCATTTTTTTTTACCTGGTAGGAGAGCTCTGGGTAACTAGCAGTCGCCAAAAGGGTTGAAACTGGCGGTCGATTTTCGTTGCCAAAATAACTCGATTCTCTGAAATCCAAGGTCGAAAATGAACAATCGATTCGATAATGACGTATCCAAATGGACATTAAACAAATGTCAAGGAAATTTGGCGACCTTCACCTTTGAGAAAGATTTTGATAGAAGTCCATGGGAGGATTGTTGTTTCGCCAGCCGCCGGAAAGTTGACGAGTTGCTTTCTTGAAATCGGTGACCATTTCTTTTGTGATTTGTCGGGTATCAATGTGGATCAGTTTCGGCTTAAAAATATTTTTAGTTGGGGGATTCAAGTATTGGGAAAATTTTTAAGGGCCTCACCTCCGGTTTCACGAATTTTTCTCAATCGGAGGTCAAATAACGAAAAAAAAATCGACTTTTTATGATTAAAAAAATTAGTCAGGGTTAGGGTTAAGGTAAAGAAAAGGAAATTATTTTATATGGTAGGAACCGACCGAATTTCGACAAATTTTGCGTGGAAAAATTTTCAACCAATCAGAAACCTCGATTCGGCCAATCGCCCTTACCAGCCAATCAGCAGCCTAGAAGCTGCCTACGCGAAATTTGTCGAAATTTTTTGACGGTCCCTGAAGTCTCACTAATTTTTTTGGATAATCCTTGATTCTAGAGCCTAGAACTAAGGATTAGGGTTTAGGTTGGATTTTGATAAATTGACCCAAACTGGTTCAAGTTTTGCTGCGACGGACTGGCGCCTGTGCTCAGAAATGGGTTAAATTTCCACCGAAAATCCTTTTCTCAAGAATATTTTACAATTTTAACCCTAGAAACTAATCTCGCTCCAGTTCTTTTCGGGGCATCTTGGATCATTCCCTGCTGGAAACTTTTAACACCCCGGGCTCGCAAAACCATATCTCGGAAAACATTTGATTTGGCATTTTTCTCTTTCAAATTTTTAAAAGACATTTTTTTTTCTCGATGCGGGAAATTCAAGAGGGGGCGTCGACGTGAAGAAAAAAGAACTAACCTCGTTACTTTGTCCATTCTTTTGTTGCTCCTTCCATCGCTTATACCTCGCACTTTCTCTTCTATATCTCACCTGGCCCACTGGCCTGAGCCGATCTTTGTCCAAAGTTTCATTGTAGATTTTTATCTGATCGTCGAAATTTTTCTTTAGGTCCAGGACGAATTCTTGCTTTCGCTGGGCAATTTCGCGCTCTTTTTCCCGCTTCTCGTAATCTAATTTTTTGATGAGTTTTTTCGTCCTTTCGCGCGAGAACATTTTTTGATAATTTATAGATTTGGATGAATGACAGGCCTAGAGCGATTTCGGAAGCAAGAGCATAAGTAAATAACCAGCTCAATTTGCGGCGGCAAGAATAATCAGAAAATGTCACGATTCCTAGATAGCCCTCTGTTTACTTCTCAATTCTATTTCAACAAACGTTTTGTGGTGATTTTTAAGGACCCCCCGTCAGCTTTTTGTTTCGAAAGACGGAAATTTTTAAAAATACCATATTTTTGGTTCTTAATGGGTCCTCAGGTTAAACTTGCTTCAAATTCTTGTTAAGAGGACTTTTTGACCAAGAAAAATCAATATTTTTGCCAAAATTAGGGCAGATTCGTCAATTTTCGGCGAAAAGTCCAATTTTCAATTGAGATTTTGGGGTTGAAGGAGTCGAGATAGACCCCTAAAAAATAAAGCCTCAAAATCGTTTTTTGACCCGTTGAATCCATTTGCGGGGTCAGAATTTTAAAATTCCGAAATTTGATTTTCGAAAAAAGCTGACGGGGAGGTCCTTTAACCATATGAAAACCATAAAAATCATTTAAATCGAATGAGACTGCAATTTATAAAAATAAGCAATTTGAGAAATTTTATCAATTTAAACAATTTGTTTCGGACTTTGAACTTCTTTCGTCAATATTGCTGCCTTTAGATTTGAAATCCGCCCCCTCGATAAACCCCGGGTAGAGCTCATGGCAGCTCAGGATATGATCGAGGTACCCCTAATTAGATCTTATGATCATATTTTTTCTTAGTTACCTAATCGAAGATTCGTCTTCTCAATTGTCAATTTGTCCTCTTCCTTGATTCTTGCCTCCCTCTTTGTCGCATAAATTTCTCGCTCAATTATGTTGTTTCGCTTTTGAAAAATCTTCTTTTCCGAATCAACCGCCGAAGCTCCTAATTTTGGTGAGTAAAATTCGATCATTTAGCGAAGAAGAGAAAACTGAAAACAGTTACAGTCAGATTTTGCGGGCGGAAATACTTAAGTCCGGAGTTATCGCTTTATGGAGAAGGTGAGTCAATATGAAGATGGAAATGAAGACATCTTACTGACGCCAAGCTACTGTAAGAAGCAAAAAAGCCGTTCGAAATCATGAAAAATTACCAATATCATCTGCAAACCCCATTTTCTCTCTTCAAAAATCGAGTGAAAAAGTTAGTTTCTCAATACAAAATTTACTCTGGCTCAAGAATCAAGAATGGCCAGCTGAAATCTCAAGGAGCGGCTTTTCTTTGTCCCGGGGAAGGTGCGTATTCACCCAGCTCATCCAGACCGGATTATTCCACGACAGAAGGATTTCCGCTAGAATTAAAGAACGCTTTTCAGATTTGACTCAAAAGAGTCATGAATCTGCCGCAAAAATAGATTCTTTTCTCTTTCCTCCTATGGCCTTACCTTAGTCAGATTCTAAAGAGCCTAAATCAAAAGCCGCGTAGCGGCTTTTTCAATATTTTAGCCGCGGAGCAGCTTCGTAAAATAACCCTTTCAATCTGTTTACAAATTTTTGCAAAGCGATTTTTTTGCGGCTTTTTTTAAAGCCGACTTTACCGCCTTCGCGGCTTCCAAATCAGGCTCATCAGAGCCTGACTCAGGTTTTTTACACAGATTGCGGAGCCGGGACCCTTTTGAAAGAGCTTTCGGACCCCTTTATCGTCTTAATTTCTTACTGATTTGAGTCGTCGTCTGAGCCTTCAACTTCATCTTCGAGGGGTTGAAAATCTCTTTGGCCGTTTGTTGCAGCATTCTCAAATACTTTCGTCTTCTTGCTCTGTACTCGTTGGATTTTTGGTAAGCTGGAATAATTTTATTAACTGATGATGGCATTTTCTTTGCGGAACGGTCTGTTTGACTAGGAACCACAAATTTCACACTGATAGTCATTCTTTTTTTGCTTCTGAAAAAATCAAATTTATTTTCTCTTCAAAAATATTAAAAAAAAATCAGCAAAAATTTTCTTTGATAAGCGAAAATCTTGCAAGTTTTTGATTTTTCATGCTTTGAAAAACAAAAAGAACTAAAAACTAATTGGCGATAAGGAGACAGAAGTCAAGGTGCGGACACTTCAACTTGTCCATATTTTCAAATAGCGTATTCAAACAACTAAGCTCAGTTTATTCTGCAAAAAGCTTCCTTTTCACCAACAGCGTTTTTTCTCAGGCCCATTCTGACAAGTTATAAAAACATATTCTTTGCGAATTTCTAGTTATTATAATAACAATTCAAGTTTTCTAGATGCAAAGACCATATGATACAATTCATCCCTCTATTTATATATTTTCTTTTACTTTTAACGTCATCCGCAAGCACTGAGCCAGTCCGGTGCCCTCTTCTTTATCGAGTAAGAACCATGAAAGAATGACAATTTCTTCTTGTGGGGCTTTTTGATTGACTCTTCATTATCATAGGATTGCTCTCTGCTGCTGGGAAGACGAAGTTGAATTCAACTTTTTTTAGTGCTCGGAGTGTGTTGATGTTGCCAAAGACAGTCCTACAATCATCATCTTTTGTTAATCACATCTAAAAGATCAGGGGAAGATACACTAGCTGTGGCTGAAAAATGGCGAAATCGATGTTGACACCCTTAATCAAGCCATTAAAAAAAAGATAGTTGCCATTTGCCAAATTTTTGAAAAACACAGTCATTTATTGCTTCAGAATATAGTCAAGTAAAAAAAACATCCATCGAAATTGATTAACAGGAGCCGATAGCATTGACAGAACCATCAGAGCAGCACTCTTTAATGCTCGAGTCGTAGATTTTCGACCCCGCGCAGCATTGGTTTCCAGAACCGTCGTTTGCAAACCGCATTGGGAATCTAGAAATGACAAATAATACATGGCCTCTTCGACCCTCTCACCTGTTGGGAAACTCTCCGCAGCACTGTTTGAAATGATTTGGCGATCCGTGATTCGTGTTCATTCTTCCAAGGCACTTGGTTCGGCTATCGAATCCTCCGTAGAACGCATGGTGGGCGGAATTCCATCCATCATCACTGGATGAAGCGGGGTCGAGTCCCATGGCAAGTGCTTTATCGCATTCACAAGTGTTTCGTCGGCAGGAACCTGGTCTGTTTTCTGAAAGTTTAATTTGAAATGATACCCTTATTTTAGCAAGAAAAACTTACGGCATTCAATTTCGGGCTTGCCAGTTACGGAGTCGTAGAATGCTCTGAACTTGTATCCGGTTTCTTCGGGCACACAAGAAGACGACTCTTGGAAAAATGAATCATTGAAAAAATGTGGGTTTTACCTCCTGCATCAGCTTTGACACAGGCGTAACAATCTTTGTGGTGCTTGCAAGTTTTATCGACGTTATCTTCGAGAAGATTGAAAATTTAAAAAACCATAAAAAGATTTAATTTTTTGCTCTTTTGTATTTTCAGGAATATAAAACGCTGATTTTCTAAAGATAACAAAAGATTCCGCAGCGACCGCACTATAGGCTATAGCCTATAGGAATTTGTGAACTACTAAATTTGATATCAAAATATATTCAATCTGTCCTTGAGGCTTTCCACTTCCCTGTCTAAGCGGGTAGTCACCCATCTGAAAGCACCAGCAGCCATAAGTCCAGTATCTCGTGATATTGCTCTATAAACACCTCTCATTTACTCGCAAAAGAAACCTTCTACCTGGGAGTCGATAAAGTTGATCATACTCTCCATGTGAGAATATCTTCTGAGCAAATTTGGCGAGAGAACAGATCGCAATTCTGGCTCGTCAAAGATGGAAATTTTCGGGGTTCCTCGGCCGGTTGGACCGCCGGAGACGGGAAATTCGCCCTGGAATCGGGGTACTTTTTCTTCCGCATATCGCGCTCCTATGGAAATTTATCAGTTTTAAGGGGGTCCGGATTGGTTTCGGAGAATATAATATAATATAATATAGAAAACCAATGGGGACACCCTTAAGGAGCCCCCCGTCAGCTGTTTCCTTCGAAAAATTGAAATTTTTAAAAACACCAATTTTTGATTCTTAATGCGTCCCCAAGTTAAACTTGCTTCAAAAACTTGATAAGACGAAGATTCTAACAAGAAAAATCGATATTTTTGCCAATAGTAGGGCAAATTCGTCAATTTTCGGCGAAAAGCCCAATTTTCAATTGCGATTTTGAGGGTCTTAGAGTCGAGATAGACCCAAAATAAGCAGGGTCAAAATCGTTTTTTGACCCGTAGAATCCATTTCCGGGGTCAAAATTCAAAATTCCGAAATTTTATTTTTCAAAAAAAGCTGACGGGGGGTGGTCCTTAAGGGGGTCCCCATTGGTATCGAAATATAATATGATATAATATAAACGGATTGGGACACCCTTAATGATATCTCTTTTTCTTTACCTCGTCCAGCAGCGACGACACCCAGAAGAAGGGTTTTAGTGGTCAAAATCATTCAGTGATTTCTATTTTAAAAAAAGGGGGAAGAAGAAAAAGTGAAAGCTTCTGAAAAGTGTTTCCTTGTTTTTAAATGGCTGTTACTTTAGCCGTGCGCTAATCTGGCTGGATTGAAGCAAAAACCGGTCCTTCTGAAAATGGGTTACGATTTCAAAGGAGCTTTTGTGAGAAGTAAAAGAGGAACGGACCGACTACAAGTGATATTCTTTTAAAAAAGGGTTTAGATTTTATGGGACGAGATTTTGAAAGAAGCTTCTGAAGTTATTTCTTCTCTGTTACCTTCGTAAATAAAAATGAACGATAAAACAGCTCTATTTTCCTACAATTTCCTACAGACTTGCCATATAAATTGCTTCGGTTAGCTTATAAGCTTAGTTAAGTTTATAACAAAACTCATTTTCTTGCTTTTTTTCTCAAAAAATCAGGATGACAGAGGAAGTGAGAGAAGAAGAGAACGTTTCAAAAGGGGTATTTTTGATAAAATCGGTACAATTAGCAAAATAATTAAGATTTTGGCGAAGTTTCGGACGATCATCATCTCTCAATGGGTTCTACTAACAGGTTATTATTTATTTTGAAGATTATTATAAAATATAAATTATTATTGAAGAGAGGTTCGATTTTCCGTAAATTCGATTTTCCGTAAATTCGATTTTCCGTAAATTCGATTTTCCGTAAATTCGATTTTCCGTAAATTCGATTTTCCGTAAATTCGATTTTCCGTAAATTCGATTTTCCGTAAATTCGATTTTCCGTATATTCGATTTTCCGTGAGTTACGGAAATTATTGAAAAGCATATTTTAAGCTTCCATTCCTTTGACGATAACCAGCGTCTGCATCACAAGTGAAAGCAAATAATCTGTTGAAAGGAGAGATATTGAAATATTTTCTTATCCCTATAAGAATAAAATTCATTTTTTATCTTTTACAGAACGACTCGGTGGCCATCCTATTATTCTTAGATGCATTATGCATCTCGTGAGCTTTGGTTTTATAAATAGCAAAAATTAAATCTCTTTTTGTTCCTTTCAAAACCAAAAAGAAGTAATATGGACTCTTACTCTTTCCGCCGCTATCTTACGAAAAATACCTGCTCATCACGAACAGAACTTGATGATCTTCGTTTACCGGATGATCTCCCTGCAGAACATGATTTTAGACAAGAAAACGAATCAGAAAGAAGGCGAAAAGAGAAAAAATGTCCAGCGATGTCGGTCAAGGATCGGATTATTTTTTAAAGAGTTATTTATCAAAGACGTTTTTAACCCCGATTTTATCCGTAACGAGTTACACACGGCTCTTATGATTCTTGCGGGTGGTCGTGTAACGCAACGTGCAAGTCGAAACGACATCAGAAAGGAAGCAGAGGCCATCTTGATCAGAGATTTCCGAGTCAGTAGAAAATTTTTCTCCACTGATATCGGATCAAGGGTGGTTGCTTAATAAGCTTTATTCCTTTCAATTTTTCTTTGAGTTCTGCGCGTATTATTTATTATAAAAAGCCAAATATGCGATCTCGATGAGAGATGCAACCAATTCAAAGATTTGCAGTCCGTGCTAAAAATTATCGAAAAATTACTTGACATGGCTTACCTTCAGATGTTATTGAATCTAATCTCCATTCTAATTGGAATGATCTCTTCGGGTTTCGGAACATGTATTTTCATGGCTAAACCTGAAGTCCCGCTGGCAAAGAAAAAACTTCTCTTCAACATTCATGTAATAATCAAAATTGAATTTCTGTTGGCTGAATTTTTTATTTAGACAACTATTTTCATCGTCGTGAGTGTTGGAAGCCTTTTATTCGACGTTGTTACTTTTGGTCGGAAAATGGCAATTTATATTCCATTTGGAGGTGAAGCCGATCTTTTATCAAAGATTCAGCCCGAGAGATATTTTGCAATTCGAAGTCTCCTGCTTTCTTTAAACTTAGCTTCTATCATTCTTGCTGCTTGGGCCCTTTCAATACAGGTTTGATAGGCGCTCTTATTTGTTGATCGCTAAAGTAATTTACAGTATGGTTGCAAGAAGAAGACCTCAGTCAACAGCTCAGAAGAAAATCCATAATTATTTTCTATAAATAAATGAGTTTATTAATTCGATAACCAGTAAAAACAGTATCAAATCTCGTACGATGGACAGATATATTTTCGAGCTCATTCTCGAATATCGCTTCTTCATTTGCTCTAGATGGCGCGAACAAGTTTTCCTTTTCGGACCTTAAATTTTGTCGTCTCGACGAAAGAAGACTTGTTGGATTTTTTGAGAATTCGTTCAGCTTCGATGGATCGGAGAGGGTTGGAGTTGATGCAGGTTGCGTGGAAGTGGTCGAGTTCTTCGTCCCAGAAATAGGCATGGACTGAGATAAAGGGGTAAGGGTGAGGGTTGCTTAAGATTGCTTACCTTGAGGATGAATGGACATCTGATCGCAGTAAAAGAAGAAATCCCCATTCTCCAACATGGCACTTCCTCTGAGCGTATTTGGCGTGCCGATTTCGTCGCTTCTGATCAAGTAAATCATCTCCCCGGATGGTCGTGATCCGACTTGGAAGGTGCTTGGTCCCCAAAATTGGCAAGTTCCGTGGGTGATGCTCATCTGAAGGCCGACAGTCCAGGAGTTTGTGCTTGTCAACGATTCTGGAACGCGGACTTGGTAGAGGAAACCAACTTGGCCGTTTTTGTTCCAGAGGTCGAGGCGCGCTAGAAAAGGGGTGAATTAGGGGGAGAAGGGTTGAAATACCGAGAGTGTTGGAATAGCAAGTGGGGCTTGGGCATCGTTTTTCAGATCCGTCGTACCAGAACTTTGGGATCGTGCCGCTGTAGAAGTCTTTTGAGCAAGTCGAGACATCAGGGTCTTTTTCGGATTGAAAAATTTCATGAAAAATTGTGATTTAGGATTTTTTCTCTTATTAGTAAAAATATAAATCCGTTCCTGGAGTGCTGTTAGGAGTAGTCGAAGAAGTTGTCGAGATGGTTTCATCGCAGTGGCATTTGAAGGAAGAGATCTTGTCGAGAACGAGTTTGCCGAGGGTGATGTCGAGACGGTTATGATCGTAGCTGGTGAAGTTGGCGAGATGTTGTTCGAATCGGTTGCGGTTGAAAGTCTCGAGCTGGCAGGTCTGGTAGACTTCCAAGTGCTTGATGTTGTTGTTGTATTGCTAGAAAAAAGGATAGGAGGAGGATAAATTGCAGTTAACATTGGTTTACCATGGTTAACCGCCGTTTGAAACCAAGAAACCCTTACCTTGTATTTATCTGATCGTCTCATATTGTCAACCTCTTCGCCGCTATAAATGACAATTGCAGATCCATCGACATCATCACCACTGTTCGAAACAGTCGCACAAGGAGGACCGAGCTCTACGTCCGCTCGAACTCCACTCGAAGCAAGAAGCGTCAAAAAATTTGCAAATTTCATTTTTTTTTGTTTTTTTTCTGGTATTCAGAAAAAAATGGAGAAAGAAAAAGTTCTTGTTTGAAAAATCTTGAGTGCGACCTGGTTTTATACTTTGATAATCGAAGACAGCTGGGGTCATCAAAAAGCTGTACGACCTCGGACTCTCGTGGCGACCGTAATTATGAAAGAGAACTTTACGCAGAATACGTAAGCCAGGCGATAATGGAAATTCCTTACGTGTGAGTCAAAAATTTCTGAAGTGGACTTCGAACTTTGAAAAATATATTTCAAGGAATTTTTCAGAACTAAATTGAGTAAAGATTTTTTCCATTAAGGAGGTCGAATAATTTTTTTTTATTAAAAAGTAAACTGCTTAAAAGTATTGTCGGATTTTATTTTTACATCAAATCACATGAACTTTCAATTTTATCATCTGAATCAGATTTTGATGGATTTATAAGGGTGATGGAGTAAGCTTGCGGAAGAAGGTACCAAGTTTCTGTTTTCATGTGTTGATAGTGTTCATTGACGAGAGCATTGAACATGTTATCTTCGTTGTAGACATAATCGTTAAATTTTTTTAAACAGGCAATCATCATTTCTTCTGATACGTAATAGGGATTCGTCAACGGAATTTTAAGTTGAGCCGAAGGAATGTTAATCAAACTGTTTGAGATGATGAAGTTTCTGTTTTCGACTCGATCGAGAACCATTTGGTGAAAATCGACCTCGCCCGTAGGATGTAGAAAAGCGCCTGTTACTGTGAGAGGTCGTTCGAATACAAAATTGGTGTGGAGATGAACTTAAAAATATTTAGATCATAGTAAAATAAAGTTAAGAATTATACTTTGTTTGTAGGAGAAAACTGGTTTCGAGTATTCATAAAAATAATTTTTGTTTGAAGTGTTTATGATGTCCCATCCACTTTTCATAAGATACGTCTCGAATTTAAGTCTTTTAAGAAGTGTCTCAATATCGTTGCATTGGAAGTCTTGTTCACGTTTATTGGGATTAAGATTAAATCCAGCCATGCTTCGAGGATAAATTATCATTGTCAAAATAGCCAAAAGCTTCTCCAGAGAAAAACAATCATCCAATTTATCAGCTGGAATGTTTAGATCATTCTTTATTGCCCATCTTAAGATCACACTGACGGATATCGGAACGCAAAGATCGGTTTCCTTCTGATTCAAAACTCTTCTGGTGACATTTTTGAAATCGAAATTAAGATGTCTCGACAACTGCTGTTCTTCTCGACAACGATTGTTCTTTCAAAGAAATGATCTTCGGTATGTGACATAACATGGCAACTATGTTCTTTTTTGTAGAATATTATTGTCTAACTTCATAAGCTTTTCCAAACAATTTGAGTCTTTTAAGGACCCCCGTCAACTTTTTCGAAAATCAAATTTTAATATTTAAAAATTTTGACCCCGGAAATGGATTTAACGGGTCAAAAAATAATTCTGTCGAAAAATTTGATTTTTCTTGGTCCGAAATTCCTCTTATCGAGTTTGTGAAGCAATTCTAGCTTGAGGACGCTTTGAGAACAAAAAATTTGGTGTTCTTAAAAATTTCCATTTTTCAAACGAAGAAGGTGGGAAGTCGATGAAATTACTCAGATAAATCTCGAATGAATCACAAATTGTTTATCCTTATCATACAGCCGTATTTGTCATTTAACCAATCAGGCCTTCGGCACTCTGGCGAATAATTTCGGGTTACCTTAACATTTTAAAAAGTATTTGAATGAAATATGTAATAAGTACAATTATTTTCCTCTTTGACATTTTAGGTCCCAAATTTTCATGAAAATGGCCACAAAAATGGGCAAGAGTCTTCAAAAAAATATTCCGCCGTAAAGGCTTAAATTTTTTTCTTCGATAAATGTCTCTTTTGAAAATGGCAAATTTAATCATCGGGCTGTTAATGTGTGGGCTGCTAGGTTTTAGAAAAAAATTGTAGGGACAAATGACGAGATCGAGCGTCAAAGTCGACCTGACTAAGTGTTTTTAGCTATTTTAAGTCGACATTTTCCGATTTTTGGTCATTTTTGGCATTTTTTTGAAGATGATTTGATTCCAATGTGATTTTTACGCTAGAAATAGATTGTTCGAGAAAAATATTATTTTATTTCATAGACTAACTGTAAGTTAACGCCGAAAATTAATAATCATTACTTAATTCTTGACCACCACCCCCTTAAGATGAAGAAAATGTCCACAAAATTTAGGTCCACAAAAGAGGAAAAACAATATCTAGTATATTATTTGTGTCAGTTACTTTTATAATCTCCGAATGTATTTTTCGTTTATCGGATTTAGTAATAGGTTTGTAAAGAAGGCTCCATGCTGTTTTCCAATCGCAAAATAGGAAAACATATATGCTGCTTATATGACCGTTTGGATCAGTTTCACTTCCCAAAAGTTTCTCTGACGATCGAGAAATAATTTGAGGACTATTACAAAATCCAGGGGTTCCCGCGACTAAAAAATAATCTTGACAAATAAACGGGAAATCAAAGACCTTACATAAGTACTCCTCTGATCTATATTTGCTTCCTCTTCTTGCGTATCCCATCTCAAAATAACTTTCCCTTATAGTTCTGATTTCAACAAGTCCGAAGTCAATCCATTTTGGTTCATTTTTGAAAAGAAGTATATTTTCTAGTTTTTCGTCATAATGAAGCAATCCAGTCCGATAAAGATAAATATGTCCATTTGCAACGCCGTTTGCAATTTCGATCCTCTCCATTATTGATAAATCTTCATTTTTTAGCCTGGACCTTAGATCAGAATCGCATTTTTCCATGATTGTTATCCATCCAACACAATCATCATTTGAGTAAATTTCGACGTTAGAAAAATTTTTTATGACATTTTTATGATAAGGAATAACTTTTTCTTTATCCTTTTTCTTAGGAATATAAAGATCAGGCAAATCGTCTTTAAAGGATTGATCATCGTAAGCGTTATTTTATACTTATAAATTCTCTAAACAATATAAGTACGTTAATAAAACTTGACTCGTTTGAGAAACATCAGGTGCTGCTTATCGATTCAATAGATAAGCTCGCGAGGTAGAAAGATTATTCCGAGTTGAAAAGCAAAGTCGCAGCATTAGAAGAAGAGAGAATGAAATAATTATTGCAAATGATTATTCTGATAATTTTTCTAGTTTACAAGAAAGTATTTCCGATAAGATATCAAACCCACTCAAAACTTGTTGATTCAAAAGGACCATCTTTAAAAGGATAAGGCTTCTCTGCCTCTTTCGCAATTTTGTAATCTATGTAAATTTGAAGACTAAATCGCATGAATTATTTACCTTTTGATAGATATGTGCGAAAAGAAAGCGTCTTATCTTTCTTTGAGAAGAGAGTTGTATCAAAAGTTTGAATTCGAATCGCAACCTCAAAGCGGGAGTTACTGAATAGCGCCGCCTTTTCAGCAGTTATGAAAGATTTTCGGCGTTACAATGAAGATTTTCTGTTTTTTATCAAAACTCATATTTAAGTTTATACATATACAGTAGAGAGTAGTTAATTGTCAAGAGTCGTAGTCTAAATTATCTTCAGATTTTGGCATAGATGAACACTTTATAAAGCACGTGACAGGCAAGAGGCCTTATCGCGCGCATTTTTCTGGAAGAAAACTCATGAGTTTGGCGTGGCCAAACTCACACCCTTGATCCGAATAATTTGTTTTGGTATGAATGTGTTTTACGAGACCCGGTTTGTACCGGACCGGGCAGTGCAGGGCTGCGCAAGGCGGCGATATTAAGTACCCCACTCAAGACCATCGATCTCCTGTTGAATAATAAGAGCTTCCCCACCAGCCGATATGATTTTATCTTCCAATGCGTGATCCAATTCCCAATCTCCACTTTCTTCATTCAACTGACTACGTTGAATTTTTTTCCCTTCAAGATAACGGTTTTTCATGAGTATATTTTTTTGAAACGGTGTGGCTCTCCATTCGAAAGATCTCCTTCTATATTGCTCAGTTTCTCTCGCTGAAACTTTTCCTATTCCATCTTTGAACGTAACCTCTTCCCATAGAGCGAGAGTGTCATCGTCAAAAGTCATTCTTTCAACTGACAAAATCAATCTGTCCATATCATTTCTGCTCGTCGACCTTTTGATTTTCTCTAGAAAAGGATGAAGCCATCTCTCAATATTCTCCTTTGTCAATTCTTTTGGATGATTTTCGATAGAATATGGGTCGTAATCTTCACCGAAGAAATTTTTGAAATAACTCATTTTTTAAAAACTCATCTATGAATCTCTAACGAAATCTTTGATGCTTTGCGCCGCTTCCTGAATTCAAAAGTCTTGAAAGATGACAATTCAAATATAAGCATAATGAGTTTATGGCGTTTACAAACTTAATAGTCAACATATTCTCGACATGAAAAATGATTTTAAGTGTTTGTCAAGCCGAATTGAAATTTTACAAAATAGAGCATCTGTATATATTCGCATGTTTTATATATAATTGAAAACAGCAAGTCCGAAGAAACAGCTCATCTCGCCCAGGTGTGGCTTCTTCTTTGAAAAATTTATTGTTTCCTGTGAGCCATTTTGTTGAAATCCCTTTCGGTGCAAAATTGACCTTTTTATCTCGGAATTATCGTCCTTATCCTCGCTTCCCACATTTTTTCAGCACATTTCAAGACGATTTTCAGCAAGAAAAAAAGTTGATTTATGCTTGTTTTATTGATGATTATAAGTTGTAAATTATGATGCCAGCAGAGAAATGATCAAAGAGCACGAGTGATTAAGCGATTTATTATCTTAGCTCGTTTCTTTCATTCGACTTACATATTGAGAGAGAGAGGGAAAATGAGAAGCTGCTTCCGGACCGGAAAAAGGAGAAAGTAAGTGATGTTTTTCTTAGTTTGGTAAGCTGCCTTTTTGACGATGATTTTTCGTAATATGAGGCTTTTTTGAAAAAGGAAAAAGTACATGTAAGCAGGGGTACTCCTGCGGAGAGTGACTGTTTGCTGATAAGAGTTTTTCGCTTGCCTTTTGGCATTGACCATGGCAAGATTAACAACTCAAGAGTCTTTTCCATATGGTTCTGAGTGGGTCGCTGCCAACTTGCACGAATAGCGGAATTAATAAGCCAATAGAGAATTTCAGAAAATCAGAAATATTCAATAAGGTAGGCCCTTTCCTGGCAGACATGGACTTTTTGGTTTCGGTTTGGTTTTCAACATTGAACAGAAAAATTAAAATCGCGACTTCAAAAGTGTTAAATATATTATGGTTGCCTGTTGTCTTCTGAGGTTTACAAGCGTTTTACCCTTGAAAAATACAGTATTGCGAATTTTCGTTTTCTTATCAGTTAATATCAGTTTTCTAAGGATTTTCGAAAAAATTTTACTTCAATTATCGATAAAAAAATTATTTCATAATTTAACTTATATATTTTTCAACAAAAAAATTTTAATCAGCTAATTGCTGGAAAAATCAATAATTCATTTAAATTGAAGATATTCTTTATTTTATTCATTCAAAATTCAATTATGATAATTGAGGTTGATAGGCATTGATATATTTTGAAAATGGAAATCATAGAAGAGAGAAAAATCGTGCCCAAATCGACCCTCTTCTTCCTCCCCACCTATTCCAGCGGGAAGTTTGAAAAGCTTCTCAAGTGAGCGAGCAAAGTGCAAATGCATCTCTTTAAATCATCGTCGTGTCCAACGTTGATGACGCTGCTCAGCGTGAGACGATGATAGGCCACAGCCCAAAGCGTTTTTCTTAATCCCCGAAGCCAGTTCAAAAGGTGCCAAGGCCACTTTTATTTCCAATCACCTGCCTCGAGATATCATGTACTTTTATCAGCGACAAGATTTTTGATCAGCGAAAAAGAGAGAGAATAAAAATAAAAAGAAGCAAATATGACAAGTAGACCGACTTCCGCTAAAACAGGAAAAAGGGGATAACGCTTTAATTTCAATAAGCAAGGAAAAATGCTTGTCCTTTTTTCAAAAATAATATTTTCAAAAATTTGTCGACAAAATTTTTTGTCGCAAAAACTTCAAGAAATTTGTCGACAAATTTGTCGCAAAGATTTTGAAAAAATGTCGACAAATTTTTTGTCGCGAAATATTTCAAAATTTGTGGGCAAATTTTGTCTTAAAGACCTTTAATAATTTTTTCTTTGAATTGCCAATTATTCGATTCCCTTTGATAAGGCGGCCGGCCTCGCCCAAGCAGCGGAAAACACAAGTACTCTGATGGGCGCCGGGACTCAGCCGAGTTCAACCTCGAGCGGCAGAGCGCCTCGCCCGTCGTTCGCTTTCACCAGATTCAAGACACTCGCAGAAAGCTCTCTAAGCCACTCGGGTCTAAAAATAGCCGCTCTATCAGATTCTAGCTTTAATTTCTATTTTTGACCTGTTGAAAGGATAAGAAATCAACCACTTTCTCAAGCAACATTTTCGACATTGTCTTGAGCAACACCAAGCAGCCTGATCAAAAGACAATTGAGTACTTTCAGAATAGACCTAGTCTTGGATTTTGAACTCCTTTTTCAATTTTAAGGGTGTCCATTCGGAAATTTGGCTTGCAATTTCGCTTTCCATTATAGTTAGGGTTAAGTTTTATAAATTATGGATTGAATTTTTTCTTTGGCTAAAAGTCGATTGTTCGGGCGCCTTGTTTTTAGAAAAAATTTCAAGTGAAAATGACCAAATCGAGCGTCAAAGTCGACCTGTAATCGCGTTATAACTAATAATAACTTATTAGGTATTTTTAGTGGTCATTTTCCGATTTTTGGTCATTTTTGGTCTTATTTTTAAGCCGATTTGCTTCGAACATGATTTTGGCTCTAGAAATAAATTGTTCGAGAAAAAAATATGTTATTTCATCGACTCACTGTAAGTCAACGCCAAGAATTGCAAATCATTTTATAATACTCGACCACCATCCCCTTAAAAATCAAAATCAACAAATAATTCTAGATATTATCGTTTCACTTAAAACTCGCCGTAGAAACAAGAATTGTGATAAAATCGTTAAAAATAAATAATTTTCAATATTTAATTATCATGATAAAAATATGTCACTCCTACCTTTATCGTATTCCGACTCATAGCATAAGTAAATATATTTTCGAGGAGATAAAACCGATAAAATAAGGGTGACCATTTTGTTCAAAGTGTTCAAGAATTTTTAATATCAGCAAACTTCATTTACTGTCAAAAATACTCTCTCTTCTATGATTTCAAAATCCATTTCCTCAGAACCGCGGATTCCCGACCGACATCCGCCAGTCGCCACTCCTCAGTCGGATCTGATGCGAGCATTAGGAATGATTAAAAAGAAAAACTATCAAACTCGAATATATTGTCTTCAAACAGGAGACTGTCAGTGAGGCAATAATTTCTCCCTTTTGTCGGGAGAAGAAAGAAATAACGCGCCTCGTTTACGAATTAGCACATTTTGAAACTTCAATCAGAGTCAAATCAGAACTCAAAAATTGGCAAAAAATAATCTAAAAAAGCGGGAAACCAAAATACAGCTCTTATTTTGAATGCAAACGGGCCATGGTCGAGCGCTCGGTTCTGAGCCCCACTCCGCGGCCGGGCTCGTCGATGAGCATCGCCAATTTGGCGAAATCGTCCATTTCGAGCGCGGATCAATATTACCGAAATTCTATTCAGTCGAACAGCTCTGGAATCAGCTCCACCAACGCGCAAGTTTATCATCAAGGAAATAATAAGAATACGAATATGCGATGCTGGCCTTTCAATAAAGACGTCAAGGAGCGGTCAAGACTTATAATAAGGTGAAGACATAAGGTGGTAGGTATCAAGAATCACAATTTGGCTACAGCTTTTTTGAAAATTTTTCGTAGTGACACCCTTATTTTTCTTCGGCAACTATAAATTTAGACCTTTGTTATCAAGTACTGAATCTAAGAATCTAAACATAAAACAGATCGGATGTTTTAACTGTTCTTAATCTGCTGACATTTGACATTTGGATCTTGAAATTTTGTCGTTTCCTGGCCAGCTCGTCCGCGCTGAGCACACAGCGAGGCGTCGAATGCCCCGTTATAAAATTTCAAGAGCAGCCAATTTCAATAATCTCAGACGGCGCCCGATATTGCCATTTTACAAATCGTTGGAATCGATCTCCGTCGTATCCGGGTCAAATTTTCTCCTTTTCAGAAGAATTTAGTTCAAAAAATGATGAACGCTGGAAAAAGAGCGACTAGAATTGAGAGAATATGAAATCTTTGAGAAGAGCTAGTGGGTCGGTTTTTGATTTACTAAGAAGAGAAAGAAGAAGGATTGGATTTGAATTTACATTCGCTATTTTGGCCCCCAGCTGGGGTCGGGTTTTGGGGGTTAGAGTTGGGTTGGGTTGGGTTGGGTTGGGTTGGGTTGGGTTGGGTTGGGTTGGGTTGGGTTGGGTTGGGTTGGGTTGGGTTGGGTTGGGTTGGGTTGGGTTGGGTTGGGTTGGGTTGGGTTGGGTTGGGTTGGGTTGGGTTGGGTTGGGTTGGGTTGGGTTGGGTTGGGTTGGGTTGGGTTGGGTTGGGTTGGGTTGGGTTGGGTTAGAGTTGTTGGGTTGGGTTGGATTGGGTTGGGTTGGGTTGGGTTGGGTTGGGTTGGGTTGGGTTGGGTTGGGTTGGGTTGGGTTGGATTGGGTTGGGTTGGGTTGAGTTGGGTTGGGTTGGGTTGGGTTGGGTTGGGTTGGGTTGGGTTGAGTTGGGTTGGGTTGGGTTGGGTTGGGTTGGGTTGGTTGGGTTTGGTTGGGTTGGGTCGCGTTGGGTTGGGTTGGGTTGGGCTTGGTTTGGTTGGGTAAAAGGTAAATTCATCAATAATACAAGATAATCCGCAAAAGAGAAGGAGTTAATTTTAACCCATCGGATCTTGACCGCATCAAAAGCCCACACAAAATGGAAACTCAAGCGATTCCGGAAAAGTCGACTCTCTTTTGTCCGAAATCGAGAGGCTCAAAAACGTCATTATCGACAAAGATAAAGAGATTGAAAAGCTGAAAGAAAAGCAAAATGAAGAACTCAAGTCGAGAGAAGAGACGATCAGAAGAATGCAAGACATTATCGACAAGTCTGTTGGGGGAATTATTACGCTGAATCGGCAACAAAGCAGAGATCAACAAAATCAAGGCGAAAAAGGCCCTCCCATGACCAAATACCTCGAAAGGTAAGATTCTGACAGTAATTTGTGGTAGACAGTAGGGAGACTAGTGACTAGTCACGCGAGAGTAGCAAAATCACTCTGATCTTGGAAACAGTAAGCACTGCTTGCGAGAACATCTGGGCAAACAACGCCTGCCATGGCGCTCGTAAATTTGCAAGCTCCTGTCAATTTAGATTTCCCACATTTTTTCAGAATTGACCAAATATCAAATTGATTCTTCTGAAAAAATTTTCAGACCAAAGAAACAACGAACTGGAATCTCAGCAGAACCATTCAATGAACGAGTTATTGTGAATACAGATCCAAAAGTGAAGAAGCCCGTCCATACTCAAGCTTTTCTTCTAGGGATCGGTCAAAATAGGAACCATCAGAGAGAACATCGAAAAAGCAATTTTCAATTTTATTTCGGAAAACAACTCTGATTAAATTTATAAAATTAAATTTATTGGTAAACCAATTTAACGGTCAATCACCATTTTTGACCAAAATAAAAGCTGCACTGAAAAGCAATGATTTCGTCAAAAGTCTGGAGAACGAGCAGCTTGAACAAATCGTCAACTGCATGCAAAAGAAGATTTACGACCCGAAGACAGATATTATAGTTGAAGGCTCTGTGGGAGAGCGGCTTTATGTCCTCGCTGCTGGAAAAGTTCAGGCAAGGCTTGAATAAACTGATTATTTAAAGTTTAAATTTTAAACATTTATCGATGATTGAATTGTGGGGAAAAAATTTTCCTCTATGATTTCAAGCCCGAATTCAGGTGCTTCAAAATGAACGGGTCGTACATAATCAAGGCTCGGATACAGGCGGAATCGTTCTTGGAGAACTCGCCTTACTGTACAATTGCAGAAGAACAGCTACAGTGCGTGCTCTCACGACTTGTACCCTTTGGTTCATCGACCGATCGACTTTCAGGTTGCTCAAAATTTATATCTTCAAAAATAGTTATACAAATATATAATTCAGACAAATTATGGTGTCTCATAATCAAACCCAGCGGGAAATGCACAAATTATTCCTTCGAAAAGTATCGCTGCTCAAGACTTATTCCGACAGAAAGATAAACAAACTTGTCGATGCGATGACAGTTGAAGAGTTTCAGGTAAATTCTTCATTTTTAAAATACCATAATTATATCGATGAATTGGGCAAACGGTTTTTATTTCTTCAGGACAAACTCGAATAATTCTACTAAAATCCTTCCTTCTCCACAGTAGAGTTTAGATTGCCACACGATCCTCTTCAATTAATCATAAAACTCTCCACTATAATTCTCACCAATGATTTAGGATAATGACGTCATCACCCGTGAAGGATCATACGGTGATGTTTTCTACATCATTCTCGAAGGCCAAGTTGAAGTCACGAAAAAACAAGTTGGCTTTATCCGATCCCTCTCCGGCGGTGAATATTTCGGAGAAAAAGCCCTTCTGAATGAAGCCTCAATCAGGTACCGCTCTTGAAAGACGTAAATTTTCTACAAGAGCTCTAGAACAGCAACATGTACGGCGATCGGCCTGGTGAGATGCCTGACACTTGACCGTGACGCTTTTGTGACGCTTATTGGAACAACTGCCGAGCGAAATTACGACGACGATCATAAGCTGTCGATTTCATCAAATAGCTCAGCTGAGTGTCTCACTCCACTGACGCCAACGGGCGCCATGATGATCCAGAGTCTACCAAGCTTTTCTGATGTTCGGCTTACTGATCTCAAGGTGTGTCAAAAGAGGCAAATATAGAAGAGATATTTCTTAAATTTCTAGCCCCTTGGAACTCTCGGAGTTGGTGGATTCGGGCGAGTTGAACTTGTCAAGTGCCTGAGGGCATTGCCCAATAAGGGCACAAAGCTCCCCTCAAGGTATTTCTCTTCGAAATCATTTTCATGATATTTGGATTCTTTTAGCTTCGCACTGAAAGTCATGAGAAAAGAACACATCGTCGAAACATCTCAAGAAAAGCACATATTCAACGAGCGGGACATTCTATTTTCAATAGATACAAAATGGGTTGTCCGTCTTTACAGAACCTTCCGGGACAAAACGTAAGAATCATCTGATACCCCCAGTATTCATTTTTTAGCTTCATATACATGCTGATCGAGCCTTGTCTTGGTGGAGAACTCTGGACAGTTTTGAGAAACAAGGGCAGTTTTGCTGAAAAATGGGCGCGATTTTATACTGCTTGTTGTGTTGAGGGTCTTGGTATGGCTTTCATCAATCGCTTGTTTTATCCGTTTTCCTAGCATATCTTCATTCGAAACACATTATTTACCGAGATCTGAAGCCGGAAAATCTGGTTTTGGACAATCGCGGCTACCCAAAGCTCTGCGATTTTGGCTTTGCTAAGAAAATAAAGCCAGGTAAAAATCCTTTCAAACCATCCTCCCATCAAAAATTTCAGGACACAAGGCTTGGACTTTCTGCGGAACACCCGAATATGTTCCTCCTGAAATCATTCTCAACAAAGGCCACGATTTTTCGGCAGATTTCTACGCGCTTGGCATCTTTATTTTCGAACTTCTCACTGGCAATCCTCCTTATAATTCCGCAGATGCTATGAAAGTTTACAGGTATCGCAGTCGACATGACATTTTCTGAGTAAATTTTCAGGATGGCTTTGAAGGGCTTGGAGTCGTTCCCCTTCCCTGTTGATAAAATCAGCAGATCAGCGTCGCAGATTATCAGGCATTTGGCGAAAGAATTTCCTTCAGAAAGATTGGGCAATGGAAGAAATGGAATTCAAGATATCAAACGAAATAAATGGTTCACGGTGAGTTTTCCTTACTTTTTGACAGAAAAATAATTTTCAGGGCTTCGATTGGGAAAGTCTTTCGAGTCAAACAATGGAGCCACCATATCTTCCCCAAGTTTCATCCGCAACCGATTTGACGAATTTCGACCAGTTCGACGATCCAGAAGACGACTTCATGGCTGGAGATAACGCTGAAGAGAGCGGCTGGGACAAAGAATTCTAAGCGTGATACTGTCACTTGTATATTGACCACTGTACATAACGGATAAACCCGAATAAATCCAAATTGAGAGATCTTGACATTGTGAGATTATCGTTGTTTGATGTGTCAATTTTATTCTGCGTTAATCAAAATAAAGAAGCACGGGAGAAGCGATGAACCAAAGTTTATCTGTCTCGAAAGGTACACAGATAGTTTGAAAAAGACAAACTTTTTGAAGTCGAAAATGAAAGTTGAACAGGCCAGATCGAACTTATGGAAAATGAGAGACGAAGTTAAAGTCAAAATAAAAATTGCACTTGCTGTATTTTGTAAGTTCTTTTCTTTTTCTTTTTTTTTGATATTTTTTCTTAGTTGGGTTGAGTGCCCTGAGCAGCACAATAACATCACCAATTCTTTATGGCAAAAAGTCGGAAAGAGCTATTCGCAATTGCCCGTAAGTCTCTTATTATTGAAAAACTAATCATTATTAAAGTGACCAAGATCTCTATAATGAGTGTTACTCCGTCTGCGTCAATAATTTTGGACAATGTAAGATTCTTTGCGAAGCGGAATATTGCTTATCGATTTGCTCAAGAGAGTTTGACAGTATGAGTATTTTTTGGACAAAAATCTGACTGTATTAGATTGTAAGGATAGTTGCCCCTGTGGGGAAAAATGTTTGGACGGATGTGTTGATTGCGAAAATCCGATCTGTTTGACAATCGAGTCGACAAATGCAGAACTATCAAAGACCACAAAGTTTGAGGCAACCACGAGCCCATCAAGTCTGTTTTCAAGTCAAGTTCATCTTACTCAAACGGAACCGATCACAATTACTGTTGGAGATGGATTAACAGTTGCACATTCAACAACTAAAACAGGAACAAGAACATTAACTACTACAGTGGAAAATCCCGGAAAACCCGATTCGACAGAAGCTCCTCCATCAACAAAACAAATTTTTATCACTCAAGTTCACACAATGGTTCCAGAAATTCCAGACGTTCTTGAGACAGAACAAACGGAAATATCGACTGAAAATCCTCTCAGTCCTTTGGTGTCAACTGCTAAAATTCCTTTTACGTCTCCGGAAAAAACAACCAGTACTGTCATTCCCGAAGAAGAAAAAACTGAAAAAGCAGAGACATCATCGACAGATCAAATTGTACCTCTTTCATCTACAACAGAACAACTTCTTCCGGTGACAACAACTGCACATCATAAAACCCCACCGATTCCTACGACAAAGAGTACTTGTGAGCCGAAGCTTTGGTTTGTCCCTCACTACGAGGAGGATCTGCATTTTTACGCGATGGAGCGAATATGCAACTTTGAGGCACTCGAATTCGAAAATACTGTCGGTTATGTTTCATTTTTCAGAAATGAGACAGAATTTGAAGATTATCGAAGAATGACTCCTCTTCGTAAAGAATATTTGGGTACTTACAATTATTTTTTTCTATTATCTATTATTAAAAAGGTTACAAACAGAGAACAGGTGATAATGCTGTTTGGTTCAATGCTGACGGATCTCCAGCGACGTTTACGTATTGGGATGACTTTCTTTCCATGGAGCAGCCAGATAATGTTAATGAGATTTGCGTTCAAGCAGGTTATATTGATGGTATTTACTTCTCAGGTAGACGTTGGCATGATGTCGACTGTGAAAACACGGGCTACTGCGGAGATGCCCTCTTTAGCTGTCGACTTGAAACGATTTGTCCAGATTCGGAAGTCACTACAACGACAAAACAACCGACAACAACTGAAAATCCTTGCGATCAAAAACTTTGTTTGAATGGCGGATCCCCGCTTATCGATGGAGACAATTGCGAATGCAGCTGTCCTGATGGATATTCTGGTCAAGTCTGCCAAGAGACTCCATGTTTACCTGATCCCTGCAATCAACATGGACAATGCCTAACAATCGGGTCAGATTATAAATGCAACTGTTATGGCGATATAACTGGTAAAAACTGTGAGATTTTACCGTGTGATGTCGATCGATGTTTAAATGGCGGAACTTGTCTCAATTTTGGGAATTATTTTGTTTGCACTTGCGTTTACGGATACTCTGGGGAAATATGTGAAATCGATATTTGTGATCCAAATCCTTGCGATAATTCGGGAGTTTGCTCGATCGAAAATGGAGATTTTAAATGTAATTGTCCGAATGGTTTCACTGGCAAGAGTTGTGAGATAATATCGACAACTCCTACAACAACAACTTTAATAACAACAACACCAACAACAACAACAACGACTCAGAAAGAAGATTTCAATTTGATGTTGGAAGGAAGAGGGATTGAAGAAGTGAGCATTTGGGTCGGCGACCAATTTTGTCTTGCTGCTTTGAAGAATCATCGAGGGGAGAAAATTAAATTTGTGAACATTAATAGAAAAAACAATGGTCATTTTACGGCCAGAATTCAAACCGTCGACCGACAAAATAATAAGCAATGGGCCTGGGTCCCTGGTGGTGGAGAAATGATTGAGTTGAAAAATAGCGGTACTACATGGAGAATGGTTCCGCATCCAAATAAAGTTTGCAAAATTGTTTGATTTTTTCGATAATCATTTTGTAGCCAAAAACTTATCAAATTCATGCAAATGACAAATGGAGTATCGGAAACGGCTATGAGCGATTTGCTTTAAAAATTGGGTACAATTTATATGATGGCTACGATCTCTTAGTAGGAATCGATTAGATATGACATATGCTTCAGAAATTTAAATATATAATCATTATTTATATCGGAGAAAGCATCATACATTTCAAAACCGGAGTCGGAGAAAATGGAAGACGATATTTGGCTTTGGACATTTCAATAATAAGTTCAGAATTTTCTATTTAGAAGGACGCTTATCAACAACTGTATTCACAGTCTTGTCAATACTCTTCAGTGATTTAAGTCATTATTTTATTACAAAGTCATTTACTTTTCCGAAAACAACTCGAAATTTCAGTAAATTTCAAATGGAACAGTGTTTTTCGTCATCTGTACAATTTTTATTTGTTTGTCAAGCATTGATTCAACTGATTTTGTGGCGGTCTGAATTCAGCGAACACATTTTATTTTAAAAGTTTTCAAATAAGCACAAGTCGTAATTCTTCCTTATTAAAGAAGACCGACTTGTTTGAAAGAAAGAGAAACAGGCTTGAGCTTTAGATTTTTGATTTGCTTCTCGAGGTCTTCCGAGTCGATGTCTGAAAGATCGTCCAAAGATTCGAAGGACTTATATTTTTTCATTTTGTAAACTCAACTCAGATCATGATATCTTTATAAAGATAAAAAACGAGAAATTCAAGTTTCTGAAATCAAGGCATCCTTGTGAATGACATTATCGACAGATGAGTTAAGAATCAAATTTACTTTCTGACAGTGATATTCCGGAATAATTACCATCTGTTATCCTGACAGTATCAAAATCTTTGTCAATTTGATAAAATCTCGGTACTGGTCGTTAATATGAATCAAAATTGTCTTTTAAACACATCCAAACGGGGGAAATGATCGATTTTTTGAAACGAATTGAGAGGAATAAACGAAAAATATGTTTTATATTTGGTAAGAGATAAGGTTAAATAAGCTGAATAAGTGGTCAAGATCAGAAATTCGATAGTCTTTAAAAACCGGTGTCAAAATATTTCAGTTGGTCTTTCTTCTCTCTGCCTTATGATTACAATTCCGATCGTGTACAAGAATTCAAAAACAATTACGACAACTTCAACTTACACAGAGTCTTCTCTGTCAAGTATTCAAGACTCAACTTGTTTTACGACTTCAGTTCATTCTTTATCTACACCAAATATCAGACCAACTCTTCTTACAAAATCTTTAAAAACGACACCCGAAACGACTTACACACCAGCAGATCAAACTGTTTCTCTTTCTTCAACAACAAAACAACTTTTTCCAGAAACATCAACTGCAGATCAGATAAACACACCGATAACAATAACACAAACCTCTTGCGAGCCAAAGCTTTGGTTTGTCCCTCGATACGATGAGAATCTTCATTTTTCCGCGATGGAACGAGAGTGCTTTTTGGAGGCACTTCAATTCGATGATACCGTCGGTTATGTGGCATTTTTCAGAAACGAGATAGAATTTGAAGATTATCGAAGAACGACTACTCTTCGTAAAGAATATTTGGGTATTTATTATAATCTATTTCTTAAATATATTATAAAATAGGTTATAAACAAAAAAGTGGTAATAATGATGTTTGGTTCAATGCTGACGGATCTCCAGCGACGTTTTTGTATTGGGATGACACTCCTTTTATGAAGCAACCAGACAATGTTAATGAGATTTGCGCCCAAGCAGGCTTTACTGATGGTATTTATTTCTCAGGCAGACGTTGGCATGATGTCATTTGTGATAACAAGGGCTATTGCGGAGAAGCCCTTTTAAGCTGTCGACTTGAAACGATTTGTCCAGATTCGGAAGTCACTACAACGACAAAACAGCAAACTATCACTCATAATCAATCTCCGTGTTTTCCTGATCCCTGCAATCAAAACGGACAATGCCTTGTTATTGAGGAGGAATATAAGTGTAACTGTTTTGGGGATATAAGTGGTGAAAACTGTGAGTTTTTACCGTGTGATGTTGATCGATGTCTCAATGGCGGAACTTGTCTTAATCTCGGGAATTCTTATGTTTGCAATTGCATTGAAGGATACTATGGTCAAAACTGTGAAATCAAATATTGTGATCCAAATCCTTGTCTTAATTCTGGCGTTTGCTCTTATGAAAATGGAAATATAATATGCGATTGTCAAAATGGTTTTACTGGCAAAAATTGTGAATTATTGACAATAACAACAACAAAAGCTGGAACAACACAAACGACAACAATTACTACTTCAACAACGACTCAAAAAGAAGAGTTTAATTTGTTGTTAGAAGGAAGAGGGATTGAAGAAGTTAGTATTTGGGAAGGCAACCAATTTTGTCTCGCTGCTTTACAGAATAATCGAGGGGAAAAAATTAAATTCGTAGAGATGAATAAACAAGACAACGGTCATTTTACAGCGAAAATTGAAACCGTCGACCGTCAAAATAACAAGCAATGGGTCTGGGTTTATGATGCTGGAGAAATGATTGAACTAGGAAATAACGGTACCATGTGGAGAATGGTTCCGCATCCAAATAAAGTTTGTGATATCTATCGTTATTGTCGATAATGATTTTGTAGCCAGAAACTTTTCAAATTCATGTGAATGACAAATGGAGTATCAAAGACGGCAATGAGCGATCCGCTTTAAAAATAAAATATAATACATTTGATGGCTACGATCTTTTGATAGGAATCGATAACATATGTTTAAAAAAGAAATCAAAATTATTGACGATTATTTATATCGAAAAAAGCATCATATATTTCAAAACCGGAATCTGAGAAAATGGAAGACGATATTTGGCTTTGGACTTTTCAATAATATGTTATATGTGACATATAATATATATGACATATAATACCGCGGTTGGCATTTCTGACTGACTAATTTTATTTTTCTAGATAGGTTACGAGGGCCTAGTAAGCACAAACGCCCTATGTTTTAGCGTTGCGAAATGTGCTAATGAAATATGCTTTAGTCAGTCAGAAATGCCAACCGCGGTATGTCATATGTTAAGAATTTGTCTTTATCAACAATACAGTATTTTTATTATTCTTCACAGATTACAATAAATTTTTTCTTAAAAATTTATTTATTTTTCCGAAAACAGTTTGAAATTCAAGCAAATTTCAAATAGAGCAGTGTTTTTCGTCATCTGTACAATTTTTATTAGTTAGTCAAGCATTGATTCAATTGATTTTGTGGCGGTCAAAATCAAGCGAATACGTTATCTTTCTATAAAAAGGCTTCAAATAAACAAAAGTCGTCATTTTTTATAAAAGGAGACCGACTTGTTTTTTGGAAAGAGAAACAGGCTTGAGCTTTAAATTTTTGATCTGCTTCTCGAGGTCTTCTGAGTCGATGTCTGAAAGATCGTCCAGAGATTCGCAGGACTTACCTTTTTTCGTGTTGTAAACTCCGCTCAGGCCAAAAGTCGACTGAAAACAAAAATTTCTTAAATAATTTTTAGGTGTTATTCTTACTTGATAATATTGTTTTTTCGCGAGCGTTGAAATCTCCTCGCCGATTTTCTCCTTCGCCGTGACAAGAGTTGTTCTAGCTTCCAGCTGCTGCAGCTTGGCAGTGACGGAATGTTCCCGCCGGCTGACGTTGCCCTGAAAGGTTAAAGTGTTAAATACTGGTCAATCTCCGGACCACTTCAGATCATCTTCGAGGAAATTGAATGATTGAACATGAATTTCAATTAATTTAAACTACCAACCTCTTCATGACGTAGTGCTGCTTCATGATGTCTGACAACTTTCGCCTTTGCTCGTAATTTTTCTGTTTCTGTATGAGCACTGTCCCCTTAAGACTCGCCGCTCCCCGGGGTTCTACTTTCCGCCGAGTCGGAAATACCTCGCTCCAAAGAAGGAGGCATTACAGCTCACAAAAATATTTTCCCTTGAACCGTACTTTTCATTTTTGTACCAAAACAAACAAAATTCGGCGAGGTGTGGGGAACCGACAAAAAATTTTAACAAATTTTGCGCGGAAATTTTAAACCAATCAGAAGCCGGGATCCGGCGAAGCATCCAATCAGCAGCCGAATAGCCCACGCAAAATTTGTCGATTATTTTTCCTGACACTCTTCAAAAATTCTACAACTGTATATCTCTCTCTTTGTCGATGGAATATTCAAGAGGAGCTCACACATTCCTTCGCGTTCGGAGATTTGTTTTTCAAAAGCTTTTAGTTTTCCTTCGCGATCTTTGAGTTTCTGCTTTCGCTCCTTTAATTTGGAATGGAGATCTTCAAGCTAAACAAAATGATTTTGAAAATTGAAAGCAAAGAAACCATAAAAAATTAATGAGTGATCAAAAGTGGTTTTTAGGAAAAGCCATTTTTGACGACAACTTTTTTGTAAGCTTAAAACGTCTATGCGTTAGCCAAGGATTATCTCCTTTTATTAATAACACAAGAACTGCATAAAAATTTACCTTATTTTTCCGAACAGTAAGTCTTGCAGCAAAATCAGCAAGCTTTCTTTCTGAATCTTCGACTTTTGCTTCCATCGCTCGTTGTTTTCTTTCTTTGGCCTTGATCCTCAGCATTCCCTGAAATATTGTTTCAAAAGCGGCAGAAGAGGGAAATGGAACTCACCGCAAGATCCTCGATTTCGGACTCGGAGGACGTCTTTCTCTTGGAATTAGAAGTTACCGAACTTCGCTCGCGCTTTTGTTTTCGCTAGAAATTTTAATAAGTTGTATTTAATAAAAATTTAAAAAAAAATTATTTCTTTATTCCGATAAGACGAATAACGCTTGTGAGAGTAGGTTTGTTTACCTCTGTTCAATTTTACTAGGTGCGAAAATTACTGATAAAGATTCATTTTTTCATAATTATAGTGACTAGAAAATAAAGTTCTAGAGATCTCGAGATAAGACAAGTCATTTTACTTTCAAGTTATTCATAATCTTTAGTGAGAATAATTAATCGTTGAATCTTAAAAATCAATTTTAAAAAAGAGTTTTCGATCGTACTAACAATTCAAATGATAGCTAAAATTTTAGTTTATTACCATTTGACTGAGATTATTTCAAATATAAACATGAAAATTAAAAAAGAAGATTACGGTTTCTTGAAGAAATAAGATAGATTATAAATAATTATCTGTTATTCATTTACTATTTATGTATGTCTTAGTAGCAAACAGATACAGAACCTGTTCGCTTACGAATATGAAAAAAAAATATGATGACGTAGAATTTAGAAATAAACTTTTACGCTCCTTTGCGCAAAGAAAATTAATCACACGAAGTTAGATTTGGCGAAAGTATTTGGTGGGAGCAGGTGACATACCGAAACCTGCTTAGCCTTGATAGAATCAGCGTCGGAATCGGCCGATCCGCTCTGGACTCCGCTCGAACTGGTTTCGCCGAATTCGTTGCGCTTTTTCAAACTGCTTTTTAATGGCGCAGATCGGTCGCTTTTTGGAGAGCTGATCAATTACAGTTTTCGATTTTGCAATTTAATTTTCACAATTCTAGAGCCGAAAAAACACTTTTTACACCAAAAAATTCGCCGCTCAAAAACTGTTCCTAGAATCGGTCGCCAATTTTTTCGCAAAAGAAACGCAATTTTGCGATTTCGACTTCGATTTCGCCGATTTCGTCAATTTTTCCAGCGCCCTAGCGTCTACTTCTTCCGTTTTCCGCCTCTGTTCCCGTCTTCGTCTTCGTTTTTCAGAAGATTGCTCGACCACGAGTCCCCGATCTTTCATTTCGCTGTGCAGGGAGCGCAGTTTTTTGCGATCGTGCGAGGGTTCATCTTTTTTGCCCATTCAGGAAGAAATTTTCGAAGATTTTCAATGTCTAAAAAGAGGATTAAAATAACAATCAAACAGAATTTTATCAAAATAATTAATTGTAGAAAAATAAAAATTTAAAATCGAAAAAAATTAATTTATTTTATTTAAAAAATAAAATAATTAAATTATTTAAAAAAAATTAATAAAAAAATAAAAATTTACTTTTTAAAAACCATCCTTGAAAGAAAAAGCGTCGTTTTGGGCTGAAAACCAAAAGACAAAACCACAACGACGTCTTTGAGCAAACGTTGGGCTCCCACGTCGGTCTCGTATCTCCTTCACCCACAGGCCGGTGGTAACGTTTTTTCCGCCAAATTCGAGCCGTTTAATAATAAACTCCTCCTTTTTCTTTTTCCAAAACGTGAGAAGAAAGGACTGAAGACATTTGTGAGATAATTCGAAACCTTGAATAACCACCGTCTGACAGCCCGGATTTTGAAGCCGCTTATTCCAGCATAAATATATGCAATTACTTTCGAAAAGTTAGGAAACTTTCGAGCCTGCAAGAAGGGTCTCAGAGTTCTTCACTGAAAAGCCGCGCAGCGGCTTTTGAAAATACGAAGCCGCGAAGCGGCTTTGCCATAAAATCTAAATCCTTTTGAAACTCGATTTTGTAAAAGCCGCGAATCGGATCTTGAACATTTCAAGTAAAAAGCCGCGGAGCGGCTTTTTCAAAATCGAAGCCGCAAAGCGGCTTTGCAAGAGTTTGGAAGAGGTTCCAAGAGTTAATTTGTTAAAGCGGCTTTTCGGCTTTGTATTTGAAAAAGCCGCAAATCCGGTCCAAAAGAACTTTACTGAAAAGCCGCGCAGCGGCTCTTAGAAAATCGAAGCCGCGAAGCCAAAATATCTATTCTTAAAATTTTTAAAATTCTGGCGAAGCCGCTTCGCGGCTTTCTATTTAAGAAAAGCTGCATCGCGGCTTTTCCAGGAAACTCTAACATATCCTGACTCAGGTTCTCTAAACAGGCTTAACAAACTGGAAAATGCAAAAGGCTTCTGCCAATCGCTAAATGAAAAACCAACTTCACCACAAAAATTCAAATCCCTTTCAACCGGATTTCGCCGGGCCCGTCCGCGATATGCGCCGGAGCTCCTTACTTAGCGACGTGCAACAAACAACTCTTCCAAAACAAAAATATTCGATTCGACAAATTCTCCTTTTAGAAAGAAATTATTGAATTTCGGAAAATGAATAATTTCAAGTGCTGGCTTATCATTACAAGGCGATATAATAATTTGCAGTTTGAAGCGATGTGATAAGCGGCAATCACGTTCCGCAGACTTTTAACTGGACGGACATGTGTTCCGCTAAGTCACTGAATTTTTCGAGATTCGAGGATGCAATTTAAGACCTCAAGCGAGAATCTTCTAAAATGACTTTTGAATATTTCCTTAAGGACCCCCCCGTCATGTTTGACGATTTTCGGGAATCGATTCTCTGAGTTCTGAGGATCATTCATCTCTATTGTCGATTCTCTATTTGCCCATTTTTCGGTCGATCACCAATCTTCAAACCCTTTTTTCTTAGTGAAACCCTTAAGGTATCATCATACACTTGATGCGGTGCCCCCGACAAGGGTCTCAGCTAAATTTTCAACATACAAAAATTTTGATCAGTTAAGGTGATCATAATGATAGCCATGTTTGAAAAATATTTTCACTTTAACATATCGTTGCGACACCCTTAAGAGACCTATGAGCTTGTTTTCCTTATGGTGCCCTAGAGCAGCTATCGAGCTACAAAATACTCAAAAAATATATCAAAAATCTTAAGGGGATCAACCCGATATCCCTGTTTGAAAAAGTCATTATCACATGACGGAGGGGTCCTTAAAAATCGGTTAAATCATATCTGGCTCGGCTCGGCAACTTGTCAAGAAAACCTGAGTCAGGGTCTGTAAGAGCTCGAATGATAAGCCGCGCAGCGGCTTTTTTTAAGAACGAAGCCGGCTTATCATTCGAGCTCTTTAAGTTCCTGACTCAGGTTTACTACACAGGTTGCCGAACCCGGGGTTTTGAAAGGCTTTTGATAAAAGCCTCAATAGCGGATTTTCCTTAAAAAACTAAACTTGACCATACCTACTGTACTTAAAATGATTATTACCGCAAGAGGAAGTGGACTTTTTCAGAAAATCTGTTTACACTCACAAAAGAGAAAAAGATTTGCACACTCATTTTCTAGATAAAAGAAGAGAATGAATAATACTCGTTTCATAATTTTTATGCAAATTCAAAAAACATTAATGAATCAAAGATTTCGCAAATAAAGGAGGTTGCTGACGCGCCGCCTTCGTACGAAGTCTGCATGAAAAATAATGCCCACTGGGCTTCAGGTAAATTAAAACATGGGAAAATCAAACTCATCTTTAGGAAGCTCCGATACCCAGTCCTCCTTCTTTACATAATGTTCCAAATGAGTCGGAATCTGCTTTACCAGCAGAAACGATTTGTCCAAACAGAAGCAATTTTCAGACAAAATTGCTTGCCTACTGTTTCTTGTTTGTTACTTTGTTAATTTTTGTATCGCTCATTATTGTTCTTGGCTTTATTTATTTAGAGTAAATTTAATGCTTCTTGACCGTTATTTTTCAATTTCTCCTTAGAATAAAAAATCACCGTCGAAAAAATGCAAACCCAATTTCAACTTCTCCCGGCCGCAGCTCACAGATTTTCTGTCCCGCTTTTTCGTGGGAACGCAAAAAATTTTATAAAAAAAAACCAAAAGGGCCCGTGATTTCAACCTTTTTAAAAAACGACAGCGCAGATGCGACATGAGAGAAGAAAATGTCACTCGGTTAAAAGTTTAAGAGTGACGTGCCAATTATGGCGGTAATTGACCAGAAGAGGGCTTTTTTGGTGGATTAAGAAAAGATGAACTTTTAATTCTTTTTGCGTTTGCGTTTTTGCATAATTTTGAGAAAAAAGCTTCAAAAAAGAGAGACGCCCTTATTAAGGGATGGCGTCTGGAACCCCCCAAAAAAAAACTCGAAAATTGGCTGCTGATTGGCCGGTTTGCCGAATCAAGGCTTCTGATTGGTAGAAAATTTTGCCTGGATTTTTCAGCCAATCAGAAGCCTAGATTCGTTAACCCTGCCAATCAACAGCCGATTAGCCGCACACGCAAAATTTGTCGAAATTTTTTGCCGGTTCCTATCGCAAGCCCCTTATTTTGCCTTGAATTATATTTCCGGGGAGCTATTGATTTGATGATTATCTCAAATCTTCAGACAAAAATATCAAGCGCGATTTTAGTCCCCATTTTTGGTTCCGATTCTAAAGCGAATCAAACTCGATTTCCCGACCAAAAATATCAAGCCCTTCCCCTTACTTTCCTCTCTGAAGAAGCACTTAATTTCAAAAGAAAAAGTTCTTAGAAGAAAGAAGGCTGATAAATGTGGGAATTCGCGAGTCAATTTTGTGTCAGAAGTGATGTCAGAAATGTCAGAGACCAGCCGGTCGGTTTGATAAGGAGTTATCTGCTATCGCGCTGAATACACAGCGGGGGAGGAAGGTTACGTAAAAGTTTAAACGGTCTGGTCGACTGTCAGTGTTTCGAGATACTGTATTTTCATTTCGGAACGCTAGAATTTCCAAAAGAACCTTTCTAGGGCTATTTTTTCAACAAGAATTATGGGACACGTCTGAATCGGAATCCGCCCATCCCGCGTAAAATTTAAATAATCCGAGTAAAAAATGCCCCGAATATTTTTTGAAACTCAAGCTAAGAAATAAGAATTTTGTGAACTTTCTTTTCTAGAGAGACGTTGTGGTGAAGTTGTAATTTGTGATCTAATAATACCTCGTCCGGGGTTGTTTTGACGCGCTTTCCGTAGAAAAGATAGGGCGTTGGTTTGATACTTAGAGAGGTACTTAGAGAAATGAATCAAGAAAGGGGAAGTTTTAAGGGGGTAGATGTCAATAATCGGATTTCCTTGCAGTCTTTTTTTCCAATTTTTATCAAATTAACACCCTTATTTTTTCTGCTCAAATTCATTTTAGGCAATTAATGAAAGCCAAAAATTATGATTTCTTGTGCAAAAAAAATCAGGAAATATTTAATTTCGACTTCGATACGAAAAAGATAAGGGTCTGAATTTTTAGTTGCCGGAGAAAAATAAGGGTGTCACTTTGTAAAATTTTGGAGAAAAAGCTGAAGCCAAATGCCGATTCTTGATATCTACAACCTTAAGGGTGTCCGAAAACGATTTATAATATTATACTTTTAATATATGAATGATATACCATATGATATGCTCCATATCAATTTGATATTGACAATATAATTTATTTCGGATTTTTGTCACAAAACATTAAATCCCTAAAACACCCTGGGATTCTTTTTAGAAACCGCAGAACATAAGTCGAAGTGTTGGGAATACTAATTGAGGGTTGTTTTAACGATAAGCCGAAAATTATTTTTCCTCAAACTCCGAATAGCCCCCTCAAAACAACTCTGACCAAGTACCGAAAACATCGACTTTTGATCAAATCTGGCTCATTTTGCTCAATTATCAAAAATGGCGCTTGAAATCTATACGGCTTTTCTTTAAAGTAAGACCATCCTTGATCTCCGTGGCGGATACTTTAGGCCCTTCGCTTCTTCTTAGCGAAAGAAGTATCAATCAGGTTTCAATAAAGAAGGACTGACGCGGCCGGAAACGAGGCTCTTGAGGATTTCCGCTGCGCTCTGTGTTCTACATGAGCACGGATTTAGGAAAGCTCAGTTGCTCCTTTTAAATAAGAAGGGTGATTTAAAGGGGTTCCAAACGAATTAAGGGGGCGGCGTCAAGAACCGACAAAAATTTTTCGACAAATTTTGGATGGGTGGCTACTCGGCTGCTGACTGGCCGGTTAGCAGTATCCAGGTCTCTGATTGGCTGAAATTTCCACGCGAAATTTGTCGAATTTTTGTCGGTTCTTTACACCGCCCTGCTTCTAGGGCCTTTCTGAACTATTTCTAGAAAAGTCAGAAGAAATCATAGATTCTCGCGGCTGAAATTAAGTCAATTATTGGTTATATCTTTTTTATAGCACTCCCTTAATTTCGATTGAGCTCCACAGCCAATGATCAAGACCTTTAGCAGCGTCAGATTGATTTTTACGAAAAAGGGTTCAAAACGTGAGGAGATGAAAAATTTAATCCGTGTCAGCTTTACGGGGAAGTTTCTTTTATTAACAATTTATTATCGTTATCACGCATCTGTCGCTTGAGTTGTTCGCCGCGGTCTCCTGCTGTGTTGATAAATATTTGGCTGATATCCCGCTCAGAATGAATAAGACCCCATGTCTTTGTCAGAGGAGAGACAGCAAGTCATGACTGATAAGACTTGAGCGCGAGAATTCAAATGGCGGATTTTGACAGATTAAAAGATTGAGAAGATTTTGGAGTTTTAGAAAAGATAAGATTTTTTCGCAAATGGGACGTCAAATCGACTTGGTTGAAGAATTTACTGAAAAGCCGCGGAGCGGCTTTTTCCAAAAACGAAGCCGCAAAGCGACTTCGCCAGAAGTCTTGATAGGTTGAGGGGGAAATATTTCGAAGACGCTTTGCGGCTTCGTTTATAAAAAAAAACAGCTCAGCGGCTTTTCATTTTAGAGATTTCAAATCCTGACTCAGGTTTTTTGCTCAGGTTGGTGATCCATAATAATAGCACCAGAGTGTTGAATTTCGGTTGGCTTTTAGAAGTCGCGACAAATCGTAGAATGAAACGCAATACAGTGCGATTAGTTCAAATTTTCTGCGTAAAAATCGATGGCGACGGAAGTAGATAATCTCGGGTGATCTTAAGAGAAAACGAGTGCTCCGTGGATATGTAACGATTGAGCGTGGCATGCCGAGCTCAAGTGACGTGAATCATGAACACTTGCCGAAGTCATAACTAGCGCATTCCGAATCGTTCAAAAAGACACGGCCGCTGCCCCAACTCTGCCAAACTCGCGGTCGCTTTTTGTTTAGAAAAAGACATGCCGCGAGAAATGGACATCTTACAATTAGAAAATTACTCCGCGGAAAATAGAACTCAAGCAACACATCTTTTTTTCAAAAAAAAATTTTTTTTTTCGCGAAAAAATATATTTTTAAATAAAATATTAAAAATTATATTTTCATTCATTAATGAAAAATATTTTAATGAATTATTAAAATAAAAAAAAACTTATTTTGATAAATAATTTTTTACTTAATAATTTATTTCAATACTGATAAAATTTTTCATAATTAAAAAAAATTAAAATAATAAAATTAAGAAAAAATCTGACACAAAAAATTGTCTTTTTCTTTGCTTGGTTGAGCGAAATTTTTCGTGAAAAAAAAAACTGGACAAGTTAAAAATAATTATTTTTGCTTGGCGCTAAGCTCGGCTCCTAAGATAATCAAAAAGGCGAGTGCGGCGGGCCACGTTCCCACCATGAAATCGGCGGACACTTTGCACAAAAGAGAAGTGTTCAAGAGAAGATCTTTAGAAGAAGCCCTCGCAGAGAAGGGCAATTTAATTATATTAAGAGTCTTTTTCTTGAGTTTTTTTTTCAATTTTTCAAGAAGAAAAATTAGAAAATAGACGAAAACGAAAAAGTAGAAAAACCTATTCACGAGCATTTTTTCTGATATCTGATTGGCCTAGGATCTTAATGCAGACATCTGATTTGTCTTAAACTTGATATTTAAATTCGTTATTTTTTTTCGATTTTAGATTCGAGCCGGCTACCAAACTGATTTTTTTCATCAAAAACCATAATTTGAATAACTTTTAACAATTCGTTTATTGTTAATTTGACTTTTCTATTGAGAATTTACTTACAAAAAAGTCTTCTTTGTTTTTCTTAATTTTTCGTTGTCGAAATCTCTCGTTTTGTTCGAATCTCAGGTTTGATTATTCAGAATATTGAAAAAGTGTTTAGTTCAGCGTTTGCAAAAGGGAAGGATACTGAGGTCTTTACGGCGCAGCAGGCGGCCGCGGGGCGCGGAAAATCACGAAAACGCGCTCTCTAGCGCCGCCGCATCAAAGAAAAGTAGTAAAGCGCTTAGTCACGAGTTCTAAATTTACTTGATCCTATGAATACGATACAAACAGGGTTAGAAGCGGCGACGGAAAACAAGGATGATTATTATAAATCGGCGATTATTAATGTTCAACCCAAAATACTGCATTTTCAAACGCAATTGCTGAAGAAACGCTGCGGAAAGAATATTTGAGAGTCATTTTATGATTCACTTGAAAGCAAATTTACTTTGATTGCTCACGCGTTTTCCCTTTTTCTAATCGTAAAAAGCGGAGCTTGCGTCAGTCGGAATATTTTCAAAACAGAAAAAAACTGCTTTTCTCGAGAGAATTTTGAGGATGCCCAACGTTCTTCGTGAATCCCACGAACGTTTTCAATTAGGTAAAAGAACCCACAATGCAATTTTTAAAAGCAAAATCGCGCATTTTTTACGAGCTCTTTACACTCAGAAGGAAAAGGGCGCTGTGTAAGAGCACATAAAGTGCGAGATTATGGATTTTAAGACGTTCGCCAAATTGATTGACCAACCTTTTTTAAAAAATTCTTAGCTCGAATATTCCACCAAAACATCATTAACACCACCCATGCCTCCCGAATCGCCCAAAACCCAGAAGATCGAGCCCAAATAGTTGCCCTTGATGATGAATCACAAGCAAACATTGACTCACTCCCAGCCCTTTTTGTCGATTGTGAGACAACGCTGAAAGAGCAAGCTGACAACATGAAAGTCATCGGAAAAATCATCAAGGAGGACAACTTCTACAACACCGTCGAGGAAGACACTGCTCAAACAAACATTGTTCAAAATATGCTTGATGGCTTCAAGTACACTTTTGGTCTTCTCAAAAATGTCGAGTGGCTAGGAAGAACCTTACCTGGCGTAGAAACAGAACTGTGAGAAAACTCTTCCTCTGTTTTGGTATTAATTTATTTATAAAAAAATAAAAAAAGGGAAAACAGCTCGGATCTCGCTCAAACCTCGCTCAGCTATCATATTTTTTGCCCTTGAGCGAGCGAGCGACTGAGCGGTTCTCTATGAAAATCAGTTGAGTGAGCGGAGCGTGAGCGATCGCTCGCTCGCTCATCGCTCGCTCACGCTCAGATGTCGCTTAGCGCTCAGCCAGAATTGGAACCCTGGTAGCGACAATTTTCAAGATTTTTGAACCAAAATCTTTGTCGCTTTCTAGGCCCCTTATAATGGCCGAACCCGAACCTTAACCATGATCCGAACTCGAACCAGAACCTGAGCTCAAAAATGAACCCAAACCCAAGCCCAGACTATTGCCCGAAAATGAATAAAAGTGGAAGAAACCGAAATGATGACGGAGAGAAAAATGGGTGTTGGAAAGACGTTGTACCATATATGGCACATTTGGCGGCGTAGGGTTAAGGACCCCCGTCAGCTTTTTCCTTCAAAAAATGGAAATTTTTAAAAATTTTCTCGAAGATGACATCTTTTATTGAATTGATTTCGTTTATTTTTGTTTAAGCTTTCGGACTTGTTTGTCCATCTTCAGAAACAGTGAGTGGCAGAGATAAGAGTGTGCAAAATTGTTATCTCTGCCACTCACTGTTTCTGAAGATGGACAAACAAGTCCGAAAGCTTAACCCTACGCCGCCAAATGTGCCATATATGGCACAAGGGCTTTCCAACACCCATTTTTCTCTCCGTCATCATATCGGGTTCTTCCATTTTTACTCATATTCGGGCAATAGTCTGGGCTTGGGTTTGGGTTCATTTTTGAGCTCGGGTCCTGGTTCAAATTCGGATCTAGGTTGAGGTTCGGGTTCGGCCATTATATGGGGCCTAGGACGACGGAAAAGATGATGTGCCATATATGGCACATTTGGCGGCGGGGGTTGAAATTTTAGTTTGGCGGCGTAAGGTTAAACAAAAATAAACGAAATCAATTTTTAAAAATACCACATTTTTGGTTTTAAATGCGTCCTTTGGTTAAACTTCCTTTAAAAACTTGATAGGAGGAATTTTTGACTAAGAAAATCAGGGGAAATTAGGGCAAACTCGTCGATTTTCGTGAAGTCCAATTGTCAAATGCGATTTTGAGGGTGTTAGAGTCGAGATAGACCCCCAAAAAATGAAACCTCAAAATCGTTTTTTGACCTGTAGAATCCATTTCCAGGGTCGAAATTTTGAAATTCCGAAAATAAATTTATCGAAAATTGTTGACGGGGGAGGGGGGGGGTCCTTAAACCATTTGTCAGGCTTTTTTAGAAAATCATATCTGAGCATCAAAATTATTGGTTGACAAAATATGTTTAATAATCCGTTCACGCGAAATGATTCACAAGCCCCTCGATTTATGTTTAGCAAACTGGCTAAACACGATAAATTGGGCGGCGGCAAAATTTCGATTTTTTTTTCTGAAAATCTTAAAAATCCTCAAGTTGATAGTTTGAGCGCCTACTGAATTGAATCACTGGTAAAATACAAGAGCGCACGTCAGATTGAAATAAAAAGTTAATGTAATTTACAAGCGCAATGTCTAAATTAAATTAATTAATGAGAAGCCCGCATTCCAAAAATGAAAATCAATAGACCCGATATTGAAGATAAAGAGAGACTCCACCAGGCAGATATTTCAAATTGAAAATGTTAAATTAAAAGGAAAAAAATGAAATGAAGAGAAATTATGAAAGTTTTGCGAAAAAACATAAAAGGAAAGATTTTTCAAAATAAAGTAAAATAATGAATTTGAGATCATTTTTTCTGAAATCTGATTGGCTGACAGGCTAAAAACGGAAATCTAATTGGTCATTAGTCAAAAAGCGGAAATCTGATTGGCCAACAGCCAACAAGCGGTTATCTGATTGGCCGACAGAAAAATAGCGAAAATCTGATTGGCCAACAGGCAAATAGCCGTAATCTGAAAAAAAAGAACATTAGTTTCCGAGATTATTTTAAAATCTTTCCCAAGTTTGCATCTGCTTGACTCTTCTATGTTTTCTTTTGGTCAGCAATTATTTTTTCTTCCTCTCCGACCTTATTTTGTCCACTGGAGTGTTGTTTGAAAATGGCGAGCTGATTTATCTTTGCACGATGCTAGAAATCCTGTCTGTTTCTGCTGAAATGGTTCATCAATTGAGCGAGTTATGGTTTTATTTTTACCCGAAAAATCGGCAAAAAATGTCAATTCCGATTTTTTCGTAAATTTTTTTCAAAAAAAATGCCCGTAACTCTAAAAAAAGAACATCCCGTATTACGATAATCAACGGCGGCTGATCATACAATTTTTGACAAGCGGCTCTGGCGTTTTCTGCTCTTTATCTTCGTGCTTTCTCGTCTACACAACCCGTATCGCTAATGATGACGAATTTAGACTTTATCGGGTAAACTCAATAATCATCATTTGTTTCAATAATCATTTTCAGTCCTGCGATGGTGCAAATTTTTCAATAACAAATTATCTCAAAGCGTGTTATTATGGCGTCTCTTGTTTGGTCATACATTTGGCGACTTTTTGCTACCAGAGTTTCAATCTCCAAGAAATCATTTGCCAATCTCAGTGAAAGCATTGAAATCATGGAAGAGTTTTTAAAATATATTTGGTAAATGAAAATAACAGTTCATGGAAGTTTATTTTTGACTACTTGGTGGGATTCACGAAATCAGCAGAAGCGCTATTTTCATGCAATTACGGAGAAGAATATTATTCCGAAAATAATCATTACGAAACCCGAATAAATACAAAAGTTCAGACCTATTTCTCGTTTTTCGAAAAATTAAAGATCTTGTTTTGAACAGTGAAGAAAGTAGTTCTGAGAAAATTGTGAGGAGTCGGGTTATTTTTGAAAAAGATATTGAAATAAACATAACAAATAAATCATAACTGATTCATTACTTATGAGATTAAAAAATCAGAGAAAACAGAAAAAGATGAGTCCGGACTAGAACCATAAACAGAACCAGATTGAAGATAAACATCAATTTTATCATTTGCTTTTAGATCAAGAACCGCAGCTGCTGTTATTGAGGATTGAGAATCCTAAATACGCATGAATGATATTTAGATGTAAAAAAAAAAAGATTTTTTATTCGTGAAAACTTACCTTAGATTAAACATGTGAAATTGATTTTGAATTATCTCGTACCATGAGATTTTTTTCTAAAGGGAGATCTGAGAATCTGAGGGTCCTAAGCCCTCTGGGACTCTCAGTTTAGCCGCGCGCGCCTAGCGCGGCTAACCAATCAAATGAAGGTATTCTTCCGCAGTGCGCCGCACTCTAAATTCTTTATTCTGAGGTACCCAACAGGAGCTGAAAGAAATTTCTAGACTTCCCCGAAAGTGAAACGGGGAAGCGAGGCCAGGGGCCTTCTCCCTCTCTAAAAAAATCTCATGGTATCTTTATCCCAGTTTGACCATTCGCCTTTTTGGATTTCAAATTACATGAACATTCTATCAAATAAAAAATACTTATACAAGGAAGACTCTATATTTTAAAATTAATGATACATATAAATAATCAGCGAAAACCAATGCCCAAGCGGCAGCAGTGAAAGAATATAAGCCGTCGGTTGGTGCAGTGAAAATGCCAGTACCATGATCAGGATTGATATCATTCAAATTCATAAGAACATCATTGAAAGGAATGACATTCTCTTTGGACCTGAATGTTTCTGCTCTAAAAGCAACTCGTGGTTTTGGCTCACATGCTTTGCCTGGCTCTCCTTGTTCTCCAGGTTTTCCAATTGGGCCTCGCTCGCCGATAATACCAGCATCTCCTTTCAGTCCAATAGGGCCGGGCTCTCCGATTCCGATGTCGCCTTTTTCACCGACAGGGCCCCTCGCGCCCTTTTCTCCAGTAAGCCCGTCTCGCCCGTCTCTTCCATCTCTTCCTCTTAAAAGATAACCACCAGATAAACACTGGGTCTCATTGACTCTTGTCTCAAGAAATCCCTTTTGCGGCCTTGACATAACACCACATTCGTTGATCGCATCGGTAAAGTCCGCAGGACATTTTCTTGTGCATTCGAAATTGACGCTTTAGCAGATTTTAATATCTCTTCTATAATTTTAGATTTGTTTAAAATCCGTGTATGGCAATTAGATAGGCATGATTCCAGCACTTCTTCAGCTGAATTTGAGTCAACAAAGGGGTTTATAAATCAATATGTTACTTTTCTCTCTGCATCTTGCTCGAATGTCCTGACAAAGACTTGACACTACAAGTAAACTTAAAATCAACAATCTCATTTTTAAAACTGAGGAAGGATCAGATAAAGTACTCGTTGTAGAGCGAGAATTATTTCCTCAAATAAGATGGAATCAAAACATTATGAAGCCAAAAATACCAGAGGCTCTGGTCAGTTACTGTAATGTCAAGCTTTAGAACGAAAGAACTTATTCTGAATAAGTTATTCATCGGAATCAATTTTTGCTTCCTGCTTCATTACCAAAAATCATCACCAACTTTTTCGATAACAAAATATCTCAAAGCATGTTATTATGGCGTTTTTTGTTTGGTCATTCATTTGGCCACATTTGGCCTACCAGAGCTCCAATCTGCAAGAAATCATTTGCCAACAACAGTGAAAGCATTGAAATCATGGAAGTGTATTTTAAGAATTTTGCAAAATGAAAATAACAGTTCATGGAAGTTTATTTATTATTTATTATTCGCGAAGCCAGCAGAAGCGCTATTTTCATACACTTACGGAGAAAAATATTATTCCGAAAACAATCATAACGAAACCCGAATGAATATCAAACTTCAACATTTTTTTGTTCAACTTAAAAAGTAAGCCTCGAGTGAGAATCTATTACAGGATGTGAGCTGAAGGCAAAGAATAAAGGAAATCGAATAACCAGAAAAATATGCCATGTAACATCGGCTGTTACTATCAGGGCTTGCAATAACACGGTTTATGGCGAAAACCCGGAAAATAATTTGTACTATTAAGTGAATTTAAGGAATTTCAATCACACGGTTTTAAGGGATCCCCCCCCCGATTTGTTGTTGCGGAACAAAAATATGTGATTTTCTGAATCTGGGTTTTGATTGGCTGGTAGGTCAAGGACAGCAATCTTATTGGCTATCCAAAATCACTTCCATTTCTTGGTTTGTGCAGTTTTAAGGGAAAATCTCAGAAAAAATCAGTAAAATTGCAAACTCTGACTGAACATGGGCCATGTTTATAGGCAACAGCTATTATGAATGAAGAAATCCAGAAAACATTGAATATGTTTCAAATTCTGATGAATGAGAGTTAGAGGCGTAAACACTGCCTGAATTCAGAATGACATCAACTTTATCATTCTCTTCAAGTACAAGGAACAAAGAAGCTGTAAACGTTTCAGATTTAGTCTAAACAATCCTGAGTTATTCAGATTTTTTTATCCTTTATTCAACCTCTGCACGGGCAAATGCAGCATTTTTTCCATTGTAGCGAATTCTGAACATAGAAGACGAGCTTTGACTCTTTTTTTTTGTTCATTTTATAATTTCGTTTAATGCAAACTGATTTACAGTCGACTGCCACAATTAGGACTGCCGCAATAAGGCTCTTTTTGGCAAAACACCAAAACTTGACTGGGTGTTTTTAGAAATTAAGAAAGTTTTTCTATAGAGGACTTAATTCTGCCAGTCGACTCTAAACAAATTAATAATTTTACAACTGTTTTAGAATGGATTCCTTTAACCCCTGCCCGCATATCGACCTACGCGTAGGTAAATTGACTTTTAAACGAAATTATGCTTTCGAAAAAACGACATTTGTTGACATTTGATATTTGATATATGAAAATTGATTATGTCCAAAAGATAGCTCAGACTTTGATCTTTCCCTCTATGTCCTTTAAAAAATTTTATCACGGCCGAAACACCCTAAAAAGGCCCGACCTACGCGTAGGTCGATATGCGGGCAGGGGTCACAAATTTTCCATGCGGGCAGGGGTTAAAAAACAGTCCCTGAAGACTAGCAGTAAAAAAATAGATACCGTCTACGGGGGCAGTGAATATGCCAGTTGAAGCATCATACGCACCATTATCAGGATTGATTTCATTCAGATTCATAAATACTTTTTTGAACGGAATGACTTTGTTGGTAGTGGTGAATGTGCTCGTAAGTCCAGCCCTGAAAGCAACACGAGGTTTTGGCTCACATGCTTTGCCTGACTCTCCTTTTTCTCCAGGTTTTCCAATTAAACCTTGCTTGCCAATTATACCAGCATCTCCTTTTGGTCCGTTAGGGCCGGGCTCTCCGATTCCGATGTCTCCTTTCGCGCCAACTGGTCCTCTTTCTCCTTTTTCTCCCGGCTGACCGATAGGACCAGGCTTTCCGATTCCAATATCCCCCTTTTCGCCAATTGGGCCCCTTGCCCCTTTTTCTCCAGTAAGTCCATCTCGGCCATCCCTTCCATCTCTTCCTCTTAGATAATGTCCAGCAGAAATGCATTGTGTTTCATTATAACTCTGCTCCAGAAAAGGGAGAGTCGACCTTGACAAACCGTCACATTCATGAATTTCATCCGTGAAATCTGCGCGGCATTTTCTTGTGCAGTCGATATTTCGGCTTTATTGATTTTAATAAATTTAATAAAATTATTCATCTTTATTTTAAATCCGCTTATGACAATAAGTTAGGCATTTCTCCAGCTTTTTCTCCGCTAAATTAATTTGAAAGTATTCGTATTTTTAAACTTTCTCTTACTTATTTCTTTGCATCGGGATAGAATGTCCTGACAAAAAGATGACCAGGCGAGCAAAATGCAAAGAAGAAATCTCATTTTTAAAACTGAGGAAAGACCAGAAAAACTTCTCATTTTTATGTGAGCAAAATTTCCTCCAAGAAAGATGGAATCAAAATATTCAGAAGCCGAAAATAATAAACTTTTTGGCCAGCTACTGTAAGTCCAAGGAAAGAATTCATCATCAAAATCAGTATTTCCGCGAAAAAAATCAGGATGACCTTGTGACTCTGTCGGTCCATAACAAAGCGATCAGCATTTACATCTGATCGGATATGTTTTTTCCTTCAACTCGCCGCGGGGCGATAAGGATCCCCCCTCCACTGACTGCACCTGAACAGCTGTTTCCGACCTTGGGCGCTATTACGATTTTATTGGACTTGTCCGCGATTTCACGCATATATAACCCGCCCAAGAATTTTTGTTTATCACAATTAGTTCCGGTTCAAAACAAGAAAACAAGAGATAAGACGAGAACATGGAAAATTTTCTCACCTATGATTTTTCAAGCGACGCCTTGGGGCAAATCGAAATCGGCCAGAGGCAAAATGACCCGAAATTGAACGTCAAATTGGCTGAAAGAGACCTTTGGGATGCATTTGACAACGTAAAAAATCAAGAAAAATAACTCAAAACGAGAAAATTGAACCGCCTTTATTAACCCCCCTTTTCAGGTTGGAACAGAAATGATCATCACAAAAACCGGTCGCCGAATGTTTCCTGGAATCAAAGTCAACATCTCCGGCATGGAGCCACACGAAAAATACGTCGTCATTTTGGACTTCGCCAATGTCGATGAAAAACGGTACAAATTCTCAGATGGCGAATGGAAACTCGGGGGAAGATGCGAGCCAAATCATCCAAAAAGATTTTTCATCCACCCGGATTCGCCGAATACTGGAGATCATTGGCAACAAAAAACGGTAAGGAGCATTAATTTATTAAAGTTGAAATAATTATTAATTGTCTTTTGGGTACTCAGATATTGTGTATGATAAATGATGATAAATTATCAATGATTATGAAGTAGAAAAATTGGTTATCTTAAAAAAATCTTCAAATTTATGGTTTTTCAAATCGTATTCTTCCTTGATTCCAAGCCTCGAATTTCAATTCAGATCTCCTTCCGCGGCGCAAAACTGACCAACAACTTGATCAACGACCCCAACATGATCGTCCTCAATTCCATGCACAAGTACCGCCCCCGCGTCCACGTGATCAAATGCTCCTCCCTCTCCGCCATCTCCTCTTCGCCCTTCTCCACCTTCGACTTCCCAAAAACATCGTTTATCGCCGTCACAGCTTACCAAAACACCGCAGTCACGAAGCTCAAAATCGCTCACAACCCCTTTGCCAAAGGTTTCCGCGAGCGAGCGCCTGCCAAAAAGCGCTCAGCGAATCAAAACGCTTCTGCTCCAAAACGACCGCGATCGCTCAGCCCAAGCAGCACCAATCAGATTCCGATCATCGCTCATGAAAACTCCTGGTCCAGCGACTCCTACACCATCCCAGTCGAATATCCCCAGCAACCGTATTCCGTCTCGCCGACGCCAGACAGTCTACCAGACAGCACGAATCAAGCAAATCCGCCGCAAATCTTCGCCGAAACCGCGATCTACCCACTGGACCATCTGGGGTATCAAAACCAATTCGAGCCGATTTCTCAATTTCAACCTTTCTACACCCCGCCAAATATGAACCAGTATCAAAACTTCTACCCAGAAACTCATGGTTTCACCGCTGAACCAATTTTGAACCAAAATTTGGACCAAAATCTCGTCTCTTTTCTCGAATAAGAACTTCTTCTTTTCCGCATGCATTTTTGTAAATAAAGAATCTTATATGAAAGTGTTTGTTTTTTTATTTGATTATACATGATTAAAATTATTATCAAATATAATAAGGAGTATCATGAGTTTCTCATTACTCGGTGAGGACAGCAAGCTCATTTTCAGGAGCATCGGCATCTTGGCTCAACAACCTGTGTAGAAAGCCTGAGTCAGGGTCTGAAAAAACTGAGATGAAAAGCCGCGAAGCGGCTTTTTTAAAAACGAAGCCGCTACGCGGCTTCGCCAGAATTTTTGACAGATTGTTTTGGTAATATTGGCGAAGCCGCTTTGCGGCTTCGTTTTTAAAAAAGCCGCTTCGCGGCTTTTCATCTCAGTTTTTTTCAGACCCTGACTTAGGCTTTCTACAGAGGTTGCTGAGCCCAAATCGGCATAGTCGATAAATGCTCTCATTCGTCGAAGTTCAGGGAGAGCTAGGAGCAATTCTAGACCGTGGAAAAAGAGAGGAAAACTCACCGGTGGCTGAGGACTTTTTCGCGGCGTCGGATCCATCGGCGAAGATTTGAGATTTTGTTCTTCCTTCTGAGCCTGTAGCGGTTCTGGTCTTTTTTGGAGATTTTGTGTGTTTTGCGCCTTCAGCGGTCAGGATAAAGTTCTCATGATTGTTTTCAAAAAGAGAATTTACTGTTAGAAAATTGACAAGATAGTATCGACGTTTTCTTGATTCTATCGATATTTTAGTAGAAAAAAGTCTTCATTGAAAAATGAAAACAATTCCCTCAACTCCCATTTTCTCCCAGAAAAAAGCAAAAGAAGCGCGAATGAGTTAACTTCACAACTGAACTTTTTTCCAAAAAACGAAGCTCATCAATAAACTCGTTCTAGAGAAAATTGACAATTGACAATTGTTGAATTTATTCTTTGATCAATGCGACGCGGAGAAATTAAGTATTTAGTACAAGAAATTGCCGTCGAGGTAGTCGACGAGGTCGAAATCGTTGAGAGGAGAGCGCTTTTGGGTGCGAAAGCGGAGATCGTCCTGCATTGCTTGTTCGAAGAAGTTTTTGAAGCAGCCAAGGCCGGATGATGAATCGCAATTTACTGAAATTTGAAGAATGAAGCGACGTGAATGAAAAATATGGTATTTTTAATTCAATCAAAATCGACAAAAACGAAAATTTTGGCCGAAAAATCTTAGTGAAATAGAAAACCAATCAAATTCCCTCATTATGCCGCTCGGCCAATCAGATTTTAAAAATCATTTGTCGTCGTTTTTTGTCGATTTGAGCGTCATTCCCTTTTTTTTGGGAGATGTCAGGAACCCACAAAAAATCTTGACCAATCAAAAGCATAGATTCGGCTAACCGGCCTATCATAACCCAAATAGCCGCCCACGCAAAATTTGTGGAAATTTTTGTCGGTTCCTGATTTTCTCCGAAAAAAGCAATTTTCATACCTTCAGGCATTGGTGAGCCAGAAGTTAAGCTAATTATCGCCATCAATAAACCTTAAAAAATTGTAAGTTCTCGATTTTTTCTAGTTTGAAAATCTTACTTTTCATGGTGTTATTTTTCTAACTTCTTTTTGTTTGAGCGAAGTCGGAAGCTTCGTCGATTTATATGCGACAAAATGATGAATTATTTAGTTTGTCCTCAGAAGATTGCTTCGATTCAAATTTAAATCCGTGCTCCATAAAGCCGCAGAATAATCGTTTGTGGCGTGATTTCGGGTTGGATTTAAAGAACGCCTGAATAAATTTAAAACAGACAATGGCTTTGTGTGACTTAATGAGAACCATACTGAAGTGTAAAGGATAATTTACAGTATACATGTAGCGAATATTCTCAACAAACCAGAGTTGCAAATTTTTTGAGCAGGTGATCAGCTCAGCTCAGAGTTGCAAATTTTCGAAATTTTTTCTGAGCTGAGCTTGCTGAGCTGAGGTCGAAATTGAGCTGAGTTGTCCACTTTGTGTTGGAGTCAAAACTTTGCACCCGGGAAGTCCGGGCAAAATCTCCAGCTGTACAAATAAGATGCAACGAGCCCACCGACAGGTGATAACTCCCGCAGAGGCTGCTCTCAGGCCAAACTCAGAGCAACTCTCGGCGTGAGATGTGTGAGGGCACTCTGAGCCCAAGATCAGGAATAAGCTGAGCCCCGGATGAGCCACAAAAGTAAAGATTTGGAAGAGTAAAAAATAGAATTTGATGAAATTAGGGTTATCGAGAGCGTAGATTCCGAACCTAAGATCGAAAAAGTCTTTTAATGTACAAAATTTTTATAAAATTTGCGGTCCCACACGATTTTTTCGAAATTGGCCATTTTTGACCGGCGCTCACGCCGACATTTTGAAAAATAATTTCATCTACAGGTAGATCAAACCTTGATGAAGAGATGATGTAATCTAAAGAAGCGTATCTCAGCTTTTTCAAATTCAAAAATTTCATATTGAAATCAACGCGATCCAAATCAGATGTCAAAACAACGAATTTTTTTTTGACTTTTTCGCTCATTCAATCCTTATAATATAAAGATAGGGGCGTAGTTTATGAAGCAAAACTTTTTCGAATTCCGACTTTCGCAAAATCGTGTGGGACCCCCTTAAATTGATCAGGTATTGGTTTATTGGTTAGGTGTACATTAAAAGTCTTTTTAGACTTCAGATTCGGAATCCACGCCCTCGATTACCCTATTGGGCAAATTTTCATCAAATTCTATTTTATACTCTTCCATATTTTCACTTTTGTGGCTCATCCGTGGCTGAGCTTGATCCTGATCTTGGGCTCAGAGTGCCCTTAGATCGTATTTGATGAAGGGTTCACACATCTCACACCGAGAGTTGCTCTGAGTCGGGGCTTTGAGCAGCCTCCACGGGTGTTAGCACTTGTCGGTGGGAGCCTTGCATCCTGTTTGCTCAGTTGGAGACCTTGCCCGTATTTCCTAGGTGCCAAGTTTTGACCCCAACACAAAGTGGAGTGAGCTGTGGTTCCATCTTTGTGAGCTCAATAGACTGAGCTGAGCTAGCTGAGCTGAAGTCTAAATTGAGCTGAGCTGAGCTGACCCTCACCTCAAAATTGCAGATAATTTCTGTAACAGCTAGCTCACAAAATTTGCAATTCTGGCTCAGCTCAATGATTTTCGAAAATGATCTGTTCTGGTCAGCTCAGCTCAAACAATTATCACGCAGCTCAGCTCAGCTCAACTCAGAGAAATTTTCACTCAGATCATGTCAGCTCGGCTCAGCAGAAGTTAATCAAAATTTGCAACTCTACTCCAAACAAAATGTTATTTTTGAGATTTTATTTTTATAGATTTATGTACAGAATTTACCAAATTTATTTACAAAAGAAAAAAATTTACGCCACCTTGAACTTTCAGAACAATTTAAATCTCTTAATCTTCTTCTCAGAAGTTTAGTTTCTTCGTCGATAATTTCTTGTTCTATGGCGAGTATAGCGACCGCGGTTTTGCTTGAACTCGTTGTAGAGCTTGAGACGATTGTCGGAGAGAACGAAGTTGCATCGGCGACGTCTGTAAATATTCCCTGAAAGAGAAATTGAGCATTTTCGAGTGAGAAAAACAGGCTTACATCGCTTATTGACTTTTAATTTGTGGCAGAAGTTCCATCTCTTCTTGAATTGGTTAAAATTCGCTTCGGTTTTGAACAGATGAGTGAGCTAAAAAAAGAGTGAAGAAGGAACAGGTTATCTCAAACTTACATAACGAAGATTTGCAGTGCTCAAATCAATCGAAATATCAAAATATTTACTTCCAAGCTGAAGTTCTTCCAAGAAATCTTGCTCCATTTTTTCCTTTTCCTCTGAAGTAACTGTTTATACTGTGATTTTGATAAGCTATTTACCTTCAATTTCTTTATGAGCAGCTCCAACATAGCTGCCATGTCTGGCGATAGCGGCGAATTCATCAATCGTAGTACAACAAGGGCTCGTTGTTGTTGGTAAGACTGTTGTTGTTGTTGTTGTTGTTGTTGTTGTTAAAGCTGTTGTTGTTGGAGGAGGAGTTGTTGTTGGTTTTGTTGTCGTTGTTGGTGAGACAGTCGTTGTTGGAGTTGTCGTTGAGGGAAGTGTCGCCATTGTTGATGTTGATGTTGTGGTCATTGTTGTTGTTGATGTGGTGGTAGTGGTGGTGGTTGTAGTTGTCGTCGTTGTCGTTGTTGTTGTAGTAGTGGTTGTTGTTGTTGATGCCGGAGTTGTTGTAGCTGGAAGAACTGGTTCAGTTGTCCATCCAATTTCTTCCGCCTCGTACAACTCGCTCTCGAAATTTCTTGTCGCTCGGGCAAGACCTAGAAGAAGGATATTGAGATGGCTTTTCTGGAATAAAAAGGTACAGTAAGAAACTGCAGCTTGCGCAAGTTTATCACGTGGTGCCCGTTCTCAACCCGCACGTTAGCATAAAACTTGATTTGCTCAAAATAGCGTCAATAAGCCAGCAACGTGCATTGAGCCCGTTAACACGATCAAAAATATACTTTCTAGCACTTACCAGTTCGCGCGGTCGTTGTTTGACGAAAGTCCTAAAAGGAAGAGTTAGCCACAATAAGCGATTTGATGTCGGCCTGTCAGCACCCTCTGCAGAAGGATAAAAATAGCAAAAAAGAGCTGTCAACAGGAAAAATGGGTGATTTAGGGGGGCTTGGTTTCGCGCCAATTCGGAGCAATATGTTTTGACGTCAAAACGAAAAACAAGGTCTGAAACCTGGTTTTGAGCGATTGAGAAACTAGATTCTCGATTTCTCAATGAAATTTTATGATTTGTGAGTTAAAAATTAATCAAAATTAAATATTTTTTTTTTATTTTTTAATTCTTTATTAAATTTTAAATTTATGAAATAATTTAATTGAACTCTAAAGAACAATTTTTTTTTAATTTGCTGCTTAAATATAAGATTAAATAACTATATAAATTTTAAAAGACAAGAAAAAAATGACTGTACTTACAAAGAAATTAATCGTCTCTGCCAGCAAACTGCTTAAAAAAAGAACTACTAGTTTCATTGTTTTTGATCGGTGTTTTAATTTGAGTTGACTCTTGAATAGATAATTTTTCGTTTTGAAAAAAAGTTGCACGTATGGGTTGAACCCTGGGGCTAAGTAAGGCATAGCGCCCCATGCGGACTGTTGAAATCCGCGAATCACTGTCATGATCAGACGACTGTGCTTCCTGCGCTGAAAACTGAAGTTCAAGGGAAGCGGAAACTTTTCAACCATCTCAAGTGATAAGGAAAAACATCTTCCTCTCTGATAACAATGAAGATTTCCGCGTTTTGTCGCTAGGCCAATCAAATAAAAGAGAAATTAATTAAATAAAGGAAGTATTAAGCTTTTTTCCTGGATTTTTCAGGGGTGTGCTTCAAGGGTGTCAGCAGCCCAACGGCCAGTCAAACCCCGTCGAACTGAGTCCTGTGGTTTTATTTGGCCGGTAGATTGTTGACACCCTTAAGACAAAACCACTAAAAATCCTGGAAAAATTCAAGAACTTCTTATTTCTTATTATTTTAAAAATGTTTACCGGAAAAAGAAAAAAAAATGAAAAAAAAATCATTGATTTTTTAAATCGATAATTCTTCAAAACAAACTTTTCCAAGACTTCTTGCCAAGATCGAAAAAAAGCAGAAGGTTGAGAGAAAGTTTTATTGCTTTCTTGTTAACACTTCTATTTTTTCTCGAGGTCATCGCCGCTCGGGTTAAACCTTTGCGGCCATTTTTTCCGCGAAAGAACTTTTTTATCAATTCTCTCACAATTTAGTTTGTATCGTAACATGTTTCCCAAAAATGGAATGGACTCGTGGAAAGCGCTAGTTCATTTGTTATGACTAGCCATGTTTTACTGATGCAGACTCAACCAAAAAATGCAAGAAACTAGATGTTGTTACAAGATTATTCCACGACATGGATTACCGAACCTGAACCTTGGCCTTGGAAAATGACGAAAGGTCTCCAATTTCTACAAACAGAGAAACAAACCTTTTTACCTCGAGACGCATATCGACCCATTTTTGGTAACGCGGTTCAATACTCATTTGTTCTTTCGAGTTTGGAAAAAAAATTCTCGGTTTAGGATTAGGAATAGGGGCTTGAAGATCACTTTCGGGGTCCCGGGGGGGCGAAGTCCCTGAGTTAGGCGTTAGGGGGGGGGGCTGGGTTAGGACTCTCGCCAAATAATACAATTGTTGATCTTGTCTAAATCTAGGTTAGGGTTAGTATCATCAAGAAAATTTTTAAGAAAAACTTTTATTGGATTAAGGGATTAGCCCCCGGATTTCCCGAACTTTGAACCGTATCTTCTTTTTTCTGGCCTTCCATACGGGGCTGATGAAGAGCTCATCTGAAATCTCGTTTCTTATGGAACAAATTTGGTAGAATCAGCTTCCTATGTTAACATTCACTACTGCATTAGAGGCCGTCAAAGTGATGATGGTTGGCGAAAATGGCCATTTTTGGCCATATTCAAATTGCATCTCCGTTTTTTTTTTTGGTCTTTTCAAGCGAAAAATTTCTCAGAGAGTTTCATTATTCTAAACATTGGTCGTGACAACTAGATGGTAACTAGACAAAAAATGCATTGGCGCCGCCTAGTGAGCGCGTGTTGTACGTCGCCATAAATACCGAATTCGAAGCGTCGAGAAACCAAGAAATCATCGAATTTCCTCAGCTTTTTAGATAATAAAAAGCTAAAAAAAACCAACTGACTAAAAATGAAACTTTTCCTTGGAATCGTCGCTGCTGTTTCAGTAAGTCAAATTTTAACGAAAAAATTTTCCAAAATTGAAAAGAGAAAGATTTCGATTTCGAAAATTAATTTTTCATTTTCAGGCTCAAGGAGGATCGACCGGAGGAAGCGGATACTACCAACCGGTTTTCCGACCCTACTACGTCAACGAGTGCTGGACCTGCAACTCTACCAGCTGGGAGGACTGCCAGAACGACGGATACTACGACTCCTGCATGGAAAACGAGCAAGTCTGCGAGATCGGAGTCCGAAAGCGAAAAGACGGGCCCGAGCAGATCATCACCGGCTGCAAGTGGTACCGAGCATGCAGAGACAACCACGACCAAAACGCTGACTACCTCGAAAAAGGCCTTCCGCTGAAGGAGTGGCAGTGCCAGCCCCACTGGCAAGGCGGCCTCAACGGATCCGTCTGCCGACAATGCTGCAACACCGGAAAAGACTGCGGCATCGACTTCCTCCAAAGAGAAGATGACGGCCTTGGACCAAAAACATACTCGGCATGGAACAGCTACAACTTGATCAACTGGCATGAAGTCACCGGAGAAGGACCAAACTACCCATTCGGCGTCCAGCGAGATGAAAACTAAATTCTCTGTTTCTTTCGCTTTTCGTTAACTTTCGAGAATAAAGATGAAAATTCGAAAAAATTCTGATAATAATTTAAAAAATAATAATATAAACTATATTATTATTATCTTTTATTCATTTTAGATAATCAGATGCAAAAAGACAATGTCAATAAATTTCATTCTCCATCATTCTTTGAATTATCAGCTTGAGTTGAATGAGAAATCATTTATTGGAAAGATAAGAGTATCATGAAGGCTTTCTTATTGCAATTTTTAACCAATGGCAATTTGCGCTTGGTACATGTCAGATGACGGTTCCAGCGGCTGCTCGACCGTTTCAAGCATGAATTTCGCGACGTCTGCTCGACTCACTCTTTGAACCCCTGAATTTCTTTTTCAGGCAGAATGCCGGTTTTGAGTTTTTTACCTTTGTCTTTTCTGGAATCCATTCTATCACCCACTTCATACTCCATTTTCCTGTCCGTGAGCGGTCCATTTGTTAGGCCAGGTGGATTGACCATCGTCCAGGCGAGGTCGGACGCGTCTTTTCTGAGACTTTCGCGCATTCGTTTCATGTCTTCGAGAACTCGACCGATGATGCTTGAAAGGAAAAATCGCTAAAAAAAGGCGTCAGAATCGAAATATAGAAAGTGCTCACCAAAAAATAGCCGCCAAGACCCGATCCAGCATCAGAACCGTTGTTGTTATTGTACCAGCTTCCCATGACAAGAATTCTTGTAATATTCTGCGTCCTCATCGCTCCTGTAATTGGCCCGATTGACCTGGAATACCCGTCGGTCATTTTTGTTTCAGGATTTTTCGGAAAACCGCCGAGACAGGAAACGACAGCGTCCGAATTTGCGAGATGCTGGGCAAGATCTGTTTGATCGAAGATGTTGCATTTGACGATTTTGAGCTTTGGATCTAAAAAAAAAATAAATAAAAGCAGATTTTTTTGATGAAAATTTTGATAATTTTGCTTAAAGTTTTTCAAAATTAACAAATTTTGGTTATTTTATTTAAGACATCAATCAATTTTTACAACTAAAAAATCCATTTTTTTCCTGAGAATATTCTTACTTTCGATTTTGATCTTCTCCGGCGATCTGACGAGCGCGACAACTTCATGATCTTTCTCTAGCGCGAGTCTTAAAAAATGAGCTCCTGTAGCACCAGTTGCGCCAAACAATGCAATTCTCATTTTTCGCGAGTTTTTACCGCTTTTTCTCGCCTCGTTTTTGAAATTAAAAAAGGAGGACGAGCTTGTGCCTGGAGCGACGTTATGTGTGATTTGCTCAATGAACTGTTGCGTCAACTGAGCTCACACACAAACTCACGTGACGTAAGACCTTTTTTTATTGTTTGCTAAAAAGGGGGTAAATATCATTGCTGCACGATACGAAAACCCCTTTACGGGGCGCTCTATGAAAATCGCTGAATTTCGTTGAATGTCGCCACTTTTTAATACAGGCTTTAAGGACCCCCCCGTCAACAATTTTCCTCGAAAAATTGAAAATTTCAAAATAGCCATATTTTGGCTTCTTAGTGTAACTGGAAGTTCAATACACCGTAAAAACTTGTTCGGAACACTTTTTGACCAATTAAAATCTGAAATTATAGCAAAATTTGGACTTTTTCGTCATTTTGGTCAAAAAGTCCGATTTTCAAACGCGATTTTGAGGGTGTTAGAGTCAAGATAGACCCCCAAAAAATGAAGCCTCAAAATCGTTTTTTGATCTGTAGAATCCATTTCCGGGGTCAAAATTCTGAATTTCCGAAAATAAATTTTTCGAAAATTGTTGACGGGGGGGTCCTTAAAAAAACAAATTTTCTTCTGAAAAACTCTCTTTCAAAAATGAGTGCCGAGATTTAGCGACATTTGGCGAAATTCGGCGACATTGAGCGACATTCGATGAATTACTATAAGAATATTTTCGATAGAAAAAAAATTTTTTCCCCGAAAATTCTTATGGTAATTCATCTTCGGCGATATTCGGCGACATTCAGCTACATTCGGCGATTCACCAGTGTCGCCCTGTTTTTTCTTGATGATAAATCTTTATGGAGTTCTTTTATAGCTAAAATATCTTATTAAGCGACTCTTTGGGCCATAGTCTATGGCCCTTCATTTTTAGAAAAAAACGAGTCATAGCAATTTATCCAATTTACAAATCCCCTTGAGACCTGTTTTCCCGCTCGATAGATCTGCAACGAAATGTCTTTTCGTAAGCTTCTTTTCAGAGAAAGCCGTTTTGATGCTTCTCCAAAATGGTAAGCTAAGAAAAAGAAAATCAAAAGATAAAACTCTTATCGATGACGGCAGGTTGCTGGGAAAAGATGCCTTTGCTCACAGAGTAAATAGCCAGACGTCTCAATTTCTCATGCATTTCAAATGTTTGCCTCGACCAGAGTTTTACTGAGAAAAACTGACTTTTGATTATTGACATTTAAAAATGAAGAACGACCGGCGATTTTCGTATTATACCTTCAGAAAGGTTTGCTGGAATTAATGACCACCCCCTCCCCCCGTCAACAATTTTCCTAAAAAATCGAAAATTTCAAAAAAGCCATATTTTGGCTTCTGAGTGTGCCTGGAAGTTTCATACATCGTTAAAACTTGTTCGGAGCAATTCTTGACCGATAAACTCTAAAATTTTAGCAAATTTGGTATTTTTTCGTCATTTTCCGTCAAAAAGTCCAATTTTGAAACGCCATTTTGAGGGTGAAGAAGTCGAGATAGACCCCCAAAAATGACGCCTCGAAATCGTTTTTGACCTAAAGAATCCATTTCCGGGGTCAAAATTTTGAAATTCCAAGAATAAATTTTTCGAAAAGTGTTGACGGGGGGGGGGTCCTTAATGACCCCTCCCTCGTCACCTTTTTCATTCGAAAAATGATATAATTGGCTGATCCTGAGAAAAAGGCCCCTGAATTGAAAGTTATTTTCATTCTTTTTGGTAATGCGCCAAATTTTAAACCCGAACTAACGAGTTTTCCCACTTCCCAAATTTCACGTGGTATTTTCAAGTATCAAAATACGTCATGTCTCCGTCTTTTAAAACCCATGCGCATATTATATTGTCGGAGAGGAGAATATTATACAGATTTTCAATATGCTCGTCAATTAAACAAAAGAGAGATAAAATCAGAAAAAAAAAAATGAAGAGAGCCGCCCTTCTTCGAGTTTAACTGCCCGTAGAAACCAAACAAAAAAAAAGAAGACGAAGAGAAGGGATAATGAGCTCTGGGCGAAATTGAAAGGGCCATAATGATGGTATCAAAGGACAGGAGACAACAAAGAGAACTTGAGCAGAACAGAGTCAACTTTGCGACTTGTCAAAATGAAATGACGCAAAATAAGGTGACCCGGAACTTCAATACAATTTCTTTTGATGAACACAGAATCCTTATGGCCAATAAGTTATGGGGACTACCTACGATTTCCTATTTTAAACAACCTGAAATTTGGGGGGCTTGATCGAAAAGAATCGATTTTGAACAAAATTTTTTCGGAGCTTTGATGGTCTAGCGACCGAATACAGACATCCGATTGGTCAAAAAATCGGAAAAAAAATTGTTGAAATTTCCGAAGTTTTTTCGCCCGACTTTAATTTTTAGCCTAACCCTCACCCTAATTCGATCCCTAACCCTAATCTTAGCTCAACCCAAAGTTGAACCCTAACCCTTACCCTAACCAATGTCAAAGTGAAATGCTGATGTCGCTTTTTTGCCAAAAAAGAGACAAATTTTCTCATATTTGAAGACATTTTTTCAACATCCATGAGGAGGGCCTTTCCTCTTTGAGTAAAATTTCCCAGCCTTGTGAAAACAAGTGTTCAAAGCCAAAATCATCATGATAACTTTCATGATAATTTCTTTTATTTCTGGCCCGGATCCGCTCGGAGCGTGTTGAAATCTTATTTTTTCGATAATTTTACTTTTCGTTTCGTTCTCGCGGGGATAATTGTCAGATCAATTTTTGAATTATTTTTGGACGACGCCAGTTTCATGAGATTTTATAAATGCGTAAAAGAGAGATTTGGCGAAGAAAAGGACTGACTAAATGATAATTTTCAGGACGAGGGCAGCTTGAAAGACAAAGTTTTGGAAGATCGATTCAGAACGGTGCGGCTCATAGGTGAGAAAATATTATGTAACATACAGGGAGACAAATTTTTCCTCAGATTTTTATTTTGCGCTTGAAAAATAAATTTTTCTTTAATAATTTTGGAAGCCCAAAGTTTTAGTGAAAATTATTGAATTTTTTTCGATTGAGCACCTTTATCCTAACCCTAACCCCGACCATAACCGTTATTTCTAAGGAACAGGATCCTTCGGCGAAATATACCTCGGAGCAGACTTGTCACGTGACAGCAACTCGGTCGACGTAGCAATAAAGGTACTCCTCCTTGATTTTTCTTCCTTATTTTCCAATCAATCTAATAGGTCGAGCCGAAGCGACTCCGCGGTCAATTAAAATTCGAAAGCCACGTCTACGAAATCCTCCGATCGGAAAATGGCTTTCCTCATTTGCGCAAATTCGGCGAGGACAATATTTTGAGCGTCAACTACTTGGCGATGGATTTGCTCGGACCGACGGTCGAGGATCTCTTTAACTTTTGCGACAAGTCGTTTTCGCTAAAGACGATTTTGATGCTCATTGAACAACTTTTGTGCAGATTGGAGTGTATTCATTCCAAAGGGCTGGTTCACCGGTAATTTATGAAAAGAAGAAGGACTTTCACTCTCCCCCTTTTAGTGACATCAAACCAGACAATCTGGTCATGGGACTCAACCACATGTCTAAAACCGTGATGATGATCGACTTCGGCATCGCGAAATTCTTCCGAAAGCGAAATCAACCTTTCGACCACATTCTCGAAGACGATTCTAGAGGCAGTCGAGGGATCATCGGCACTCCTAGATATTGCTCTGTCAATGCTCATAGAGGTAGGGAAATGAAAATGGAGAAAAAAGACTATTTGAATGAGGAACTCGTCTTTCAAGAAGAGATGATATGGAATCCCTAGCATATGTGATCGTCTATTTTTTGAAAGGAAAGCTTCCTTGGCAAAATATTCAAGGTAGGGCTTCTTCATCGGGGGAAATTATAAAGCGTTATTTTTTAGTTCAAGGAAAGTTCAAAAAGCTGGAAGCAATTCACGACAAAAAGAAAAACACCAACTTCAGCGACTACCTCTCCGGATTCCCGAAGGAATTCGTCATCTTCGTCGACTACTGCCGCAATTTACCCTTCAAAGCAACGCCTGATTATATGTTCCTAAGGTTTTCCCCTCCCTAAAGCAGCCTTCTTACCGTTTTCTTCAGAAATCTATTCCGTTGCCTTGGCCAAAAATGGAACATCCAATACGATCTCAAATTCGACTGGAGCAAGCAAAAATAAGTTCAATTTTCCAACCCATCGACAAGTTCAAATCAACAGAATTACAAAGATTTTTATTCGTTTTTTTTCAGCCAAGAAAATTTCTTGCTTGTTTTTGATGAGCTTTGAAAGCCATCATTTGTCGGCAGCGAGGGTTTGAGATACAGTAGCGCATCCGGTAGTCTAAAGATCATTGATCTAACCCTTATGAACTCCCTTAACTTACTTGTAACTGGATTCGTCGATTTTTTGATAGGAAACCAGGTGCCAGAAACAGTAGTAAAAATAGCAAAAATAACTGAGAATCTCATTTTTAATCAAATCTTCTGCCTGTGTCTTCGATTATATTATATTAACTTGTGAATAATGAAGGCGAAACTGTCGATCATTATCTGGGTAATGGATGGGAGCCGGACAGTCACCTCAGAAAATATGGAACAGTCTGAGAATTCCAAACTGAATGATGATCTGATTAATTATGAAAGACCTCTTCCAACTTCTTTTCTAGTTTTGAAACATGTTACATGTCCGAAAATCTTGCTTCCGAACAAATTTGTCCTTCACTTGAACTTCAACGAGGATGGGAAAAGAGCTTTGTTTACGACAATCAAAATATGTCACTTCAAATTTTGATGAGCGCATCCTAAATCGAAAATTATACTTGGGATAATTCGCCCGATTTTAACTGCAATCTCGTGCTGTGCGTAATTGGGGGCTCAAATACCGGCATTATCCCACTGATCGCACTGGCGACTATGTCATTATTTTGACATGGATTTTGAAGGTTTAGCGGAGCCCCGATCGAGAAGATTAGCTTATTACTCTATTTGAAGGTTTGATTAAACTCGGTCCTGAAGCCAAAAATTGATTTTAATATAAAGATTCTTCAGTCGAAATGAATTTCGCTCTTCACTTTCGCGATCCTCAAAATGTCAACAGTGTCAGTCAAAAGTGAAAATGCCATGGCCAGCCATTCTATTTCTACTATTTTTAAGGGCTGTCGGAAATCAAGAGGCAAACATCGTAAACCCACTTTTTCCAGCTGATTTTTGAATAAGTGATTGTATTTGGAATCCTTCATTTTTTGACAATTATTGCCAATTTATGACTGTTCTCAGAAAAGTGGGCACGGCACTCTGTCCAGAAAATCTGAGTCAGGGTTTGCCAACCTCAGAATTTTGGAAAAAGGAGCACCTGGAAAATGGCGAACTTTGATCATGAAAATTATTCATAGATGCTGTTTGAAAAAGCATCATTTTTTTGACGGATTTGATGTCATAAAACTGTCATTTTTTCTCCTAAAAATAATTTTTCCGCAATTCGAAAAGATCAAAGGCCTAATTTTGCAAATGATGGACAGGTGAGACTGACCGGAACAAAGCGTTCTTTCTTTTAGCGCAGGTGGAAAATTCTACCGCGCGTGCGCCTTTGACGCTTTCCAGCTGACTAATGATGTTGATAAATAATCTAAGCCGCGGTGTTATATCACGGCTCACGACAGGAAGTTCGCTTGTTTGGATGGTCAAACTTTTTTTTTTCATCATGGAAAGGAATGGAGTTGTTTTTCTGCCTGAAGACGATTTCTTTCTTTCCTTTTCTCGCCAAATTAAAAATAAAGCTCCCCGGCGAGAGGGTGTAAATTAAACAGATTTTGATGAATTAACGGAATCAATCAAGTTTGCTGGGAGCGAAAGTCATCGTCATTCATTTTCGCGGCGAAAATTTCATCGTCGAAAAATCGTTAAAAATGGCTGCATTCCTTCTTTTTTTGGAGATGATCTGCTGTATGAGAGACGGACCTCCCTGAGAGCTCAATTTAAGTTTATCGGTAAAACGCGTCATTCAAGCCCCTCCTGGTTTCTTTATGCGTGGGAAAAAGAAATGCAAAACTTTTAAAAAATATATTGGCAATAAAACATCAAAAGCAATGGTTAAAACGAGCAATGTAAAGAATCTTGACATCCTTCCCTTGAAAAAGATGAAAAGAAAAAGGCAACCGCAATCAACAGATTTCAGACTGGCAGTCCAGGGGTCTAAATATCAGCCAAAAACCCAGTGCGAAAGCGAAGCGAAAGCGAAACTTTTTTTCAAATTTTTTGCGTAGAGAAAGCGAGGCGAATTTGAACTTCCAGTGCGAAGCGAAAGCGAAGCGAAAATTTCTTTAAAATTGCGAAAAAAAGCGAAAATTTTTCGAGGTTAAATTTCATTTCCATGGGTTGAGAGAAATTCAATAATTATAAAATCGACGATATTAAAGGCTAAATTCACAAAAGTTTTTGATACAAAAGGCGACGATCTCTTAGGAAAGCCCGAAAACTTATTGTTTTGCCGAATTATAAGGCCCAAACTAAGGTTCCGAAGCTTCTAAGAGAGCGCAAGCTCTTATCTTTCAAATAAGATGCGCAGGCCCTAAGCCTCAGGCTACTGTGACATTAACTTGCTTATAAGAATTAAACCTTAAAGTCAACCATCTCAAGTTAGGTACCTTTCGGCACTTTAAAAGGTTGAAAAATTCAAAGTGACGAATGGTTGCCAAGAGTTCTGTTGACAACATCACAAGTGTTTGAGATTCTTATTGACGCCATAATAAAGAGTGAAAAGCAACTGCCTTCTCATAAATAATGTCACTTTTTCGCTTTTTTCGCTTTTTTCGCTTTTGAGAGTTTGATATTTTGTGCGAAGCGAAAGCGAAGCGAATTCTTTTCTCCAGTGCGAAGCGAAGCGAAAGCGAATTCGCTTCGCTTCGCATCGCTTCGCAATAAAGCGAATTCGCACTGCGAATTTAGACCCCTGAGACTACAATTTACGAGAGCTCTTCGGTGCAAATTTGAAAATCTTTTTGATCTTCAAGACGAAAATTTGCAAGATTTGAAAGATTGATGGTTCCCCGATTTTTGGATCGAAACTGAGCTGAACTTTATTTTTAACTGGCCGAATCGACGAGGAAGATCACGATAAGTACTGCCAAATTAATTTGAAGAGACTTGGACTTTAAAAAAATCGCTTTTTTGCCAAGTAAAATCTTATAAAAACTGTCTCCCTGGCAACGAAAGTACGAAGATCTTTCTTTCTGTCTGCCGGTCAAACTCGCCAAGGTCAGACAATTGTATTTTGCAAATTAATCGTCTTCTTGAAAGTCACGTCTTAAAGATTATTTGCTGTCTTTCAATAGCCGGTATAGCGTATAAAAGCGAGCCAGTTTCTTCGAAACTCGAAATACCGTTTCTTCTCACAAAAAAAACGGAACTTCTTTTTTCACTTTTTTAACATTTGTTCATATTATCCAGAAAGACGAGAAATTCGAGAAAGAATAGAGTAACCAAAACTCAAAGCCGGAAATTCTTCGCGATTCAGGTCCTCACTTCCAGTCAACAAACGGACAATTTCGGGAGGTTCTTCTTTTTGGAAAGTCCCAAGATTTTGACAGGTGCTTGAGAGATATCTGTTTCTGGACATTTCGAAAAATTAGAGATTTCTAAGCTTATTTGCTACTTCAAAAGTAAGACTGCTTGTAACTTCACTTAGTTATAAGCAATTTCTGAAGGCTGTAGTTATTTTATGATGTTTTTGACTGGAATTATGTCGAAATTAACAAAGTAGCATAGGACGATTTTGGGTGCGAACGGCCGCGCCACGCGCCGTTTTTCCGATAGAATCCCTACGGATATATATTAAAAATATTAAAAATATCAAAAAATTTTAATAAAATTGATTTATGATACTAATCTATCAATTGTTTCTTCAAGTGTTTGTTATCAGGTCGCGCAAATATACCCCTTGGCCATCGAGAAAATAAAGCGCGCTAATGCTTTTTGGGCTTCCCGCGCAGAGCGTAAAGGCGCTTTCCCCCTCGTCACTTTTCCTGCTCCAGCGCCCGGAGCAGCCGTTTTCCTGCCCCAAGCGCGTGGAGTTTTTGGCGCCCGAGAGCAAACCGTGCTCCAAAAAAACGCCACGGATTCGAGACCCAGATTCAGGATCCATCCACAGAGTTGACTAAGCGCGACACTCATCTCTCCTCTCGAGCGCCGGTCGGCTCGCGGCCAAGTCAATTAGTAAGTGCGCGCTAGCGAGCTCCCAGGGGATATATAACCCGCCCGCGGTGATCGTCTTCATCACAACAAAAAAGCACTTCAAAAGTATTTTTCCTTTTCGAAACGAGCTACAGATGTCAATCAACACAAAACGACCTCGATCGAAATCGCCCGCCGCTAAAGTCCCGCTTCGTAAAATTTCACCAAATTTGCCTTCGTTGAAAAACCACCTAAAGCCGCGTGGTCGACCGAATGACTCAGTAAAGAGAGCCGAATCCCTCAAGCGACCTTCAAGCCCGACTCCAGTGCAGAAAAAGAGCGAAAAGAGACGAGCAATCGACAGCCAGGGAGCCCGGCCAAAACCATCAAGCTATCTTCGGCTTGATAGGTGTTCAAAGCACTCCTGGAGCCATTCCTTTTGCCGCGAATGGGGGCTCAACTGGCAGGGGATGTCGCGTAACAACCCCTTACCACGCACCGAAATCGAAGGGTTTCCGGATTTAACCCTGTTCCCCCTTGGCCCGCCAAAAACAACCCAACCTGAATGGTATCTCCGAATCATGACAGCTCCCGATGAAGATGACCCTGCTTTTATTGGTCCTCGAAGAGAGGAAAAGCCACAGACCAGTTTGTGCTTCCGCGAACATAAAATCTTCATGGATGGACTCAAGTTCTGGCGAAATATGGAAAACGATGATTTTTAATTCTGCTTTTTCCTACTGTAAATATTGATTTTTCTGTACTTAGTTCAACGGCTTCTGATAGAAGCTCCATCTGCCATATCTATTTCTGCTCATTCTATAACGGATACAATACAATTGATTATTCGAATCTCTTCTTGATTTCCTCGCTCAGCAGGTTTCCAACCAAAGATGAACTTTAAAAAATCAAGAAGCTAAAGAAATTCCTCTCAAATGAAATTCCTTAATTTATCAGCAAAAACCAGAGTGACAGAAAAACAGAACTCGACTCTGCCGATAAGAACTTCGAGGAGCGCAAAAGTGTGAACAGATAATCTTATCAAGCTATCCTCTTTGTTTTTCTTTGAGAAAGTGTGCGCGCTAGAATACCAAAACTAATCATGCATTTAGGCGGAAATATTCGACTTTTCCGGGTGAAAATTTCACCTTCTTCCCACCAAAAATGAATATTGCTAATCCTTTCCGCTAGAAAAAAAATCTTCTTCTTCTTGTGAATTGAAAGAGCTGTGTTTTCAGGCGATTCAAAAAGGTCTCAAAGCCGGTTACCTGTGCAGAAAACCTGACTCAGGTTTTATTCACAATAAAAACAGAATCATAAAAATTTAGGATCATTTATTTATACATGGCAGAAACGCATAAAAAAAACACGGGAAAAATAATTTCTTCCTTGATTTTCTTCTTGTCTCTTTTCCTCATCTTCATTTTATCGCAACAAGAAGGAGAAAAATAGCAAAAGAGAATCGCGGAATCGAAAAATTGGAAAAGAAAGAAAAAATAAAATTTAAGTTTTTCAAGCGATCAGATTTTTTTTTTGAAAGAAGAAAGAAAATTTCGGGAAAAGGGTTGAGCTACTACACGAGACCGTCGTAGAGTGAAAGAGCTTGGACGATGGATTTGTCTTGTTTCGCGCCTTCGAGGAATTCTTCTTTTGAGAGCTCGCCGTTTCCATCCTGAAGGGGAGAGGTTAGGGTTTTACAAGCGTTGGGGTCCGCATAATTGGGGTCCCCTTACTTGGGGTACACCTAGCTGGGGTCTCCTTAGTTGGGGTCCCCATAGTAGGGGCCCCCTTAGTTGGGGTCCTCTTAGTTGGGGTCCCCTTACTTGAGGTCTGCTTAGCTGGGGTCCCCTTAATTGGGGTCCCCATAGAAGGGGCCCCTTAGCTGGGGTTCTCTTAGTTGGGGTCCCCTTATTTTGGGTCCCCATAGACTATGGGCCATAGTTGAGGTCTACTAAGTTGGCGTCCTCTTAAGGATATAGCCTATGAAATTGAACTTTCATAGCGCCTAAATGCGACGACGGATCATTTTATTTCAAGAACCATCCTATCTAAAAATGTATGCAGAACTCGATTCTGGTACTCGTTTAAAAATTTTCATTAGAATTTTTCTCTGTAGAGCGTTTTGAAATCTTACGATCGCGATTTCTCGAAATTTTTACACTAAATCGCTAAAACAAAACCAATGACTGCATTAGCAAAATGCTAAACTAAAATATTGTGGCTAAAAAATCCTCAAACTCGGCCAAATTTTCATTCTAGTGTTTTCCTCTTTCTTGCTCTTGTTTTTCTTCCATGCGCGCTTTTTTGGGTCCAACCAATCAGAGCGATCTTTCAAACGCGCAGACTCTCTCGGGAAAGAGGAGTCGAGAGATTGAGCACCCAGCGCAGCGCTTTTTACACTATTCACGCGCCGAGGAAGCCTCATGGAAATGGCTCTAAAATCGGTTTTTGTCGGGATAAGAGAAAACCAAAGCCACAATATTGTAGATAAGGGTCTAGATTACTTTTCTATCAAAAAAACTCGACCGATTTAATGTAAATATTTCGAGAAATCGCGATCGTAAGATTTCAAAACGCTCTACAGAGAAAAATTCTAATGAAAATTTTTAAACGAGTACCAGAATCGAGTTCTGCATACATTTTTAGATAGGATGGTTCTTGAAATAAAATGATCCGTCGTCGCATTTAGGCGCTATGAAAGTTCAATTTCATAGGCTATATCCTTAATTCGGATCCCCTTCAATGGGCTCCCCTTAGTTGGGGTCAACTTAGTTTGGGTTTTAAGGGGGATGTTGTGATAAACTTACGGTATCCATGAGATTGAAGATTCTATCGACTCGTTTCTCAGGAGTGTTATCATCGTCCTTGAAGTTGGCATGATTTCCTACCATAGAAAAGATAGCTGTTTGTTGAGGTCAATAAATATTCAAGAATTATACAAGTCGTGGTCCTCGTCATTTGACGTTATGAAATTTATCGACCGTGGCTTTGACAATCTGAAGCATTTCGTCTCGCGTGATGGTTCCGTTGTTGTCCAAATCGTACAGTCGGAAAGCCCCTAAATCATAGTTTTGCGCAATGAAAAGATTAAGAATGACGTACATTCGAGCTTGTCCTCAAGTCGGCCGCGGGAAGTGATGGAAAGAGCTTGAAGAAACTCTTCGAATTCGATCGATCCGTCGCCGTTTTCGTCGAAGACATTGAAGACGAATCTGAAAAAGAGCCATTTAGAGCGTTAATTTTTTAAGAAAGCTTACGCAGCAAAAGCGCTTGGGTCGCCATGAGGAAAGAATTGGTTGTAAATCTTGGCAAATTCATTCTTTGTCAATTTTCCGGTCGGGCAATCCTTCAGAAAACCATCGTGCCAGTGGCGGATCTCTTCCGGAGTGACTAAAATGGAATGTTTTTATTGCTCGATTCGTAAATTGGGTGACCCAAATTGGGACGCTTTATTTGCTTGTTTTGTTAATAAAAATATGCTCAACAACAACTATTGTTTTGATTTTTCGCTGTTCGGCAGACAGAATATACAAAATGACTGTATTATATCCTGTTTGCTTGCAAAAAAACGGAGTAAATATGCGAAAAAACAGAAGTTTTTGATCTTCTAGTTCTTCGTTTTTCGGCAAATAAAGCTTCAAATTTTGTATTTCGAGTCGAAAGTAGCTCATTTGTACTCGAAATCCGAAACTTAGGGTGAAAATAGAGGTAAAAAAATTCAAATTCACCGAAAATTCCCTGGTTTTTGCCAAAAATTTGGCTTTTTCGATCATTTTTTTGTTGAATATTATATCAAAAATTTTTGGGAATATTTCAAAAAACCAATATAACCATGAAAAACTATCCGAACTTACACTTGGTCTTCTCACTGAGCTCATTGATAGCCTGTGGGTTGAGCTTTGACTTGTGCGCACCCATCTCTTCTCGCGATTCTTCTTCAGAAATTTTCGATAAATCGAGCTTCAAGGGTACCTGCTTTGGGTAGCCTTAAAAGCGAATGTCACTTTTTACTCGCTCAAAATATCGCTCAAAAAGTACCTTTATCCTCCGCTCAACGAAGATTTTTGATGCTCTCTCTTTTTGGTCTCTGAAGAAAGTGAACAGAAACGGGGCCGGATCGGACTCGTAAAATCGTAAAAATTGCGAGTTGTTGATGCTCAGCTATATCTTCGTAAAAACGGGTTCTGCTCGGCTGTAGCTGGAGCTCGTAAAAACCAAACGAGACAGACTATGCTTCCGCGCTTCCACGCAGCTCAACTCTCAACTCTCGGCACCTAAAGCGATAAAAATTAGAAAAAAAATGGCCGCCTTCTATTCTGGGTATTTTAGGAGATCGCCGGCGAAAATCAGCTGGCTAGAATTCAAGTTGTTTGCGGATAATCTTCGCTTCGGGGCGAAACTAGAAATTTCTACAAAATTTTTAGTAAAGATTTAAATTTTTAACTGAAACAAATTTTCAAATAAAAAAATTTTTAATAAAGAATATTCTTACCTGGCCTAATTTTTTCTCTGTATAATTTTACGTGTCAGTAATCCAAGCGTAAAATACTCTCGAATCGAATTTGAATCACTGTTCGCCAATAATGGCAATGGAAGATGATGGAAAGCGAGATTGGCACATTTGCGCGTCTGTATTATTATTGACAGGCATTGGGAAAAGCGGGACTTTCATGATTCGATAAGTCCATCGATTAATGCTCAATGCAGAATTGACAGAAGCCTCAGTAACGTTCCCGAAATCAGATTTTTGCGGATTTTTTCTCTGCTTTGTCGGAAATAAAGAGCTTTCGCTCATCGCAAGTTTTTTATCAATTTATTTTTTTTTCTATTCTATTTGGAAGAAATCAAAGTTTCAGAAGACAGATTGACTAAGACAGCTTAGCTTACTACTTCGCTCAAAAAGCTAAGCTTAGCCAATCAGCCAGCAAAGCGAAATTTCTTCCTTGACAAAGATCGCTTGGTTGAACAATTTTGAAAAGTTGCTTCTCAAAATTCAGCTAAGCATATCTAAGGCAAAAGATATTTAGCTCAGCATTGCTTATTTACGAAAGATCGGCCATTTTCCCTGTAGCCAACTTTGTTCCCATCTTAGTTTAATTTCTATCCCCCTTGCTATCCCCCTGCTGAGCTCAGCTGACCCTCACCTCAAAATTGCTGAGCTGAGCTTAGCTGGAGCTCACCTAGCTCAGCTCAGAAAATTTGCAATTCTGACCCTTATCCTAACTCTAGCTACAAGCCCCCTAACCCTAACCATAATTTTTCCTCATAAAATTATGAAAAATTTTGTACTTCTGAATCTTACCTTAATTTTGAGCAGGGTTCCAAGAGAGAACTCGAATATCTATCTCACAAAAGCTTGGGAAAGAACGAGAAAGAGCGAGGTCAATTATATTAAAAATCCTTCTCAATTGACAAAGCTCTTTAGATTTGATAGCCGACGCGTTTTTATGCCGCCATTTCTCTTTCTTTTTGACTCTATTTGCCCTTCTGAAGAAGCTGTAATTATCATTTCCTGGCGCTCTTTTTTACCTTTTTTTTTTGGAAAAGTTCAAAACATCGTTTTTTTTTCTTTTCTAGCGTGAACCCTCTGCTCCTTTTTATAGAGCTCAAAAGCGCGAAAAGAGGCTTTTGAAAAGATGACCTTTTGGGAAATGCGAAGGGATGAAAAGGTTTGATTGTTTACCCACAATGGAATATTCATCAGCACATCTTAGCGGTTAGCGGCCCAAAAAAGAAGACGAAAATGCGAAAATAAAGAGCCCGCGCAATTATCGAATCTGGACATATGTTACTGTAGTTGACAAAAAGAGCAGTAAGAATCCAGTTTTATATATTTATGCATAGAATATTTTTGAAAAAGACCATTATTGAAAAGTTTTCCTATTCAACGAAAAAAATTGAAGGAATCTAGGGTCACCTTTTTTCCTTGATTGTCAAAAATCTCATGATTTATTCAAAATGGCCCATTTCCGCATGATAGATAACACTGATAGATTCCGATCTCTTTCGAATACGACGAAAGAGCTACTTCGTGTTAGCTGTCCTGTCAGAAATAATTCCGGTACTTTCAAATTTATGCGTGTTTTTATTTGCGCATATTCTTCAAATAGCTTTTCTATTTCTCATAAATGCGGACAATTTTTTTTATTTTCCAAGAGAAGATTTTTATCAATCGAGATGAGAAGAAAAACGATTGGAATTATTCTTCTGCTTTTTGGTTGAAAACAATGTAATTATTCTTTCAAGGCTTAAAATTTTTAAGGGATATGTTCTTTGATCGTCGGCATCGTGATTCCAGCGGTCTACAGTAGTTCAGGAAAAACGACACCTTCTTCGACACAAACGATGACGTCTTCATCTCTTCCAATGTCTTCGACTTCAACGATGAATTCAACAATAATAATTTCAACGTTATCTGAACAATTGACAGCTTCATCAACTACAGCTTTCTCATCAAATAACACACCGTCGAACATATCAACTACGGCAGGAACGCCAGTAACTGAACCATCAACAAAAACATTAGCTCCTTCTTCAACCTCAATTTCAAAACTTACAACTGTAACAACAAGGACTACAACAACAACAGCGCCACTTATGACATCAGCTGAATCAGAACTAACAATAACCTCGACAGCAACAACATCTTCAATAGCAACTACAACATTGACACCCACAACAACAGTAACAACTACGACGACTTACACTACAACAAGCAAAGGTTTTGTTCGACCAGGACAGAGTTGCAAATTTGGCTTTATTTTTGCTGAGCTGAGCTGAGCTGCCCTGAGTGAGAAATTCTCTGAGCTGAGCTGGCCTATTTCGGAGCTCACTCAGCTGAGCTGAGCTGAGTTGGCCATTTTCAGAGGTCATTGAGCTGAGCTGAGCTGAGCAGACCTTTTTTTAGGTAGTTGAGCTGAGCTGAGCAGACCCTAATTAGAGCTGAGCTGAGCTGAGTGAGCTGGGTTGAGCTGTTTTTTACCGTTTTTAGTAGTAAAATTGTGTAAAAATCATTGAGTTGAGCTGAGCTGAGCAGAACAGATCATGTTCGAGAATAATTGAGCTGAGCTGAGTGATTATTGTCTGAGCTGAGCTGAGCTGAGCAGATAAATTCATTTTCGAAAATCAGTGAGCTGAGCTGAGCTCTCAGCCAGCTCAGCTCAGCAAATTTGCAACTCTGGACCAGAAGGCCAGTATGATTTTGATCTTTGGCCGAATGGAGCCACTGTTGTTGACATGGACTGGAAGGTAGTGGGACTAAGCAGAATCCTATTATTATTCATCAATTTAGTTGTTTGTCTCCTATGATACAGATCCAAGAACAGAGCCTGAAGCAATAAGTGTACGACCGGAGAGGGACTGTCTTTTCTTTGAATCCACGGAAGAGCTCTATAAATTCAAAATTAAAGATCCCGAAACAAACTCTTATCTTCGAGAGAACATGGATACGAAACTTGTTTATAAAGACGGCGAAGATGAAGGCACCGTTTTTTTCTTTGAAAAACATGGAAAGGTGCGTACTTGCTGATTGCCTTTTAAATAAGAAAAGCAATTTTAAAAATTATTAACGCTTATTCTGAAGGGAAACGCCGAATGGTTTTACATTAAATCAGAATCCGATTACTACTGGAGGTCAAGAAGTTCCACTGATAACGACGCTGCCTCTGTAAAACTGAAAGAAGAAGTAACTGAAGACAAAAATAAACCAAGATTTCAATATATGATACAAGAATGTATTTAACTGTTATCTTATTGGATATTTTCCTATTTATTGATTTGAATAAATATACTTAAAAACGTCACAACTTGTCACATGTGCACCCGAGACTGGTGAATAAATCTGCAATTCTAGCGCTGTAAAGCCACGATTATATCGCCGAATATTGTATAAGCCAGTTTTGCGAGCGCTTCGATCTGACGTCATTGATTTTATTTCGAACTAGATTTTTTATACAGTTGTTTGTCGATAATTGCATGTAAAGAATGTTTGATTTCCATATTCCGCAAAAGTCGTCTTTTTTAATCATCATCAGAAATCTGTTTTTGTTTACTTGTTCGGAGTTGATCATTTCCTGAGCGTAAGAAAAGCCGGTCAAGCAATGCTGCTCTACTTGGTCATCTCCTCCGACATTGGTAAAAGACGTGCCGCATAAGTTCATTGAAAAACAAGGTCTAGGCTGACCGGGCCCGATCGTAAAGTACCAAATTATTACTAAAATGAGCAAATCTCAACTGTCTACTTTTTTCAATTCCTACTTCCATAAGCAAGGCCAAAGAGCGAGGTGCTAATGGCAAAGCATAAAGGAATGAAAAAGCTTTTTTGGTGGAATTTTGAGGAGTCTGTTTTTTGACCATTTTTTTTTAAAAGAAAAATTTCGATCCCTTTATCGAGGTCTTTCCTGAAGGATAAATTTTATTTCTCCTCGAAAAATTATTCTTCATATGTTTCTCTCTTTTCGTAAGCGTCATTTTCAAGCTATGAAAATTTCAAAATGCTTTTCTGTCAAAAATCACAAGTCCAAAATGTTTTTCCAAAAAGACAAAAGGCAGATTATCTCAGAAGGTGCGCTTTATTCAGAATCTTTAGATGTGCGTGCTTCTCAATGAAGTCGCAGTCAGATTTCTTTTCAGTCCAGGTGTTGTTGGAAGGGAACGACGCTCGGTTCTCGGCGTGAAGTCGCTGATTGTACTCGCGCGTGGCAGATTTTTCTCAGAACTACAAGCATTTTTGAGTGTTTTCTTTTAATAAAAATGAGTCTCGATTAAAGACAGTGAGATTGTTTAACTTTCAAAGTGGCAATTATTGGGGGAGATGTCAGGAACCGACAAAAAATTCGACAAATTATGCGTAAAAATTTTCAACCAATCAGAAGCCTAGATTCGGCTGGCCGGCCAATAAGCAGCCGAGTTGCCGGGGTGGCGTCAGGAAGCGACAAAAAATTTTTGACAAATTTTTCGTAGGACAATATTCTACTCGGCTGCTCATTGGCCGGTGAGCCGAATTCTTGCTTCTGATTGGTAGAAAAGATTCAAACAAAATTTGACGAGATATTTTGTCGGTTTCTGACGCCCTCCCTAAATTGCCTCCTAAAATTTTAAAAGATGCTGTTTCTTGACTCAAAAAATTGACTAAAAACTAACCAAAATGAAAATCCTGTATTTAAGAAAAGACTAACCTGTCGCTAAGTTGTTTCCTCAAAACTGAAGGCGTCTTTCGCATGCAAACTGATGGACTAAATGTAGAAGCTCAAAATGAAAATGGTCTTTTTTATCCCAAAAACCTACCTTGGGCAGCTTGAATTACTTTTCCTACTCAATCTGTTTGCTTGAATCAAATTTTGGTAGTCTTCATCATTTTCGTTTGATTTTTCTCTCTTTTGCTCTGCGTTTTTCGATTTTTCCTCGACTCCGATTAGTTTCGATATTTTTTCTGAACAGAATTGAGTTCTTGAAAAGAGAATTTTTTCTTACTAAGAAGGTTCATTTTCTCTGTTTCAGGGAAAAAGCTAGTGACACTTCGCTCAGAAACGGCTAGCATTGAGCTTTTAGTGGCGATAATGATCCCGAATAAAACAGGACGTTAATCACAGACAGTAAGGTGACTGAATAAGATTGGGTGCTGAAAGTCATCTGGCCCACCTCGAAGTTTTATCACGTGACAATTTCAAGGGATCTTAAATGACCCGATGGGTGAATTAGAACCTTTCAAATTCTTTCAAAAATGTATCCGCTGTTCTTTTGACTGAGGTATAATTATCCAATTCGCGGACATATTTTGCTAAGCAGCCTTGAAGATAACTCAAAGGGCCCTCAAGATAATCCGTTGTCGACAAAAAACGTGCTCGGTATGTATTTCCTGTATGATCCCAGTTTTTAAGAAGACAAGATCTTTTTTTTCGACCGGTCAGCGATTTTGAATCAATTGATCTTTGCCTCGACTTGAAAATCGAGTTCTCGCTAAATTTTAAGAGCATGCAAATAGCAAGAATAGTAAATAGTAAGAATTTTCAGCGCTCGTAGTTTTGAGTTTTTTTTTCCAAGAGATGGAAATTGAAAACGAAAATGATTTTTATAATTTCACCGCTGCGCCAGCCCGGTTTCGGCCCGGTGAAGATGGTTCTTCAGTTTCAGAGGCGTGTAAAGATGCTTATGCGAGAATTTCTATTGACAATTGGACGCTTGTTTGGATTATTTTTGGAGTAATCGTTGTCATGATGCTGATGCCTTGTGAGACAAAAAGACGACGGTGCCAAGATGATAGACAAACTTGCAATTTCAAGAAATTATGGTTTTTAAGTAAATCTGTCATGAACATGCTTTGGCTTTTATCAGAACTGCTAAGCATTACTTGCGCATTTTATGTGATGTTCCCTCCAAGTAGCGAGGAGGAATGGCTGAAGCATTTACGAGAAAAAGGATCCAAAAATAAGGATAATTTATTAATAATAAATTTGAGCCCCATTATTGATCCTTAATTAGTTGGTCTTGGATGGTTTTGCTTAAGTTTATCAAATAAATTAAATATTAATAAAATTATCTTTAGTAATTGCCACTTCATCTGTTTTTATTATACATGCTCTCATGAAATACCGATTTTCGTCAACAAATGAGACTGAGGGAGTAGAAAACTCATCTTTTGTAAATCAAGCTGTCGTAACTTCATTTGATGAGGATGAACCATCCACAACTAGAGTCAATATTCAAGATGCAGAAAGCAATGATAAGCCTCCTGGAATGAGCATCTTTAGAATGCATTTTATAAAAAATGGACCTTAGCTTATGATGACATAATCGACTCAAAAGAAGAAAGTCCAGAAAATAATCGGGAAAATACTTCAACCGATGCCATCGAAGAACCAAGAATAAAAGAAAACACTCAAGCCAGACCAAAAAGAAAGAAAATTTACGGGGTCAAAGGTGCCCTTATTTTCGTTTCGGTTTTGAATCTGATTAGTGCATTTGTCTATCTTGGTCTGTACTCGAAAGCACTAGTTCAATGCAAAGACTCATTAAATATATAGTCGTGTACGGGTCAAAAAGGATGTTTGCAATTTTTCCTGAATTCAAGCCTATTTTTATCAGCTGCAAGTTTTCATGCAGCTCAGTTGGCGCCCTAGAGCGCTCTTTTTAAAGGTGAAGACCAGCGAATATTTTCGAAACAAAATTTTTAGAAACAAAAAGGAATGGTAAGTTTTTCAGATCTTTGAGAATGAACATTATGATTTTTCTTATAGAAAATTGCCCTCTTCGGAATTGCGACAGCAAATCATGTGTTGAATTCAAGCCAAATTTCGAGAAAACTCCTCGGCTCCTGGAGCGAATTTCTTTTTCAAAACGTTGCAAATGTTCGACAAAAACGCGAGGGAGACGAATCAAGCCGTGGATTTCGAGAGCTAGCGGGTATGATGCTTTTTCTTCAGGGAGCGGCATCGAATGATGAAGAAGGGCTTCAAGAGCTAGAGGATTTGTATACGAATTATGGATGCTATTGCTGGATAAACGGGCCAGATGAGGGTGTTATTGGGGGTGGAAAGGTTTGATGAGGCAATTAAGGGTTGAACCACAGTTTAAAAATCATTTTCTAGCCAAAAGACATGGTCGATCATCACTGCAAGGAGCTCTACCGATGCTACAAATGCGTCCTCAACGACTACGAAGCCAACTACACAGATGTGCACTACAATGTCGAGCTCAACGAGGAAGACGGAATCCGCTCACTAGATTGCAAAGTCAACTCGAAACAAGATGCAGAAAACCTGTGCGAATGTGACAAAAGATTCGCGATGAATATTGCCAGAGCAAAACAGGTCCGTATTAAAAAAAATGAGCGAAAATGTGATTTTCAGGATTGCTTGAATGCCAAGCCGGAAAGTCATCTGTTCGGGGACCACTGTATGGATCCTACTTTTCGAACAGTCTCTGGTGGCGGCGAATTCGAGCCGAATTTGCAGTGCGATAAACAGTTTCATGGACATGAGAAAGATCATTGCTGCGGTATCTACCCAAATCGGTAATTGAATTCGACCTCGACAGTCTGTTTCAGTAAAAAATTTAGGTACCCTTACGACATCAATTTCAACGAGTGCTGCCGATCCCAGGTCATGACTGATTCTCTCACTCAAGTCGAGTTATTTACAGTCGTTCCCGTCGGCATGTGCGAGCCTCGTGGAGGAGAAACTGTCATTTCCGAGAAAGGAAATCCTCACAATTATCTTTCTGTCTGAAACAAAAATTAACGAAACTGTAAATAAAGCATTGATTTTTATTAGAAAGAGATTTGGTTTATTCTAGAAGAGTCATCGACTCGCTTTTGATATTTTCAACAGTTTTGTGTTTAAATTCCTCCGGAAGTTGGTCAATTCCATCTTTGAAGTAAACAGTCAGGTATTTCGGTGCATCTTCTTTTTTCGTAAAATAACTCACTAAATTTTCAAAAAAGAAATTATCAGAAAATCAGCAAACCTGAAGTGGAAATGATCAGAAAGCCCAAAAGCGCATAAATTCCAAAAGCATAAGTTGATGGCTCGAGCAAAGCTTGCTGCCAATAAGGAGAAGGCTCAATGTTATCAATAAAAGTTTCATTTTGGCAGTAGAGGGCGAGATTCGAAGCGTCAATTGATGAATTGAAGGATCGGTTGGTAAACATGTTCGATTCGTAAGTCGTTGTTGTTGGAAAGATTTTCCTTGGAAATGAGATGGAAGATGCGAAAATGACTATTCAAACCTCAGGATCACAATAGACAGTGGAAATAGCGGGGCAAAGCATCCAGCGATTATTCCTTTTCTGTTCACAAAGGGAGCAAACATCCCAGTCAAGACGGTTCCGAAATAAGGGGCTCCCAAGTTTGTCGTTGTCATGAACAAAATACCAAGAAGCGTGCCGGGGTTGAAGGACATGCTGATTGATAAGAGACAGGTAAGGATGCCGGTGAAGAGCATGATGATTCGGCAATAAGTGACGTCGGTGTATTTTGTTCCAAAGATGGACTTGACTGAAGGGAGCATGACCAAAGAGGCACCAGATAAAAATGAAGAGAATGAGCTCAAAGTTGCGCTAAAGATAGCAACGAGGAATAATCCCTGACCAATATTTTGAATTTTACTCCTTTAATTTTTCTTCAAATGAACTATTTCTAGAATTATCTATAAATTTGGGAACCATAATTTCTCTTTATTTTTCTGAAATTGATATTATCGGTTTTCAGCAATTATGACAAACATTAAAAATTTGTTTGAACTTCTCCCAATACAATCCGAATTTTACTGATTAATCAACCTATTTACTTCTGTGAAAATATTTCCTGAAAGCCGTGAGTATTCCTGAACATATCAATAATTAGCGTTGGGACAATCTGGTCCGGTCGAATTGGAATCTCGCAGAGCGCATCTCTTCCATCATAAAATGCCAAAGTAGCGACGCCGATAAAAACCGCCATCATTAGAAAAAGACTGATGCAGAATCCGCCGATCGCCATCGCAATTCTCCCATCTTTCATGTTCTTGCACATATTGAATCGCTAAAAAATAAGTAGAGAGTCGATTAACTGATTGTATTTTACCTGTGCCATCGCTTGTTGAAGAGGCAGTGTGATAAGAGCATCGATGAGAAGTCGGAAAACGATGATCAACGGGGCGCTTCTGTATGTCAAATCGAAGTGTTCCTTCGATTCAAGCCAGGCTGAGAACATTGTATTGCATTTTGTTCTTTCGCAAACTTCGGTGATTTTCGAGAAGCCAATGGTTGTAGCCAGCTTGATGGTGATGACCAAAGTAGCGCCGATCAGGGCAAATCCATTTATGACATCAGCTTTTTTTGGATTCAAATTTATTCGTTTTCTTTTAATGATATAATATAAAAATCAACCCTTTCCCATGATGACAGCATTCATGCCTCCAAGATAAGTATAAATGATACAAATGACTGTCATAGAAATAATCACCAAAAACAAAACCATATTCGATTGCGGATCCAAGTCAAACGCGTCATCCAACACCGCCTTGATCGCGTAAGACGGCGAAAGAATCGCAGCAGAGACGAAGAATCCCCAAGAAAGAAGTGAAGAAACCAGGCATATTTTTGAGATGTCTTCTCCGAATCGAATTTTTACGTAGTCAAAGACGGAGTCGGAACGAGTTCGGTAGAAGACGGGGTGGATTGTGTAGCAGCCAAAGGCGACTTAAATTCAAGTAAAAAGCAGTTTCATTAATATTGAATACTTACTGATAATAGGTACAGTAATCGCATTCCACAGCTGAGCCGTTCCATACAAATACACTTCTGATGGATAGCCGGTCAAAGAAAGAGCAGAAACAAACGCGACAAAAATGGATAAACCAACATTTATCGGATTCGCCGAATGAGAAGCCATTAAATATTGCGCTACATTCGAGTTTGACCCGCTAAAAATCATCAAAAACGAAATTTAAAATCGAATTTTACCGGGATAAATAGACGCCGATTCCAACTGTTCCCCCGAGAAGGAGAAAAATAACAAAAAAATCTAGCCAATTCATTTTTCTCAGTTTTCTCTATTGATGAAAATTATTACTTTTCAATCATGAAAAATGTTCTTATGTCATCAAAATCAAGGGAGCCCATAAATGCGGGATCGGCTCTTCGATCCGCCCCTCAATGAAAATGTTGTCGTATTTCTTCGTAATTTTGAAAAGAAGACAAATTGGAATTGGCCGAAAAATTGCCATAAGCCAGCATTTTAAACCCTCTTCATGATTCTCTTATTTTTCAGAAGAAATAATTTCTCATTCAGGTTAATTTATAAATGGATTGTTTATTTCAAATTTTGTTTGTTTCAAAAAGATATTTACAGAAAATTATAAAAAAAAAACGACATTTTTCTCTTCAGAAAAAAAGTCTCAAAATTGGCATTTCTTAGCACAGATCGCCAACTTCTACAACTCGTCCATCTTCGCAGCAAATTTCCCGATTCGGGGCAAATTTTGTGAAGAGATTCGTCGACGATGATCGACAACAAACTGGGCCGTTTCCATTTCCGGAATCAGTAGATGGTGTTGCTGAGCAATTAGCATCATCGTAGTTGATAAAGGCGGAAGAGATGGAATTCTTGAGATCAGAGAGGGTTTGGGCAAATTGGAAGTCGCATTCGCAGCTTCCACGGCGGCAATCTTGCGCGTTATTGGCTTAAAAGGTTTCCATGAGTTGTCATGATAAATAAAATCCACTTTCACAGGATCTAATAATTTTTTTTTCAAACTTACCACAAACGCCGTTTCTGACTCGATATCTCGAGCACGTCTCTCCATTTTTCATTCCATAAGCATTCGCGACGCAAGCATGGCATTTTCTCCAGGTCAAACAAGCAGCATCAATGGCATCGACCGCTTTTCCTCCTGCTTTTCCCCCGGGCGCGCGACAGTGGCAACCATAGCCGGAAAGATCAGAGTCGAAATCGAAGTCTGCATCGCCGTCAAAGGATCCAGAGGCAAGGTTGAATCCGCGGAAAGAAAATACATCCGAGAAGATAGCGTTCATTTTCAAAGCTGAAAAAGCATCGGTATGGCTTTCGGAGTAGTAGCCAGAAAGATCTTCGTTGACATTAGCCGGGAAATCGTAGCTGTACTCAGATCCGCCGTTGCCGTTTCCATTTCCGTTGCCGTTTCCATTTCCATTGCCGTTTCCAGCTCCTTGGCCGTTTCCGCCGCCATTGCCGTCTCCGTTGCCATTGCCATGGGTGCCGGATCCGTTGTTACCACCTTGTCCGCTGCCTCCGCCAGTTCCAGGCTGTCCTGGTTGCCCGGATCCGTTGTTGCCACCATTGCCATTTCCGCCACCATTGCCAGGTTGACCAGGAGTACCAGATCCGTTGTTACCACCTTGACCGCTTCCTCCGCCATTTCCTGGTTGCCCTGGTTGGCCATTCCCGTTGTTGCCTCCTTGTCCGTTACCACTGCCGTTTCCTGGCTGACCGGGATTTCCAGGTTGACCAGGGGCACCATTCCCGTTATTGCCTCCTTGTCCGTTACCACCGCCGTTTCCTGGCTGGCCAGGATTTCCAGGTTGTCCGGGATTGCCAGGCTGACCTTGACCTCCTCCCGACCCAGGTTGACCTTGGCCGTCTCCATTTCCTTGGCCGTTACCATTTCCTTGGCCGTTACCATTTCCTTGGCCATTGCCGTTTCCTGGCTGTCCAGGTGCTCCAGGTTGACCAGGGTTTCCAGGTTGTCCTTGGCCTCCTCCGTTTCCTTGACCTCCGCCTGAACCCTGTCCACCATTTTGGCCTTGGCTAGGTTGCTCAGGTTGACCAGGCTGACCAGGTTGATTTGGTTGACCAGGTTGACCGGGCTGATTTGGTTGTCCGGGTTGACCAGGCTGGTTCGGTTGACCGGGCTGTCCAGGTTGATTTCCATTTTGCCCCTGTCCGCCATTTTGGCCTTGACCGCCATTTTGACCTTGGCCTGGCTGATTTGGTTGACCGGGTTGTCCGGGCTGATTTCCTTGATTACCATTCTGCCCCTGTCCTCCGTTTTGAGATTGACCATTGCTTTGGCCAGATTGCTGGCCAGTTTGATTGTTATTTTGGCCAGGTTGATTCGGCTGCTGAGGTTGCTGGCCATTTTGACCTTGGTTGTTGTTTTGGCCTTGTTGATTGTTCTGCCCTTGATTTTGGCCCTGCTGATTGTTTTGGCCTTGACCGTTCTGCTGGTTTTGGCCATTTTGTTGATTCTGGCCATTTTGTTGATTTTGGTTGTTGTTTTGATTGTTGTTCTGGTTGTTATTGTTGTTGTTTTGACCTTCAATGCAGGAGACATCGCCGAAGTTGCAGTAGTAGAGCATGAAGGCAACGGGAGTATGCTCCATGGATCCATCAAAGTCGAGTGGCATTTGAAGATTTGTGTTGGAAGTATGTTTGAGATTGTCGTTCAGCTCGATTGCCCAGAAAGATGCTCGATCTTCACCTTCATTCAGAGGATTTCCAGCTCGAGAAACAGGGTAGAATGCTTCAACGCCATTTTGGCCTTGGAAAGAAGTCTAAAAATAAATGACAAAAAAGAAATATTTTTGAAAAAAACGAACCTTGATTTTCGTGGATCGATTGTCAAAACCCATGAAAATCTTTCCAGCGCATCCGATGGCTCCTCCAGAGGGACTTCGGACTTGCAGATTTGCTGAGCCACCTTGATTTTGTTGCATTCGGAAAGCTTGATTGATCTGGCTCGCGCTCAGAGCAGTGCAGCCGTTGGGAATGTTGTTCAATGGTCGATCCTCGACGAAATCGTTCATGTAGCCACCATCGCAGAGTTTGGCATTGGAGGCTAAAATGATAAAATAAAATTGTTATTTTATTAATTTTTTTAGATTAAATTTTTATTCTTTTTATTATTAAAATAATATTTTTATTAAAATTAAATAAAATGACTAATAATATTTATCTAAAAAAATAAATAATAAAAATATTTTTCATTCAATTTTTTTTATAGTTATTTTTACCTTGAACAGCCAAATTTCTCTGATTGATTTCCTGATTCGTCAATTGTCGATCAAAGTTGTGCCAGAGCTCGAATTCGATCTTTCCTTGCTGAATCGCCTGGTTCGAGATTTCCTTCGATTTTCGATTGACAAAGTAGTACCAAAAGGTATTCGAGTCCTTCTTTCCATCGTCGATCACAGCCCAGTCGGGAAAGTTGACCGGCTCTCGGAGGCCGACTTCGCTGCCCGAAACCATAAGTCTAAAAGTTTTATTTAGAAACAACGGGCTATTTAGAGGGGATTCTTACGTGAGATCCATTTTTAGCCGCGAGTGGTCAGAAATAACTCGAGCCGCGCGAGCAAGCTGACTGTATCCGGAAACACTGAATCGAAGACGTCCTCCGCGGCCTTGACTGTAACTGCCCTGGTTGACAGTAACCTGGACCTGGACATTTTGACATTCGCCATCTTTGTTTTTGTCCTCTGAAAAATGAATAAGGAAAATTTTTTGATCAATTTTAACTTGAAATTTTTTAACCTGAAGAGTCCTACATCATAACTCTCAAATTAATAAGGCGCTCTTGTCATAAACCTTTTGAAACGCTCAATTTCATAAGTTCAGAGATATTGACCCAAATTTTTACCCGGTATATAATTAACCCCGGAACGCATGGCCATTTTTGCCAATTCCTGACCATTTTTTAACCGAATATTGTCGTGATTTGGGCATAAAGAGAATAAAAATCCGGGTTTATATATTATAACCGGACTCTAAGCTACAAAAATATAACTTGAGCGTGGTCATATTATATGCGTATATCAAATATAATATGGGTTTTTTGATGAGCAAAATCGTATTACCCAAAAATGGGTCGTATATGCGTTCCGGCGTTAAAATTTCAGAAAAAAATTTATGAAAATTTTTTAAAAAAATTCAGAAAAAAATAAAAAAAAATTTGTGAAAATTTTGAGAAAAAATTCAGAAAAATTCAGAGAAAATTTTACAAGATTCGTAAAAAAATTAATAAAAATTAGAGAAAAAAAAATTAAAAAAGTAAAAAATAACGAATTTCTAATTTTTCAAATTGAATTGAAAAAAAAAAATTATCGAATAAAAAATCTCTTCGATTTATTTTATCTTTTTTTATTTTGCATAAAAAGATTTTTTTCCGAAAATAACCTTCAATAGGATTCTGCGCAAAATTCGTCGAGGCGAGTAAAAAAGGTAAAACTCTCATCTTTCGACGGATTGATTGTTCCACAAGCCGTCGATTTCTCGATTTGACCCGTCCGACTTTTCGCTCGTTTTTAAATTTCCTCGAGAATGCTCCGAGGGCGCGCTTGAGCGCAAGCGCGCCGTTGACCGCGCGTTCTTTATTTGACGATTGCGTACTTGGACTAGCTTTTTTGTTAGTGATAAAAGCAAATTGGAGGATTTTAGATTTGTTGATCAAATCAAATTCAAACTGGACCAATCGTCTTCGATATTAGTTTCTAAATGGTTCGATTTTTTTCGCTTAAAAAATATATTTTTTTTATCATCGAAATATCGAAAATTTTTTGTTAAAATTTTTTTATAAAAATATTTTATTCTAAAAATTTTTTATTAAAAATATTAATTTAAAAATATTTTCGACAAATTAAATACAAATAAATTCATTTTTGTCAAAATTTTAGACAAATTAAAAGAACAAGAAACATTGTCATTGAATTTCGTTCAAATCTGCCCGTGCGAAAAAAATTCGACTAACCCAAATTCAAAACGGTCCTTCGCGAGTTGAAAATATACTCGAAGTTCTAAACGCGCGTCAGAATCCTCAAAGAGCGCCAATTATTTGCAGGGGTCCTCTTCTTGCCCGCTACTTTGATCAGTCAATTAAGCACACGTCGACCCAGATAAAAAGTGCAACTCAAAAGGGTCGAAAATCTAAGATCTTTCTCTCTTTTTCCAAAATATAATTAAAATTATCATTCAAGCATAAATTCTTCTCTGGCAAAAGAAAGCCATCAGAAGTTCCCTTAGTCGAGTCGAAAAATTAAGAGAGATGGCGAATTTTAAGGAACTCGCTGGAGCTCTCGCTGCAGGAATGAGCTTGAACTCTTTCGCGAAGGGTCAAGTGCTGGGGTTCTCGAAAAGTTGAGAGCCCAAAAAGCACATTCTTTTGGCTCGCGTCTGCGGAGTCACGTTTATGATAAATAGTAAACGCACTTTGTGGTCAAGAGTAACTGTTTATTTTCTTTGCGAATCACGTGTCTGGGCTCTGAAACCTGTGTAGAAAACCTGACTCAGGCTATGAAAGGCTTTGACAGAGCTTTTCAAAGCCTGACTCAGGTTTTCAACACAGGTTGTCCTGTGTGTAAAACCTGTGCGTAGAACCTGTGTAAAAAACCTGAGTCAGGCTTTCAAGGGCTGAAAAGGAGCTCTTCAAAGCCTGACTCAGGTTTTCCAACCCACGCTTTTTAGCCCAGTCACGTGTGGTTTAACAAGCTCTTGGAAGAATTCTTTCGGATTCAAAATGAGCTGAATGACAATTATAGAGTCCACTACTCAACCGAAGACCGAGCTCTTGATGTGGACAGCGATCGAAATGACTCATTTCTTGACTTTGGAATGGTAGTTATTTTTCTTTCAGAACGCACTCTCATTTTTTAAGATTGATGCGGAGATGTATAGCTAATGTTTTTAATAATCATCAATTCAATCGAAAAGCAGGAAAAAATTTTCAAGTGATATTAGAAAAATTTGATGATTATGAAAAAGATCCCGAATCGGACACGACTCTGATGTGGAAGTTGAAAAAACTGTCCTCACTGAATGTAAATTCCTTGATTTATGATTTTTTTTAATTGAGATTTTCAAGTTCGCGTTCTCTTCATTTCCCTGGCAATCATCTGTGGACTGATTGGAATCTTGATCGGCATTCTTTACGGTTTTTCTTCCTTCATGATTTTTGTCAAAAACTTGTTTTTTTTTCTAGCGACGAACATAAAGCAAAAAAGCGAAAATGAACTTCTCTCTGCTCAACAATCTCGGTAACCAATTCTTTTGACAGAAATATATAACAAAAAAGGGACAGCGATGAGGAGCATTTCAAAATCAACGTCAATGAATTCATCCGTCGACAAAGCATTGGAAGCCTTTCAAAGTGGCCTCTTGCCATTTTTTCTTCAATAACACTTGATTATCTAGCCCTACATCGATCAGCCGCACCAGTTCCTGCAAAATATTTGACAAGAAGGAAAAGGTAAAAAAAAATCTGGGTTCGGAACTCTAAATAGAAAATCTGAGTCAGCGTCTGAAAATATTCTATGAAAAGCCGCGTAGCGGCTTTTTTAAAAACGAAGCCGCGAAGCGGCTTCTTAATATCATATTGCCAATATGGGTCCTATTATATGAGTCATTTTATATATATGACTCATATTATATAACTCATGATATGACTCATATGATTACTCATATGATGATTCATATGATATGACTCATATTATATAACTCATGATATGACTCATATTATATGGCCCTTTTACTCTATTTTAAATAGACTATTTATAAAGATTTGCAAAGCCGCTTCGCGGCTTCGTCTTTAAAAAAAGCCGCTATGCGGCTTTTCATAGAATTTAATCAGACCCTGACTCAGGTTTTCTACATAGGTTGCCTAGCTCAAATCATCCGAAATCGTCTATTTTTGGATCTTTGATGATCATAAATTAAGGTATTCCGCACAAAATCCTACGACATTCAAAAACTCCCTGGGCGCCTCCCAAATGTCCGAAAAGATCTTTACTCGATTCTTTGAAAAATTTGATGACAATTTCAGCAAAATAAAGAAAAAATTTGATGTTTGATTTGATCAAAAATGTGGTTTGGTTCGTTAATTAAAACAGAAAATGACGGTCACGAGTAAAAAACAGCTTCTTAGAAGGAAGCTTGATAAACACGAAATTTTGCAAAGTAGGTCTTCTTGAGAAACAAGTCCCGCGGTGTGTCAAGAGATCAATAAGTTGTTTTTGAGTCAGTGCAGGGCTTGATGTCTGTGCTAGTACTGTATCTTCGCAGATTCGACTTGACGGTTCGTCTCAGGTTGAAATTAATCAATTTCGACGATAAGGGTTGAATTTTTTTCAAAATCGAAGAAAATTTAAAAGTATGAATCATACTGTATGATTAAGGGTTAGAATTCCAAATTTGTTCAGCTGAGTGAGCTGAGCTGGCTGAGTGAGGTCAGCAGCCTCTCAGCTCAGCCCAGTGATTTTCGAAAATGATCTGATCTGATCTGGTCAGCTCAGCTCAGCTCAGCTCAATAATTCTGAAACATGATCATTTCTGCTCAGCTCAGCTCAGCTAAATGATTTTTACTCAATGTTACTACTAAAAATACAGTAAAAACAGCTCAGTTAAGCTCACCCAGCTCAGCTCATCTCTTATTAGGGTCTGCTCAGCTCAGCTCAACTACGTCAAAAAGGTCTGCTCAGCTCAGCTCAGCTCAATTACCTCTGAAAAAGTGCAGCTTAGCTCAGCTTAGTTCAGCTCAGAAAATTTTTTACGCAGGTCAGCTCAGCTTAGCTCAGCAAAAATAATCCAAAATTTGCAAATCTGCTTAGGGTTAGGGTTACCCATAATTAAGTAAGTCTATTGTTCAGAATTTGACCCAAAAAAAAGCTTTTAGAAAACAGAGAATAGAGGGCTGAAGCAAAGTGGTGTACTTTCCGATATTGCGACTAAACTTGAGTTTTTGTATTTGCACAGCGGTGCCCTTTAAGCTTTTAGCTACTTGAGCCGCTGAACTCTGTGAGGGATTTAATAGTATAGATTTAATAGTGAAGCAACTCCACGTTTGCGCAAATTTTAATTTTCCAACAATGCTTAATTTTTGCGGAGAAAAATGGCAAATTGGAAGTGGCAAAATTGCTCAAAGTTCATGTAATCTCTGTTTTCTCCCCGATTACTGATAAGAAATCATTCAAGAGTCTTATCAATCTGCTGACGATGAAGCTGGACTCGTGTCTGATCAGATTTTCTTGAGAGGATCTTACGCGACCTGCCATTTTTTCGCTCAGTTCCGCTTTTATTCAAACAATATTCCTTTTTTCTACCGCGACTTTACTCAATTATCCAATTCCGCGACTTTTTTTAGAGAGAAAAAAAAACGGGATTATTCTAAAAATACGAAGCCCGCTTCTTTTAGCACTTTTTAAAAATAATTTTTTTATGCAACTTTTGAATTGAACCCTTTTTAGAAAAAAAAGTTAAAAATGAACTTTCCGAGTTTTCTAATTTTCAATGAACCTGATTTGAAATTGAGAAAATTATGACGAGAAACTGTGTTTTCGCGGAAATATCAAGCAAAATTCATGTTTGAATGACTTCGCTGAGCAAATTTTTTTGGACTGAGATGAAATTTTCAGCGAAAATAAACTTGTCAAAAAAGCAAAATAAAAAATGGTTAATCCAGTTGGTTTCAATTCTCGCTAAAAATGGTCATTTGAGTAAAGCCTGCGTACTTTGACGAAAAAATTTTGTGAAATTTTTCATCAAAAATTTTGATTCTGGCTTTGAAAGATTTTAGCTGAGGGTTCAAAGTTTCCATAGAATAAATAAAATAAGGGGGTCAGTATCCAAATTCTTGGAGAAAAATCATCTCAAAAATCACTCTCTTGTGATGTCTACGCCCTTATTGACTGCCTATCGAAATTTATCAATAGAAAGTTCACCAAGGCTCATCGTCACTATCACCTGAGAAAACCAATCATTTCATGCTCAAGTTGCCAGATTACAAGCCTTGTCTTGACGGCCCGAGAGTCTCAAGTACGCGCGATTGTGGCCTGCGGAATCGTGTTCGCTTATGTCACCAAAGGTAAAGTCCGTCCGTTCGTAGTTTGGTGCCCAAACATGCTCGGAATTATGAGCGCTTGTTTTTAGAAAACGTATTCGCTAATAAAGCGGATGACAAAATGATAACGGGATCGTTTGAGGCTGAAAAAGGTCAAATTGAAAAAATAAAAGATAAAATAAAATTTTATTAAAAGAAAAGATTTTCGTTCTGTTATCACTTGATTGAAGAAGAAAAAAATTGTTTTTTTAGGTAGTTGAGATGAGATGGGTAAGCTGAACTGAGCTGTTTTTTAGTTTTTTAAGTAGTAAAATTGTGTTAAAATCATTGAGCTAAGCTGAGCTGAGCTGAGTGATACTTGTCTGAGCTGAGCAGAACTGATCATTTCCCAAAATCACTGAGCTGAGCTGAGCGAGACTCTAAGGCGAGGTGAAAATCGATGAAATTCATCATGTACCGAATCGGCAGATGTAGGCGCATTGTCGCAAAATGTCGCTGAATCTAGCCAAATGTCGATGAATCTAGCCAAATGTCGCTGAATCTAGCCGAATGTCGCCTGATGTCGCTAAATGTAGCCAAATGTCGCTGAATGTCGTTAAATGTAGCCAAATGTCGCCAAAAGGCGCAAAAAATAATAAAAACATCTGGCTCTAGAAAACTTGTTTCTTAGGTCAAAATATAATATCCGGCGACATAGTTAGTGTACTACTAAAGAACGGGAATTTTTGCAGAGATAATAGTTTTTGAAGTCGATTTTTTTGAAAGACGGGAACTCCTAATCGAGAGTGCACTCAATTTCCAGCTCAAGAAAAGACAACAAATCTTACGATTATCCGAGCTTTGATGTGAAATCGCTTTTTGAAATAAGATTACCCGATGTTACCCTTTTTAGCGTTGGTCCGGTTTTCTTCCAAATTGCTACTTTACATATGAAAATGCAGTCTTCATAAATTGGTGATTTTCGTTCCAAGAAATAGGGAAAAACATGAAATCGGAGTTTATTTTTTCATTAAATTTATCAAAAAAGAAAACACAATTTTTACTGAAGAGACATCATGTCGTTGAGAGTCTTGTCGAGTTTTTCAGAAATGTCGCGAAAGTTCAACTTTTCTTGGTAAAGAGAATTGATCAAATCGTCGATGGTCGACTCCAACTTAAAATATTTTTAATAAAACGAAGGGTTTGAAAACACACCTTGTCGACAGATCGCTCGGCAAATTCGGCTCGAGTATCGGCGAGCTTGAACTCTTCCTGGAGCTCCTTGACTTTGCTCTCGTATTCGTCTTCTTTGACGGAGTTGTCGGCGACAATTTGATCCATTTCTCGAACCTACAAGTCGACAGTCAAGAAATTGAAAAGAGTAAAAATAAACTTTGTCCTGAAGCTGTCGGAGCTCATCTTCAGTGGCTCTGCCTTTGCCCTCGAATTCCTCGGCTCGCTCAATGATGCGCTCAAGATCGTTGGAGACAATTTTCAACTTTCGCTCGGAATCTTCATATTTGTGATTCGAGCTCATTGCGATCTGACGAGCTTCCTCGAGCTGAGTTTCCATTTGTTCAGCTGCTTCTTCGTTCTGAAAATAATGAAACCGGGAATTCTAGCGTTTGTGATGGTACCTGGAAAGATTGCTGCTCGGCGATTCTTTTTCCTTCCTCGTTTTCTTGGTAAGATTTTTCGATCGCGGAAATTTTCTCCAAGTTTTCGTTCAATCGAAGGGTGCATCGACTGGTTTCTTCTTCAAGAAGAGCAATTCGTCGCTAGAATTTGACAATCAGGACATAAGGACCCCCATCCGACTTTTCCTTCGAAAAATAAAAAATTTTAAAAACGCCATATTTTTGGCGTCCTCGGGTTAAACTTGCTTAAAAAACTCAATTAAAGAAATTTTTGACCTAAAAAATCAATATTTTTGCCAAAATTTGGGCAAATTCGCCAATTTTAGAGATAGACCCCCAAAAATGCAGCCTCAAAATCGTTTTTTTTACCCGTAGAATCCATTTCCGGGGTCAAAATTTAAAAATTCCGTAATATGATTTTTCGAAAAAAGCTGACGGGGGGTCCTTTAATGGTAAGAATATTTATGTACCTTGAGAGCTCCAACTTGCAATTCGGCATCGACGACTTCCTTGTCAACTTCTTCAAGCTTGTCTTGGGTGCTCTTGCTGCTGGAAACAGTGTTGTCGAGCTAAAATCAAGCTCAAGAGAATATTAAATCAACCGATAATACTCACATCGTCCTCGGTCTTGGCGATAGCTCGCTGGACCTTGTCGACTTCTTTTTCGAATCGAGCAAGTTCCGATTCAAACTGAGCGCAAACCGTTTCCGATTCCGTCGCTCGTCTGACAGCCTCCTCCTTCTCCTTCAGGAGGCAGTCCATCTTGTGCTTGATCGACTCCATCTTTTATCTTTTCTAAAAAAAATATTTTGAGCTGAGCAACTTCTGTTAGCGCTGATGCCAAACTGCAGAAGAGAGGATGCCGCATACAGAGTCACGCTCTCGGCCTGACACGCTGTTCTTTCAACAAGTGCTCGTAAACTATGTCCGTCTAATGAAGTGCGAGCGTATTGAAATCAGGTTCGAAGTTCGAACCGGCCTCTTGATTCTTTCATCATAGAAGAAATTAACTATAACTACATCTGATTGACCTAAATATTTGTATCTGCTCCGATCAAAGCGCAATACACTGAAAGCCTGTTCGATCCATCTCGGTACAGACTTTCTATAACCGCCAAATATGTTCCATCTTGGTAATTTTTCTCTTTATAAGACGGAGATGCCCTTAAGATAATCATCAAAAAGAAACCATGAATACAATAATTTTGATTTTCTTTGTCGGCAAAGTCTTCGGATTTAATATAAAAACCCATCCAGATACAGGTAAAATTTGAAAAAGCAATCATTAATTCTATACAAGAACTAAACTTGGACATCATAACTGACGAACATGGAGATCATGACAATAAGATGGAACTTGCGAGTGTTCTTGACCACTTGTCGAAAGAAAGAGAATTCGGAAAACTTTTTGGATATATTCTTTGAATCGTTTCTTTGCAATAAAAATATTGAATGAAATATACAGTATATTAATAACTCCTGGAAAAGTTAGGAGTAACTGTGGTAAAAAAGAACAGGGTTTACCCCCTTTTTTGTCCCATATATTGTCAAATTGTCAGGTCCAGATGTCAAGTCTGTACCATTCTTTATGAATACAACTGACATCTCCTGTATAAAAAACATGCTTCGGGTCATCAAAAGAAGATTTGAAACAATGAAAATAGTTCATTTTTCCTTGATGGCTTTCAACATCGTATTCGGCCTGCGAATACCAACCTCGATTATAAAAACTAAGCCGGATATAGGTTTGTTTCTTTTCGTAGTAGGGCAGAGTTGCAAATTTGCTGAGCTGATCTGAATGATCTGATTTGCTCAGCTCAGCTAAGACAATTTTTACTCAGCGCGGCTCAGCTAAATTATTTTCGAACATGATCTGCTCTGCTCAGCTCAGCTCAGCTAAGACAATTATCACTTAGCTCAGCTCAGCAAACTCAATAATTTTAACAAAATTTTAATACAAAAAGAGACAAAAACAGCTGAGCTCAACTAGCTCAGCTCCGCTCTAATTTGGTTCCGCTCAGCTCATCTCTTTTAAACAAAAGGTTCGCTTAGCTCAGCTCCGCTCAATGAGCTCTGAAAAAGGCTAGCTCAGCTCATAGAAATTTTTACTCAAGTCAGCTCTAGAAAATAAATCAAAATTTGCATCTCTTTAGTAGGGCCCCTACTGTAGGGGTTATCATTCACGCTGCCCCTTACCCTTAACCTTACCCCCTTAAGAGTTGAACCTGGACGTCGTTAACGACGAGCATGGCGACCACGATAATCAGATGCAAATCGAGAATGTCATCAATCATTTGAAAAAAGAAAGAGAATTTGGTCTTCTTTTTGGCAATTTTCTTTGATCAAATATACTTCAACCTTATTGGTTAAATGCAAAATAAAAGTAAATTTATTGAAGAGTCTTTTATCTGTTGTTCAGTAAGTTCGGTATCCAGCAATTTCAATTTTTCATGTTCAAAAAACAAGTTTCCAAAATCAATCTTCAATGACGCAAAAACAGTGGCAGGAAAAAGTGTCCCAGTCCCAAACTTCAGTCGCGCTTCCCACTTTGCAGTTGGAAACATCAGCGAGCTCGCAGCCGTGGAAAAGGGTCCAGGAGGCTTTGCACTGCTCGTTTTCGACGATTCGGTGGGCGTTTTCCGTCCAGAACTTGAAGATTGACCATTCTGGCACGGGCGGGAGGGCGGAGACGGCGCTAGAAGAAAATGATTGAGATAGACATTAATTTAAGGACCCCCCCGTCAGCTTTTTCATTCGACAAAAGAATTTTTTTAAAAACACCATATTTTTGGTTCTTCATGCCTCCTCAGGTTAATCTTACTTCAAAAATTTGATATGAGGAATTTTTGACCTAAAAAAATCAATATTTTTGCCAAAATTAGGGCAAATTCATCAATTTTCGGCGAAAAGTCCAATTTTCAAATTCGATTATGGGGATGAAGGAGTCGAGATTGATCCTCAAAAAAGGAAGCCTCAAAATCGTTTTTTGACCCGTAGAATCCATTCCGGGGTCAAAATTTTAAAATTCCGAAATTTGATTTTTCGAAAAAAGCTGACGGGGGGGGGGTCCTTAAATTAAAACCAGAATCATAACATCTTTCTCATTCAAGGACCCCGCCCCCCTTTTGTCAACAATTTTCGAAAAATCCATTTCCGGGGTAAAAATTATGAAAAGCCGATTTTTATTTTTCGGAAAATTTTCGGGGGGGGGGGGATCCCGGATCCTTAAATATTTCCTTGAAAGCTAACCTGATTAAAATTGTCAAAAGAAAACTTTTCATTGTCGCTTTTTTTTCTTGTTTTCTTCGCTATTTTTGAAAATGGGTGTGACTATTACGTTGGTACTTTTAAAGTGATGTTTGTGGCCCGAGGCGCGTGCGCTTTTATGCGCAAATAATCGGACCACTTGTGTTTGGCAAGTGAGCCTGATGTAAAAAACAGCGCGGCGTGGCGCAGACTTTGCTGCATTCTCGTTAGTCTCTAGCTTTTTTGGCACTTTTCTAGGGCAGATGAAACTGGTTTTCAAGGTCGTCCACAGCGTTGTCGAAGACATTATGTAATGAAAGCAGGGTTTTTTTGTAAAAATGATTTATTTATATAACAATTTTTCAAAATCTTCTGTTAGAAAAATCATGGTTCATCAGAAACGACGAGGAATCAAGCAGATCGAGTTCTGGAAGAGCTGGAGTATGTTTGATTCCGATTTCGTGGCCTCTTTCGTTGTGCAGGCAGGTGATCTCGTACTCTTCGAATTTCGTGCTCATCGAATTGAACGTCTTTTGAAATTTCACTAATTGACTTTTTCGGCTTTTTAAGACGGGATGGTTTCTGGAACCGACAAAAAAATTTCGACAAATTTTATGTGGGCGGCTACTCGGCTGCTGATTGGCCGGTTTGCCGAATCCAGGCTTCTGATTGGTTGAATATTTCCACGCAAAATTTGTCGAATTTTTTTGTCGGTTCCAGACACCTCCCCTTTAAAACGGAGATTTTTATAAAGATTTTTTTGAAGAAATTTTTAAGAAGCCGTTCCTAGTTTTTCTCGAAGAATAAATCTTCATGCTCTCAATTCTTGTATTTATGTCTTGGAAGCAGATATCCCTCAAATACGTCAAATTGATCGCAAGAGACTCTCCAAAAACCGTCTAAAAAGCGCCTTTTTACTCAAAAAATGAAGAAAAAAATTACCTTGAATTGATAGAAATTCTCAAATTTCGTCGATTTTTTTGCGATGGGAAGCTTTGTTTTGGGCAAAACAAGCTTTTTCATGAAAATGACGATTTTGGCCATGAGCTCGTGGACTTTTTCCGAGTCGTTTTTGATGATTTCGTCGATTCCGAAGGAAATATCGCCGTTGAGAATCACTTCTTCGTCGTCGTAAAATTTCGATCCCTGAAAAACTCGATTGCAATCAAGGAAGAGAACTGAAAACGAACCGTTTGTCTTTCTTCATTCGTGTCTTTCCAGAAGTCCTTGCAATGGTCGTCGTGAAGCTCCTGTCGAGCCATGTCTTCTTTCGCCATTTTTTGATTGGTTTTCAGATTTTGCTGGAATTCGTCGTCGTTTAGCTGGGCGATTTTTGATCGGAGGAATTCGAGGTATGTTTCCAAGGCCTAAAAAGAGGATTTTGTCGGAAATTTTTGACAAAAAGAAACTTCAATTCAATATTGTGTTCTTACCCTAACCTTAGGGTGGGACTAACGAAAGGAAGTGATTTCTTGGATCAGATCCAGCTCAGACTAAGGTTTGATTGGCCGCTAGGCAAAATACAGCGATCTTATTGGCTATCCAAAAAATCACTTCCTTTTCTTGGTCTGTGCCTAACCCTAACCCTAACCCGAGATTCATTTACCTCAAGATGCTCATCAAGAATCTTCAAATTAGTAAACATCTGTCCAAGCCAGTAAGACTTCATGATCATCAATTTGTTCAGCACAGTATAACCGAAAAGACTGTACATTTCTCCACGAACAGCGAAAATTCTAAAGAAAATAACAAAAACGGAGAAAAACAAATTCGAACCTGTTATTGCATCGGAGTTGCTGAACACTAGCCAGTGCTCGTTTCCAGGTCTGGATGACGTTGAGGTCTAATTGGTCAATTAGGCGATTGAGGATTTTAATGTCGTGGTTAAAATATTCTTCCAGGGGCTCTTCGAACTAGAAAAAAAATATTTTTTCAATAATTACCGATTTTTCAAAAATATTTTATTAGTTAAAAATTAATAAAAAATTTAATCAAATAACTTCAATTTTTTTTAATTATTAAAAAAAAATATTTTATTTTTTAAAATATTTTTTTTACCGCTACATTTTTCTTCTCCACCACGGTCGTTTCCACTTTCGTCGATTCCCACTGACTGATCTCTGGAATTTCGCTCGCTTCCGTAGCATAATCACTTTCCGCCGCCGTTTCATCGTCACTTGGCGGCAACGCCATCGACTCCATTTCTTGCTCAATCTCGCCGCGCTCTTCCATGAGGTAAATGTAATCTGCGAAGACGTAGAGCCACTCGCGCGCTTCGTTGAAGTTCAAAGTCGCGTCTTTGGACTAGGATTTATTTTACGATGAGAACTTCAAATCGACTAAGTTTGTTCTGAATGAAAAGGTCAGTAATCAAGTAGAAAACCTGAGTCAGGCTCTGAAGAGCTAAAATGAAAAGCCGCGCAGCGGCTTTTTTAAAAACGAAGCCGCAGCGCGGCTTCGCCAGACTTTTTGATAGACTGTAATGCTAATATTTGCGAAGCCGCTTTGCGGCTTCATTTAAAAAAAAAAGCCGCTGCGCGGCTTTTCATTTTAGCTTTTCAGAACTTGACTCAGGTTTTCTTCACAGGCTGCCGCCCCCAAAGCTCGAAAAAAATGGATATTCAAGAAATTCAAGTGCCCCCAATCAGCAACACCCTTCTGCTTGACCCTCAAGGCTACTTACAAGATATCCATGTTGGCTTCCTTCTTCTTCTTCTTGATCGATGTTGTACCGGCGGAAGACCTCATTGACGTATTCAGATGCACTCTTCGCGAGTGTCGATTGATTTCCTTTTTCCAATTCGCGCTTCAATTTCGGGTACCAATTCGAAATGTGTGCTTTTGTGATTCCGGATCCAGAAGCGGCGGCGATGTTCCAATAATCCTTGTAGAACCGATTCTTTCTGTAAATGAAATTGGTCCAATCATGATACAAGCCAGTTTTCTCTTGAGTTGTGCCGACTCTTGGATACACTGTTCCCTTAATATCCGTCTTGATATTCGCCTCGTTCAGTCTCAAAGACAAGCAGTAGACCAATCTTCTCGCCTCTGAAAAAACCGCTGAAATCAAGGAAGAGTGCAGTCGCATTTTACCGTAATAGTCGATCTCGCCATCTTGAATCATTTCTTCAAAATCAGCGCTGGCCTTGAGCTTGGCGAACTCTTTCTTTCCAATTTCAAGTGCTTTTTCGTCGAAAACTGGGTCAAGAGACTCATCTTCGGATTCTTCTTTTTTGGATTTTGAGACTTGGATTTTAATAAGTAAAATCAAATTCGAGCTTGAATCAAGCACTCTCTCTGTCTTTCATTAACATTTCAACTGTCTGGCAGACAAAATCAAGAAAGAAGAAAATCGACTCAAAATCCAACAATCCTATGTTTTGCTGAAATCCTTCTGGAGCCGAAATTCGGGAGAGGAAGAGTTTTTTCTTGTGGAAAAGTTTTCCCTAAAGAAAGTTCTAAGAATGGCATCATTTGAGCTACCAGCTCGTTAAAATGAAATAGTCGGAAGTGTAAACAAAATGCTCTTTTTGATAAAGCGGGACGTAAAAATTTACGAGATTTTGATTATTTGAATCAAGGGACTTAACGACAACCCCCGCTTTTTCGGAAAGGTGTCTGGAACCGACAAAAATTCGACAAATTTTGCGTGGAGATTCTAAACCAATCAGAAGCGCATATTTGGCAAACCGGCCAATCAGCAGCCGAGTAGCCGCCAACGCAAAATTTGTCGAAATTTTTTGTCGGCTCCAGATACCATCCCCTTTTTCTGACGGGGGTCCCTTATTATCGTAGCAAATCAACGTTCTGGGAAGACTACAACTGAACTTGGCTTTTTTTACCTGTAGAATTTTGTCAACATCGTTGACCGAAATCCTTCCATCCTGCGAAATCCTCGCGCCGGGAAAGTTTTCATGAAAAAACTTCCAAATCACATGTGCATAAGCTAAATTATCCGCGTCTCCTCTCGATGTTTTCGGAACGCAGTCCCAGCAAATCAGCCCTTTTGCCGGACCGTAGTAGTCTTCTTCTGCGTAATCTCTTGCCATGCCGTGAGGATTAATTCTAAGCAAATAGTAAAAATGAAGAAAGAGCGCGGGTCGTAAATTTTCAGTTTTTTATGAAAAGAAACGGAACGCGATAAAAATAAGAATCCACGGAAATAACCACTCGCGGTTAACAAAAGAAGAAAAAACACAAATAAAAAATATTTTCCCTAAAAGATTAAATGTCTATTTATTAGGCCATTTTTTAAAAATTCATTTTCAGCCGTCAGCTTTTTTCCTTGAAAAATGGAAAATTTTCAAAAGACCATATTTTTGGTTCTTATTGCGTCCTCAAGTTACACTTGCTTCAAAAACTTGGGGACGCTCGTCTAAATTACCGAAAATCCATTACCAATTTTTTTCAACAATTACGATTTTTTTTGCTCAAAAAATACGTAAATAACTCTCAAACGTATCCTACCAAACAGGCGCGGAGCGCACACAGGCTCTTTGACTTGATAAAATTGGCGATTTTTGGAAAGTTTGGTAATGCATTACCATAAATTGGTAATAGATTACCAAAATTGGTAATAGATTACCAAAATTGGTAATGCATTACTGATTGGTAGTTTAGACGAGCGTTACCCCCAAAAACTTGATAAGAGCAATTTATGACCAGGAAAAATCAATATTTTCGCCAAAATTAGGGCAAATTCGTTAATTTTCGATGAAAAGTCCAATTTTCAAATGCGATTTGAGGGGGTGTTAGAATCCGGAAATGGAGTCTACGTGTCAAAAAACGATTTTGTGACTTCATTTTTTGGGGTCTATCACCATCAAAATCGCATTTTAAAATTGGCCTTTTAGCCGAAAATTGACGAATTTGTCCTAATTTTGGCAAAAATATTGATTTTTTTGGTCAAAAATTCCTCTTAACAAGTTTTTGAAGCAAGTTTAGCCTGAAGACGCATTAACAACCAAAAATATGGCGTTATGAAAATTTCCATTTTTCGAAGGAAATAGCTGACGGGGGGTCCTTAATTCGTCATCTGACATTAAAATCAAAAGTAACATCTTGATCCTTATTAAAAATCATCCAAAGACTGTTGAAATAGGCCGAAATCAGATTTCCTCGTTGATTTCATCAAAAATTCATGCTCATATCCAATAAATAATCACCTCTGAATAAAAGGCGCTTCGGTCAAAACACAGGTCACTAAACCCAAAAAAAGGAGAAAAAACAAAAATGAAATTGATAAGCGGTTTCCTTTTTTCTTTCGTCATTTTCATGTCGACTTTTGAAGGGGAGTCGATGCTCAGTGACTATCTCAATACAGTTAATGATGAGCAACAGGTGAGTTTTTCTTAAAGGAATTTTTTCATTTAGGGTAAAGGTTAGGGTAAAGATTGGGGCTAGGTTTAGGGTTTGATATCCAGAAAATGGGCTTTTGAGTAAAAAAATAAGGTACGCCCCTTTGAAAATTATTTTCTAGCCGAGCTTGGCGGCAGCTCCATGGCTGGCAAACCGACTAAAAGGCGAAAACTCGGGGCGACTGTCAAAAATGGCCGAAATGCTGAGTAGCAAGCAGAACCCCCTGGAAATGTTCGCTATCCATGGATAAAATATCATGTCTGACTGAGATTCAGTCTCTGTGGAAATCAATCATCAATCTCAATTTTCGATTTCGTTCAATTAACTTCTCAATACACGGGCGGGCGACTAAGCGCTCAAAACACGGGGTCGGGAAAACCGACCACCAAGTATTATTCAGCCCCGCGCGGCGCGCCAAATTCGGAGTGTGAAAAACAGCGCCGACTATTTTGATCTCTCATTCATTTTTCCGTCGATTTAATAAGTTTTAAACTCTACTGTTAGAAAGCCTGAACACTCAGCTATTTACTCATGTTATTATCAAGGAGAAAAAACCTTCCAATTTTTCGATAATGAGCTCGAAAGAGATCTGGTGCAAAGCGCAATCCCTCTTGAAAAATTTCACGAAACTTCGCAGAGTGGTTCGGTTTGTTCATATAAGTGCACATTGCAAAAATCAGGTCAAACGGATTACCACCTTCGAAGTTATTGAGGGCCAAAGTCGCCGTGGTCGGTTTTACCGACCACGTGTATTGAGAAGTTAACGTTAATAATATATGTTTCAGAAAAAAAAAGATTTCAACTATCTAAATCTGTGAGTTTTTATTTCAAAGATCTGCATAAGATTTCAATGTTTGAAATTCAAATTTGTTGGGATTTTCTGTCAGCTCGAGAAATCCATCGACATATTGCTTTGCCGTCGCGTTGTAGAGATCCTTATCCATGTTTGTGATCGTTATGCACAGTCTGTCCGTTGTCTGCGAAGAAATCATTAATTCATTCTGCTGATCAAAAAGGATGAACAAACCTGAAAAAGAAGGGTGTATTCATAGTGGCACCAATTGTATCCAGAGCAGTACATTTCTCGGACCTCACCAAACCCGTATTTCGTATCGAATTTGTATCTTCCTACATTCGAGAAATTCGCACTAGAATCTAAACATTCGATATAAGTAGGGTGAAAAATAGCCCGAGAAAGAACTCACTCGTAAAATTTTGCTCCGGCGGCTGAAATCCATCTCTGTCTTTTGCGTAAAGCCCGATCAATGCTTTGAGCATAAATGGCTGTTGATTTTTTATTCCATCGTTGATTTCTGAATGAAGACGAGTCGCCACTTGAACGAGAGTTTCTTCGAGCTCTGCGTTTGGTTGATGGGTGTTTTCGCTGATGTAACAAGCTACAGTAGTGTTGCCGAGTTTCTTTGGGAATCTGTCGCGGAGATTGTAGTCGACGCCAAATCGAAGATCTTTGCTGTGAGATTTCTAGAGGAAAATCATGAGCAGAGTTTATGTTAGGGAAGCGAGATATGAACTTATTTAACACTTACGGTTATTCTTGAATTGATAAATGAAAATGCTGCCATCAGATAAGTGCCAATCGTAATATCATTTCTTCGGCAAAAGGCTAAAAGCTGAGCTTGGAAACCTGCGTAGAAAACCTGAATCAGGTTCTGAGGGGCTAAATTGAGCAAAACAATCAATTTCATCTATTTTTAAATTCTGGCGAAGCCGCTTAGCGGCTTCGGTTTTACAAAAGCCGCTTTGCGGCTTTTCAATTGATATGTCTGAAAACCTGACTCAGGTTTTCTACACAGGTTTCCCAGCCCAGGCCAAGAGTTTTTTGCTCGCATCTGGAGTCCCTTTTCCCAATGTCACTTTTGTTGGAACATTTTTCGGGCGTTTATTCTTGAATTGAATGTGAGGAACGACGTTCTTATAGGTCGTTTTCTCGCGAATCGTTTTCTCCTTGAATTCTTCAACTTTCTCCGGGTCAAGGGTAGGAAACAGGCGCTGGGCTGCAGTCGGGTAGTCAGTTACAAGAGGTTGCGATAGATGAGGTTTTTCATAGAAAGTCAAAATATCGTGGAGAATGAGCATCATTGACGTTCCGTCAGCCAGAGAATGAGGCGTTACGACTGAATTTAACGATTTTGCCGATTTGAGTTTCGAAAATCATTTCTTACCTATGATTTGGATGGTCAGACCTGCATCACAGACAATAACTTCTGAGGACTGGACTTTGTTCTGTACAGTCTTGTTGAATTCTTCTTCGAAGGAGCTCTCGGAGCATTGGATGAATTTTGGCGCTGATTTATTGACTGAAATATTCTGAAAGGAGTCTTCTATGTTGAAATAAAATCATATCAATTCAAAAAACTGGACATTTAAAACTTTTCCTTTATAAATCCGGCCGACCATTTCGCGTGTAAAAATGGATTCTTCATTTTCGTCTTTTCCCAAGCCTGACAAAACGCTCTCCGATCAAGCTGTTTTTGCAACTCCACGATGGCGGCATGAGAAACGGAAGTATTCTCACTATTCATAATCCATTCCAGCCCTACTTCATCCCTACATGACTTGCTGCCACAACAGCAGATAGCCCTGAACATTTCAAAATCTTTCCGCAGCAAAAAAAATCACCTGATGCAACTTCCAAAAAGACAACCACAAGTCATTTCGAATCTCAGGTTCTCTATTTTTCAAGCATAAACTCCGTGTTTTTCAAACAAAAGTGATCATAAAGCTATAGAGAGTCAATAGTGAATAGCGCGCTGAATTCAAATAATGTTACACTTTCCTGGGGAGGGGGTCGAAACTATTCTGCATGCAGAACTATTCTGCAAAAAGTAGAACTATTCTGCAAATGTAGAACTATTCTGCAGATGTAGAACTATTCTGCAAAAAGTAGAACTATTCTGCACAAGTGCAGAACTATTCTGCATTGTGTTGAAAAGAAGATCTTCATTGAGAGACAAAATTTCACTGTTTGGAAGCACGCTGCGGGCCTACGGCCCTTGCGCGCAAATTCTGGTAGGGAACTCATTTCTGAAGGTGGCCAACTTTCTCTGCTCTCGCGCCTCCTTTGATAAAAGTCGTTTTTCTTGTATGCAGAACTATTCTGCATGCAGAATTATTTCGTCGGAAAATAGCCCTTTTTTCGACGAAACTATTCTGCATTTTGCAAAACTATTCTGCATGCAGAATAGTTTCGAAGGTTTCCCCTTTCCTGCCTCTTCAAAATGATCAAAAACATTTTGATTTGATCGCCATTCCAATACGAAGCCTTTTTTCAATCGGATGATTCATTGATGCGGCGTCAAGATCATTTTTTTATTTTAGTTCATAAATTTTATTGCTGAAATCACTCTTCTTACAGAGTTTTTCACAAAAGAGTATAGTAATAACAATTTAGTATTTGCGAGTTGAACGGATAAACACGGAAAATATCAGCTTGATATTCTACAAAAATGCAAGTTTTGTAAGTGTTGAGCGAGTTTACATCAATGTAAAGTTGAACTGAAAGAAACGCATATTTTCAACCCATTTCGATGTCGGTGCCGGTGCTGGACAAGTCCGAAGTCGACCCAGATGTTTTCATGCGGCCACAGCATCGGCCAGGGAGTTTTGGCTTGCCTCGATCCATGATTTGAACTTTGCAGCTGTGGGGACGGCCGAAGATGCAGTCGAAGAAGTTTTCAGGGCTAGAAGTGGCAATTGAAATCTTGATTTTTTCTTACAGTGAAAAACGACCGCAAAGGTCACCATCATCTTACCGAAGAAGTTCCTTGGCATCGAGTAATTTCAACTTTTCTCCACCCGCCGAAGTCCTGACAATCTTGATCAAATCGGCATTGAGCGTCCTCAGAATCACCGTGGCCGGGCATTTGTCTCGCAGACCTTTGTCGCACTTCAGGTAAATCGAGAATCCAGCTTCGAAGTTTCTTTTGACCTGATAAAAATAATAAAATTGCGATTCTAGCGCCGAAGATAAAACCTTGTTGACAAGATAGGCGCGTTCCATGCGGTCATTTCGGAAGATAAAAAGTGGAAATTTTCGACGCGTCTCGCGAATTTCAACCAACTCCATTTTCATTTCGTGTCGCTTGTCGTGAGTTTCTCCACTGTCGGGATGATGTTCTGAGGATTCTGGAGGCTCGCATAGTTCGAGAATGACTTCGTCGGGAAGAGTGTCGAGGCTGCTCGGGAGGTCGCCGATCAGGTCGAAGAGTTGCTGGTCGTCTGAAAAAAGAATAAGCACAACTGAGTTTGAGCATGCTAATTTTGAATGACTGAGGCCCCGTATTTAGCAGTCAGGACCTGACTGAATTATTCAGGGCCAGGGAACTTCTCGACCCTCGAGTCACAGGAACACAGGTTAAAGAAAGTATCCTGACACAGGCTTGTACACAGCTGGGCTCGGAAACCTGAGTACAGGGTCAGGGTTCGAAAACTTTTTTTCGATATTTGCGACTCGCAAAATTGCGAGCCTCTATTTTACTCAGGCACACAGGTCAGGGCCTGTGTACTCAGTACTCAGGGGCCTGACTCAGGGTTTTTCTCAGGTCAGATTGCCAAGCCCAGGTACACAGGACAGGTTCTTGAGCTCTGGGATACACTAGAATATCGGATATAGCCCTCAGTACCTGGGATATTGACGGAAGAAATCATATCGTCGATTAAATTGTCGGAATAAGTCGAGAAATCGCAACTCTCGCTCTCAGACTCCGATTCTTCATAAACCCTCTTTCGGCTTTCCAAATGCGATCGCGGCAGAGAAATATCTAAAAAACATTCAAAATGGAAATTGAGTAAGAGATTGGATTCTTACCTTTTTCCGTCAAAACTGGCGGAATTCGAATGTCCATCATTTCAATGTCATTTCCATCCCCTCCTTGTCCGAACGTATTTCCTTCTGGACTAGGGCAGAGGCCCAAATCTGGCATGAAGAAGAATATCTTCTTCGGCCGAGGCCGGACGAAACGATGCATCCCGCGATGAGGCATTTTCTTCTGATTTTCTTACAAGCAATCTAAATATTAAAATTTTATATTATTTAATTTGGCGATTTCAACTCTGGTCTTCTCTGATCTGAACTCTGTAAACTACCCTGCAATACGTGGCAAGGAAAATTAACTTTTTTACGAGACGCGTCACAGAAGAAAAAAACTAGCTAAAAGTGTCTGCTGGCAAAAGTCGATTTCCTTTTGTTATTTTTCTCAAAGAAGAAAGAAAGAGGCCGAGGTGAAGTAACTTCAGCTCCCAGCTCGTTGCTCATAACAGGGCAAGATGGTGCCCAGGGGCAGCGCAGGAGGACACAGGTCAGAATGATTCTCTCAGACTCTGACTCAGAGCTAATTATGAATTTCTATGCTGACCCTACTAAAATAATCGAGTTTACAAATAAAATGAGAAGCGAGAATCGAAACAGAAAAGACTCAGGGGCCTGTCTCAGGCTTCTACTCAGGTTGCCGAACTCAGATCTGAGTCAAAAGGAAAAGAAGTAAAGAAAGGTCATTTTGTGCTTTGATTCTTTTTTCTGCCTTTTTATTACAAAGTGGATCAGTTACAGGAGAGTCCAGTTAGTTAAACTTAATAAATACGTACAGGCGACGATTGATTGTTTTTTAGTTACTATCTTCGTTTACTTTAAAAGTTTGTTTCAAGCTTTCTGCGCTTTGTTCTGCACTGGGAGGTAGAGCTTGAATTCGGCGGGAAGCTCGTCTTCGGAATAAAGCCGGTCAGAGAAGTAGACTCGACGGATTCGGCAATTAGCGTGGATCTGAAATGGAGGTTTATTGTGATGAAGTAAGAATAATTGGGAAAGGCCAGGCTTTCACCCTGAGTCAGGGTCCCTGACTAACCTGAACTCGGAGAGTTTCGATGTAGTTAGTGCCATACGCTCGCCGGGTAAAGTCGGAAAGGTTGAACTGGATCTGATTCCAGCCATCGTCCAAGCGCATCGGCATCGTGCAGATAAAGGGCTTAACTCGAGTCGTCGACTGGTAGTTGCTAGCGCGGAATCGTCGTCGTACGTTCTTATCATCCAAAACCTGAAAAAGGGGAGTTTTTAACGGTGTCTTTTTCTTCGAAAATCGAGAAGCCGCTTGCGGCTTCGAGCTTCAAATTGCAGATACCGTGTTACTGAGCGCGGCAACCTGAGTAGATACCGGAGTCAGGCTCTGGAAGAGCTAAAAAGGAAAGCCGCGTAGCGGCTTTTTCAAAAACGAAGCCGCAATGCGGCTTCGCTAGGAGTCTAAAGAAAATGTATATGGTTTATTTGCGAAGCCGCTAAGCGGCTTGGTTTTTAGCTATTCAAGAGCCTGACTCAGGTTTTCTACTTAGGTTGCCAAGCCAAGCTGTGGAGGACGAGTTTGAAATTTACCTGAACTTCGAAAGTGAAGTATTTCTTGAGATTTTTGATAATCATGACAAGGAAGGGGAGCTTGATTCCGAGCGTCTTCTTAGGATCGGCCGGGCAGGTGATGTACGTGGTGGACACATTGGTTCCTTCGATCTCGAGCACCAGCGACTGGATGTCGTTGTCTGTGATGCGCTTGATGTGTCCGTTGCGCACTTTTTTGTCCCAAATCTGCAGCGGTTTTGAACCAATACTGTACAGAATGGACAGGAATCCACTCTAAAGATTGGTTTTAGGGCTAAAAATTCGGGCAGGAAAACGATTCTAGCAACAGCTTTAGCTGAATTATTCAGAATATGACTAAGAAACTCATTGAAACCCGACTAAGAATCCTGAAAGAAGTCTGAAAACTGATTACTTTCTCGAAAAAAATCATCAAAATTCGAGTTTTTCTTTGAAAATTCTGGATTTTTACTTTTAATGGGGATTTATATCGGGTTTTAATTGAGACGGGTTAGATATAAACTTTATATTATAAAGAATTCCCTGATAGAAAATAATATGAAGATCGCCCTTTTTTCATTACCTGGAAAGTATTTTTGAACATTTCGCCACTGTCAAAAGGTTAAACTGATTCTGGGTCCTTTTTTCTTCCAAAATAACAGCCGGGGTTCTAGAAAAAAACAACAAATTTCAACTTTTTTTTTTCTCTGACTTTTTGATTTCACCTCTTTTTTGTTTCTTGTTTCGTCTTCAATTGCAGAATCGAGAGTTGAATTTCGGGGAGAAAGAGAAGTCGTTGACTGGGGAACGCACGCCTGGGGCCATGGCAACGCTGTCTCGAGGCGACTTTTTCAAAAATTTATAAATTCGAAACAAAACGCGAAACGCTCCAGCGGCCGCGCATTTCTTCATTTTTCTTCTCGCGAAACATTCTTTTTCGATCAATCTAATCCTTTTGTTTTTATTGATTTTGAGGATTTAGTTTTTCACGGTACTTTCTCTTAAAATTTCAAATCCGCAAAAAATGCTTTCAAATCTCGTCCAATAAAATTTCTCGATCGAATGAATGACCAATCAGATTTCTCGAATGAAGGAACCCCGAAATATCGAAATTTTTAGGTTTTTATCTTTCGTTCTTTCTCTCCTTTTCTGATTGGCTGATTTTCTAATCTTTCTTTTTTCGAGAAATTGAGAGATTACTTATTTCTGACGGATAAATTTTCGCTAGAATTTCCTTCCGAAACGAAATGAGAGTACAGCTGTAACTCCAGAAGCCGCTTGCGGCTTCGAATAAAAGAAGACAAAAAAGCCGCGCTTTACTAGAAAGAAGATTCTTGTGAAAATATGATACATCGTCAGAAATGAGAACAAGTAATTTTATCTAGAGAATATCTTACAGAAAATTTCTCTAAAAATTCCAATTTTACTCCTGCTCTGAAACTACCATCAATGTTCTTTTCTTCCCTTTTACCCGCATGCATTCTTTTTAGAATGAAAAAGAGGCAGGCAGCAAAGCGAAATATCCGCGAAATCCGCTCCGACGACGAAGTTTCCGATTCAGATGTCGTCAACGAAACCGACAAATTCCACGAGAATATCGATCACGATTCTGGTAAGAAAGAAAAAAACTAGCTTTCAAGACTTTTCTTCATACTTATTTCAAGAAATCGAGGATGACTCCGAAAACGAAGAATTCGAAGTCGGAAAAGTACGAGGCCGCGACGATTCGGATGAAGAAGACGACTACGATTTCGAGGAAGGAACGCGTTTTCGCGGGAATTAATTCTAAAGCCCCTTTTTCGCTTCGAAAACGCGTAAAAAGAAGCAGAATCGAGCGAAGACGACGGACCAGCTTTGCCAAGTCGAGATGATTTCGGAGAACGACCGGACAGCTACTACGCCGATTCTGCCCAGCCAAAGAAAAAGAAGCAGAAGCGAGAGACGAAGGCAGAAGCAGCTGAAAGACTCAAGGTATTTCAGCCTTTGAAAAGGGTCTCCTTCAGATTGTTTTTAGGATGAGCGAGAAGACGCAGAATTCCGACTTGACGACGCGCACAACTTCCTCGAAGATGTCGGCGACACACTCTTAGACGATGACGAAGAAGAAGAAAAGCCAGAAGATGTTCCCGAAAAAGCGCTGGCGGAAATGGACATCAGCGAAAAAATGAAGCTTCTGAAGCGCCAGTCGCCGTTGCTTTTTCCACTCATCGCCGATTTCAAGCATTTTGAAAAAGAATTCACGGAAACTCTTTTGCCTCTTCAGAAGTTTTTGGGAGCAGAAGCGGACGAAGCATTTTCCGATTATTTGGTGAAGCGAATCAAGCTGATCAGATGCTACTTGTTGAATATCAGCTTTTACTTGAGATTGAGAGCAAAAGGTAACTTTTCCTCTTTTTCTTTTCTCGCTCAAACCTGTCTTTAGCGACCCCGAATCTCGACCAGCATCCAGTCGTCGAGAGACTCGCCCAACTGCGCCAAATAATCGACAAAAGCTCTTCCGACAAAGCTCAAGATTACGCTCGAGCCTACCTGGAAGCCGTCACTGCTGAAAACAAAATCAAGAAGATCGGAAAAGTCAAGAAAATCGAGGAAAGAAAAGAAGAGAGCGAGGAAAGCGCGGGAGAGGAGGAAGACGAGGAGGACAATGAGATGGACGAAATGAATGAGGAAGAAGCGGACGCGGACGGAAAACGAAAAGTCAATAGAAAGATTGAGAAGAATGTTGGGCTGCAGAAAGCGAGACAGAAGAAGAGACGCAATCCGAGAGTCAAGCATAGAAGTAAGAGCCTTTGTACTTAAGCCTGTAGTCAACGGGCTGTAATAACCTGTGTCGGGCTCTAAAAGGGCTCTTTCGGAGCCTGACTCAGGTTTTCTTCACTGGTTGTCCAGTCCAGAGGCCTTTTCTCATCTGTATCTTTTGACAAGCATTCATATTTGATTTTAGTGGCCTACGAAGACGCAAAGAAGCGAAGAAAAGGCGCCGTCCGAGCAGTCATCACCGACCAAAAGAAGAAATACACCGGCGAAGCGTCGGGCATCCGAGTTGGAATCAAGAAATCTGTCCGTATCAAGTCCTAAAATACAAACTTCCCAACTCAAAATTGAAATTTCAAGTGTTCTTTTTTTCTTGATAAGAAAGCCAAAAGTAACAGTTATATAAGTGCCTTGGTGATAGAAGCAATTTCTAAAAGCTCGCGGGCGAGGTTAGCTCAACATGTCCAAAAAAGTAGGGCGGTAGTTGCTGCAGGCATTTTTTTATCAGCACGTTCGCCGCACAAGTGCTCATTCTTTACCTTTGCGGAAGCTAAGAGAGAACCAACTAGCAATGAAACTCGCAGGTATGAGCAAGACTTTTCATGCAAGAGCGTCTATCCGAGCTTTCTATACGCGATCATTTGCTAAAGAGTTGCCACAAGGGCTCTTATCGGACTACCACTCGTCCGAGCTACGCTATTTACTAAAAGAAGTCGGCCTGTCAAGAAGTTAGCCCGAGTCTCTCGGATTCCTAGAAGATTTTGAACATGAATAATGATCAAATAGATGCGACAGAATGTTGTATTTCTGTTAAAGATATTGATTTTTGATTAATAATAGCGTTCAGTATTAAGCATACTGTCTGATCTACTCGAATCTGGTGCGAATTCGTTGAAGATTTCTTTGAGAATTCCATTTGAATTATTGAAAATTCACTCAAATAAGTTACTTCTTGTCATTTATCTTTTTATTGAAGGATTTTTTATAATTAAAATTTAGGATAAAGCGGGTAAATTCAATCTCAATTTCGTAACTAAAGCCGCTAAAACCCATCTTCCGGTCTCAGACCGTGCCATTCGAGTTCTACCACGGGCGAAGTTGATCCGCTATTCTGCCAAGATAAGCGCATTTTTGACATGCCGATGCTTCAGATTTAGAACTCGTGTTACCTAGTGGAGAGTTCTTGCTTTCTCAGCGGTTTATTCTCAAAACAAAGCTCCCTCTGGCTTGATTAAGGCTTTCTCTCAATTTTTTGTAGCAACTCTTTTTACCACCGTCCTCGGAGGCGCCGCAGATTACTCTTCGAACGGAGACAACTGGACTGGAACTTGTCAAACTGGCCAAAGACAATCGCCAATTCACATTGATGAAACCGGAAACGATATCATCACGAAAACAACCTTCCAAGATTTCAAGGTCGAAAACTACGATACTCCAATGAAATGGAAGGTTATCAACAAAGCAACCACGATCCAGCTTGAACCCAACGCCGGCAGGTATAATTTTGATCGAAGTTTTTTGCCTGTAAATAAAAAACAATATATCAACTCGTATTCTTTATTCTCATTATATATTGAACTCATTTCTATATCAAAACAGTGCGATCAGGGCACGGAAACCTGTGTTAAAATCCTGAGACAGGGTTCAAAAAGCTGATTATTGAATATAGCCCCGAGATGAAACTCACCGGTGGTTACCTTGGCTCCGAGTATAAACTCCTCCAAATCCATTTCCACTGGGACGTCAACGCCAATGGACTTCCCGTCGGGCCACAAGGCTCCGAGCATACTGTTACGAGAAAGGGGCAAACCGCAATCACCCCGTACCGTGGTGAAGTTCACTTTGTTCATGGCAAAGTTGGCGCCGACTTGAGCGACTTGAGCACTGCTGCTGGAGATGACCTTGCCGTTCTTGGTTTCTTCCTTGATGTTGATGACAGTCTGCCAAAGAGCTGGTTCGATTACACCCTTGATGATCTGATCGATGTCAATGTCCAAGACACTGCTTCTCCTCCAACGGCCGAGATTGAAATCGACTGGACCGCTTCATCCATGCTTCCAAAGGAACTCGATGGATTCTGGAGATACGAAGGTTCTCTAACAACTCCTACCTGCAATGAGATTGTCCGATGGTAAGTTAAAACTTTAAAAGGGGTACTTTATTTATCGAATTCATCGAATTATCTAGGACTGTCTTTGAAACCCCACTCACAATGAAACAAGCTTCCTGGGATAACCTTGTTAAATCCGTTGGATTAGCCGCTGACAACACCTCGCCCCATGTTCCTTCAAACTACAGAAATGTCCAGCCACTCAATGACCGAAAGATTTCTTACTACAAGAAGGTAATCGAGTCTTCCTCTTTTTTTTGTTGACACTCTATTCAGTCAAATGTCGTCGCTCCTTCATCTTCAAAGAAAAAGTTCGGCACCAAGGTTGCCTTCGGAACTCTTCCAATGAGCTACAAGGATCCATTGACCGGCCAGATGAGCACCAAGCTTCAGCAAGTGCAGAAGGTTCTCCTTTGCTTCGGAGAAGATGAGAAGCTTTGCATGTTCATGTAGAATAAACATTCTCGCCCATCTCGAAGAAAAAAATATCCATCAACTGATGTTGATTTAATAACTGAACTGACTAATAAAACGAAACCTTGAGTACTCAGCTAACACCAAAATTAATGATCGTGTTTTGTATTGAAAATCCCTTTTTGAACAGGTTTTTTTGTTAAAAATTGCATAAAAAATCAGTTTTATTTCCTTTTTGTCAGCTTTACTTTGAAGCGGGCCGTTCTGAAAGTTATCTCTTCCGCGGTAATCGTCGTTAATTAGCGACAGTATGAACAGGTGCGTTTGGTGTTGCAGGTAAAAGTCCCCGGGCAAGGTTTTGTGAGTCAAGATACGCTCCACCAGAGCAAAATAACTTCAGCTCATCCTCTTTTCCTCTGAGCACGAAAAATTCATCGAAAACTGCAAATCGGGTCATTCGATTCCTGCAAGAGAAAATGTCAACAAGGCGGCCAATTGATTTTGATACAGACAGAAGAAGAGTAAGATCACGATCAAGGAAGGAGCAAAATTGTAAAAGACTTATATTTTTTTGCGACAAGATTTTTATTTTTCGTCAAAAAAAACGTCGACTTTGAATATTTTTATTGAAGTCAATGGTTTAGCAATAATGAAATTAACGGAAGCAATTGATTGTTCTCAAGAACATTGTACTTAAAAAAGCATCTGTAATAATAAACTGAGCTCCAATCAGAGGAAAAGTTCTCGAGGAGGATCATCCGTCTAAACCGGATCAGGGCTATCAAGGAGAGCGCGGGAGGGCGCGGCCAAACTTTCAAAATGCAGAAAGAGAAATTGCAGAATTAGAAGACACAGTCAGGTATTCTTTCAATGATTTTTTCTTGACAGTACCGATGAGAATCTAAACTTTCAGAAGCTTGAATATGATTGATCCGAAGCCTTCTCCAGCGATCAGTATTGGAACAACAAGTTCGATGACTAATGGATCTGGAATTCGATCGAGAATTCCAGTGCCAGTTTCAAGGCCGAAATTTGAAAGTACCCAGAAAGAGCCTCGAAAGCTCCCTCCTCTCCTTCCCCAAAACTCGGAAGAAAAACGCGAACCCGGGCCGCCCCGATTTCGCCCACCAGAAGTCGACATCAACAGCTTGATGAACAAATTCTCCAAAAAAGAGCCCGTCCAACCAGCTGCGAAAAAGCAAGAAATCCTCCAGCGGCACAAAGACCTTGTCTCAACACATCTTCCAAAAAATCAACCAGCAGAGAAATTTCCTTCGCCACCCACGACTCCGAAGCAGCCTCCTTCGGGATTTCAACCAGTCGGGAATTCAAAACCGCGGCCGTTTGGTTTTTACAACCCTCCATCCGCAGAAACAACAGTTCCTGAGCCGCAGATTACAAAGACAATTCCGTCATTCCATGAGCAAGAGATGCAAAGTCCTGACATCTCAAGGGGTGCGCAAGAACACGAACAGCAAGTGCCAGAAATTAAGGGGGAAGAAGAAGAGAAGGATTTTGAAGAGTGGAATGAGCGATACAAAGATGTACGGGAGGAACACTTGAGCATTTTTGAGGAACAAGAGCAGATGTTTCAGGAGGTAAAGCGTATCCAAAATAAGCGTCCTTTAATCATTTATTTAGTTGAAAGAACAAGAAGAAGAATCGCTTAGAGAAGAATCCGAACATCACGACATAGAATATCAAAAACGTCTTCATCAGGTAACTTGAACCTTCCCTCCCTTTCCCCTCAAAACGAAAATCAGGATCTGGCAGCGATGGAAACGCTCGATTCAAATCCAATTACTTTGCGCAGCATCGCGGCTTCCGAAAAGCAACCCGAGCCGCAGCCGACAAAGGTCTCAAAACACAGCGATTCGGGATACAATTCCGTTTCCAAGACTTCCAGTTTTCGGGCTTACGAGTCAAGTCGAAATTATGAGCAGGGTTCATCGTCCGTCGGAGTCCGAAATTTCACGAGTAAAACAGAGAATTTTGCTGTAACTCAAAAAGCAGATCAGTCAAAATTAGATCCCCCGTTGCAGAGAACCGGCGAATCAAAAAGCTCTCCATGGCGCTCCAACCAATCAAAATCCTTTGAAGAAAAAGTTCAAGTCAGACAACGGCCAACGATGAGCTTTGACCCTCCAACCACTAGTTCAATTCCCGCCAGGAGCAGCACTTTTTCACCAGCTTCAGCGAGTAGATTCGGTCAAAAACAATCGATTGATGATTTGATCAAAAAATTTCACGTAAAACTTCTTTGAAAAAAGATCCTTTCTGAGCATTTTTTAGCCAAGGTCGGTCAAAACGCAGCCGCAAAAAGCTGCAGATTGGATGCCTCCTACTTTGCAGAGAATCAAGAAAAAACCCTGCGTGAAGAGCCGAGTCTCTGCGTTTGAAAACATTTCCGAGGTTCGAGGTTTCCAATCGGCTCCTCCTTTCAAATTGATTTTTAGGACCGGCCGGCAAATGATCCGCCTCAGCAGCAGGTCTTCAATTATCGAAGATAGCTCAACTTTACACCATTGTTTCTAAAGTACAATAACACAATTTACACTTAATTTATGCTGCTTATAAACTGCCTGCTCAATACATTAATCAATAAATGAACCGAAAAGCTCGGCTCAGCAAAATGTGCGGAAAACCTGAGTCAGGGTCTGAAAGATCGCTTATCAAAAGCCGCGTAGCTCTTGAAACCTCTTTCAGGACCCTGACTCAGGTTTTCTTCAAACTTTGCCGAGCCCAGGCGAAAAGTCTTTACAAAGGCATTTATTCAAAATCGCCTAGCACAGTTAAATAATCATTCCTAATTAGGAAAACTTACAATTCGCTATTTAAAAGCGAATGTTCTTTGCAGAATAGGTTCTTTCTAGGTATGTATATGTCAGAAAATGAGAAGTGAAATTGCAAGTTTTTTTCTAATTTGGTCTTACAAGTTATTGATGATAATTTTTCTCTAAAATATTATTATATACTTTCATATTGCACTTTTGGTCGATAAATGGAAAAGAAGGGAGGGAATGGCAATTTACAGTTCATCGATTCGGCGGCCCCACTGGTCGTATTCGCCGTCTTCTTCGTCGTCTCCCCAGTCGAAGTCGTCAAGATCGATGTCCTAAGAGTAGAAATTTAGTCGCTTGTAATCACGGGAGAGTACTTACATCTTCGTCAACTTCAAGTTGTCCATCCTTTCCGTCCCAGGCTTCGACAGTTAAAATCGGCACGAATTCTTCGAAGCTCGAAACAGCAGTTCCAGTCTTTCCATAAGCGATATTTCTAAAAGGCCATCAATCAGTGCAAAAGCTTTAGAGAGTGAAAGAACTACCTGAAAAACTCCTCCATTCCGCTCTTGCTGAATCCCTGGAGCATCTTGACGGCCAAGTGTTTTCTTGGATTAACGACGATGAGCGATGGGAAGTCGGAAACACCGAGTTGCTTCTCAAGCTCGGGCTGAGTTCCGACTGTGGTCCAGAGCCATCCCCACTTTTTGCGCTTGTAGACCTCGATCATATCTCGGATCAGCTTCAGTCGGTCGTTTCGGCCGGCAGCTTGGTCGTCCAAAATGTGGGGAAGGAAAGCAACAATGCACACCTTACAAATCATATTTAGACAAAGTTGAACATCAAGCACCCTTGGCGAGCTCTTTGGAGGGTGTAGCGATTTTTACCTGAGCATCGGTGCAGGCTTTATCGAGGGCATCCTTGCCAGTAAGCTCGAAAAGCTCTGGTGGATCGGCGACGTCTTCGAAGAGGATCATAGCTTGAGCGACGATGTCATCAGCAGTTCGGCCTCCATTGTAGTCCTCGACTCGACCATCGGGGTAGAAGATCTTGATCGTTGGGTAGCCTTAATTTTCGTTAGAAAGTTCGCTCCAATAATTCTCAATCTACCTTGGATTCCGTATTGTCCGGCGATTTGCTGAGCCTGGGTCGCATCAAGATGACCGAGTTTGACCTTTCCACCAGTTTCGGCGGCGACAGTATTTGCAGCTGATTTCCACTCGGGCTCCAATCGCTGACAATGGCCGCACCAGGGGGCGTAGAATTCAACGAGCCAGGGGTCGCCGCTCTCAATCACCTTCGATCGGAAGTTGCTTTCCGTGAGGATGGTCGATCCCTTTCCACTTTTGCCAGATTTGCCGGAAGAACCAGAAGATCCGCCGCTCGATTTGCCGCCAGAAGCCTTGTCCTTGGTCAACTTTCGGAGCTGCTTGAAAGCTTCGTCTCCCATGGCGTCAGCTGTTCGCTGCCCGTTGTAATCGATTGGTTTCTGCTTGTTGTAACCGAAGATTTTGATAGTTGGGAAGCCCTTGATTCCAAATGGAGCGCCGACAGATTGGTGCTGGGTCATGTCCACAGCTCCGACATTTACAGTTCCCTGAAAGAAGCCTCATTGAAGGCCTTATTCGAAATAATGTATCATTACCTTGAGTTCCTTTGCCAATTTTTTGTATTCCGGAGCCATGGATTTGCAATGTCCACACCAGGGCGCGTAAAATTCCACAATCCAAAGTTCATCGGATTTTGTGACTTTTGAAGCGAAATTCGACTGCGTCAATTCGACGACATCATCTGACGCAGAGTAAAGTGCGTTTGCCAAGCCCAAAACGACGCTTATCAGGCGCAAAACTAAAGAAAAAATTATAAAATGATAATATTTTTAAAATTCTCTGATCTAAAATAATTCCGATAACCTCTTAAAATCGGCGTTTTTTGAAAGAAAAGGTTCAAAATAGCGAAAATCAAGCTTAAAATTTGCTTTTTTATAAAATTTTATTATGAAAAATCTTCGATTTTCGAAGTTATTCGCTCTGAAATGCCAATTTTAGCAAGTTATTCTCCGTTTCCTTTCTCTTATTTTTATTTCTCTAGAAAAAAATAACGATTTTCTTACCCTTCATGACCACAATTCTCTAAAAAACGTAGTGAAGAGCGAATTTTGCCGAAAATTGAAATCCTGAACATGACGTGTTCATCTAGCGCGGAGCAAGCGTGACGTGTTACAAATGGCGCGCGCTGACTGGATTTCCTGGTGGCGCTAAGTTTAATTTTCAAAAGGGAAAATTGAAAAGGCAAAATTTGTGGTTCTCTGGAAAAGTAGTTAATTTGGGTTAAAAAATTGGCCGAATTCTTTCCGAAAGAATTGAAATCCATTGAAAAAATATACTAAAAAAATATCAATATTTTTTTTTTGTAAATTTAAATCTAATTTGTTCCACAAGAAAAAAAAATTATTATAAAAATACGAAAAAATAAAGAGATTCTGAATTTCGGTTTTTTTTTCTCTGAAAACGAGAGCGTGGGAAAATTCAAAGAGCGCGGGCGATTCGTTCCTTTCTCTTTCTCGTTTGCTCGCGGCGATTAAATTTATCCACGGAATTGAGAAAAAAGGAGAAATTCAAGGAAATTCATCAAGAGAAAAATGCTAGGCGAAAAGCTGAATGAATAATGAATACGCCACTTGAATGCAGGTAAATATTTTTATGCTATTTTTTGATTTCTAATTTTATGATTTTCCGATTATCTAAATTATTAATTTAATGCGTTGATGACCTTATTTTCAAGGTTGAAATATTCCTGTTCAATATTTTAATGTATTTTCTATTAAGAAAATTTAATAAAAAGTCGTAAATTTAATTTTTTTGAACTTAAAAAAGGGTGTCTCCAGTTAACTCACTCATAATTTCAGATGCTACCACAACTGCCCCAATGGAAAAGTCAACTCCACCTGCCCGGCCCTTGGAAAGTGCTACATCCATCTAGAATCAATTTCGAACAAAGAACACGAGCTCCGCGCCGGTTGTCTTCCTCCCCACAAAAGCGGCCCGATTCAATCCACGCTTGATGGAAACATTCCGCTAAATGCCTCTTTTATCGATCAATGCCACGAAAATGTGGATCACAATGACATTCCAAATCAAAATCTCAAGGTAAAATTCTCAAGCAAAAACCGATTCCCTAATCTCTTTTCAGTTACTCTGCTGCGACCCGTTAAAAGACGGAACACTCTGCAACGACAAACTGAACATGACCCCCGAAGCGTACGTCAAGCCACCCATGGCGGCTGAATTTTCGATGGCGATCGTCATCGTCATTTCTATCGGCGCCACTTGCGGAATCCTCCTCTTCGGGACGCTCTTCCATCGCTTCTACGAGTCGCGAAAGTTCAAGGCGAAAGCGCAAACGGGCCAAAGCGGCGATTTCAACTCGACGGAGAGCACTCGTCTTATGGACACGACCACGGGCTCCGGCAGGGGGACCAGGTTCCTTTCTTTTCTCGCGCTTTATTTGCTTTATCGCTTTCTTTTTTAGCAATCTGGCCAGACGAACCATCGCCAAGGACCTCTCTGTCTCGACACAGGATGCTATTGGACAAGGAATCCGGTTGTTAAGATCTTTCACCATTTTTATGCTTCCATTCATGCTCTTTCCCAATAGTTATCAACCCTCAAAAAAGGCCGCTTCGGCACAGTCTTCTCTGGCAGCTTCCGCTTCGACAAAGTAGCGATCAAATACTTCTTCCCGCAGTGCGAAGATTCCTTCCAAAACGAGACCGCGATCTTCCACAAGCCAACAATCAACCTCCGCGACGAGCACATCGTCGGCTTCGTCGCCTCAGACATTTTCCACTCGCCTCAGGGCGAAATCAAACGCATCATCGTGATGGACCACATCGCCGGTGGAAGCTTGAGAGATTATTTGACGATTAATGCGCCGAAAATTGGCGAAGAACATTGCTTGAAAATGTGCGAAAGTTTGGTCAAAGGGGTTTCTTTTCTGCACATGGAAATTAATGGGCAGAAGGGAAAAGAAAGCATCGCGCACAGGGACTTATCAAATACGTCTGTAATGGTAATGCAAGACTCCGGAAGCAGTTCCTTTATATACTACTTCAGATCAAGCCAAATGGACTCTGCTGCATCGGCGATTTCGGCCGTGCGTTTGCTCGTCCGATCCGCGAAGCCGCCGAAGAAGCCTCCAAGCCCGTCTTTTCTCGAGAACCAACTCTTCTTTACGCCCCGCCAGAGCACTTTCTCACGCGCGATCCCCTCCGCGGCCAGACTTTTGAAGAAATGACGGCGGCGGATGTTTGGTCGATGGGACTGCTTCTTTGGGAAATGACCAACGCTGTGGGGAATCTCGGCGGTTATTTTCCAGCTTATTTTTTGGAAACTGGGATTCCGCAAAATCGAAATTTTCAGTTCATGCATTCCCTGCACAGTACGTTTCGGTCATTGCTCGGAAACCTGTGCACAAACCTGAGTCAGGGTCCCGGAAAGCCGCGTAGTTTCACACAGTCCCTGACTCAGGGTTCTGCACAGGTTGCCGTGTACAAAAATAGGCTGGCTAGTAATAATCTTGAAATTTCAGCACAAAAAATCATTCCCGCTGAGCCGCATTTCAACCTTCTGTACAAAATGACGACCCAGTGCCTTACCTTCCGCTGGCAAGATCGCATCACTTCCTACAAAGCCCTCAAATCGCTCCAAGAACTCTCTTCCTCCTGACTTTTTATGACAAAGCTGTAGATTCAGACCTGCTTTACTAGCTATTTCTTTTCAAAATTGTGACTTGAAAAAAATAAACCAAAATTGCCTTTCAAAGATTCTTTGTCAAATTTAGCGTAGAACGCAATTCTGATAGGTTAGAGCCTTTTCTTGAGCATTTTGATTGGCCAAGAAGAAATTTCTTCAGAAAAATTTTTCAGAAAATGCCGCCGAAATCGAAAATATTCGCGAAAGCTCGGGCTCGCTTGACTTCCTTCGGCGTCGAAGTCGTCAAAGAACCGACTGGTCAAGTGGTCATCTTTAATGGAGGAAGATTAAATAATATTTCGAAGAGCAAAATTGAAAGTTTCATAAGAACAGCGACGGAAATGGCGAACTTGCAGATGAAGGTCTTTATGCCGAAAAAGTCTTATTCGATCGTTGAGCTTCAGGATAAAAGGTTTGGCTTTGAAAAATGACATTCAGAGACATTTGCGAATTGATTTTGAAAACATGAATAGACTTTCAGAAGATCTCATGATGTCTGTTGATGTCTGTAGCTGCCAACGGATGTCTCTGGATGTCCCTTTCATGTAGAAATGTCCCATGACATCTCCTGACTTTGAATAACCTTTTTTTCAAATTCAGTCTGTGCGAAATTCTAACGAATCTTTCCGCCTCGGATTCCGAAAAGCCCCTTTTTCTTCAAGACGAAAAATCAAAAGATGTCTCGATTCTATTCTTCCATATTTCCAGCGCCGGCGAAGGCGATCTTGAGGACATTCTACCGGAGAAGCCAGAAGGGTTGGAGCTCTTCGAGAATCTTATATCAAAGGAAGAGGAGGACGAAATCGAGAAAGAAGTGATGAAGAAAATGGATTCTTCAGGAATTGGTCGACTCAGAAAGTGTAGTCACCAGGAAACCCTTTTGGGTGGTCGGAATTACGTCCCGGTTGTCTTCATTGCCGATTTTTTTGTACAACCTCTTCATCCCAAAATTAAACCCCACTTTCAAAAGCCATATGCTCTTTGTGGTTTCTGAAGTTGACCAGAAAAGAGCTCAAACATCGCCAAGTCGTTCATTTTGGCCACCATTTCGACTACACGACCAATTCTGGCTCCAAAGAAGATATTTCTCCCATTCCAGATGCGATTGAAAGAATACGAACGAAACTGGTGGAAGATTTTGGGGAAGATTTTGATCAAATTACGGCGAATATCTACACCCCGGGCGATGGAATTCCACCGCATGTAGGGAAATGGGTTCATTTTCTCATTTTTATGTTTGAAAATACGACTTCAAGTCGATATATGGAACCCTTTTAAACAGACAATCCGAGTAAATTTGGCGAAAAAATCATCAGCTTGAGTTTGTTGTCCGACTGCACGATGGACTTCTCCAGGGCCGGGAACGACTACAGTTGCGATTTGAAACGCCGATCGCTGCTGGTTTTGACTGGAGAAAGTCGGTATACGTGGACGCATCAGATAATGGCGAGGAAAAACGATTATCCCGACGGAAACGTCAGAGAACGGGGCAATAGAATTTCACTGACTTTTCGGCGCTGTATTGGTACTCGATTGGTACAGTTTATTTTTTGTGAAAATAAAATTTAGACGACGAAGAAGAAGCAGCAAGAATCATCGAAAAGAATCTCGTTAAAGACGTTTACGACCATATTGCCGATGATTTTTCCGCATCGAGGTACAAAATGTGGCCTCTTGTCGAAGAATTCGTCGATCAAGTGCCCAAAGATCATTTTGTTGTTGGTAAGTTTTTGTGCCAAAAAGCTTTCTTGAGATTTTTTTCAAGATCTTGGTTGTGGAAATGGCAAGAACCTGTTGAAAATCAAGGATCGTGGGCTTGGCTTAGAATTGAGCTCGAATTTGGCGAAGATTTGCGGCTCAAGAAACATTGAAGTCGCTGTTGGAGATTGCACGAGAACGCAGCTGAGGGATGAAATCTGCGATGTGGTCATTTCCATCGCAGTCTTGCATCACATGAGCTCGGTAAAGAGAAGAGTTGAGGCGTTGAAAGAAATTGGAAGAATTCTACGCCCGGGTGGAAAAGCGATGGTGACTTCTTGGGCGATGGAACAAACGAACGAAGAGGGAAAAGCTTCAAATTATGCGAAAAAGGAAAATAGCGCGAAATCACCGAATTCTGCGCATTTGCCGATTCACAAAGCAAGGACGAATTTTGAGGCGCAGGATGTGCTTGTTCCATTCAAAGGTACGAAAAATGGCAAAAGGCCACTGTTTTTCCTGCTTTTTAAGGCTCCAAGGAGGGAAAATCGACTGATCCAGCGGCAAAGCATCGTTTCTATCACGTGTTTATCGAAGGCGAAATGAAATCGTTGGCGCAGGAAGCCGGCTGCTTTCAAGAAATCAAGGAAGTTTATGATGATGGAAATTATGTCCTGTTTCTGCGAAAATCTATCGATAAATAAACAGACTAGAATCATTCATTGATTATTTTTATTTTTGCAGAAAGGAATATAAAATAGGCAAAAGTTGAACTTGTTAGACTTGAAAGTCGATGCTGTGTTGCTTTGGGCATTATTTCTCGAAAGGAGCTGAGACAAACTCGATGACGACATTCATCAGTTTTTCGACATACTCGCCAAGTTTTTCTGAAAAAAAATTCGCAATTAGTATTTCTTTTTTACTTTTTCGAAAGCAACGGTTCAGTCACAAAGCTAATACAAACATTTATCAGATCTTCAACATATTTCACCATATCCGCTAAAGCACCAATAATTTTCTTAATCACCATCTTTCCTACCTTTCGGACTCGTGATTTGATCACCATTGAGTCTATTCAACATTGCGGCACATGCACATAAACTTTTAACCTTGGCGCGGTTGCACGACGCGATGAAGAGGCAAGCTTCCATTTCAAAGTTGATGACGTTGTGGACCGATGAGAGCTCTCGCAGCCACTGGAGTTTTTCTTCAGAAGTGTAGTGGCAAAATGCTCCGTCTGTTCTTCCTTGTCCTGAAAGAAAAAGATGAGAAATCTTCCAATAAAAAACTCAATTACAGTACCTTCATAAAAATCATCCGTTGAAACAGTATTTCCAATCGCATATGTTAATCCTGCTCTGTCGACATGTTCTGAGAAGTTTTTGATCGTCTCGTCACATGCTGTTGAAGGAAGCTTGATCACTAGAATCGTTAAGAATTATCTGCGAAAGCCTCCTTTCTCACCTTTTCCACAAGCAGCATATGGAAAGTAAGGCTCGATAAGTTGAGTGTAGCCGGTTTTCGTGATGCAAATCGTCCCTGCTTCTTGTCCAACGCCTCTAGAAAAAAATAAAAAGACGAGGAAAAATTCGCTTTACTTACCCGCAAGTTCCCATTCGGATGAAAGTGAGATTCTTTGCTTTTGCATAGAAAAGGAGTTTGAGAACTTCGTGAAGAGCAATCGAGAGTGAGCCGAAGCCCATTCCATGGTTGAGAATAAGCGTGTTGGCGATTTTGAACATGACGTAACGACCTCCTTTCTTGGCGAGATCGTTTTGGGCGCATTGGGGATCCAGGTCCGGTAGTTTATCTGAAATTCATTTTTTACTGTAATTTGTTAAAGTAAAATCTACGTACTTCAGCTCGAGCAAAATTTAGGATGCACCGGGCTTATCGTTCGCCATCTATTAGCCCTTCTCTCGGTTAGGGTTAGGGGACTGGGGATCCCGAAACGGGGGGGGGCGAAGACCCCTGGGTGAGGCCTAAGGGGGTTCTTAGGGGTGTAGTTCCCTGGGTTAGGGTTAAGGGCTGCCCGGTTTTTTACGGTAGTAGGGGGTTATCATTCGAGCTGCCCCTAACCCTAAACCTAACCGAGGGGGCTTTGCAACCCGAACCCCCCCCCCCCGAGAGTTCTCAGTCCCAAACCCAAACCACTAGCCGAGATTCTCGAGATATTGGATGGCTCGAATCACACGCTCCAACGATAACCCCTGTCTTCGCTTTTGACCCCAAACTACCAAAGTAAGCTCTGGATCTTACCTTTTAAATGATTATAAAGAGCCTTGGCAAAACTTTCCATTCTCCCCTCAGATCCGCCCATGACGACAAAATTGACATCTCCGAAAGCTTTCTCTAAGTTGGTCGTTTTGTTGTCAATTCCAAAGTGGTAGAGGAAGTCGACATCGATGTTTTTCAAATTTTCATTTTGAAGCTGCACTGAGCCATCCGAATTCATCCTAGGAGTTAAAAGGCTCATTATTTTTATTTCTTTGATTTGAATTTGGACTGAAGTTTAGAGGTTTGGGAAATATGGGTGGGGCGCATTGCGGGTTCTTGAATTGCTCAAGGGGAGGTTATGGTAAATTCTAGGGCGGGGGAAAATTCCCGTCATGAGGATCGAGCTTCTCGTTTTTTTGCTTATTCTATCAATATTTTTTCTCAAATTATCAAAAATTGAAAGAAATCACGCTCGTGAAATTTTTTCATTGCGCAAAATTCACGGAGTACAGCCCATAAAATTTGATAATGTCAATATTTGTTGACCGAAAAAACAGGTCAAATAGTGTTCAAATTGGATCGGTTTGTCAAACTTACTGAAGATCATATGAGGTCATTTTTTTGGCGAAAGGGTTGAAACTGAGATTTTTTTGTTTTGAGCGGATAAGGTGGATTCCCACGTGACTTTTGTTCTAGAAAATTTATTGAATAAAATTGACAAAAATTGCTTTAAGGGATCCCCCGATTTCGTCAACTTTGACTTCGAACTTCTTTTTTTAGGGCTTGTAGCTTTTTACAAGGATAAGGGCTCATTTTGAAGCCCGTTTTTTAATGAACAAACTCTAGTATAGAAATTTTTCATAAGGGGAAACACCTTGAAAAGACGGGCTGAAAACATTGATACCCGCGAAAAACCCCATTTTGGGCCATTTTCAAAATCGAACTTGTTTTTTCTGCTCTTAGATAGAGCCCAAAATCAAAAACAACTGTCTTCCTTGATCCCTTATCTACAATCTCTAGTACAGGCATGTGATTCCGCCAAGGATTGTAGAATTTTTCTGAACAAGATGATTTTTGCCGTTTTTTTTGACTATCTTTGCTCTCTAGCGCCTTTTATTGGTTAGATATTATATTTAATCTATCTTTTTTTAATTGAGTTTTCTCTAAGCTTTCTAAAAAGCCCTTATTCATCTGATTATGTCGACTTTGAAAAGTCGAAAAAATTGCGAATTTTTTCAAAGTAAAATTTTTCATTAAAATAAGCCATTTTCAAAGCTGTGTCACAGCTTACCACGTGACGGACTCACTTTGATATAATATATGAAAATGATCGCCAGACAACGGAGATTCAAAAAATATATTACTCAAAAGCTCTCGATGATATTTTTCAAATCGTGGACCCCTTCTGTATAAATATCTTATTGACAATAAAATTGCTAGAAGAAGACAAGAAAGACAAATTTTCCGATGGTATGGGAATTTTATTTTTTAAGCTCGCCTTTGATGAAATTTCGCACTGGCAAAAGTGACACTCTCAAAAAGAACGATCCCGTCTCGCGCCGCTCCCCGCTCGAGTCACGTGTCCGTTTCAGTCGAAAATTATTGAATTTTTCGACATTTTCTGTTTTCTCGTGCCCGATCCTCTTCTTTTTTGAAATTTTGCCATTTTCAAAAGAATTAATTTTCATTATCAAAATTTGGGGTTTGAAAAATATTCAGAAATTCCACTTTCTGGAAATATTTTTACGAAAAGCAAGAAATTTTTTTAAGATGGGTGGACTCAAACGCTACAGCTTATCTGGGTCGAACGCCCCGGCCATGGGGCGATCACGTGATAAGGACTTTTTTTGGAATTATTTTTGTACGACGAACTAAAGCAACTTGAAGAACAGAAAACGCATAAAATCTTGTTTTTTATGCATTAAACATTTAAAATTAATCATTTTAAACAGGCGATAAACTGCAGCAAAATGAGCGCCTTGCGCATTCAAGTCTTTCTCAAAAACTTGAGAAAATTGTTACTTTTCCTCAGAGCTGGAAAAGCACAAAACTCGAAGCGCAAAAAAAAAGAAATTTGATAATAAAATCTCTTTTGGAAACTAAAAGTGGCAAAAATTTTTTCAAGAGATCGGGAAAATCAACGACTCTGGAAGAAAAACAGATGGGCCACGGATCGGGCGAAAGGAACGGGCGGCTCAGTCGGATCTAGAATAGAAGACTGCCCCCTGGCGGCCCTGCTCCGATTGAAAGATTGGGGAGGGATCGGGGCACAGTCCCAGGGAAAATGGCAGCGCAAAGATTTCACCAGAGGCGGAGCTGAGCAGAAACCGTTACAGGTTAGTAGGATTGAATGTTTTGGTTTGGTTCGGCGGTTGCGGGTTGGTTTAACCAGAGTATGGACCCAAGCCCTCGTGGTGCGCGTTGGTGGTGTAGGCGTCGCAGTCGTTGCCGTTGTGGACGTTTGTGGTACTGCAGGTAGCCGCGATCGAGCTGATCTCGGTGGCGTGGAAGTGCAAGTATGGGAAGGGCGACTCGACGGTGTAGTCTCTGTCAGCGGTGGAGTAAGCAACTCCATTGGTGACATCTTGCATGGCGTACGAAAGTTGAATCCAGATTTCCTAGAACAATTAATTATCCAAATCCGAGTCGATTTAAGTTTACCTGGATGTTACCCATCTGGGCAGCAAAGTGCTCGTCGTAGGTGTTCATGAGACCAAGGATCTTGAATTTCGTTGCGCAGAAGTTCTCGTCGGCGGCGTCAGTGCCCGTGCACCAGCTGGCCTTGGTACTGGCTGCGGTATCGAGCCATCCCATGATGTGGTTAATCTTCTTGCCGTCAGCGCCTGTTCGGATCCAATCGTCAGCTCTGAAGAAGTTGACGTCGTCCCAGGTGCCGAGATCGAGTGGAGGAATGATGTTGATTCTCTCTTCGGCGTTTTCGACGTTCATCAGCTGGTAAGTTTGGCTGTTGACGGAATCAGCTGCTGAGAAAGTGAGTCCTCGCTTGTAGTCGTTGTGGAGAGCGTACGAGACGGCATGTGGGAAGGTGATGACGATCTCGTTGACGTGGTACCAGTAGTAGCTCTCGTAGGTGCCCTCTTCGTGGAGAATTCGCAGGTTGAATCGGAAATCTTTTCCCAACTCGTTGTGTGGGAAAGAGGAGATGGCGAAGTTGGTGGTCCAGGTGCCTGAGGAAAGGGATGACTTCCATTCGGTAGTCTGAAGGTCAACAGTCCATGTACCCATCCATCCGTCAAAGAACCATTCGCCACCGATACCATCTGCGTGTTGGGTGGAAGCGCTGTTGATGGTATTGTAAGTGGTTCCAGTGGCACCTGGGTTTTGGGTTCGTTCGGTCATGTCGATGAACTCTTGGTAGTGATCGCCGGTGTCCTTGCCCTTGACCTTGTAAGTCGCGATGAAGTTGAGGAAGCCGAGACCTTCGTACTGAGGGTTGGCGATGACCAAGTTGGCGTTGGATTGTTCGCTGCTGTATCCAGTACCTGCGTCGCCGGTTCCGCTAACAGCTGGTGCGGTGCTACCAGAAACAACACCTCCGACGAGGAGATGCGCATTGAAGAAGTGGACCCAGTTGGGAACGTAATCGATGTTGGTATCGACGACAGCACGAGTGAGAGATCCCGAATAATCATTTTTGAAATAGCCGTTGTAATAATAGGCCTTGTAGACATGATCATACGTAGACTCTTTGTAGTCGAAGCCGGCCAATTCGTACAGGCAGCCAGCGTGTCGGGCAGAGTGGTAGTGGACCCACTCGCTTGGGGCGGCATTTTCGGTGTAGTCGGTTGTTGTCGACTCTTCGTTTTCCCAACCGTAGTGGTAAAGACCTCCTCGGTTGTTATCACCAGCAGCTGGAGAAGCTGCATCAGCACCTCCCTTCAAACCTTTCATTTCAGATCCGAAGTAGTGGAGCGGACCAGTGGAGTACCTCTCGTACGGATCAGTGTTGGTTCCATTGTAGACCAACTTGTCACTGAAAGATTTTTTATGAAATTTCAGCGAAGTTTGTTTCGACTTACGTATCGAAGTTGGCTGGCCAGCAGTTCAGCGCATAAGCATGACCGCTGCTTGTGCTGTATGCTTTGCCATAGCCGTCGTACTGATCGTAGTTGTAAGACGGGGCGGAATAGCTTGGAGCCTGGTAGGATGGCTGTTGGTAAGAAGGTTGTTGGTAAGAAGCTTGGTTCTTCTTCTTCTTCTTTTTCTTGTTTCCGAACTGGTCGTACTCGTACTCGTAATCACCTCGGGTCTCGTCGAGGGTGTAGTCCACCTGGGCCGAACCCTCGTAATCTTGAGCCTTTTTTATGGTGTCAAAGGAGAGAGAATCGGTGATTCCTAATTTCCGATGAAAACTAATTCGAAAGAAGTAATTTTTCTCTCTTTTTTTTCACCATTCCTGCACGGAGGCGGCCGCAAAGCAACCAACCTGCAACAGTTTCATCTAAAAACGAAATTTGAAAAACAAGTTTTTAAAGATGATTAATCTCTAAAATAAAAAAAATCTCTGCAAAACTTACATCGAAAATCTGTTGACTGCTGAGGACCAAGCGTCGCCGGGAGAGTTAAATATGGCTCGGCGGCGAATTTGCAAACATTTTTCCGATTGTTTGAGGCGCTGAAAGAAAACCGTGCGGCCGGACGCGCACAACGTGGTTTCTAAATGATTTTAAATGCCGTCATCAGGAGATAAATAAACTTAAATAGAAGATGTTTGTTTCAACTGTCAAAATTTTCGAGCTTATTTTGGTAATTCGAAATATCAAAAAAAGACATGTTTTTGCTTGTCTTATTATAAATTTTCTAGAACAAAAGTCACGTGGGAATCCACCTTTTCGGCTTAAAACAAAAAAGTCTCAGTTTCAACCCTTTCGCCCAACAATGACCTCATATGATCTCCAGTAAGTTTGAGAAACCGATCCAATTTGAATACTATTTGACCTGTTAACTAGTCGGTCAACAAATATTGTCAATATGATATGCCACTATGGTAAAGGGTTGAAATTTCAAAAATATTTGGTTCACTTTCAAAATACACTTATTTTCTGCAGTTTAAGTCGCAATTTCCGGGAGATCGAGTAGAGATAGCCAAAAAGTGCATGAGGAGTTTTTTGCTCCAAATTTTCTGAGGAATCCAAAAATGCGGGTCAAAAAAAGAACCTGAGACTTGGCCAAAATCGACCACCCTAGCCTTAAAGCTCTAAAATAGATCAATTGATTTACGCCAGAGAGTAAGTTCAGGCATTCACGGATTCAGATTTATTCAAGGCCAAAGTTGGGGAATGCGACTAAATATCACCTTTTATCCGCCACTGCGGGTGTATATCAACCGTTAGAGGTCAAGAGTAAGGGCAATATGACGTACTTGACTAGTAGGTAAGTTTAGTATAACTTTTACTGATGGTTTTTCGTGTCGAAAAATCAACAAATATATCATTGGATATGCAGATGCCAATGAATTCGCAATCAATGATCCTTAAAAACACAGCTTCCATCATTCAGAATTGACATTTCTCCAATATCATGTGCCTTTGTGATAATTAATTCAAAGTCGACTTCGGTAGAACATTCCGTCAGTTCGAAAGCTGCTGTCTATGATTGCTCCTCCTCCTCGTCGTTATAATTATTCTGAGATGCGCTTTGAGAGTGTTGATTAGATCATTATCCTAATCTGAGGATATCCAATAAACCGGGCGATGCATGGAGGCATGCTTTGCATTACCCTCCTCATTACCAAAATTGAGTTTGATCTTTAGCGTTCCATCGGGTTCGCTGGCGATTCTCGGCGAAGAAGAAGTGAACCCGCCCTCTCGGCGATCTTGTTTGATTAATCTCACAAATCCAGGAAAACCTCCTTCCCAGTTTTAGGGAAATACGCTAACTGAGCTGTTTAAAGAGAGAGAGAGATCATTCGAAGAATCTGCTAGAACGATTTCAGGTGGTAAAAATTTGATGACGATTTTATTTGATACAGAAAACTTACTCATTTTTTTTAAAACAGAATTCGAAAATAATCGGGAGAGCCTTTTTTATGTGGAGTTGTCTGGAACCAACAAAAAAATTTCGACAAATTTTGCGTGGAAATTTTCAACCAATCAGAAGCCTGGATTCGGCAAACCGGCCAATCGGCAGCCGAGTAGCCGCCCACGCAAAATTTGTCGAATTTTTTTGTCGGTTTCAGATACCATCCCTTTTTTATTAAGGCTACGGAGGTCGAGTTTGCCGACTTTGAGGGTTTATTCCGGAGAAATGGGAAATGCTAACAATCCCTTCAAAAGCTTGTTTTGAAGATCAATGCTAGATCTCACTTTTGTCAGAGGCTTTTGAAAATTGGTCTACTTTTCTAGGAAATCCAGCCTGTCAAAGTTGGCTACTCGCTGAAAATTGACCAAAAAACGACGAAATTCCAGCCCTGCCAGAAATTGATTTGTAAAAGATTTTCTATATTTTTTTATTTGCTGAGACGAAAATTTTAAAATTGACGTAAACAATATTTTTATCCTCAAGGAAAAAAAAAAACTCATTTTGTTGATGAGAAAAGTGTCGAAAGTTTATTGTGAAGTAAAGTGCCGTCAGTTTTTAAACAAGTTGGAGGACATTTTGACGCGGTGAATTTATTCAGAGCGCTACTTGGCTTTCTAAGGTCGACCTACTGGATAATACAGTCTTATTCAAAATCTTCTTTTGTACGTTTTTTTTCTCGGCCAGAGGATTTTTTCAAAGGAGCAGACGGTATCGCAGACTGGTTTTATTCCTAATCCCCGTTCTATCAGTCACTAGCGCCTTATTTTTGGGGCTCAATAAGAGGTGGCTTTTATGGTCAGAGAAAATGGAATGAACATATTTTTTCAGAAAATGACACTCGTGTCTGAGTACGCTCATGATGACTGTCAGTACGCACTAGAAAGATGCCTACATCTTGACAGGAACTTGGATCAAAAATTCGCCTTAAGGACCCCCATCAAGAATCGCGAAAATGGGGGCTTTTAGTGATAGTTTTTCTCGGGAACTATCTTAGCTAGACCCTTAATTTCAGTTTCTAGTGTTAGGTCGAACCCTCGGCTACAATCGGTCCCCTAATAATGATCTCTCGATATTTTCATTTTTTCAGGCCGATAAAGGTAAGGTTGCTAAGTGCAGGTTTTTTTTTGGTTATTAGTCGAGGTATACCCTTAATTTTTTTACAGGATGAAGTAAAGGCCCTCAGCTACGACCGTTCCTCTTTTGAGAGTTTTTGGTAAACGAACTTAAGGAGTACACCCCCTTTAAAAATTTATAAGTCGAGTATTGGGCAAATTTTCAGATTTCCGTTTTAATTTTTTCTTGCCCAAACTGCCTTCAATCATTTTTTTTCTAACCGTTTTTATAATGAAAATGCAATTTAAGATGGGTATACCCTTAATTATAATTGAAAAAGAGCAAACTAAAAATTTTCATAAAGAATATAATGCAAATTTCCAATTTTTGAAGCCAATTTTAGTCTAAAATTTAGTTAGCAGCGAAATAATTTTCAACATAAAAGTGTCTCTCTGTTGTCTGTAGAACCCAAAATGACCAAAAAATACCGAAAATTTTGACCAAATCTATCTTGATGGGGTGATCCTTAAAAAGGAGAAAAGAGTAAAAAGATCCGAAAAAAGTTGCAAAATGCATATGCAGAATATCAGCGAATTTGGCTGCGATTTTTCGCCCGAAGGCGTCACCGAAGAAAATCGAGAAGAAACTTGTATCTCTCACTATGGAGCAAATAAGCACAGAGAATGTGCGTTTACATACAGTAGATTGTTCTGGGAAAAAGAGCTGATGCGGGCATACTTGGGCGAATGCACGGTGAGTCTTCCTTGATTTCTTCCTTCCATAGTGTTTTCTAGTGCATGAGGCCAAGTGAAGATCCATACATGACGCCGGAAAAATATCTCGATTGCAAGAGAAACTGGAAAGCGGCATTTGAAAATCCCTGTTTTCGACCCGAGTCGCACCATACACAAGCACTTGATGAAGGATCCAATCCTTATAACAGGTCTTTTTCTCTCCATTTTTCAACGATTGAAAAGAGCGAATTTCAGGCAAAAACACAGGGAATGTATGGCCGGCTTCAAATTATGCACAACGAACATGGATGCGCACGATTGTGGAATGCCCCTTATCAATATTTCAATAAATGTATATAACTTATATAATATAAGTTTTATTATATTATATAATATCAGAGTTGCAAATTTTGTGAGCTAGCTGAGCTGAGCTATCTGAGCAAGCTGAGCTACAGCTCGGCTCAGCTCAGCAATTTTGAGGTGAGGGTCAGCTCAGCTCAGCTCAGCTCAATTTGACCTCAGCTCAATGGTTCTTCGAAAAGAGCCAGCTCAGCTCAGCTGGCTCAATTTTAACCTCAGCTCAGCTAGCTCAGCATAAAAAAATGGTCAGCTCAGCTAAGCTAGCTCAGTTTGAGAAATCATCAGCTCAGCTCAAAAATTTTCAAATATGCCCCAGCTCAGCTCAGCTCTGCTCAATTTTTTTGATAAAAACCAGCTTAGCTCAACTCAGCTCAGTTGTTTTTTATATGGAGCCAGCTCAGCTCAGCTCAATTTCGACCTCAGCTCAGCTAGCTCAGCTCAGAAAAAATTTTCAAAAATTTGCAACTCTGTATTATATTATTTTCTAGTGCGGAACGGATGAGCAGGGAAACTGTGTCAACGGCAATGGCAGATGTATCGATGCGTTGGCGAACTTCTTCTTTGATTCCGTCGATCCAGCGTGGACAAAGCTCATTTTCACCTGCTGCGAGCACGAAAATGACTGTTACGGCTTTCCAGAGCAGGTTTTTTCGCCCTGGAAATGCTTGAAGAAAAGTATGAATGAACAAAAAAAACGAAAATTGATCCCTTTCAGATCCGTTTTATTCCTGTTTGGCAGTGAAGGAAGAATGCGATGCGATCGAGACATGCAAGAGGCACATGGATGCGATCATGAATGAAGATGTTTGCCCAGGAGCAGTTCATCAGAAAAGTAAAAATTTTGATTCGCGATTTTTTTTTATAAAAAATTTAGTTTTGAACCCCGAACGACACGATTGCCCAAAAATTTTGAATCAAAATTGTGCGAATTCGTTAAATCAAGTTTCTCTCTGGTACTGTAGCTGTGAAAATCTTGATGGTTACTTTCAACAGCGGAATATGACAAGTATAACCCAAGGTACTAAAATCCGATTTCTTCCAATTCAAACATTTTTGAAGAGCAAAAAGACGCGGCTAGGAAAGAATGTATGATTCAAAAGGGCATTTTTACGCACAACGAGTGTTTGGAAGATCATATCGCTAATAATCCACATACAGGTTTGAACAAAAAAAATGTTGAAAATAAAAAAATAACGGAATTTCGTTTAGAAATAATAGGAGGAACAGTAGTTCCAAGCTCAACGGTCCCAAGAGGTTCACAAAGCTTTGATTTATAGTATCAATATGGTATGACTCATATGAGAGCCATATTGGTAGACCTTCCCTTAACCCGTTGCCGAGCGCGTAGCAGTTTTGCTGCTATGACACGCCCCCAGGCTCGAAATACGGCATTCTAGTTAGCGTAGAAGGCATTTTACGCCTTCCGCTCGGCAACGGGTTAAAAGGGGCAAGAGAGCTAAAAGAGACAAAAAATGCATGAGATCTGATTTTTCGAATCAAAACTTTTGATTCAGTAGAAATTGATTGTTTCGGTTATTATTCCTTGACTGTTTAATTTATTTTAGAAGAGGGCGACAACATGACAAAATTCATCGTAATAATTTTTATTCTTTCGCTTTGCATGGTTGTTCTCGCTCGACTCCGATGGACAAGAAAGATTTTGAACCTCAGGTAAATTTTCGGCTCGGCAACCTGTGTGGAAAACCTGAGTCAGGGTCTGAAAGATCTTAACTGAAGAAAGTCAAGATCTTTCAGACCCTGACTCAGGCTTTCTACACAGGTTTCCGACACAGGACTTCTTCATTCACTTCGGTTCTAGAATTCCATCATCACGTGACATGTTCATGCGCAGCTCCGACGATGGTCGAATAATCAACAACAGTTTTCCAAATTCGAGACCTCCACCGACAGCGCCTGATTTTGAGCAACTGAGAAACAAGGAAATGCCGCTGCCAACTGCAAGAATTTGAAAAAAAGAAGACGAGTTTGCTATTTATCTGTAAAGACTGAAATGGATCATTTGTAAAAACCGCCGTGATTTTTTGTAAACAAATAAACGGACAAAATCGCTATTTATGAAAACTTCGTCTATTTAGCTGATTTTGACCGCTAAAAACAGCGAACTTGAGCGGGATTCAGCCGCTTGTCAGGATTCGTGACTTAAAGTCGGACTTTAGAAAAGCAGAGTTGGCGAAATCCACTTAGCGAGTGATTACTATTAATAAGGGAACACACACGCATGCACTTATTTTACATGCACATGAGCACTTTTTCGCGCGAAAAAGAGATGAAGAGAAATGGGCTTTCAAGAAAATATCGATAAATTTCCTGTTGTAAGTTTCAAGAATCAAAAAACAGAAAACCAAAAAACAGAAACCAATTTTCGGAAGTGCATTTTTGGATGACCAATAAGGTTGCTGTATTTGGCCTTACGGCCAATCAAAATACTTATCCATAAAATCACTTCCATAAACTGGTTTAACCCAAAAAATGCGCCTTACCAAGAAAAGGAGTGATTCTTATGGAAAGGGTTTTGATTGGCCGACAGGGAAAATACAGAAAGCTTTGGTCTTCCAAAAATGCACTTGCTTTTCTTGGTTTTTGCTAAAAAGGGACTAAACCAATATACCAATATATGGAAGTGCATTTTTGGATAACCAATAAGATTGCTGTATTTGAGACTAAACCAATTTTCGGAAAGGAATTTTTGGATTACCAATAAGATTGCTGTATTTTGCCTACCGGCCAATCAAAACCCTTTCCATAAAAATCTGTTCCGAAAATTGCTTTTACCCTGTATTTGGCCTACCGGGCAATCAAAACCATTATCAATGAAATCACTTCCATTTAATTGGTTTAACCTCCAAAAAAGGGCCAAAACCAAAAAATGGAAATTATTTCATGGATCAGGGTTTTGATTGGCTGGAGGGCAAAATACAGAAATCTTACTGGTCATACAAAAATGCAGTTCCATATTTTGGTTTAGTCCCAAAAAAAAGATCGAGGTTAATCCATTTTAGCTCTTTACAATTTCAATCATCACCGGCATCGTCGTCTTTGTCGGCATCATCATCATCATCGTCGCCATCTTACAAGCATTCTTCGGATTCGTCATCTGCTTCTTTCCTGAACATCCTTCGACTCAGAGAAACTGCAAATGTCCCGAATCTCGGCTTGAATAAATTTTATTGCTGACAAAACATTTGTGAAGCGATAGTAAAGCGGGTTGCTATGGTGGAGCGGAGCGTAATTTTCTGTTCTTTGCATTTTTGAAGCGACCTTTAGTCGAAGCGACTATTTGGGACACGTCTCTGGGACGATTTTGAAATTGTCTCTGTCTTTGACGACCTCGTTCTTCATTCGAATTTTGTTGATTTTGCTTTTTTAGCTAATTTTATGGAAAAAAAAAATCAGAAAAATCAATAAATTTTTACGAAAATTTCAATTGAGATGACCGTTCACTCCGATTTTCCGACTTTTATGATGGTCCTTTTTTAGCAAAATTTCTAGAGAGCCTTTTTTCCCAACTGTTGTTTATCAAATTTCGTAAGCGATCTGAGATCTCCCGCGGCGTTAGCATTTCGTAACAGTACTGTCAAGAGTGCGGTTTTTCATTGGTGGTGATCTTGAAGTCCAATATTTGCAGGTGATTTAAAGGGCTCTGTCTTTCAGAAGTTCTTGGCACTTTAGTCTAAAAGCAAAAAGCTGCACAAGAGAATGAAAATCCCCAAGGAAAGGTCCATTAAAAAATAAATTGAAGAAATTTTGAAGAGCCCGAAATTGATGTTCAAATAAACAAAAATTATGAAGAGATGAAGTTTTTTGAGAAATACAGTATTTCTAGTGTTCGACAGAGTCAATTAAAAAACTCAGTATTCTTACAATTCTTCTGAGAGTTTGACTGCTGTTGAGCTAACAATGCGGTCGACGAAATTCATGAGAACGAACCCACTGACATTGTCACGTCACTGCTTTTTCAGCGCTTTAGGAGAGCAGCTCTTGCTCGGCAAATATTTTCGTATTTTATCAGAATCAAAGTTCATCGCATGTAACGGACCATGATAAGTTTGCTTTTGTTTGCTGTTGTTGCTGTACTTGGGCGGCTGTCTCCGCCGATCCGTTCAATGACAAGGTATTTATTTGGCTGAATTCGTTCCCAATTACCGTTGAAATAAGGATCATTTGGATTTTCACGGCGAATTTGATCCAGATTTCTCAAAATTTTCTCACGATTTGCCGGAATTAAAAATCGAAACAACAACGGAGCATGATCATGGCCATTCTCATGATCACGAAACAACGACGGAACATGATGACCACGGTCACTCGCACGATCATGAAGATGATGATGAAGAATGGAGCAATGCACAAGCCTGGGGCTACGCGACGCTAGCCAATACTGTTTGTGTTTTGCTCTCCCTCGCTGGTGTTGGAATTATTCTGTGCAACAAAAGAGCAAGTCCTAAGATGATGACGTATATTTATGATTTTTTCATCGGTATGTCTTTCATTTTTCTTTCTCAAGAAAATTTTGTTCAAAGCTCTTGGTGTATCAACAATGCTTGGCGACGCCTTCTTGCACATTCTCCCTGCTGTCCTTGGTCTTCACAGTCACGATGACGGAGAAGCCCATGCGGAGGAGGATCATGGTCATGAACATCGACACACGGTCACAACTGCCTCGCCAGATGAGCACGGTCATTCTCATGAGGAACCGGAAGATGCCGAGCCGGATCTATACATGGAAGCGATTAAAAACTCGCCGTCGTCGTTGGCATCATCTACTTTTTCTGGATCTTCGAACAGACGATGTCGATCATGGGACACGGCCACAGTCATGGCGGCGCCCAGGTCGCGCATGCCGATGAAGAAATGGCGACGAGAAAGACAATCGTCGAAGAAACGAGTGCGAAGGCAGAAGAAGCGAAGCAAGGCCAAGTTGAGCCGGTTCAAGAAGATGATGAGGATGGAGAAGAAAATGAAAACAAGGAAGAAGAGCCAAAGAAACAAACAAGTGCTATTATGGGAATTTTGGTTGGCGACTGCATTCACAATTTTGTTGATGGACTTGCGCTAGGAACAACTTGGGCTCAAGGTAAAAAATAATCGAGAATCTTGGTCCAAATAATTTTAGGCTGGGAAACTGGTTTGGCAACAACAATCGCTCTTTTCCTCCACGAGTTGCCCCATGAACTGTCCGACTTTACGATCTACATTCGATTCGGGCTAACGAATGCAATGGCGCTTGGGGCAAATCTTTTCTCTGCTCTCTGGAGTTATGGCGGCCTCTACACGGGCCTTGCTCTTTCTTGTAAGGGTTGAATGCCAGAAAAGATTTTGATTAATTTTTAGCAAATACTGACGCTTCTGAGTGGCTTCTTGCGATGGTGGCTGGCCTTTTTGTCTACATTGTCCTTGTTGATATCGTAAGAGAAGCTGAAAATGACTCCTTTCATCGCATTTCTAGATTCCTGAGTTGAAGCTCAAGGGTCACTTTGAAAACAAATGGACACGATTTGCGATTCAAAATGTCGGCATGACAATCGGCTTCATCATTCTAGCGATGTTGGGCGTTTTCGAAGGACGGAGTCATTCTCACGAAGAGGATGATCATGGCCATAGCCACGACCATTGAAAAATATTTCATTAAATTGCGCTCATGAAATGACAAAATAAAATGAAAGTTTCATAATTAGGTTTTTGACTCAAAAAATTTAGTTTTCAGTACAATAATTTGGACCAGAATGAAAAACCGCAGGATGGTAAAGTCCGGAGCTATGGACCCCAATAATTTCAGTTTGCAATACAGTATTTTCATGTATATCAATTCGTTGATTAGCATGCCGATTATCGCCATAACCAGCAAAAACATAAACATGGTCGCCGATGCGGATTGAAGTAGAGTGTTGAAGACCCTTTAGATAAATTAGCAATTAAACTTTTTGTCAACTTAACCCGTTGAAGATCACCAATTTTCGACCAGGAAAGAAAGTCAGCACTAAGAAGCCAAATGCCTGTGTAAATTTGGTTATCAGAACCGTCATCATAATCGTTAGATCCTCCAATGGTAATCAGGCTTCCATTTGGCATATCAACAGAGGAATGGGACCACAGTTTTCAAGAAAAAAAAACGAGTGAGTAAAAGCAATTAAAGATATTAACTTACTGTGGATGATTGTCAACAGAAAGCCAACCATTAGCAGTCAGTCTTTCAACTTTTTGTTGCCCATCGGGGTGTCTACAACTCACCGCTGTCGGATGACCATTCAAATTTGACAGAGACCCGTAAGAATGTGAAAATTGAGAGCTGCGAGTCACGACAACATTGTGTCCATCAAATTCATTGCACTGATTATATGGAGACTCGCTGTGAGAGAAGCAAATCAAAGCTATAATTATTTTGAATAATATATATTTATATAATGTCGCAAACCCTTATTCCCGTCATTGATCGCCACCGCCGATGAGCCATCATTTGCATCAAAAGTAAGCTGTGCACTTATTTTTATGAAAGAACAGGCATCAAGAACTCCAATCTGCTAATATTTAAGAGATACTTTTAATAAAGTCCATCACCTTTCGATATCTTCTTTCGCCCTCATCATATCCTTTCGATCCACCAAAAATGTAAAGCTTATCTTGCATGACCACACTTGCAACCGCTTCTGCGAATCTGTCATAGTCTGAGTGAATTGTTGCAATCTCATTAAAGAGACCATCACCGGATGTCAAGTAAGCTTGTTGATATTTAAATACCAAAATGTATGTATTTTCCTATAAAAAAAAGTTAGTTTATCATAAAATTGATATTTATGAAAAGCAAAGAATTTTTTGGGTATAATGATTATAAATCTATGATTCATATTCTATTGAAAAGACATTCATTACCGGTAATGATGAGCTTTCACTTGTTGTTGTGTAGGCTGTTGTAGATGTTGTTATTGTTGTTGTGGTTGAACTGGTGCAAGGCTAAATTATTTCACACAATTTGAATTTAAATTTTGTCTACGTTGTCACACAAAGTGTTTGGACAATCGAGACATCCAAGGGGACAGTTTTCTCCGCATGGGCATTCATCCAAACAACCTTAAAATCAAAAGTTTTATCTTGACTGTCTAACTTGAACATCGTTGATGGCAAGAGGTCCACAGAAATTTTATTCTTACTATGATATTCTGAAACACATAATGATGAGATATTCTCTGTCTCGCATATAGCCAAAAACTGACAGTGCAGTAGGTCAGCTCTACAATAAACCTCGCAGACTGTAGTGGTTTTCCTACTGTTTTCGCTTCGAAATATGGGATTCTAGCGCGCGTGGTCGACGTAATTATGCTCAGTGAGCCGTGACGCGCCCAACGCCAAGGCTTTCACTCCATCATACCTTGACAGCTCGCCCCTCTCTATTCCAGCGTTGGCGATATGGCCAACGCCGAGTTCATACGACCAAGTCTAAGTCCGTGCCACCGATGGGTGGTGTCCTACACTATAAAAACGACTGTACCTCTATAATTTTATCATTCTTTTCCCTGACTTCACAGGTATAACATAAAATATAATATATATATTTTATTATTTTCTGCTCACACCTATCAGGGTTAATAAACTTATTCGAGATTGATTCCCGTGTTCCAATTATATTCAGTATAAAACCACCATATATTTTGGTGACTGAATTAATCGGTACGCCCAACAAGAGAGATATAAGAGAGATACTAGAGATAAATTACCTGAGAATTTATCAATGACGATCCGCGAATATATACTTATTTATCTTTATTTATTCGATAAAACGGGCATTGTTTTGAATCTTTAGGCAATTTTACCCGATTTTCTCGATAAATATGATAAGAAGTTTTACTTCCGGAATATAGTTGATATTTTTCAATATGATCCTGATTTTGCTGAAAAGGCTATTCATAAAAACAATCAGGTCCGATCGCAAAACGGACTTTGAACGGAAAACCGGAATCTCATCGCTCTCAAAAACAAAATCTAAAAAAAAATCACCTCGACCGGAAATGAAACTGATGATCAAATCCATGAAAGCGACAACTCAAAATTAATGTGTAATTCATGAGAATTACCAATCAAATGATCGCTCATCTCAGAAGAAATCATCAAAGTCGTCATTTTTCAAATCCTGAAAGAAGAAAATCAAAGTTCCCTGATTTTAATTATCATTCCGGGAAGACTTAAGATTTGAATTTACATAGAAACTCATTCCAAAGAGGTGCCGAAATTCGTGTACGTTTCTGTCATGCAAATGAATGTCGGCACATGGGACAGCTCAAACGGGAAAAATTACTGCTCAATCTTCGTAATATTGCTCAGCGTGCTACAGAATGATCTATCCTGAAAAACAAGATATAATCGCCGCTGATGATCAATCAATTGTTCAAAGCTCAGAACATTCACAGCTCTGCTCGAAGCTCAAAAAATCGTCTTAATTGCATCAAATGATATGAAAAAAGATATCAAAAATTATGAGACGAAAAATTAACCAAGAAATGATGAAGAAAAATGACGGATTTCATCACCAGCGCAATACAAATTCGCTCCGATATGCTGCTCATCAATTTTGTTTGCAGTAGAACAAGCATCCGCTCTGATGTTCCCGCTCTTCTACTTGCACCTTTTATCAAAGACCGTCAAATGTGCCACAAAAGTGCGCAAATTTTTAATTGTGAGGACTCTCGACTCACTCATTGAGGCCACACTTCAATCTTCATCACCAAAGTAAAACTGAACCTGCTCGTCGTTCAGAACCTCACATTACCAATAATGTTAACGATCCCTGCTCATCAGATGTAATCAGAACGGAAAAATTGACACTCTGGTAGAAATTATTATCTTACGTATTAACGGAAAGATGATCTATGCTCCAAAAAAAATGCCTTTCCAAATCTAAGATCTTTAGCTCTTTAAATAGGCAAATTAATAAGAGTTGATTTATAAGTGGATCAGAAAGAAGGCTATCTCAGCTCTAAGAAGCTCTTAGATAGAAACTGGACATACAAATTATGGCTACTGCTCGCAATGCCTGTCTACTCACGAGAAGTTTTAAACTCAAATATCACAAGCTATCTTTTCTCGTGATCAACTTGTTCTCCAATAATTGCACGTTGACGATTGAAAACGATACTTGCACATTGCTCACGCTAGAAATCATTAGCCAGTGCAACTGCTCAGAAGGTTTTTCGTCAATCATGGAAAGAGTCAGAACAATCACCTGCTCGTGTGATATACGCGTCTGATTACACCGCTCAAAGAACTTCGTCGCTCGCTCATAAGGACAGAATATTCGCTCAATTACCCTTAGAAAAAGTCTTCATATATCAAGTCGATTATGCACAAACTGATTGCAATTAAATATCCATTCACGAAGAAAAATATCGGCGTCATATCAGTCTGATTCGACCGCTCAAACGAAAGACTGCCTTAAGAACAGAATTTATCAAGGAAGATGACGTGGCCGAATCACAAGGGAAAGTCCTAAAAGACGAAGTTAAGAACAAGTCTAAAGTTAACTCTCATAAAGATCAACCGCTCCTTGTTGATAGAGATGAGATCATTCCTGCTCAGAAGAATATAAAGTCAAAAATTAGCTCTCATAAAGATCAACCGCTCCTTGTTGATAGAGATGAGATCATTCCTGCTCAGAAGAATGAAAAGTCAAAAATTAGCTCTCATAAAGATCAACTGCTCCTTGTTGATAGAGATGAGATCATTCCTGCTCAGAAGAATGAAAAGTCAAAAATTAGATCTCATAAAGATCAACCGCTCCTTTTTGATAGAGATGAGATCATTCCTGCTAAGAAGAAAAAAATTCAAAAATTAGCTCTCATAAAGATCAATCGCTCCTTGTTGATAGAGATAAGATCATTCCTGCTCAGAAGAATGAAAAGATGTTAACGAGTCATAAAAATCATAAAGAGCCAAGTGATAGAGATGACTCAGCTCACGACAACAATTGGAAAGATCGTCTCCGCTCATGACGATAGTGTTGTCCTGTGATTAGCTGCTCGACTAATCCTTATAATGGTCTAGAAGTTTCGCTCATAACTCGACCTGTTCACAGATAGCTGCTCGACTATCTCGCTCTCAAATCGTCACATTTTCACGACGTGGTGGTGCTCAGATATGCGTTCCCATTATCTAGCCACCGTTCACTCATATTTGGATTGCTCGCTCACTCTGTAGTCTAAAGACCTGCTCTCACGACATGCATGTCAAAGGTTTAATTGGTTCCTCACAACTTCGGCGGTTCAATGCACAACTGGAAATTGGCTCACTAGAATATTAACTCCCCCGATCAAGCTCAAATGGGAATCCAGCTTACTGGTAATGCTCAACTAGACCGTTATTACAAAGTTTACATGCAGGCCTCTGTGGATTTTTGTTCTCATGACCCAGCTAATGTACTTATTAATTGGCCACACGATAAGTACCTCTTTTCTGAACTTTGGTCCAGCCTTCTGCAGATGTTTGGCAATGGGTGCAGTTGCCAAAATCACACACAGAAAGTCCATTTATGAATAATTAGGCATCTAACTCACAGGTTCCGCTCAAAGCTTTGCTCAATAGCTTTACATATTCTTAAGAATAGGGTTATTACTCTTTATCAATTCTAATTCACGCCCTGCTCGTAGGCCATATAAATCCCTATTACAATACTTTCACGAAGTTAACCTTGCTCAAGTAACCTATCGTTCTGTTCGCAGCAATTTTGCTCTATTGCTCTACTATTTTAATCACATGCCTAAAAGTTTATTGGAAGCAATATCGCTCACTTGCTTCAAAGTTTATCACAAGAGAGTATTTGTTATTCACATTTGCTTAAATATTCTAATCACAAGCAAATTATTCACGATCTCACAGCTCTGTTCACAGCTTTATATCACTCATAATGTAACACTCTCTTCTTGTTGGAACTCGCTCTTAGTTCTATATATAGTCTGTTAAGTTCTACTAGATTACTGGTCCGATAACAGGTACAAATTAACGATCACCTGCTCGTGATGATCAAATGCTCAATAATTGGCGCTCATTAACGATCTCCTGCTCGTGAAGATCATCCGCTCAAAAATAAAAAGGGGAAAGAAGTAAACAGAAAAATACCCATCACAATAGGCCCGATTCACGACTTTGACTACTTATCACTGGTCACAAATGTTCACAAGAAAAGACATCGGAATGACCTCACAACGTCCGGAAGAAACACTCGATGGCGCATTCTAGCCTTAAAAAAAAATGGTTCTGAACGGAGTACTGGTTGGTCCAATACTCATTTTTAAAAGAGAAAAAAATCGAAAATGACCTCTCTCCAAAATGATTTCTTCGTGCTCAACGACGCTCCTCCAAAGCGGCTCATTCAACGCTTTATCATTCCTGCTCTCTTTGATGTCACCATTCCAATCCACTTCTTACCGAACTCAATTTCAAAAGAAAACTTGCAATCGCTGCTCGACTTTTTGCAAGAATTGAAAACGAAGCTAAGTCCCTTAAAGATCACTTTCACTTTGATATCAACCACCTCCAGGAATTGCTTTTTGAAAATCATGACAGTTTGCTCAACTGGATAAGTGAGACAGCAATTCTCTATCAGCTTTTGGTCGATAAAAACACTCGCATCGAATTGATGAGACAATTTCAAACAATCTAATAAAAACGATATTACACCTCAAGGATCACTTTCAAATTTCTAGAAGCCGATTCAAAATCGTTTTCCGACCAGCTCGAATACGCGAGAACTCACATCAAAATTTTCACAAATGATCTTGCTCACAAATACTCGACTTACCGAATCAATCATGCAGAAACTTCACATTCGGAATCTCTACAAGTCGTAAACTCCATCCAGCACGACTCTCTACCAGAAAATGTTTTCGACTTCATCGAAAATCACTAAATTTCTACGCTCAACGGACGCTTCGCTTCAAAAATAAAAAGGGGAAAATATGTAGTGGTTTTCCTACTGTTTTCGCTTCGAAATATGGGATTCTAGCGCGCGTGGTCGACGTAATTATGCTCAGTGAGCCGTGACGCGCCCAACGCCAAGGCTTTCACTCCATCATACCTTGACAGCTCGCCCCTCTCTATTCCAGCGTTGGCGATATGGCCAACGCCGAGTTCATACGACCAAGTCTAAGTCCGTGCCACCGATGGGTGGTGTCCTACACTATAAAAACGACTGTACCTCTATAATTTTATCATTCTTTTCCCTGACTTCACAGGTATAACATAAAATATAATATATATATTTTATTATTTTCTGCTCACACCTATCAGGGTTAATAAACTTATTCGAGATTGATTCCCGTGTTCCAATTATATTCAGTATAAAACCACCATAAGACGTCTTTCAGTCCTTCGTCTCTTGAAAAAAGAAAATTAACTGATGAGAATAAAATTTTCAACATACGGACATGCACCGAAAACGAAAGTCTTTATAAAGACATGATGCAAAAGAAGAGATTTCGAAAACTGCATCCTGAAAATTTGCCCAACTTGTTGGGATGTTCTATCTCTTTATAGGAATCTAATGGTTTTAACATTTATCTGGAAGATGATTTTTATTGCGCCTCGAAAGAAGAATTCAATGCAATACTTATGAAATCAATGTCATTGTACCATGAAGAAAACAGATTCAAGGTGATTTTTGAATCTTATTCATCAAAATTTGAGCACAAATTGACCTTTTCTAAATAGAAGATGTGAGGGAGAGTGCAAAATTATTCACTAGAACACGTGGACTCTTGAATTCATTTATTTGCATCAGTAATTTCTAAGCTCGTCATTTCTAAAGAAAACAGATTTGCGAAATCGAAGATTATTTCTTGATGAAGCAAAGTCAGATCAGTAATGGAGTGGTTTATATTGAAAATGAAGCTGAGAGAGCAATTCATGGAGAAAATTTAAAGGAAGTTATCAACTTAAATTTTTTTTTGCTGCCTTTCCATGGTTAGTGTTTCTTCAATACCTGAGCGAAGATCATTAAATAATATACCTAGATTGTGGCTTGTGTTAAGGCAGTACCATCCCAGGTACTGTTTAGGCTATAATTTTCTATATCGAGGTCCGCCTTTTTGATAACTAGAAAGACCATTACTGTGATTCGAAATATCGCCGGCGCTGAAGGTATCTTTCTTAGAATAATCAAAATCCATTTCGCATTTCGAGTTATAATTGACTGAAATTGACGCACAGAGTTAGCATTATTCAAGATTAAAATTAAAAATTCATTCAGCAAAGAAAATCATATCCTCAGGAAAAAGCTTCTCGAATTTACAAGACTTCAAAAAAGTAGTTTTCGAATAATTATTTATTAAGAAAATCGACTTTTGATATTTAAAAAATAGGAGAAAGAAAGTAGAAGCAGGCCGATATTAAATTATTCAAGCGCTTGAATTTTCCAATTTGATTCAAAGCCCACTTGTTCAAAAAAGATGATGAAAGAAGAAACGGTTCTTTCGAAAGCTTTAGTAGAGAAAAATCCATTGAGCATACGAGCGAAGATAAAGGTCTTGGAATTCTGCCTGGCTTGTTTACCAGGTATTTGTTCTTTCATTTCTCCAAAAAAACGATTCAGATTGGCTTCATTTTTCCCTGGAAAGTGGGAAAGGAGCATTTCAAGCGGCGGTTTTGCTGATTGTTATAAGCACTCTTGCTCTTGGTGGATTTCATTTTGTCGACGGGTAATTTCGTGATTAGAAAATTTCTTGTACCTTTTTAAGCCATCAAAGGGAATTTATGATGAAACTACAAATGCCAATTATGATTTCTACCATTGGATGCGCGATTTTCAAAAGGGATCTCAAAAATTAAGAATTTTTTCCCCGTTGATTGACCTTTTTTCGGCTCGAATCGACAATTATAATCCGATAATTTTGACCAAAATTTTTGCCATATTTTCGAATAATCTAAAAATATCCCCTATTATTAACAAATTTCGGTTTTTTGAGCCAAAAACCAAATCTCTTAAAATTTATGTTGGTCAAAAAACTCCTTCATTTTGACTCAAAAATTTAAATTTTTGAGATCTCAAAAGTCCTCATTTTCCTCCTTGTTTTCATGATCATCACTTTCCGCAGAATACGAATCTACAATCGGTGATTTTCTCCCCCCATCTCGTCCCCTTTTCAAACCCTTTTCTAGACATCACCAAAAAGGCGTCTGCCTGCACCAACCTTCCGACAGACGCACGACCCGAGTAAGAGTGGTAAATCACAAAGTGATCCTTCTCCAAAAAACCGACCACGACGACTATTACTGCAAAGATCCTCAAGAGGCCCTTCCATGAATCATTCAACGCGAGCTTCAAGTGTACAGACTCTTTCAACACTGAAATATTAATAAAAATACAAATTTAAAAACCCCAAAGGGTTGAATCAAAAACCAATAAAACTGAAAATTTTATCGAGCAAAAATATGAGGGCTTGGAAGATACTGGGAAAAACATCTGTTTTTTTTTTGTCAGGGGCTGACTCAGGTTTTCATCACATAGGGGTCTATTGATTTTCTTTTGAAAATTTGGGCCACATTGGGCGACATTTATCGATATTCGGCGAAAAACGGCGACATTCAGCAATATTTGGCGACGTTCAGCGACAATTGGCGATTTTCGGCGACATTCAGCGGCATTTAGCGGTATTCGACGACATTCGGCGACATTCGGCGACATTCGGTGACATTCGACGACATTTAGCGACATTTAGCGACATTCAGCGAAATTCGGCGATTTTCCCAGGGCGCGCCTTAACCTTAGCCCGCCAAAAGTGGATTTTCTGGGGTACCCGCCAAGAATATATATGGTGCATCCTCCATTGTAGCTCGACACCGTATTTGGTTTCTCATGATTTTATTAGAAGTCTTTGTTAAAAAATAATTTTTTTGATGTAGTGAGGTGTCTTCATGATGATTCTAGAGTTCATTCATTCAAAAACCCACTTACTGGAATTTTTAAATTGAGGATCAGAGAAGCTGACCAGGGTAAACTTTCGGTTAAATCGCTGGGAAAAAGCTGGGGTACCCGCCAAAAACACCATATATGGTGCACCAACAATTGTAGCTCGACACCATAAATGGTGCATGGACTTTTTGCAAAAATAAGGGTCTCCCGACGCTAAGGTCTTTCAGAAACTGGTCCAAAATCCCTACATCGATAGATAATCGATCGAGCCGTCTCAGCGTATCCTCAGTTTTCCAAAAAATTTTCAATGTTCATCACAGTGAGCAAAAACATGAACGATTCACGAAATGTGGTGTACCTTGGCGGGCTAAGGGTAAAGGGTAAAAAAGTTTCCAACGTCGGAAAATAAAATAAAGCGTTTTAGGTTTGTTGGAAAATGATCACGAGTCCCAGCTCGAATTGCACGTGATTGAAGGCTATTGCGATCAGTTTATTGAAACGAAAATGAGAATCGATAATTTTTTCTAACTAAAAAATTCTAAAAACAAGAAAACAAAGCTTTCAAGAAGTATTTTTTCTCCGCAAATAAGCGCGCCAAGCATGTTGAATTTTAAACGCAGCAGCCTTTCTTCGCTTTTCCGCATTTTTGAAAAAGAAATCTTTTAATTATGGTTCGAGATGAAAATAAAAAATAATTCTTAAAATTATGAACCTTTCCTAAATCCTCTAATTCGGCCAAATAAGCTTCCATTTCCATTTCAAATTTCATCGTCTCAAGCTGAAGTTCCATTTTCTCAACTCGAAGCTTTTCTTCGTTGAAAAACTCCTCATTTATTTCTTTTAAAAATTTTTTCTTTTGGCTAAAAACTCGCCACTGTCGCTGAATTATTCTTGCCGCCTCTTCTTTACAGATATCATTCTTTCTTTTTGAACCTTTTTCTGCGAATTTCGTGAGAGTATTAGACGCTAAAAATTCTTATTCAAAAAATAGTGCGTAAAAACAGACCTGTTGAAAATCTTTGAGAAGCTCGATGTTTAATTCTGAGATTAAAGTGATTCTTTTTTAGTCCATTCTCTTCCATGAATTCGCAGTTTTACAAAAAAAAGAAGAAAAATGAGTCAACATTCAAATAGAGACTTTCTGTTTGAGAAGAAAAGGACAATTGTTCTTCAAATAATTAACTCAATCGAAAATTTTTGTATCAGGAAAAATCGTTTATTCGGAATCAAAATTTTTGTTTTTCAAAGCAGATCTCCAAGTCGTCAAAGTAGTCTTCTCTTTTCCACCCTGGATATGCCCCTTTGACATGTGCCACATCGCAAGTTTCCACCAGAGCAGATTCGAGTTGGTCGATCCTTGATGAACAGTGATTGGTGCAAAGATCATCATTTCCACGAAAACGGCAAAGACTGCTCCGGCGATTTCTGACAGCCACCAGAGCCAGTGGTAGTTCCAATCAGAATGCATTATTGCTGGGCCGAAAACGCGGGCTTTCTCTGATTTAAAACATTTTTTCTTCTCTTTAAAAAAGGGGTTTTCAGTTCTCAAATCAATTTCCTGGATTCATGCAACCAGCGCCAATGTACCATCCACCAAAGACACCCTGAGTCACTGTCAGGCCGATTACTAGTGGAGTAAGGGAGTGCTATGGAAATGGTTCATTTTGGAACTTTTCCTGTCGAAAAAATATTTTGAGAACCAAAACTGATATTCAGGGTCCAGAACAGCTGCAAGAGCGACGAATGCCATCATGAAAGTGAAGAAAAACTCGGCCCAGAAGATTGCATTTAGATCAGACGATTCTAGAGCCAGCTCAACCTTCATCAATGGCGATTGCTTTACCTGTAATCGAAATAGCGCCAACAGGAATGCCCCTGATCAGTGCAGCAAACCAAGCAGCAAGAGCAGAGCCAACAAGTTGCGCGCCGATATTTGGCACTAAAAGTCTCCAAGGAACAACTCCAGCGACGCAGAAAGCGACAGTCATGGAAGGGTTGAATTGGATGATGCAGATGTCCCAGAACATGGTGATGATGATGGTCAGGTTGATTCCGGCGGCGAGGGCGAAAACGAGAGGAGATGCTAGTCCTTCGGGGTGGTCGGGGCCGGGTTGAAGCATGCAAGCCCAGAAAACTGAGCATAGAATGGATTAAGTTCTAGTTTTAATTCTTGTTAACCCAGCATGAAAGTAGCAATACACTCGGCCAAGATCGGCTTCACCCATTTTTGAAAAAACTGCGCGTACTTGAAGATGCCCTCGTATTTGAGCTGAAATGCGATCGGCATCTTTTCCAGGTGAGGAAGACCATTGTGTCTGTTGAAATGACCATCGTTGTCAGTCCAGTCGATGGTTTTGTAATTGTCCTCGAAATCGCCAGTCAGGACGTTCATTGTTGAAAAGAGCATTTTCGCGAGGACGCCGTTTTGAAGATTCTTTTGTTTTTTGTGATGATCAGTTGTGATTTTGATCGCATGTTCGTGCTCTTTCTCTTTTTTGGAATTCAAATTATTTTCTTCGTTTTTCATCCTTCTAATTTTACTTATTCGTTGTTCAAACTTGATTTTACGGTATTGCGATGATAAAAGAGTTTATGTAGAAATACGGAATTCATGCCACCAACAGATATCAAATAATTTTTATCAATAATGATATCAAAATGTTGTCTAAGGCTTGTAAGAAAGGGATAAAAGAAGAATTTTTACCCAAGAATTCCTGTTTTGGTTGTAGGAATATCAATGCTCACTCCTCTCTTCTCCAGCCTGTTTTTCGCATCGAGATAGCTTTTCGGATAGTCAACCATCGCGTCTTCTCTCGATGACCTCGGCTCGATTCCAGGTTGAAATTTTTAGTTTTAATAAATAAGAATAATTTTCTTGATATTTTAACCTGCTATCCTCGTTGTCTGACAGCATAAGAGCCTTCTGGCAGAGCATCAACTCTGACGAGGGGTGTGTTCATTGATCAGAATTCGATCGTAAAAGTCGCTTTCTAAGTCTTTTTTGCTAATCGTGGCCGGATAACCTTTTTTTATTTATAGTGATTAATGATTTGTTTCACTTTGAAGGTTCTTTATTAAAAAAATTCGCAGCTAAATTTGTGCAAGCTCGGTATAATTCGACGGCGGAGGACATTTGATGATCATCCTCGATCTCTGCGGCTGATTGAAATCCTCATTTCCATTGTCAGAGTGTCGCAAGTGGCGATAGTCGACTTTTCGATTCGGACTTTTTCGACAGGAGCGGCAGTAGCTGATGAAGTAGTCGCGAGGGCAGCAGCTGCAGATCCAGCTCATCCAGCGGAAACAATTCAGCTAAGGTGAGCATTAAAAATAGTGAGGAGGAAAAGAACTTACATCCGTGTGGCAGAAGAATTTTTCGATAGCGATTGGGCAGTGCATCAGGAGGCAGGCGATGGCGAAAAATAATAAACTTGCTTTTCCGGGTAAATAAGATGAAAAAAAATTTTTGGCGAAAAATAAACCCGATCCTGTGATAATAAAAGCGGTGACATAGACATCAAAGTCGAGCTGAATGTCGAGATAGTTTTCAGTCGCATGTTTTGAAAGATAGAGAATTCGATTCTCCTCGTCATAGGCTAAAATATACTTACGGAGCCATTTATCTTTTGAAAATTTTTACCATAAGTCATGTTGAGTCCTTTATGTCTCCCAAACAAGTAGCAGTCTGAAAGATTGCCCCGCGGAATCGCACTCGTCAAATCCACCAATGTCCCCTTTTCTGGATTGAAGGTTTTCCGACAGGTGGCGCAAGTTTCAAAGTCCGAGGCTCGGACTCCGAGCCAATCATTTGCTGCCCTTCATCGGAAGAAATGTAGCTGGCGCAAGAGAGGCTCTTGTTGAACTTGTCATCATCGGAGAAAGAGCAATAAGAAGTGTAGCACACAACGCACTTGATTTACTTGATTAGATTGAAAACTAAAGAGTCCTTTACCTGAGTAATAAAATATCTCTCAAAAGGAGTAGCGTCAAGACAGGAACTTCGTGGGGCGAGCCAGTAAACACCGTCGTTTTGCCGGGTTCCGAACCGATTTACTTTTTCGTTGATTTTGGTGTAATCGGAACAGATCTTTGCTTTCTCACTGCAATCTTAAATTTACTTGCTTTCATCTTTTTTTCGAAAACGCAAGCCTATTCAGCTTCTCTACCTTGCCATTTATAATTCCGCAAATCAAAAAAACTTCCAAAACAAAATCGAAAAAGAAAGACAAAATTTGAAAGCTTCATTTTCAGCTGACTAAAATCTCTAAAAGAAAGAGACGAGAGCTCAAAATCTAGAGATCGCATCTTTCATTTCTCCGAAATCTTACCGTTCTTGGCCGTGGAAAATTTTAATCTTGAAAGAAAAAAGAGACACGCAAGCAAAAAATTCATGATTATCGAAAAACCATGCGAGTTCTATTACGCGTTGAGCGCAAATAAAAATTCTGAATGTTTGCCTATCGTCGAATTTAGTCGAAAAGTCGAAAAACTAGAAAACTGTATGAATTTAGTCGAAAAAGTCGAAAATAAGTCGAAAAGTCGAAATTTAGTCGAAAGTCGAAAGAGAAGTCGAAAAGTCGAAAGCAAGATAGTGATTCTTTCGACTAGATTTTCGACTTTTTCGACTAAATTTTCGACTTGTTCGACTAGATTTTTCGACTTTGTCAGCAATATTGCTTTCGACTTTTTCGACTAGTCGGCAATGTCGCTGACTCATAGGGTCAAGTCGAGTTGAGTCGAGTCGACTTATTTCCACAATCAGTTTTCGACTAAGACTCGACTCGACTTCGACTTTAGTCGAAACTCGACTAATCGATTTAGAACCCTGAGTATAAATAATTAAATGAAAACATAAGAAATGAATTAATTACAAATAAGGGAAAGTAAACCAAGTGTAGAACTCATTTAATATTCGGTTTACGGCTTCTTTCTCATTCTGATACTTGAATTCTGCCTTGAAACTTGAAACTCCTCATCTTTCGCGCCAACATCTATAGAATTGTTTTTGATGCCCTTGCTGCCCTTGTTGCCCTTGTTGATATTTTCAGGTTTTTCGCTTTTCAGACAGGAGCGGCAAAGCTGATGAAGTAGTCTCTTTTTACCAAATTACAGATCAGCAGTTTAATCTCGCTTGAAAAAACAGACATTTTGATTCTGAATAAACGATTTTTCCAAATACAAAAAACACAATTATCATGATTATTATATTCATTTGTTTTCAATATTTTCTATTGAGTCTGTTATTTAAAGAACAATTGACCTGTTCTTCTCAAACAGGGGTATTTGAATGTTGACTCATTTTTTTCTCATTTTGTAAAACTGCGAGTTCATGGAAGAGAATGGACTGAAAGAGGATCACTTCAATCTCAGAATAAAATATCGAGCTTCTCAAAGATTTTCAACAGGTCCGTTTTTATCGCTCTTGATTGTTTTAAAAAAAATTTTAGCGTCAAATACGCTAACGAAATTCACAGAAAAAGCTTCAAAAAGAAAGAATGATCTCAGTAAAGAAGATGCGGCGAAAGTCATTCAGCGACAATGGCGAGTTTTTAGCCAGAAGAAGAAATTTTTAAAAGAAATAAATGACGAGTTTTTTAACGAAGAAAAAGTTCGAGTTCAGAAAATGGAACTTCAGCTTGAGACGATGAAATTTGAAATGAAAATGGAAGCTTATTTGACCGAATTAGAGGATTTAGGAAAGGTTCATAATTTTAAGAATTATTTTTTATTTTCATCTCGAACCATAATTAAAAGATTTCTTTTTCAAAAATGCGGAAAAGCGAAGAAATGCTGCTGCTTTTAAAATTCAACATGCTTGGCGCTCGTATTTACGAAGAAAGACTGCTTCATGAATTTTTTTTTTTGTTGTTTTAGTTATTGAAAAAATTATCGATTCTCATTTTTGTTTCAATAAACTGATCGCAGTAGCCTTCAATCACATGCAATTCGAGCTGAGATTCGTGATCATTTTCCAACAAACCTAAAACGCTCTACTTTATTTCCGACTTTGGACATTTTTCTTACCCTTTACGCAAGCATTTCGCATGCCATAAAAAGACCAGGCAACTGCAGCTTTCGAAAAAAAGATAAGTCTCAAAAAATTCATTGTCTCGCAGAAATAATTTCAGAAAAGGAAAGCAACACAGTTTTTATACAAAAAAGCTGATCAATATCAATTCTATCAGGGATCAGAAAGTTAATTTCGAAGTGACTCTTATAGATGCCCGTGGGCACGAGTTCGAAATTGTAATTAGAAAAATGGAAGCGAGGAGAATCGTACCAGTAGTTGCATGAACAAGAAGATGAGCGATGAACTACTCTTCATATTTTATTCAAATCAGCGCCTGACGTCAGGTCCTCTGAAACTCACCCGCCAGTCGTACTTTATTTTTTGCAACTAACAAACGACTTTGACACGGCTTAGAAATTAAAATTATTAAAAGAATCAAAGTTAGTTTTCTGACTTTAGAGACAACTAGAAAAAATGTTCGCGATGCTGTTATTGTAAGTAAATAAATTTCAAGAAAAAATTCGAGGCAATATTTCATGTTGATAATAGCCATTAAGGAGGTGGTATGCGGTCTCGTGGGATTTTAATCCTGCGAACACTGAAGTGCCTGTCGTGGGATTTTTAATCCCATGAAATGAAATATACTGTCGTGGGTTTTTAAAAATCCCACGACAGGCACTTCTGTTGTCGTGGGATTTTCAATCCCAACAAACCACATTTCGGGCCATTATTTTCGTGGGATTAAGGACCCCCGTCAACAATTTTCCTCAAAAAATCGAAAATTTCAAAGCAGCTTCTTAGTGTCCCTGGAAGCTTAATTCATCAAGAAAACTTGTTCGGAGCAATTTTTGTCAAATATAAAAATCTAAAATTGCGATTTTGAGAGTGTTGGAGTCGAGATAGAGCCCCAAAAAATAAACCCTTAAGGGGGTAGAAACAGATTTCTCGATTTTGGACTGCTGCTACATAAAAGAAAACATAAGATTTATTTATGTAAACGGTTATTCCTCATAAATGTTCCTAGAAAAGGGGTTGAGGTTCACAAAACTGTGGATGAAATTTGTTTAACTATCAGGTGACTCGAGATATTCGTGTTTGAAAAGTGGCGAAAATCGAGAATTTCGGAGAGATGAGTTGCTTCTGAGCCCGCTTACTCAAAAATTGATGACTAAAACAAATTTTGAAGGAGATGCTCCTAGATCTTACATGTTTCTATCTAGACCTGAAGAGAATATTTGAAGATAAAAGATTCTCTTGTCTGTAGCGCCGGTCAAAAATCGCCTTTTTCTGAAAAAAGCTGTTTCTACCCCCTTAAAATCGTTTTTTGAGCCGTAGAATCCATTTCCGGGAAAATTGATTTTTCGAAAATTGTTGATGGGGGGAGGTCCTTAAAGGCAAGTTAAAGTCGGACAGAACCAAGAATAAGAGGTGATTTTTTGAGACTTGGTTTTGATTGGCCGGTAGGCCAAATCCAGCAAGTCTATTGGCCACCAAAAATGAATATTCTTTCTTTTGACAACTATCAGAAGTTTTCATTTTTGAGCATATTGTCAGAAACAGCTTTTTGTCAAAATCAGAAAATGCAGAATTCGAGGAAGTCCGCCAAGGAAAACACATGAGTCGCTCGATTTGTGCGCTTGTCGAACAAAGTCACATGATGAATCTTTGATTCTCTGGATGCGCTAATGACGGGCCGACTCTGAATGAGGACGATCAACGTGGCCGTCCACTTAAAACCAACTCTGTTTTTTTCTTCTTGCAAAAGAGGAAAACAAAGTGGTTTTCGTTTAAAAACTTAAAGTAAACAATAATTGATATTTAAAATATTCAATTAACGCCGGAACGCATAAAATTTTTTCAACGTCGAACGCAGATCGTACCAATTAATTGGTATGCCCCTTTCACCCCTTTTTGGCAATGAAAATGATAAGTTAACTGTATAAGTGATATAGATAAATAATTCTCAGACGCTTAACTTCAATTTTATCACCATATAATACCCCTATCATAACATAAATATGAATAAATATGCAAATTTCCAAATGTGTTGAAATGGCATTAAAGGGCGTTGTACCAATTAATTGGTCGCCATGCGTTTCGGCGTTAATATTCTTTTGCTTCAAATCCCAAAATTTTGGTCACTTGCCAAAAACGGGTTAACAAAAAAGCAACCGTTTTCTCCAAAAATATGCTCCAAATTGCATTACAAGACCTCTGGGACAATTTTCAAAAAGCGCCACTAATTTAGTTAAAATCGGGCCAAACTGCTCTAGGTCGTTACGTTTCCTTCTCTTCTCGGATAAATTCGATATTCAATCAGCCAACTAGTCCGATAATACGCATTTTAGGGAAGACTGAAAGTTGACAAAAGAAGAGCAACGAATGATTAAGCCTGAAAAGCGAATATCACCGAGTTATAGAAAAGTCGACTTGTCGGCTGAGCAAGAAAGCGCCGTTCAGTTTTTGTTGAAGCAAAATGAAATCAGGTAATTTTCAATGATAATGATGATTTTATACAAAAGAATAAAGTCAACAAAATAATTTTTATTGATCCTGATTTAACTAAAAATTGAACTAAACCATTTTATCGAAGTGCATTTTTGGATAACCAATAAGATTGTTGTATCTGGCCATCCAGCCAATCAAAACCCTGATCGACAAAAATTACATTTCCATTAATTGATTTCTCCGTAAGAAATTGATCAGGGTTTTGATTGGCCGGTAGGCCAAATACAGCAATCTTATTGGTTATCCAAAAATGCATTTCCATAAACTGGTTTAGTCGAAAAATTGGGGAGGTGTCTGGAACCGACAAAAAATTTCGACGAATTTTCCGTGGAAATTTTCAACCAATTAGAAGCCTGGATTCGGCAAACTGGCCAATCAGCAGCCGAGTAGCTGCCTACACAAAATTTGTCGAAATTTTTTTGTCGGTTCCAGACACCATCCCCAAAAATCGACACTTATTTCGATATTTATTCCTCTTGTCCTGTCAAAAAAGCGTCTAACCTTCGATTTAAATCAACTACAACCCTTTTGTCTGAACTCATTTGTTCCTTTGAAAATATTCTCGTACTTGACGGAACTTTGACTTGGAATTGGTTTTCCCGATTTTAAAAATGCATTCGAATGCGCTCCAAAATTAATCATTTTCCAAGGAGCGCTCCAAGAATTCCGCAGACAACGACGATCGTCCTCGACGGGCGCAACAGCTCAGTTGTTCTCAACAGTTCGCCACTCAGCCGCCCAATGTCTGTTCGCTCGAGCAAGGGCGCGCAGAGTCCGTACGGATTCTCTTACGGGTAAACTCTTGCCAGTTTGAGGTTATTACTTTTGATTCAGACAGTTCACGAAGACGCAGGCGGAGAATGTTATTGTCAATCAACCGCTGTAAGTCTAATTATTAACCTTCTTTGTTAATTTTTGATGAAATAATGGGGATTACTCGAGTTAAAAACAAAAAAACAGCCATCCCCTGGGCTAAGCATTCTGTGTAGAGAACCTACGTCAGGATCTAAAAATCATATACGAAAAGCCTCGGAGCGGCTTTTTTCATAAGAAGCCGCAAAGATTGGGAAGTCGATGTCGCCTCGAAATCTTTGCGAAGCCGCTACGCGGCTTTTGATTTAAGGGGGTGGTGGTCGAGAATTTTTTTATGATTCTTGATTTTCGGCATATATTTTGATTCTAATAAAGAACAAACATTAGATATTTGTTTCTTGATTTTTTTTCTAGCTTCGAAATCATGGATCAGGCACGTTTGTCGCACAGAATAGCCGAAAATGACCAAAAATCGGAAGATGATTACTCAAAAATACCAAAAAACGTGATTCAGCTCCACTTTTACACTAAATAACAGCAATTTTTCCACAAAATATTTTTTTCAGACTAAGTCGCCAACATAATTTCAACCCTTTTAAATTCATTTTCGGTTAGAAAAAATAAGATTTTTCGGTAAAATTTTGCGCTCATTTGTCAACAGAAGTCTGATTCTCGACCACTGATTCTAGACACTGACTCAGGTTTTCACCTGCACAGGTTCTAGGACCTACTGATGGGGTGTTGGATAGCGGAAAAAATCTCATCGAAGCCTGGGTTGGGCTTGTAAGGCTAGTAACCAGACATCCCACTGACAGGCGCTCTGATTCGTCCGTTTAATTTTTCTCGAATTTTCCATAAGATTCACGTAACCCGTTTTTCCAACATATGACGAATCAGAGCGCCGACCAAGAAAATGTGTGGTAACTGGCCTCACTAGCCTAACTCAGGCCCGCTTGAGATAGGCACTCTGATTCGCCACAGCGCTCTGATGGAAATTCCGCTATCAAACACCCCATCAGTAGAATCCAGGTCGTTTCTGATGATTTTAATTGATAATAAAGTCGAAATTAAAAATTTAGGACGCGAAAAAATTGCCGAAAAATTGAAAGCCGCTGTGTTTGCTGCTGGAATTGTTGCTACTGCTTTTGCTGTTGGAAGAAAGAAACGACGGTCAAGTTTTGTACATTTTGCTGAAAAGGATTTTTTCTGCTCATTTGCTACCTCAAATATATTTTTATAAGAAAATGAAAAATTATCGCAAAAACTTTGCTACTGTTTAATCTAAATCCTGCATTTTTTGACAGAGAGAAGCAGTTTAAACTCTGCTGATAAGAAAATTTAATAGACGGCAGTTTTTTAAAAGGTGAATTACTGTCGCGAACAAGCTTTTCATCCGTCTAGCCATTTTTTATCAGAGATAACAACAAAAAATTTTGTCTAACATTTTGTAATCAGATAAGCAGCACTTTATCACCACCGCGAAGGTTATAAAAGCAGTCAAAAAGAAAAATCTTCACTTTGTCTTTTTCTTTGAGAAAAAAAGAAGAGATGAAGATTTCTTCAGCGCTTTTTGTTCTTCTAGAGAACGCTTCTGGCCAAACTGTTGGAAGGACACATTATGGTACAGCCTACGGTGACATGGTCTTTTCCGGCTGTCAGTATGAACGGATGAAAGTAATTAGGAGCTTTGGTTTCGTCCAGTTTTGAAATAATTTATAGAATGATCCCCGACTTCAAGCTGGTGTCCACTTCAACTACGACGGATCCAGCTGCTCCTCCCCAATCCCGCGACATTTTCCGACTTGGCGCGGTTACCAAGACGACTCCGATGGCAAGTTCATCGTCCCCTTCTTCTTTGACTCCGAGTACAAAAACGCCGAGTACGATGGTTATACTGGTGAACGATCCGTTCGAGACTCAGCGAGATAAACGACCTCCTGAACGTCAAGTTCGTCGAAATTTTTCAAGACGAAGTTGACTTGTACCCAGACCACATCGAAATCGTCAGCGAGGAGAATGATGACTTCCTGAGCGCTTGTGCTTCTTACATCGGCAAAATCGGCGGAAAGCAAAAATGGTTCATGCGACCGGATTGCGCTTTCCACGACGATTCCCAAGTGAACCACTTTGCCGTGTACATCCTTGGATTCGGACCTACATTTACGAGGAACAGCCGCCATGGCCAAGGCAATGGCTACCACAGTCTTTTCAATTAAAAAAGAGAGAATAAGTCTTTTTAGCGAAGAGGAATGCGATACGTTTTCAAGTCCGACGCGGGCTCGCTCTTTGCCATGAAACTCCGAAACAACGGCAAATTGGACATTCGAGAAAATCTCTACTCCGGCCTCTTCGTCTGGACCAAAGATGTCTGCGGAATGGACTTCATGCGAGCAATGGAAGATGGTCGTCTGACCATCACTTTGATTGACAGCACCGATATCTACGATTTGAAACATGTTCACTACAAATCCTTTGCAGTAAGTTAAGAAAGGTGATTCCCTTATTGATTCTTTCCAGAAATACTCCTCGATCGGCATCAGCTTCGACTTGACCGAGGTAGTCACCAAGGACACTCCATGGAAATTCATCAAGGGCGTGCCGACCAAAAACCTCGCTTCCGACGACGTTCAAATCATGATATCCGGCCTGGACAAAGTCTCCTTCCTCACGACTGAAGAAAACTGCTTGCTCACCGGCGCCGCTGCCTACCTTGAAGCTCGCGAGTACACAGATCTTGAGCGCGCTTGCTTGATCGAAGGAAAGACTTTCTGGTCCAAACCTGTTCTTCCCGCTGCTTGAAAAACTGATTTTTGGTGAAATAAATCTTTCTCTTTGGTCGCAAAATGCTTTTATTTGTCTTTTTAAAAGCGTGTAATAAGAACTATCTTCTTTCGTTTTAACGTTGGAATGAGTGATTTATTCGTAAAATGCTCGAATGGCAGTCGAGAATTCATCAGTTTTGATTGTTTTTCTCCAGGATCGCGGAATTCCGTAGCAGCCAGATAATGTCAGCGAATTCAGAAGAGGCTTTCTCTCAAGCAGCAGGCGAGCTTCTTCTTTTTCGATATTCGTTCTAAGGAAAAGATAAAAGTGAATCGACCGCGATAACTTACCGACTAACGTCCAGGTTTTTTAAATTTCGAGCATGGAGTGCATAATTCTGAATGAAATTCAAGAAGAACTCTTCCGCATTCGCTCTTGTCTTCAACCCCGAAAGATTCAAATCCTCGATGGCGCCGCCAAGCTGAGCCACGAAAAAGCTGTAGAAATCATCCTCGTTTCTTGCATCCGCTCCAGAAAGATCGAGTGTTTTCAGCATCGGGCGATTGGCAAATGAGCCGATTCCAGCGGACAAACCCCCGAATGTAAAACAAGAACAGCCTTGAAGATCGATAGTTTGAATCTTCGCCGCATTTTTCAAGAAGAAACAAAGCACATCAGCACTTGTTCTTTGAGGAACAAAGCTCCGTCGAAGACTGAAGAATTCTAGTTCCGGAAAACCGTCGAAAGACTTCGAGTTTTGTAGAAAGTTGAAAAGATCGCGTTCGCTCAAGAGCACGTTCGCCAGCTGGAGAAAGCGTAGTTTTTGAAGTTTTAGGGAAGTAACTAGCACTTCTGCTCCGGCCATCGTCGATTGCATCGCCGAGTAGTAAATATCTGAAGAAAAGGGTCAATTTGACGGGAGAAACGGGAAAGAAAACCTAGATGCTCGAGTTGCGGACACATTGATCCCCAGTCAAGGCCGTGCTTGATTGGGCCAGAATCGTGAATGACGATTTTTCGAATAGACTGCAGCTTTAAAACAGGGACAAGAGCTTTATAAGAAGTCACCAACGCATTCGTCCTGAGAAAAAAAGACGATAATTCAATGAGAAATTTTTCAAATAAGGATAAATACCTGAGTTCAACAAGATTTCGACAGTGCTTCTCGATAAACTCTCCCCAAGTCTGCATGTTTCCCAACTGCGAAGTTAACAGCACCAGAGTCTCAATCTTCTCAAACTCATATTCGTTCAAGAGGGCGAGAGTTTTCGTCAAATGATTTTGAAAATTCGCGAATTGAAGCTGTTCCAAGTGCTGAAATTCGTCCTCGGGAAGTTTGATGATGCGCTCGCGGAAATTTTGAAAATGGTTTCGTGTTTTCCCCTAAACGAATTTTCAGATAAGAGTGGTCTGATAAAATATCACCTTGGTGTACATAAAAAGCTTCAATTTCTTGCGTAAGCTGGGCCTGCTCGCTGCACTCCACCAGTGATAATTAACTGTAGCATTTTTTACCACGACTCTGTAATCCTCTTCTTTTTGGACCAAATGCTCAAAGATCTTATCCAACACCGTAATCGGTAATGCTCCCCAATCTTTTGCCTCCCCAGGAGCTGAATTCGAGTTCGAAGTGTCTTCCTGTCGCGCTCTTTTTCGAGGTCGTTTCGGTGTTTTTGATTTTGAACATTCTTTTCGAAGATTGACTTCGTCAAGCTCCTTTGTTGTCGGTTCAAAGTCAGAGTCTTCAGAATCGTCTGACTTTTCAGGATCATTTTGGCTCAACCAAACCCCGCGCTTTATTCCGAACATTCTTGTTTTCAAATTTATGAGAATCAAATGTGATCAGTTGAAAAATATTTATTTACTTTCAATTTCATTAAATAAATAACAGGCAAAGTACGCTACACACTTGAACTTTTGAGAATTTCAATGATTTTCGGATGCAACTCTTCTCTCGCCGTCTTTCCCCAGATGAAGTCCAGATGGTCGAAATCGTCAATGATCGTCAGGGTCGAGTTGCGAAGGTTTGGGCGCATGAGGCGGACATCGTCAGGAGTGGCGATCCAATCGGATGTTCCAACAAACAGGTGAATGGGCAGGTCGATTTTTGTCCAGTCGTAGAAGGGGGGACTCTCGCTGTTATACACCTAGAAAGATTGATTCGTGATCAAATAGACATCGTTGGTAACTTACAATTAGATTTGCTTTTGCTCCGTAGTCGAATTTCGCCATTCTTGTGTGTCCAATATTCTGCCCAAAGTGAACCACATTTCTGAAACTCGTCCCACTAGGCGTGTGCGAGACGAACACTTGCAATCTCTCCTGCACATATCGCTTGTGGTTGAAATTTACCGAGTGGAATGCAAAATCTTGGGCGATGCTGGTACCCCACGCTTTCAGCAGTTCGGGCGAATCCTTCACAAGTTTTGCCAAATATCGCGTCGCTTTCGTTCGTTTGAGGAATTCGCTGTCGAGGTATCTTTGAACCATATCATTGCTCGAAAAAGACTTGAACGGGCCGACAAGAGATCTCCACGCGCCCTTGACATTTTTCAGCGACAAAATCGGCGCCAAAGCGATCATTCCATGAAGCCGCTTCTTCGTTTCTTCGTCACCGCCTTCTTGATTCACGAACATCAGAAGAGTTCCTTGGCTGTGCGCAATGTACCAAATCTTTTCCTGCTTCGCGATTTTGCAGATTTTGTGGACGATCGCGGGGATTTCGTATTTGGCGATTTCGTGAAAGGTCCAGCGCCAGAATTTTGGATCGTCGTCGGGGGAGAGTTCTGTATGGCGACGACTGTAGGGGTTGCCACGCGTATTGGCAAGGAAAACGTCAAAGCCTTCGTCCCATAGGCGATACGCTAGAATTAAGGTTAGAGATCAATTGATTTGGGAGGAGTCCTCCCCAGGGTCTCGAAAAATTGGATGTGGGGCGGTTGTTAGGGCGCCCCCTCACGCTCTCAACATCGGCGCGCTCGTTGTTCACTTTCAAAAACAATTTGGGCTGGATGTTTGAAATATAGGCTCGCGCCAAAGGGAAAGTAACGCTGTAAAAATATGCAACAATGTTCAAATTCAGTGAAACTTAGACTCCTGATACAACTTTTTCCGCTGATTGCGAATATGTAAAAATTATTTTGAGATTCGCGGCATTTAGCTATATATGATTGACAGATCACAAAATACACACTTTCAAGTAACTAGCACATTTCGGACGTAATAGTTGCCCATGAATTCGATATTTTTGCAAACAGGTAGCTTACCACTTCCGAGAACTGCTTTGTTTAGATCACCCGGTGATTTTTGTTACAGTAGGTCAGAGTGTACACCCACTGAGATTATGGCCCTTTCGGGCGCCCCGGGGAGCGCGCAAAGCACTAGCGCACTGCCACTTACACTTACACTCAGTCATCTAAACACCGCGTCTACCTGATAAAACCCCTAACTAGGCAGCTGGGGTAATCTTAAATATTTTCTTCCGAGTTTTTCTTGGATTTTTCATGAAAAATACCGATTAAAACTAAGATTATAGAGATATCTCAAAATTATTTGGATAAAAACTTCTATTTTCTTAAATAACATATGATATTTTAATCATTTACTTAGAATGGTGACGTAGGGTACTAATTTGTTTATTTCTATGAGGCGAGGACCGCGTACTTGTTGGTGAACAACCGAGCGCCCGTTGTTAACAATCGGCTCCCGTTGCGCACAACTGTCCGCGGAGGGTGGCGCAACATCCAGCCCACCGTTGTTTTCTCGCGCAAACATCTAGGGCGCGGGGGTTGAAAGCGAGAGGGGGCGCCAAAACAACCGCCGCGCATCCAATTTTTCGAGACCCTGGTCCTCCCCATTTACCGAGTCCATGATCCGGGCCAGCAGCTAGCCAGTGACTCGAATCGCCAAGAATTCCATGTTGCATAAGAACCGCCGGTTTTCCCTCGTTTCTTAGTCGATGAATTTCGATCAGGAAGCCGTCTTCCGTTTCCACAGTGAAAACATCGCAAGGATAGTCATTTCGGCGAATGCAATCGTCCATCGACAGAAAACACTCCGGATGAATCCCATCGTCTTTGTAGCGTAATTTCGCGGATGATCTGTTGAAATCCCACGAGCTGCAGTCGTAATAGGACGATTCCGTCAGCGTTGCCTCGTTTTCTTCGCTTTCAGTTCGATCCCGCGAAAGAAGATTGGCGCGCGAAGGCAAAACGATCGAGTTCTTAGCCGAGTGTTTTATTCGAACGGCAGAGTAGCGCGCTCGTTCTAGTTGTTCAACAATACGGCGGAGAGTTTCGTCTTTTAACGCGATCGCAGTGGAGTAGAAATCCCTGAACTTCATCGTCAATTTAAAAATGGGAGCATTGAACTGCTTGAGTTTTCAGAATTGAAAACTTCGAGGAAGAAAACATAGGTGGTTTTCTAGAAAAGAAAGCTTTGATAAAAAAGAAGAAGAAGAACAACGTTGATCATCCTCTATTCTTCCGAAAATGCACCCTTGTTCATCCTCTGGGCCACGTAGCTTTAAGTGTAACCCTTACTAAGGTAATGCGGTTCCAAGGATGAACAAGGGCGCTTTCTATTTTATGTTGAAAATATTCTTGAAAAACGAGCAATATATTTATTTTTACCCTTCATCTGAGTCTTCTCCATCGCGATTTTTCCACTCCCAAAATTTCGCAGCAATGCAGAACGCCACGACACTCCCAAAGAAGAGTCCTTCGAAATTGTCTTTGATAAATCGCATAAATATTTATGCGATTATATCTGAAAAGAAAAAGTAAAACGAAAAAGGTTTCAAGAGAGGGAAAGTTCCGCTTCGTCCCAAATCCCGTAAACATTATTTTTGCACAGAAGAGCTTTTTTCGAACTGATCAAAATCGGCCCAAGAATACAAATCATAAATTGAAGGAAACAGCTGATAAAAAGAAGAGTTTTTTGTTGAAGCAAAATGACTTGAAAAAGTTGAAGAAGAAAGAGCAGCTTGTGATTTGAAAGATCGCAGCTATTTGAGAAAAGCAGGAGGGCAGTGCCGACCATAATGACGGAATCGAGCGCGTTTTCAAGGCGACTAGAAAGGACGATCGCACCGAAAAGGGCGGAATTGCGAGAAACAGCGCCGGGCTCGTTCGTTGAAAAATCAAAGGCCAAGTAGCGAAGGGTGAAAGAAAACATCGCAAGGTTCAGAATCGTGTCTAAAATTCTGGGGTTGCTCCAATTGAGACAAAATAAAGTATAAAAGTACAGTATTCTTTACCTGTACTAATAGACGTAGTAAGATTAGCGTAGATCGGGCTGAGAACCAAAATCAGAGCAAAATAAAAGACAGCGCTGGGAATTCTAGAGCGGTTTGAATAAATCGTCGAGAGGATGAAAGGAAAAAGCGCCAAGTTGTTAAAAATCAAAGAAGAGAAGGAAAGTTCTTCTGAAGAAGGGCGGTCCATGAGCTTTCGCCAAAGAGATAGAAAGAGAAAGGTTTTTGTCAATTCCAAGGAAAGAATTTTCGTTGTTTCGCGAAGGGATGAGGCTTTGTAAGAATAGGACTTGTGAGATGTTACTTTCTTTTTGATGGTTTTTGAGCTTGATTTTTGTTGAGAAATATTCATAGCGCCGAAAATTTATTTATTCAATTCTAGAGTTAAAACCATTCCTGGATCCATTCGTTTGAAATATTCTTCTCGTACTGATCCTGATTCCAGAGAAGGCCATAAGTATCCGTCTTCTTAATTTTCTTCATTTTCAAATTTCCAAATCTCTATTTTACATTTTTTTTCCTTTTTCTCGATAAAAACTGGCTCGTTCCGAATCCGAACTGCGCGCCCTGACCTTGCCCAAAGCGCGCGTCTCCTATTGGCTCTTGCGCAATCGGCGTGGGCAGCAGCGCCAACTCCTAAAAAAATCCGGCCATTTTCGCTCACTTTTTCTGCCTTTTTTAGATTCCCAAAAGTCAAACACAAATCGGCCAAAGAGAGAAATCCGAAAATGGCCAATGACCGAACTCAGCGAAAACTAAAGAATCAAAATCCGAAAATGTGTATTTTTTTGTTGATGGCTTTTTTTGTAGATTTTTTCGATCGGACGGACGAAAATGAGCGACCAGTATTCTGATTGGACTCAGCCAGTCGGCCAGGTAAATGAGAATTTCGATTTTTTTTCACGATTTTTTTGTTCGAAAAGCTTTTTGGCAATTTTTATTAGAAAAATCAATTGATTTTCAATTTGTTTTCCTTTAAAAATTAGAAAAATATTCAGGGAATCGACCAATATGACAGCTATGACATGTACGGTTACCGTACGATCGACAACTATATGCCTCGTGACACATCCGACTGCGTCTACATCACTGGACTGCCATCGACCGTGACGAAATCCCAGATTTCCGACTTTTTCTGCCGCGCCGGGACCATTCTCGTCACCAAAAGTAACTTTCTTTCTTGATTTATATATTCATTTGATTTTTCAAGGCGTCCAAAGAATATTCATCTTCATGAAGGACAAGACTCCTACAGGCGCAGCGACTGTAACCTATGAAAATCCAGATTCGGCGAAACGAGCCATCGATTTTTTCGACGAAAAGGACTTCAAAGGAGAGGTAAATATTGATTTCAACAAATTTTGCCAAAAACAGTCCTTTTTTTATTCGATCAGAAAGCTCTTAGAAATTCTAGCAAAAACTAAATCCATTTTTCAGGGAAAAGTTCGAGTTCGATACGCCTCGCCCGACGAAAAACAACCTTTCGCCAATAAACTGGTAAATCCCCCCTCCTTTTTTATCAATTTTCTATAAAAAAATCAAGCTCCGCGACGCGCAGAAAAAAGGCGGAATGGCTCCACCTCCTCCTCACTACGGTTCTTCTGGCGGAAGACGCAGGGGAGGCCACAACCACCCTCGAGGAGATGGAAGAAGGCCGCCGAGGAATAGTAATTACGGCGATCGAGACAATAACTACGGCGGCAAATATCGTGAGGAAAGGGGATCGAGGCATGCTCCTTACTAACCAAAAAAGTAAGTAACGGAGTTGTAGAAAGAGAGATTTTCAATTTCAACTTTCAAGGATAAAGATGTTTTAAATTTTTCGACAGGCGGCTTTTTAGTTTTGATTTTTTCAATAAAAATTAATTTTTGGATTAAAAAAAAACTTGAATTGAAAATTCCCATTTTATATAAAAAAAACTGTCGCCTGTCAAAATTTTTCACATTTTGGTTTCCAGTTCCATTTTACGAAGAACAAAAAAATGAGAGATTTTGCTCAGCCGCCATTTCGTCTTTCGGTATAAGTTTTGTGGTGCGCTAACAGCGATTTTTTAGGAGTCGAAACTACAAAAATATTTTGTACAAAAAACGTCAGAGACTAGACCCTCTGACCTCGTCGTCCTTTCAAATATCCTGGCAAAAGAAAAACTTTTCGTCTATTTTCAAGCAACTCGGATTTTTTTTAATTATTCGCGAGCTCGGGTGAAAATGCAATTTTCATGTTTTTATATTTTAAAAATTTGAATCGTTTTCTTTATTTTACCAATTTTTGGCGTAGCTACAAGCCTATCTTTATCTGACCAATAAGAAAGCTTAATGGCCATCTTTTCATAGGCCCCTATTTTTGGCCAATAAAGTTGAAGGCTGTTAAAATATTGAAAACGATTTTTAGACTTTCATCGCCTATCTACAGTATCTGTTCACTTTTCCGCTACATATCCTTAAAACGTCTCATGTTTTTTTCAAAACAACGAGCATTTTTTCCTTAACTTTTTTGACCTATCTTTTTTCGTATCCGTATTTTCTCTATGTTCTTTTTCAACTTTAATACTAGCCCAATTACAATTAGTTCATTACTCCCGTATTCATCATCATTTTTTATCATTATTTTCATTAGTTAAATAACACTACCAAAACCACCAACTCCCTGTCCGTTTGTCGCATTTTGTCCCTGTTCATTTTGTTACTACCACTTTTTATTATTTCTTTCACGAAGATAGAAAAAACTGCCATTTGATCCAAGCCAACTTTTGCCAGACGAAAGATTTTTCCAAGAAACACAAATCGATGCTGATTTTCAAGAAGACCTGGTTCCAAGAGTTTTTGACAATTTTCTAACAAACAGCTGTCCCCAAGATTGTCAAGTTCGAATCAACAGGGTCGGTCCAAGATTGTTTGAAATCTTGGACCGCCCTTGTTGATTCTAACTATACAATCTTGGTGTCAAAACGTCCCATAACACCAAATTTTCCATTTTAAATTTTCTTCCATGACTTCAATTTTCATATTTTCGCGCTTTTCTTTGACAAATTTTTTCTATCAACAGACTCAACCAGCCAAGAAAAAGACTCTAAGAATGTTTATTTTTTTGTGTTTTCGGTTTTTCGTTGTTTTTATGGCATATTTTGTTCGCTTTCTAACTTTGCTTGCTTTTTCAGGTTTGACTGAGAAACGCATAAACGTCCAAAATGAGTTACGGCGGACGAGGCGGATATGGTGGTCAACAAGGCGGCGGTGGCGGCTATGGCGGCGGTGCTAATGGCGGTTATGGTGGTGGCAACCAGGGATACGGTAAGCCCATTTTCTTGAACTAGTCCTCGATCTTTTAGGTGGCTATGGCGGAGACCAAGGCTACGGGCAAGACCAGGGCTACGGAAACGGCGGCCAGGGCGGCTACGGCGGCGGTGCTGCTGGCGGCTATGGCCAACAAGGTAATGTTAATAGCAATCATCCCTTTTCCTTATTCCTTCTCTAAGGTGGTCAGGGCGGCTTTGGCAAGTGGGACGGCTCAGGCGGCTTCCAAGATAACAATTTCGCCAACAACGGGTACAGCGGCGGCTACGGAAACGGCGGTGGTGGCTACGGAGGCGACGATGGCGGATACGGTCAACAAAGCTTTGGTGGCCGTGGAGGTGGCCGAGGAAGAGGCCGTGGTCGCGGTGGATTCGGAGGCGGCTACGATCAATTCGTAAGTGATGTTTTGAATTAGCCCTCTCTGAATCTCGATTTTAGGGCGGCTCAAAATCGATCAATGACTTCATGCCAACAGACTGTAGTGATTGCGTCTTCGTCAGCGGTCTACCAAACACAGTTCAAAAACAAGACATTTCCATGTTCTTCGCTGCTGCTGGTCAAATTATGATCGACAAGAAAACACGTAAGAAAACCCCTCGAAATTGGCTTGAACTCACTTCTTTCAGAAAACGAGCGTATCTTCCTTTTCCTCAACAAAGAGACGAAACAGCCGATCGGTGACGCCACTGTCACTTATCAAGACCCCAGCCACGCTGCAGCAGCGATCGACATGCTAAACGGAACCGACTTCAATGGAAACGGCCCAATTTCAGTCCAACAGGCGACTCCCGAGCAGAAACAACCCTTCGCACAGAAACTGGTAAATTATAAAAGCGTCAATCATCAACTTACCATTATTAAGGCAAAACAGTTCCAGAAAGGCGGCGACGGCGGCTACGGAGGTGGCCGCGGAGGCGGTTACGGCGGCCGTGGTGGCGGCGGAGGATACGGCGGCGGCCGAGGCGGTGGCGGATTTGGAGGTAAAGCCTTATGAAAATATTGAAGACGCTCATTTTCATTTTAGGTCAACGAGGCGGCGGCGGAGGATTCCGAGGCGGCCGAGGAGGTGGTGCTCCAGGCGGCAGAGGCGGTCGAGGAGGACCAATGCGCGGTGGCGGTATGGGCCGAGGCCGTGGTCGACCCCAACCTTATTGAAAGAAACAGCTCGTTTCGTTTCGTTAGATCTAATTCAACCCTGCATTTATCTCCTTCCCAAACTTCCCAATTTTAAACAAAAGAAGCTCCCGCGTTTTCCGAGCCATGCACACTGTACTCGAAGTGTACAGGTACTCTCGTGTGTTTATAAAACTTAAAATTCATATTTCATATTCATCCGCCCGGTCAGAGTTTGAAATGCTCGCAAATGCTCGCGAGCGAAAAGAGCGAGAGCAAAAATTTGTCATTGCTCTGAGAGCAGGGGAGCTGGAGCATGAAAATGAGTTGGCTCGAGAGCCAAAAGAGCACGAGCCCAAATTTGAACCCGCTCGCGAGCGCAGAGAGCACGAGCGCATATGTCAGAAATGCTCGGGAGCTAGACGAGCGGGAGCGGCTGCTCTCGTGCTCGCCATGGAATTGACTCACGAGCGGCTCGCGAGCAAAATTAAAAGAATAATTTTTTCGCATAATTATTCAGTTTCATAAATAAATTTCTTTGAGGATCTATTTTTGGTGTTTTTGGTTTTATGTAAGCTTCATTAGGTCCGTAATCTCGGCAGCAGAATGCGAAAAGCCGATAGTAAACAGATAAAACATGCCCACCGCGAAGTGCTAACTCCTGTGACAGGGACTCATGTGGAATTAGTCACGGGGCCACCGAATCATTTGAGGCCCTTGAAAGCTGCTCGCGAGTCAGTTTTTTCAGCTCGAGAGCCGATCGAGCGAGAGCACAATTCGACCAGTGCTCGAGAGCCAAGAGAGCGAGAGCGCGAAATGAAATGCGCTCGCGAGCGCAAAGAGCGCGAACTCTGAAATAAATGTGCTCGGGAGCACAAAGAGCATCATGCTCGTGCTCGCTCGCTCTCAAGTGAGCCGCTCGCGAGTCACGAAAATTTCAAACTCTGCGCCCGGTCTTTTTTCAACCCCATAAATATCCAACTTCCGCGCTGAAGATATCTTTTAGTTGCGTTTCTCAGTTTTATTTAACTCGTCATTCTACTTTTTTTCTCTTTTAATTATCTAGTTCCGTGGAAGATTTCAGTACCTGCTCGTATTTATTCTGTTATTCAAGTTCTAATAACGAAAAAACCATCAATTTTAACTCATCAACAACACGGTACTTTATTTTAATGCGATACTACTTGTACAGCTCTGAATTTTAGTCATTTTTTTCTCCAAAGACTGCCAAGCAAATGGTGAATAAAAAACCAATCCAATAAAAAATTAAAAACTCTTTATTTGCAATCTTACGATTTCAGGTTGATTTCATCGTTTTAAATTTCTAAAAAAATCGAATTTTGGTCGAGTTTCGCATAATTCATTTCTCATACCTTGAAGCAGTAGACCCCTAAAACGCCGATTCCAAGGCAAAGAATAGGTCGGCTCATGAAAGCCTGCACCACTAGAATCGCCAAAAACCCAACGATGAAAATCGCCAACGCGGGCAAAAGACGCTCGATGAAATTCACATTGTTCTCTTTTTCATTGGAACTTTGATAAATAAATCGCCTTTGCGGTCGAGCGCTGGGGAATTGATTTACTTTGAAGATTGAGTAAATAGCAAGGCAGCAGCAGAGGAGTGAGTCACTGTTTTAGAACGACAGTGTCCTGGAGAAAATTATTAATCATTCAAAATATTGATGGGTTAGCAAAGTGATTTTAAGCCTCACTGGATCTTGGATAACAGCTGTTTCAAATCTCACTAAATCGTTCTGGTCGTTTGAGGAGCGGATTTTATTTTTGCCATGATTTTTATAAAAAAATATTGAGTTGAGCATTGGTTATGTCACAGAAGAAAATAATAAAATGTATTGAGGATCGAGCGGAAGATGAAAATCCTTTTTTCCTGTAATTCATTCAGAGAAACATCTGATCGTAGTTGAAACCAGATCGTTTCTTGAAGTAGTTTCCACGGACAAGCATTGAATAAGGCGAAAACCCTCGACGGGCTGAAAGAATGAAATATTATAACAGCTCGAAACCATGGTCTGTGATTTTGTCTATTACTTACTGGCATCAGATAAAGGGCCATACTTATCACCAGCCCTTTGTCTTTGGTTAAAAAGTCCAAATGCAGAGGCATTTACAAAAAGAAAAATTTGCAAGAGCATAATCCTTTGTCTCTCTTTTGTTATGAAAAGTATGCATTTCCGTTTGTGTATATATACTGTCAGAGAATTAAGAATTGAAAAGAGAAGATGGATCCGTGTCTAATGAGTTGAATAATGCATGCGATCTTTTTGGTACTCCAGTGAGAAAGGAAGCAGAAAGGAGTGTTCTCGTTTTCGTCATTTATGGGCCCTTGATGCGTCGTCATTGCTCGTTATACTGGGTGAAATAAATATAAATTTCACGAAATTACAAAATCTTTTCTCCGTGAACATTTTCAAAATCTGACTGGATGAGCTGATAGAGTAGGTCCAGCTCTATATTTTCCGAGAAAAAGATCAAAAATCGAAAAGTTTTTTTGCCGTCTAGAAGCAATTGAAGTAAATTTCTGCTGACAGCGATTGTGCAAAAAGTACCCATTAGGGACTCCAATTTTTTGGCGGAAATATATTCTCGAGACTCTGAACTAGGGCGCCAGCTTATTTTTTGTCCATTCTAATCAGTTTATCACCGGTTTATCAGCAATCTAAGTTAGGTGAAAAATTCGCTGTGGCGATGAGCGCGGCGGTGACTAGACAGCGTGGCGGCGCTGTTGCCCACCCTAACCTGACGCTTGAAAGGAAAATGCTTGAACGAGATTTCATTCGTGCTTGGCTAGGGTGCGCCACAGCGTCACCATGACGCATTGTCACTGCCGCGCTCCCCGTCTCATCAAAATTTTCGTCTGACTTTGATCGCTGATAAGAGCAGAATCGCGTTATCAAAACGAAATAAAAAATAGCTGGCGTCTTACTTCAGATGCTCAAGAATATATTTCCGTCAAAAATTATGCTGTTACAATGAATATTTTTTACGCTAGAGCCGTCAGTAGAAATGTACTTCAATTGCCGTTAGACAGCTCTAGAACTTTTAAATTTCAATTTTTTTCCTCGGAGAATATGAAGCTTGGCCTGTTTTTTCAAGACCTCTATTCAAAGTTTGAAAATATTTAGAGAGAAAAGATTTTGTAATTTCGTTAAATTTATATTTTTTCCACCCACTGTAAAATGCGCTTTTAAGAATGCATGAATGGGAAATTTTGTTGTCGAAAAAGCTGTATTATTCAGAAAAGTTCGAAGTCTTTGACAGTCAAGATGAACTTATCATCGAAATTCTTGTCGTAAATGAAGAAGCCTTCCTCATTGATGCCATCAAGAAAGTCCGTCAACTGATACTTGTTGCTTGGTTGTGCCATCCAGGTGTAGGTAAACTCGTCAAAATTGAAATTGAAAGATTGCCATTCTCGAGTTGGATTGAATTCGACCATGAATGTCTTTGTCAAAAGCCAGTTCCAGCTGCTTTTGACAGCGACGTTTACTCGGAACGTTCTTGGGCCGTTTGAGCCTGGCTCGCCTTTGGCAATAAATCGAAGTCCATTTTTCCCCTCGTAGGATTCGTGGGTCGAGTCCGGAAGACCAACAGATCTTCGGCAGGAAGCAAACCCACCGCGGTTTTCAGGGCTGAAATTTTTCGTAAAAGTTTGTTGTTTCAAAACGAACCTGAGCTTTCCCCAGAAATAGAGGGCATCATTGTATGGCATGACGTAGCCCTCGGATTTGCCTCCCATGACATTGTCATTCACAGTAGTCCATTCGGCTATTTTGAGTCAAAAGCGAGGCCCTTTTTAATTTTAGTCTAAGAAAACTTTCTATTTGTTATTTTCACTCTTTCCTGGGTTGTTTCTCCAGAGCGCAGCCTGAGCAGCAAAAGGAATAAAAACCGAAAGTTTCATTATTTTTTTCTCAATTTGTGATTCGCACCTCGTGAAAACCTGTTTTAAATACCCTCCAAATCTATCCGCAGGGTAAGAATAGTCCGTAACATTGCGCAAGATCCCCGTCACTAAGTCTTCCCAGGTTAAAATTTTAAGCGCTGCGATTATGTACAAATTGTCTTCAAAGGGCGGCGAATTAGTGGAACTTCGCTTGTGCTTTTCTTTATTTACAAAACATGCTCGTGATTTTCTTGGCGCCTGACTGGGCTTGAAAACAAAATTTTAAGGAATTATTCGTTTAAAAACAATGTAAAGAAAAGTCGAAATTGGAAAGAAATCGGAATTTTTAATAATAATTTCAATTTATTTCTTGTAAATAAAACAGTATTTAGACACATTCAAGGTTGCTAGCAATAGCTCTGAACTCTTGAAGCTCTGCGTTTCCTCTGTATCTGTACTCGCCGGCATGGTTGTTCATGATTTCTGTGTTGCCAGTGAGTCGGAGTCGCTGGAGGATGTTCAAGTCGATGAGAGTATCAAGCGCTCCGTTGAGGCAGAGGAAGTTGTTGTTGTGCAGCGAGATGGACTTGAGCTTGGTGTGGACGTTGAAAGTATCAGCGTTCAATTGCCTTGAAAATATGGTTTTGGAATCTCTCAGAAATAAGCTGATTGAAAGAAAAGGGAGAAAAAACATACCACATGTTGTTGGAATTGAGCGAAAGTCGCTCGAGATTGACGAGAAGAGCCATGATTCCGACAAGATCGTCCTCGTTGATTCCGTCGTTTTGGTTGATCACGAGCCATTTGATCTCTCCAAGCTCAGTTGAAGTCATGTTCTGGAGCGTTTCAAGGAGGATGGTCGTGGAAGTTCCAAAGTTGGTGTCAATGCACTCGATCCTTAAACTCGTTAGATGAAAGGAAAAAAGGGGCTAATTTACTTTTCTGGAGAGAAGTTGCATGCTTGCTCAGTGCAAGAAGCATTCTGACAGATCTGGCCGGATTTGGCCTCGATTGTAACAACTGGAGCGGTGTAGCTGGCAAGACCGGAAGAAGATGGCTCGATAAGGCTGAAAGTAGTGTGTTAGAAAATTCTTCCTACGGCAGAAGTTTTTACCTGAATTCAAGCTCGACATCTCCATCAGCATCAAAGTGAAGTTCGTCGAAGACAAACTGGTTGTTTTCATTCGATTCCACGACGGTAACCGATCCTGTTCCGAAAGCCTGAGCTGGGTTCGAGGATGACTTGATGCTAACTTGGGCGAGGTACTGAATTGTCTCGCAGACTTCGTTGACAGCATCGAGAAGTTCGAAAGTTGGTGGGGGAGCGAGAATTTCATTGACAGTTCCAGAAGCGACAAAGAGTCTCTGGCTCCACTGAGTAGGTGGTCGGTAAGCGGTTTCGGACTCTCCTTCTTCGAGAGCGAGAATTTCGTCTTCCTGGCTTTCCTCATAAGTCTGGAGCTTAGAAACGTCGATAACAGTTTCCAGCTGATCTGGTTCAACATCAAGCTGGGCGGCGAGAGAGCAAGTATCTCCAGCAACGAAGAGAGGATCGTCGAAGTTGGACAAGTCGTCAGCGCCGTCAAAGCAAGCTGGTTTGCTTGGCTCGACGATTTCAGTAGTGGCGACGTATTGCTGGAGTTGGAGTGATGGGTCGACTTCATTGTTGATGACAGTCTTGACAATCGTCGAAGCCATCTCTTCAATGACTTCAATTTTCTTCTCACCTGTTGCTGTTTCGTAAGATTGCTCATTGTAATCAGTGGTGAGATCGGCTTGTTCGGGCAAGATTTCCAGAACAAGGGTGACTCCACTCGCCTGTCGTCTGTAACGAGCACCAGTGAATTCTCGGTTGTCTTCGGATCTTCGTCTTCGACCGCCCTCTCGAACAACATCGACGACCTTGATCTGGCTCTGATCGATGCCGAGGAGAGCAGCAAGGTAGTTGATCAAGTTTGGTGAATCGTAAAGCTCGTCGTTGGTGAGCTCAACTGCAGTTGACTGGAACTCGACAATGAGTGATTTTGCAACAACGACGTCAATGACGGAAGAACCACCATGGACAATGTAGAGGATTTGAGAAGATCGGTCAAAGAAATTGGTTCCAACTGGATCGTCGATAGTTGGAATGTGATCAGCAGTGGCGACATTGTATCCAACACTTCCGTCAGCTTCGAAGAAACCGTTGGTGGGGAGGACAAGGTTGCCATCAAGAAGGACATCCTTAATTTTTTGTCAAACCGTTATCTTATAAAAAACAATTCACCTGTCGGTTCTGTCGCATAGTGTAGATCTTCAAAAGAGTCTTGCAACTAGCCTCTTCTCGGTTAGAATGAAGTCTGAAATGCTTGGCAAGAGTTCCGGCGGAGCCAACTTCGTAGGTCTTTCCACAGGACATGATCATAGGATGAGTAGAGATTCGCAACTGGCAAACGTATCCAGCGCAGCAAGAAACGTCCAAAACACCGTTGACGATATCGACGTGAGCATTCGGGGTTCCTGGCTCATTGACGTAGGTGATTGGGCCAAGTCGCCGAGTTTCAGTGTCAACATCCATTGATTCGAAGACAACTTGCATGTAGCTGTCGCCACTTCCACACTGATAGTAGTTATTATCAGCATTCAAGGAGCAGTCGGAGCCTCGGAAGACACCATGATTTGGAGCGTAAGTCTCTGGCGCAATATTTGAACCATCGAGATTTGTCAACATTGGAGCGGGCATTCGGAAATAACCGAGACCTCGAGGACCATTGTCGCCAAAGCCAAGCTCGGCAACACCCATCAATGTAGATCGCTCGCCAGTTCCTGTGAAAGAACCGTCAAGATCGGTGATCATCGCCTTCTTTGGTCCATCACAGTCCATGTCAACACATCCGCTAGGTGTGATCCATTTTAGTCTTGGCAAGTGAAGGAAGAGTTTGCTTTCGGCTGTGGTTCCAGACCATTTGATGTCAGAAGCCATGATTTGATGCTGATGATCGTGGGCTTGCAACAAGTTGGTGATGGCAACGTGGCTCTTTCCGCAGACGTCATTTTTCTGGAAATTGACGAATCGGACATTGTGGACGTAGTTGGTTCCATAAATCGCAAGATTATCAGTTTGAATATTAAGACCCTTGTGTGGGAACTTGTGTTTCTGTCCCTGGAAGACGGAGAAAACGAATCCCTTGTTACCCTTGATGCCCGAGCTTTCGCCGAAAGTTTCACGAGTGTATACCATGTTGCTCATGTGGTTATCACCTGTTCGCACCCACTGCAGAATACCATCAGTGCTTGACCAATCTTTGCAGTTGCCCTTGTCAGCGTCAGAGAAACCAGCAGTGACAGCGTTGACGATCGAGTTCTTGAATGTCACAGTGTCGTCAGAGGCGACGTGGCTGATGGCCATGGGCAAGTAGGAGAAAATGTGGACACCAACGACAGCGTCTTGAATGTCAACATTGTCGACGACGATGTGCTCAGCTTCCATGATGGCAGAAATACCATGAGACATGATTCGAGACATTCGGAAGCCAGCAAACTTGGTGCAGACGAGATCAACTGGGGCAAAGAGATTTCGGATACCATAAATAGAACCGTGAGCATAGTTATTTTCAGCAATTGAAGCAGCTGATGCAGTAGCGCCAGTTTCAGCAGCAGTGCAAGGCTCACCAGCATATGCGTAGGCGGGACCTTGAACACCATAAACAGCGTTTTTCTTGAAGCTGGTGAATGTCACTGCTTCCCAGGCGTCGATACCAGCTGGCATGTATTTTCCGTCAATGTCGAAATTGTGCATGTTCAAATACTGATCTTTGTAGAACCAGTTCTCAACAACAGATGAAACGAGGTTATTATTGATTGTGACGTCGAGTGAGTTGGCAACAGCAATACCGTTGTCGACGGCCATAAAGACGTTGTTGGCGCTGAGCTCGACATTTGGAGCGTAATTGGCAGAGAGAGCCACACCATAGTTGTGGTGGAAAGAGCAGCCTCGAACGTAGGTTGCGCCGATTTCGTAACCAGCTGGCTGATACTCGTTGCCAGTTTCAGCGTGAACGGATTCGTCACGCGCTTGTCCCTGGCCATTGACTCCGTAAAGTGCCAAACCGTGTCGAGGATCCCACATGGAAGGCATTGCATACTGTCCCATGCCGACAAATTCGACGTTTGCAATAGTCGCGTGTCCCTGTCGATAAATTTCACCGAATGGAGCGCCAGTTACAAGAACTCGGCCACCGTATTTCTCGCCTTCTGAACCGTTGGTTCCGTCGATCTTGATGTTTTTAGTCAAAAGACCGACTTCGGCAGCTTGTTTGAATCCAAAACCTTCATCGGTATCAGCAGTACCAAGATGTTGGAAGGCAAATGTCTCGGCGACAGTGATGACAGTGCCAGTAATGTCAGTGATTGTTAGATACTCAGCTTCGACATCAGACCAGGATGTTCCAGTGACGAAGATTGAATCACCAACCTTCCATCCAGTTGGCTCAGTGCCGATAGTGATGGTGTTTCCGCCGATTTGAGAAGTAGCCTGAAGTCGGTAGTAGTTCTTTGGAACTTCGCATCCGACGAGAGACAATCGACCGAGAGAGGCAATAGTCTTGTTTCCGAGAGGAACAGAGTCAGGAGCTGCGCCGTAGCCATGTCGATCTTCAGATCCAACGGCACCAGCAAATGTGAAGGTAAAGGATTTGTCGCATGGGAAAGGAGAATCTTCAGTTCCAACAATAAGTCGACCGAATTGCCATTCTGGTTTCATATCCCAATTGACAGTTCTTGCCTGGCCTTCGATAACGGCAATTTCTTGCTCGACGCTGAAGGGGTTGATTCCACCGTGAGCGGAGTTGATCAGCATGTTGTGGAATTCAATGTTAAAGTCAGTGGCAGAAGCTGGATCGACTTCGAGAGTACCTTCAATGTAAAGCTCGTCGACGTAGATATTTGCAACATCAAGGATGACATGACGATCGTGAACAATCGTGACGTTTTCTTTATTTGAAGCGTCGAGGCCGGGAACGTACCCCTTAGGCCAACAATCTGGGCTCGACCAGAGACAAGTCTTAACTTCGGCTGGTGGAGTTGGGTTGTCGAAATTAGGAACTTCGCAGTTTGGCCAGTAGCATTTGTACATCTCGAATCGCTGGTTTTCATGCCAGCCGAATGTAGAATAGTCAGCGCCAGCATGCTGGACCAAGTTGATATAGAGATCACTCTGATCATCAATAAACCAGCCATAGTTTTGGGTCTGATTTGCAACACCTGGAACAGGGACAGTCTGAAGAGCGATTCCAGCACCATCCGCGAAATCAGCGTAGTCGGGCTGGTTTCGGAGATCCATCTTCAAAATGGTGTTCACATCGTACTTATCGTAGTGAGTTCGGAGATTGAAGGATACATTCGGCATTTGGTATTGGCCTTCCCACCAGATTTCGTTGACAACTTCGGATGGAGCAAGGAACATCCATGCTCGGCCCTTCTGTCCTCGCTTTTCTCTCCATGGAACCTGAGCAGTGATGTCGTCAGGCGAGTTCTCGTTCTTGTTGTTAACATTGAGGGTGATTGAGTTCAGAGATTCAGGAAGAATATCTTCGATAGATACTCGGAGGAAGTCCTGATCAGGAGTACAAACAGAAGCATCAAATCCGAGATTCCAGCCAGCTTCGTTAATTGGAGAACAGTTGTCGTAAAGGGCACTTGTCGGAGTGACCTTAGAGTTGGGAATTCCTGTGCCGGAAAGAGTTCCATCCAAATCCCAGAGAACCGTTTCGAATTCCCACTCAAATTTACCCTTTCTGTCGGAATTATCCCAATCAACACCGGACCAGAGGGAGATTCGTCCGCAATCGAATGGATACGAACTGTAGCAGAAGTCAATACCGTAGCAATTTTCACTGGCCTTTGAAGCTTCATTGAAATTGACGAATTTGATGTCGTGGACCTGGAAGCTTCCAAATTTCCATGGTGTTTCCATACCGAAAGAAGTGCATCCAGGAAGTGAAGGATGAGCATTAGTGGTTCCGATGACAACAGAGTTGTAATAACCAGTTGAATCGGTCTCAAAGTTATCATTTGCATGGTTTTCTTTGAGAGAAAGTTCAGCCTTGAAGTTGTTAGCTGAAACGAAGTCGTTCATATGCACACCATCTCCCATGGACATTTCGCATCCTCGATGGTTATTCCAGGCGTGGAAGTTAACCATTGGGTGATCAGCACCAGCCGGGCCATTTGAAGACTTGCACTCAGCAGCCCAATTGTTCTTTCGTGGAGTGTAGTCTTCAAAGATCCACATTCCATAAACACCGCAAGAATGAGCGACGTTATCTTTGAACTCGAGGACTGGAACTTCTCTTGGACAGTAGTCGTTGTTGACGTTGGAACCGGTTGATCTCTTTGGAGGATTGACCCAGAAACCGAATGCGGATGAGCCGGCAGCGTGGTTTCCTCGAACGACGTTGTTGGTATTGACGATCCAGAAACTGGTTGGAGTCTGATCGACAGAGAGAAGGGAGGAAGAAGGTTTGGTCTTGATAGCAAGATTGTATTGAATGTAGTTTCCGGTTTCAACAGCATCTTCAGTGAAGAAAGCATGGCCCATGTTATTGTAGGCGACGTTGTACTCGAAGGTAGCATCATTGACGGCGTGCATGGTCATGGCACGATTGAATGTCTGCCAAATACCGAGACCTCGGAAATAAGAGTTTGGCTGAGAGTAAGAATTGTGGAAGTGAACTGGGTATCGGCCAAGGTCAAATGCTTGTCCGGCGTGATGGACTTCCATGTATTCAATCTTTCCATGAGTAACAGAGTGAAGAAGCATATGAGCACCGAATTTATCAGAGCCTTCTTCGTCACCGAACCGATCGACGAAGCAATTCTGCTCGGCGTGGAGACCAAGATTGAGCTGATCAAAGTTCTCACATTGTGGAATTTCATCGTACCATGGAGATGGGTTTTTAGATCCTTCAAATTTGACATTTCTAGAAAGAAGACCGACTTCAGCTCTTTGGTGAAGGGTAACAGGTGTTCCATCTGGTCGAGTAGTAGTGAACTCGACACCCAAGTGAAGGTAGGCAAGTGGATCTTGAAGACCCAAAGTGGTGGTTCCGTCGCCATTGTCAGTGATAGAGGTGATTATATGGTCTTCGGATTCAATGATACTGTTTTTGTCACCAGTTGGGGCGATGGCGATTCGATTTCCAACATTCCAGCCGACAAGGCCGGATGGAGTCTGAATTGTGATAGAGGTATCACCAGCATTGGCGGAAGTATCGAGCATAGTCCAGGTTGGGCTGACTGGAGCACCGTGAATGTCAACAGTACCGGATCGAGCAGCGAAACACTTGGCACCATAAATTGGAAGTCTGATTGATCGCTGATGACCGTACATGGTGATTTTAGCGTTTTTGAGCATAGGTTCGTCTTCAGTTCCGAGCTGGAAGGCACCATCAATGATAATGATGTACTCGGCGTTTAGTTCAATTCCGTCGACTTCAGTGTCCCAAATTAGGCTCCCTCGAATGAGGAGAACTGAGAGATAGGCGGTAGAAGTATCAAGAAGAATTTCGACTCCAGAAGGAATTTCGACGAGGTCACGAGTATTCTTTGGGGCGCCTTCGCAGTCCTCGAATGTACCAGTGGAGCATCCCCAGGTAGCTGGGCTTGACCAAGCGTTGACATAGTAGAACTGGAAATCGCTGTTTGTGTATTGTCCGACGCCGAGGACATCAACCAAAACGTCGAATGAGCCGGTACCAGAACTAGCACCAGTTTCACAAATGATTTCTGAGTTAGTCGCGGAAGTGACAACACATTCAGCGCCATTAATCGTTACGATGTTTGTGGCAATATCGGCATTGAAACCAGATCCAGCAATGGTAAGTGGAGTTCCACCAGCAGTACCACCTCTGAGCTTGGTCTTTGGAGATCCATCGGGGTTGGAAGCAGTGATTCCTGTCACAGCGGCAACAAGGGTGGCATCATAGGTGAATTGGGAGGCGAAAGTATGGGTGTTTGCACCATCAGTGAGAATGACAGTGCATGAGCCAGCAGAAGAGGCAGGGATAGTGCACTTGATCATATTTGATGTTGACTCTCCAATTGCACAGCTGTTACCGCAAATAGTGACAACAGCGTTTTGGTGATCGAAACCAGTTCCAGTGATTGTCAGTGGAGCACCACCAGCAGTTCCGGACGAGGATGGAGAGAAGCCAGCGACGGTCAGAGCGTGGCTGTAGGTATGAGTTCCATCAGAGTTTCCTCCGTCCATGTTAGTCACAACAACGTTGTAATCACCAGCAACAAGATCAGGCATGTCGACGGTGACAAATTGACCAGTTGCTTTTGTACTAGAGCAACCGATGACAGGAAGCTCAACGCCGCCGATTGTGACGTAGTTTCGGTCACAAACAGCGTTGACTCCCTTCTCCATATCAATAGTCAAAGTAGTTGCAGCTGGTTCAAAAGGAGAAGCAGCCAGCTTAGGTGTAAGGGCACCGAGATAGCTGAATGTCATTCCGCTGCTAGCGGCACCAGAGTTGGCAACAGTGATATCAGCAGTGATAGGACCGACGTCTTCACCAGAGTCAGGAGAAGTAAAGATGATATCTCCGTTGTCATCGAAAGAAACAGCGCATCCACCAGCGCAAAGATCGACACCGCCACTGACAAAGCTGACGACGGATCCTGCATCGAAGCCATCACCAGAAATCGTCACTGCAACACCTCCGTAAAGACCACCCTGATTAGGGGTGACACTTGAAAGAATTGGAGAAACGCCAAATGTAATGGAATCGGAGAAACCAGTGTCGGAAACACCAAATGAACCGTCGACATCACCGCTGAGAGCGCCAAAGGTGCATGAAACGGAACCAGAACCTGAGACAACTGTGACATCGGCACAAACTCCTTCTTCTCCTCCGATCGAACCAATGCCAGAATAAGTACCAGGAGCGAGTGAAAGACCAGAAAGTGTACCAGTTACAGTTCCGTCAGCAGAAGCAGAGAGGACAGTAAAAGTTGGTGCATCAGCAGTTGTCGTATCGAAAGTCGTGGCAATGTCAGATCCATCAAGAGAGAATGTGATATCAGTAGTGTCAGCTTTGGTTTCACATGTTGTAAAGATGAGCTCAGTTCCAGTATTGCTTTCGATATTGTCAACGCAGCTAGATGCTTCTCGAAGGCTGACAGTTGGTAATCCAAGAGTAGTGACGTCAGAGAGCAAGTTGAAACCAACGATGGTTACTCGAGTGCCACCGAACTTTGAACCAGAAGCAGGAGTAACACCAGTGACAGTAGCGGCAAATGAAGATGTAACGACATCATCACTTGTCTGAGCAGCAAGATTCGAAGCGGTAATGACGTATTCACCGGCCTTGACGTTGACTGGGCAGCTTCCGGCAGTAGGATTGCAAGAAGCGCCATCAACGACGATATCTCCGCATGTTGGAGCTGGTGAAACAGTAACAACATTACCGAAAACGGAAACGTCCGTAAAGAAGCTTCCAAGAGGAGAGCTGAGAAGATATTTTCCATTATTAACAGTTTCGCTTCCGCAATCGAAAGAAGCAACAGCAGCTGTAAGATCAAGAGATGCATCACCAACTGTAACAGCAATGTCAACTTCGCCAGAGTCGTCGGTGACAACAACTGTTCCGACAATTGTGTTCAAACCATCGTAAGGACCGCTTGAAATTGTGTATGTACCAGGTTCTGTGAGAACAAAGAAAACTTCGCCTTGGTTAGCTTCAATGGCATTGAGAGAAAGACTGACAGAATCACTGACGGCAGAAAACTGCATTGTTGGAATGATAGCGGCGCCATTTTCGGCGGGAAGAATGATATTCCAGCTGATGACGACCTTTGTGCCGGCAGAAACAGAAGCTGACGCTGGCTCGAATCCACCAGTTCGAGTGCTTGAACCCGAAGCGTGGAAAGAAACGGCAGCAGATGCAGCGGCTCGACAGGTGATTTCCGTGTTTGAAATCGAAGTAACATCACAGGCATTTGGTCCAAGACTGACTGAAACAGCGGAGGCATCGGAACCAAAACCGGATCCCTGGAAGACAACAGTGTTTCCACCAAATGGCGAGCCAGCAGGATTGACTACTTGAGAAACAGAAGCGTCGTAGACAAGACTTCCTTCCCAGTTTCCGGTTGTACAGATAGCTGAAGCAGAAACGCTACCGATATAATTGGCAGCTGGTGTGAAAGTAACTGTAGACGCTGGGGTAATGGCAATGTTGACTCCATCAACAACGAGCACAAAAATGTCACCGTCGCAGGTCAAGTCAACAGATTCAGTTCCAGCGGGTGAAGCAGAGCTTGAGAAAGAGCAAGAAGCAGCTGGTCGAGCAGCGATCTCGAATGCGGCAGAAGCTCCAGAAACATCGACAGTGGTAGATCCAACAGCAACGCTGGTAACAGTACAAGTAGCCTGAGTATCAGTTACTGAGGAACATGAAGCATCGACACCGCCGATAACGACGGGTTCAGCGAGACCAACACCGTTGATGACGACTTGAGCGCCGGATGAGGCTAAAGAGGGCGAAACAGATGTAATCTGTCCGGTAACAGTAAGAGTGACTGTGTTAGAAGAGCCAGAAGCTCCAAGAACAGCGATACTGTAGGTACCAGCGGCAGCAGGAGCAGTGAAAGTAACTTGAAAAGCACTATCGAAAGTTGTCGCGACAGAAACTCCATCTACTGTAACAACATCAGCACTGACAAAGTTAGAACCAGCAAGAGCGACTGAGGAGCCAACAATGACGGATGATGCTGGAGCCGTAACAACTGGAAGGGAAGAGTCGTCAAAGGTGAACTGGCAGTCTCCAGTGCAAGCAGCTTGGATCTTTGAGGCCCAAAGCTGAACCTGTGGGGTAGAAGAAGCTCGAGCCCAGTTCGCAGCGTTGATGATAGTGTAAACTGGACCACCATGCTGGGAAGTTTCAGCAAAGGCAATGTCGGAATTGACATTAGCGCCGTTGATGGAGATGTCTGAATAGTCACCAGAATTTGCAAAACTGATTGTCATTTCGTATCCCTCAAGGCATTCACCCTCAAGACTGACGGTGGATCCAACGAAGTCTGAGCCGAATTGTTGCTGAATTTGATTTTCGATGTTTGCTGTGTTGCCTTCTACGAGCCAGGAAGCTTGGATGTTAGCAGTCATTCCTTCGTAGGAGAGATCAAAATCGCCTCCAAGGCCGCTTCCCATTTTTGAAACAATTGTTAAGTCAACCGCAGTTTCAGCAGAGTTACCAATCTTCAAAGTGTTGAAGGATTCGCCACAAGCATCAGCAGCGCCACTGAGAGTCAGCTGAAGGACGTCGTTGTTCCAGTTGGCGCCGACGGAAACAAGAATCGTTCCCGGAATAGCAGCTCGTTGAGATTGAACGACTGCAAATCCAGCAGTAGCGTCAGCGACGTAGACTTCATCGATGAAAAGATCTCCTCGTGACTGTGTGTCTTCGATGATGATCTTTGTGATGAACACTTTCTCTCCAGCGTCAAACTCAGCTTGAGCATTGGCATTGTTGGCAAGGAAATCATCAGCCAAAGAATCTGTCTTCACGCACGCAAAAGACCATGCGTTTGGAGAGGTCTCGAGCCATGAGATCGATTCTGATCCAGTTTTGCCATTGATATCGAACTTGACAGTGATGGTATCCGCGTAACCCTTGGAGGCGAAGCAAACTTCAGGATTTTTCTTTGATTTGACAGAGCCTTCAAAGAGAGTTCCCTTTCCAGACGAGAGTTTGTTTGTCTTGACACCACAGTAGGGCTCGACGTCCTCAACAAGAGTAAATCCATCAAGAGCCTCATCTCCAGAGCTGTATGATCCGTCCTCGATATCAGCGAACCCGTCAACAGAGCAAATAGCCTCGCGGATCGCCTCGACTGCAGCAGCAGATGCATCATTGTCGCCATAGACGAGTTCATCAGAAGCGGTACAGCCTTGGTTATTACAGGAGTAGACAAAGATGGGAGCGTTTGTATCGACAGTGCTGTTAGCATCAAGGAAATCGTACTCTTGTACTTCTCGCTGAGCTTCAGTAAATTTTACGAAAACGCTCTGAACTTCTTTGGCATAATAATCGCCAAGATGCTTTTCGGTGTCCGCATTTCGACCGGTGTTTCCGTGAACAAGGTTTTTGTCAGCGTCCGGTCCGTGGAAAACATATCCGAACTTGAAATTGTCTCCTCCTCCCCAGTCATTGAAGGAAATTTTGACAAAATACTGTGTATCAGCATCGAGAAGGAATTTCTGCCCAGGGGTACCCCATCGCTTCCATTCATCATTATCGTGCCATTTTCGGGTGACGACTGTTCGTAGATCACTTGCGCATCCGATGTTTTGTTCAATAAGAGAAACCTTAGCAGTCAAAGTATCATCAGCTTCCGTTGAGATGAATGAGTAGTAGCCAGTCTGATATGGTCGGAAGAAACCTTCGGAGACGCCGACGTAATTGTCTTCTCCATTGTTATGAACCGCGGTATAAGCTGACATGTGGAAGTTCGATGTTTCAGACTCTTCACTTCTTCGCAGAGTAAGATGAGAACTGTCTCCTTGAACAGGAGAAGTCAAAAAGGAAATCCAATTGGATCCTTGATTCCCGGCTTCTTGATAGTAGTTGACTTCGAATCCAGTTGAACCAGGGTACTTTTGAGCCATGTCTTCACATGAAGGAACAAAGCATTCCTCAGTCACGCCAGTTGGTCCGTCGCACATGGCATTTCGTCCATTCCATGGAGACACGCAATCGCTTTGACATTCTCGACCACTTCCTGTGAATCGAGGGGTTCCGTCTCCAACGAAATTATTCAAAATCTCCCAAGGCTTCGCGGCATTAACGAGAGTTACACAGTTGACAGTATCTACTGGAGCACCAGCAGCGCATTGGCCAAGAGACGGAGCAGTTTCGCAAGTGGCCTCGGTTCCATCAGCATTGACCTGGACATTGTTGCAAACAACACCACCAACTCGAATCTCAACGTCTCCTTCGAGATTCTGACCAGTGACGGTGATTTTGGTTCCTCCAAGACTTCCTCCGACGGAAGGAGATACGGATGAGATGACAGGTCGAACTTGCAAATTGAAGGCATTGCCGTTTTCGCACATGAAGTAATCTCGTGTGTACGAGAAACCACGCTTGCTGGTGTATCGCAAGTTGTAGTTTCCGATTCGCGGTGCACCCGACCACTCTAATTGGCAGCGCACATAAGTATTGCTCCAGACTTGATGCCCGACAATAGCTCGATTTGATCCGCCGTCGTCCCAGTATGTCTTGCATTCGGCCATTCTGAAGCCGTACTGATCGTAAAGACCTGGTTGAAGGACGAATTCTTCGTTTGGATCGACATCTCTTTCAGAAATTGAGTTGGGATAGCGAGAGAATGCAAAGTCATAATCGTCGATTCTGAATTGAAGAACATTCGATCCGCAGAGGAATCGAACTTCGTTATTATCCACGCATCCTTCAGCATTATCCCCTGCAGATTGACAGAGAACACCGTAAATAGCGTTACCCTTGCAGACACAATCCTTTGGACCAGTGACGAAGCCGTTGATAAGATCATCTTGATCCCAAACTTGACCAGTTACAGTATTTCGGACTTGAACCGTCAAAGGAACACAGTTTTGAGAGGTTAAATCATCACGGATTTTGTTAACTCGCATGTCTTCATTTCCTCGAGGATTGTTCACAGTCTCGCCATCAATCCAGGTACTCCAGAACGTCGTTGGAGCCCCAGGAAGAATGAGACCATTCGAGTAGAGATTCCTGATAGTTGGGGTGTGGCGAAGAGCGACCGCTCGCTTGTTGGAGATCTCGCCCTCGACAGACACTCGCATCCTGTAAAGATCGCCATCAGCGCAGTAGCCGGGAAGGTTGACTTCATCCAGGACGCAAACAGCGCTGGTATCACTTGTGTAGTGCATGATCACGCGGCAGGGAACATCTGGACAGCCGGATTTATCGCCGGTATATGTGATGTAAGCCTTGGTCTCAGAGTCGGAGTTGTCTTTATCGTAGTTGGCTGGGAGAAAACCGGAACCGCTGAGAGTGATCCGGGTGCCACCACGAAGGGAGAGGCGATCCGAACTGAGGTCCTCTACTTCGATGCTGTCGAGATTCGGGGCGGCACTGAGGCCATCGAGCCTGAGCTCCGCTTTCGCGAGCCCGAGTAGAAGTGTATAGAGACCAAGGCTCTGAAGATAAAATAAGTTTATGCGTAGATATTATTGTTATAAAAGAATAATTGAAATCATAATTAAAAATAAGTTTAAAAATCTTCTCAAAATAAATTATTCCTCTATCTCTCACTCACCTTCATCTTCTAATGAACCAAAAAAGCGGTCGAAAAGACTTATCAATAATGTCATATGCAGCAGAATTTCTACTTATTCATAATTCGACATTTCCCCGCTGGTGCATCAAATTGAATTCGAGACCAATTTGAAGGAAATCAGCCGATTTTTTATTGTTTAGAAACTTCCGGAAACCACGCGGGAGGAATCCCGTAATATAATAAGGACTAACATAATTACTTATTCATTTAAAAATTCAAGGGAAATCTCGAACTGGCGTAAACAAAATAGGGCGGGGTCTTTCGTCAGATGCAGAATGTCTCAGTATTCCGTGGGAAGAACTCAAGATGCGAAACTAACGCCGGATAGGTAAGTTTATTTCTCGCATTATCATTTTTGAGAAGAAAATGAAGGTAACATTTTCGAAAAAATCAATATACTTGCTTGCAAAAGGCAACTTATAAAGTTCAATAATTGACCTAAATTCTATAGTTCGCTTTTGGTCTCGTCGCTGCCGCCAGTGCCCTCCAGCCAGTGCCGGTCATCATCGGTGGCTCGACTGCTTCTCCCCACTCTCAGCCCTACATTCTCTCCCTCCAGCGAAGCGGCAGCCACTTCTGCGGCGGTTCCCTCGGTGGCACCCTTTCCAAGGGTATCACAGCTGCCCACTGCTACCAGACCAGCGTCACCGCCGTCGCTGGAGCTCACAACATCAAGCAGAATGAGAGCACTCAGCAGAAGAAATCCGTCTCCAGCTTCGTCCGACATCCAAACTACAACAGCCGAAACCAGCAAAATGACATTGCAGTTCTCAAATGGTCTGGATCCTTCTCTTCTACTTCTGCTGTCAAGTACATGAGTCTCCCAGGTACGCCATTTTTTCCACTTCTGAATTGAAAATCTCCTCTTTGTTAGCTGCCCAGAACCGAGAATGGATGCCCCACGGCGCCAACGTCCGCGTCTGCGGCTGGGGCAACACCTCCACCGGCATCATCGCCAACTACCCCTCTGAGCTCAAGTGCGTCAACGTCAACATCATCCGCAACTCGATCTGCAACGACCGAAGCCACTACAACGGCTCCATCCTCAGCGGTATGTTCTGCGCTGGTATCCTCGACGTCGGCGGCAAAGACGCTTGCCAGGGTGACTCCGGCGGACCAGTTGTCTACAACAACCAGATGGTCGGCGCCACTTCTTGGGGAATCGGATGTGCGGAGGCCAAGTACCCCGGTGTCTACACTGACGTCGCCATTTACAAGAACTGGATCAACGCTCAGTAAAGGATTTGTACTGCGAGAAAGCATGTAATAAATAAACTACATTCACGAACTCGTTCCAACTCTCTTTCTTTCTGCAAACTCACGTCATCCTGCAGACAAAAGCGTTTTCGCTTGATAAAAATAGCAAGATAAACTGACAAAGAGAGGGCTGAGTTCTACCTGACGGGGATTCTAATGACAGCTTAATAAACATGCTTAGCGGCCTTTTATATAGCCGGCTGTTGGAGAAGCTCATAATACAATTTCGCAATTCTTATGCATGATTCGGTAAGAGCATATTTATTTCGGGAAAAGAAAACTATGATTTCAATCTCATTTGAGCAGCTTCAAGTTCAGCCAGTTCCTGTGCTTTCCTCTCTTCTTCAGCTCGTTTTGCCTCGGCTTTTCGTTGCTTTACGTCATTCTACAAAAGAAAACTCAACTGACTTGTCTCTAGCGAAAGCCAAGACAACCTCTAGTTCGCTAGATCCCTAGATCAACCTCTTTACCTGAATTTCATCCATGTATCGAAGCGATGAAGACCACTTTTGGCACTGACTCGCGTCGGAAAAGTCGGCATTAAGCTGATCGATGTCTGGACGATTTAACATATCAGCAAGCCATCTTATTCGAAAAGTTTAGAATAATTTAATAACTCGTTCATCACGAGGCGTTCAAATTTATCAGAAACAAGAAAGTAATTGTTGAAGAAATAACCTGTCAAGACTTCGAATCTCATTTCGCCGGTCATTGATGATCTCGTCGACAGCGAATACTTCCCTGCCCCAAAGACCTGTCTGCCGCTGAAGGCCCTTGATTCGTTTCTCGCATCTTCGAAGCTGATCTGTTTGCTCCAGATTGTCTAGTGGACAGAAAATTATTTCCGAAAATCTCAATTATTTCTGGTCTCTTGAGGCAATTACCGAATAACAGCGCGATTTGTCTTTTGGAAACGTCCTCCACAGCGTTATTTTTATTGAAACTCGTTCTTGACATATCTGCCTCAATCTCTTTACAAAACCTCGTCAAGAGAAAGAAAATGATGAAAATTAAGACAGATGTGTATTTCAAGCTTTTCACCTGTCAAGAAGCGGTCATCACGCCTCAGACGACACGCTCTAGTTTCTGATGCTTTCTCAAGGACAATTTATAAGTTCATAAATAAAATATTTTTTTGAGAAAAAATAATAGTTTATGAAATAATAATATATAATGAATAGAATATTATTTTGAGAAAATTAAATTATTTTTTGAGAAAAAAAATTTCTTTTGAGAAATAAAAAATTATTTTTTGTAAAAAAGATTTTTTTTTCTGAGAAAAATAAAATATATTTTTTGAAGAAAACCTTTTTCTTTTTCCAAATTTGGTGATAAATAATCAAAACAAATCATTAATTTTTGATAAGATAAAATTCTTAAAAGCTCTGCCAAAACATCAATTACACGCAATTAGCTGCCGAGAATATTATTGATGGATTCCCTTTTTTTTGATAATGTTATTTCGTTAATTGAGGGCGCTGAACGACGAAAAACGAACTGAAACGAGTTGATGCGAAAAAGTATGGAAGCTATGCGCCATCCCGTTCGGCATTACTTCTGAATAGCATATTTTTCAAAAACAACTGAAGCATTTTTTGCAAGATGAGAAGGCTGAATATCTGATGATAGGAAAGAAAACTACTTTACTGATAGAGATATAGCTAGGAATTAGCGAAAAATGTTCCCTACTGATGCAGATATGAAGATAGTCGAAATTGTTACAGGTTAGGGTTAGGGTTTTTGAAGGATAGAAATTCTTCTACATGAAAATTATATTTGAACTTCGGTTGGCCTTAGGGTAAGGGTTAGGGTTAAAAAAAATATTGTGATATCAAGAATTGCCGCATGGCGAATTTAGCGTAGAAATTTTCAACCAAAAAGAAGTCTGGATTCGACAAACCGGCCAATAAGTATCCGAAAAGCCGCCACTGCAAAATTTGTACAAATTTTTGTTTGTACCTTCAAGTCAGGAGGTCAACCCTTTTTTCTTGTAAATTTAACATAATGACACCCTTATTTTATTTCGGAAACTCAAAATTCACATGTCATCTATTTTCATGGAAGCTAACATTAAAATTTTCGAAATTTTTTAACGGAATTTTTGATCGAAGGCCACTAACTAATCGGTATGTTATTAGAATTTGCTTAAGATTTAGGGTCGGGAGATAATTTAACTTTTATCTGCGATAAACTGACCCTGATTAAACTATGATTGCTTTAAGAAAGGGTTACTAACAAGTGGAGAATCTACAGAAATACTTTCGGGTGACTGATGAACTCGCGGATTTTTTTCAGATTAAAAAGCTGCTCCGTCCGAAAATCCATTTAGTCTTTCTGTTAAATTACGTTTTCAGCATGTCTTGTTGGCGTTCTTTCAATCGTGGCCGTGGTCCTGCACTTTATCTTCCTCCAAGTTCTGTTCAAAATGGGACGCCAGGTAACTCAATTACGCATTTCCAGATGAATGTCAAGCGGTTCATTTATACCATTTGTCAGTATCTGGCATACTCGGTTTCGATAGAACGTATTACATAATAAGGACAAGAGGAAAAGTTTCATGAACAAAGTTTTAGGGCTTTTCCCGGCTTTCTTTGAAAGAGGTAAATTTTAATTGAAAATCTTGGAAAACCTATTTTTCCCAATAATTTCATCAACTTTTTTAACACTGTTTCCCACAGCTCAGCAATCACATAACCCATATTCAACTTTTGTAATTCAATTCTAACTCGTGCATGCGCGAAACATAGTAATAATCTCGGAAAGCGTTATCGGATTATTTTCAGAAAACATTTCAAAGGAAGAAAGAATGGAGCATTACTGGAATATTCTTACTGACAAGCTGTATTGCGCAGATCTTCTATATCATTCTTGTAGGGACGGGCTTCATTATGATGTCAGAAGGGGTCTATGACAGTACATGAACCCGTCTTTCTCGGCTGAAAAGATACTGTAATGTACTGTTCTGAAATGACTTCTGGCATATTCAAGAAACATTTTCTAATGAGTATTTTTCTGAGTCCCAATCTGGAATTACAGTCCGCCTAATACAGAAGATATTGATGGGTTGGTGCCATGAATCGACAGAAAAATGTCGACAAATATTGCGTGGGCGGCTTTTCAGCTGCTGATTGGCCGGTTTGACGAATCCAGGCTTCTGATTGGTTAAAAATTTCCACGTAAAATTTGTCGGAATTTTTTGTCGGTCCCTGAGGAGGATGAAATCCATCCCCTCTCAGTAAAAATTTGAAAGCCCAAAAAAGCACCTGGTGAAATAACGTTTTTGATAACTCAAGAATGGAAATTTGGCCTTGTGACCTGCAAGCTCTTCAAGTCGATGAAAGACGTCACAGCAGGAAAGTGACCAATCTGACAAAATCTCAGGCAAAAAGGAACATTGTTAAATCACGTTGTCATTTGGGATCAAAGCTACTGCAATTATGGCGATGTTGTTGATGACCGCTGATCGTCTCTTTGGCATGACAAATCCCCTCAAGCGCAATACCTACAACAAATCGAGAAAATACAGGCTTGGATTTGAAATGTAACGAATGGTTACATAACTCCTAATGTTCTGCATCTGGTAACTAGGTCAGAGTTTCACAGACAAAGACAAGAAAAGATGGATCATCACTCAAAAACCGCAACTAAAAAAGAAAGAAAGCAGATCAATCTTCAATTTGAACTTGCAAGATTTATCTTTCAAACTCTGAATTGATTTTCGATGCTAGTTATTAAAAATCAAATCAGATGGAATATTATTCAGTCCAAAAAACAGACGATTTATGATTGCACTTATGCTTGTGACACCTTTCGCTTTTGGGTTGCCTAGGTTTATGTCAGGAAACAGTTGATCTTAGTTGGACGGTTGTTATGTCCCCAACTGTCCTCAAATGTCGTCAAATGTCCCCGAATATCCCCAAATGTCCCCAAATGTCCCCGAATGTCCTCGAATGTCCTCGAATGTCCTCAAACGTCCCCAAATGTCCTCAAATTTCCTCAAATGTCCCCGAATGTCCCCAAATGTCCCGAAATGTCCCGAAATGTCCCAAATGTCCAGAGTGTCCCCGGGGGCATTCCTGCTTTTATCCTCGAATTTAAGTGTTTTTATTAGTCATCAAATCATGCAAATAAAACTGTGATAAGCAAAACTGATAAAACACGAAGATCATTTCGGTGCGCGAGCTTGGTGTGTTTCCCAATCAATGATTCCAGGCTGGAAGCTACTGAACTATCAATTTCTCATCGCACTTGCCCTCTGCATGTATATTCTTCCAGGTTAATTTTCCTATAAATTAAGACCTTTCCACCCCTTCATAAGTCGCTGCAGAATTGTTCCTTTGCGCCTGTCTGTGGATTACGTCAAGACGTCAGCAAAGCAAGTGCAAAATAAGGGGACAAAGAAGTGTGAGATCGCGAGATTGGATGTCACCGGCGGGTTATGGAAATGTCAACTCGAGCATTTTTGGAACTCCCCACGGACCAGTTGATAACGAAGATGCTTCCAGAACAAGTTCAAAAAAGCCCAAGCATCTGAAACTTCAAGAAACGATTGTTAAGGAATGTATTCATTGATTTTTTCATAATATAATATAAATTATATTGTATAATATGAGGGAATGACCAAGAACACCCTTCAGTACGCCTACCTTGATACAATCATCTACAGTTTTCTCTGGGGTCCATGGTACCTAACAATGCTATTTGTTATCAGAATCGAAAGCTCAAAATCTGTCCTTTACGTCGGTCAAAATCTCCAGCATCAAGGAAGAATTATGCACTTCATCATTTATATCGCCCTCATTTTTGTCTATATCTACTTTGTTATTTGGGTAAAAAATGAAAAGCTGAATCCTTGTTGAACCATTTTCAGCCTCTGCGATGCGTGAGAATGGCCGATCCGGATAGCCGAAAACCTCAGCAAAGAGACTATTCGAAAATTTTGAGGAGCGATCGGACTGAAGAACTTCCTCGAAGAGAAAGGTTCATTCCGGGAATTCGATGCGTACTAATTCATTTATTTTAGGAGGAATGCATTTATAGATGCCGCGATCAGCCGGTCAAATCAAATTACAAATCTAACGAGCGCGCTTTCTGATGAAACTCTTTGCGCGAATGAAGAACAAGAAGACAATGTAAAAACTTATATAAATATCAACACGCTTGCAGTTTGAAAGATAAATAAAGCATTCCACTGATAGTGGAAAGAGCCTATAATTCGTCTTTATTTTGAGCAACAGAAGAGACAGGATATCTCATGCAGTCCGCTTTTTCGTCTTGATAACAGATTTTGTAAATCAGCCCTGATGGATTCTGACGAACATATTTGTAGATTTCCCATTCATCTTCAAAGTTTTCTTCGACCATTTGATTGCACTTGATTTTGAAGCGATGGGGCCACATCATTCCACCTTGCGTTACTCCGGGAACTTGCACTGTTTCGTACCCTGGCGCGCTTATTCTCTTTTCAAGGGCTTCTGATTCAATACTAAACAGAAGAAAGAATGAGGATGAGAAGCCGTTCCTGAACTCCATCAATAACTTTGAGTCCTGCGTCTTTGAAAGTTTTTGGATCATCGCAAATTTCTTCTATGATTTCAAGAACTCGATCTTCGGATAGCTCCTTTTTACCGCTTTTGACTGATGGAAACTGAAACATTTTTTTGAAGAACTTCTTTTGAACTGTTAAATTTCAAAATTTACCTTGTTGATTTCACTAGTGATTCTCTTATTAATCTCCATTGAAATAATCCGACAAGCATCGCAAAGTAAATGCGGCGCAATATGCCAATTTCCCCCCTCCTCAGAATCTAGCGCTGGAGCTTCGAGTCTGACAGACCCAGAAAAATCTTCATCGAATTCTTGAGACGCTGCTAAAAATGGCAAAAGGCAGTGAATCTTCATTTTTTAGTATTTTTTCCTGAGTTTTGTTATTTTGAAAAAATGGCTGGAAAAGCCTCAGGGCAAAATAAAGTGAGTTTTATCCAGTAAGTCCCAAAAAAGGGATGATGGATGAAAAATTCTTGAAAAAAAAAGGATTTTTCGGGAATATCTTTGTTTTATTGTTTGGTTAAATGTCTATTACTGTTCTTTTTAGACAGTATAAATGACGAAATTTCTTTTTATCCGCGTTTTATCCGTAAGAAAGTCCCATAAAAGTTCTTTTCTAAGAAAGCCATTCCGCCGTCTTTGCAGTGCAAATTGCCCTTTTTACAATCTCCGCTTGCCGAACTCTTTGAACAGTAACAGCCAGTCAAATATTACAGCATCGGCTAACTTTCCCCTCGTGATGCTTAAAGATTAACCAGAAAAGTTTGCCGATAAAAGGAACTCGCTCGGGGGATTTCGAGGTCAAATAGACTCAAAGAGAGAGAAAATGAAGCTGTCCGCAGCTTTTCTTTCTTGCGTTCTAGCGCAAGACGGTCCTTTTATCGATTGTGCTCCAGAAGGCTCTCTGGACAAACTCGGTCTTACTGCCAAAGATCACGAAAACCTCTGCAGAGAGCGAAAATGCACATGGACCGCGAATCCGGCAGAAACGAAGTTTCCAAAATGCACCTACCCTGCTGACTACAAGCATTACACAATGGGCAAGCAAATGACTTCAAATGGCTCAAATGACAAGTCGGAAAGATACAGTCTTTCTCTTCATAAAGACGCCCAGAAAAATCGATTTGAGGGTAAAGAATTTGCTGAACCGGCCATTGAAAAGCTTCAGGAAAATTTTTGAAAAAATTTATGATAATGGAAAAATCGAAAATTTCGAAGTTCGCGAAAATTTCGAAGTTCGCGAAAATTTTCGCGAATTTCGAAAATTCTCTTTTTCAAAAATTAGAATAGCTTATCATCGAAAAATACGAAACTTATGTCCGAATCCGCATCACTGACGAAAACGACACCCGTTTCGAGCCCCCAGCTGTTCTTGATTCCCCCGAAGAAATGGTCGATTCTAGCGAAAACTACGACGTCACTGTTTCGAAGGAAAACGAGCCATTTTCCATTTCCGTGACTCGAAAGGACGGAACGGATCTCTTCAACACCGCCGATGGCCCGTTGATCTACTACGATCAGTTCCTCCAGATCACCACTCGCCGGGCAAACAACATTTACGGCTTTGGCGAAACTATGCACAGCAAGATCCAGAATGATATCGATTACGTAACCCAAGGAGTTTGGGCGCGAGATGAAAGCGTCGAGTTCGACAGAAATCTCTACGGGCATCAACCTTATTCTCTCGCTCTCGAGGACACCGGACTCGCCAGCGGCTTGCTGTTCTTCAACGCTCATCCGATGGACGTCGCCAAGACCCCAGAAGCCACTCTGACCTTCCGAGCTATCGGTGGGCAATTGGACTTTTTCGTCTTTTCCGGCCCTAGCCCCGAAGATGTCACGAGGCAATACACAAGTGTCATCGGACGATCCTACCTCTTCCCTTACTGGTCGCTCGGATTCCAACTTTGCCGATGGGGATACCAGAACACTCAGGAAGTCATCGATCTCGTTGAGCGAAATCAACAGCTCGGAATTCCTCAGGATATTCAATACGTCGACATTGACTACATGGATCGCCAGCTGGATTTTACCCTCGACATGACAAATTATCCCGATCTTCCGGATTTCATGACCAAAACTCAGACCGAAAGCAACATGCGATGGATCCTCATCATCGATCCAGCCATCTCGGCTGAAGAAAAAGGCGAACTTGCGTGGCAAGACGAGGGCAAAGACTATCCAACCTACACAAGAGGAGTTGAACAAAACGCTTTCATCAAGTATGGAAAGGAAGATGGCCACAATGAAGAAATTCTCCTCGGCAAGGTTTGGCCATTTTTGCCAGGACAGTACCCCGATCGATCGAACGTCGTTGAAGGAGACGGTGAAGGAATTCATCCCTTAAAAATCTAAAAAATAATTTAAGATTGGATTTTCGAACTTCAGTACAACCATTCTGCCACAGCTTTTCCCGACTTTTTCCGAGAATCCGCCCAAAAGTGGTGGTCGGATGAAATCGTCCGATTCCGGGAAGGATTCGAGGGCGCTCCAAACGGCCTTTCTTTCGATGGAATCTGGATCGACATGAATGAACCAACCAATTTCGACGCTGGAGAGCCGGGACCAGATGGCGAGAACCAGTGGGAAGAAGGCTGCGCAAAGAACAAATGGAATTTCCCACCCTACGTGCCGGTTTCTATCGAAGAAGCTCGAAACGACAAAGATGCCAACATTCTATTCCAGAAAACCATCTGCATGGATGGCCTTCAAACCAATCCAAAAACTGGCAACGACAAGGAGTTGCACTTCAATTTGCACAGTCTTTATGGGCAAGGGGTTGCAGAAACCACTTATAAATGTCAAGTAGAATAATTATTATTTGAGCGGTCTTGCCCAGATCGCGTGATAGGAAAGTAGCGAGATTTGACAAAGGAAATCCCTTGGCAAATAAAAATGTAGTCGGCCAACTATCGGAAAATTTTCAAATAGGGGCTGTTTTTATTACGTAATGATACTTGAGTCCTATAATAAAAAAACACTGTTAAACTCAATAACTTATTGACAATAAGGTCTTTTTCTTTCTCATTTTCACAACAGTGCTGAAAATGTCACGAATGTCACGAATGTCACGAATGTCACGAGTGTCAGGAATGTCACGAGTGTCAGGAATGTCACGAGTGTCACGAATGTCACGAAAATATGTTTCTTTTTCGTGACATTTTTCGTGACAGTCGTGACTTTCGTGACATTCGTGACATTTTCAGTACTGACCCATTTTCATTTTTGATTTCATCATCCCGACCCCCCAAAAAGCTATTCCGAAGGACAACCAACCCTTGACGCGTGCGAACTCGCCACAGGAGAGCGATGCATGGTCGTTTCTCGATCCACCTTCCCAGGAGCCCAGCGAACAGTCGGCCACTGGCTTGGCGACAATAAATCTCAATGGGATCATATCAAGGGTCAAATGATCGGCTCGATGGACTTTTCACTTTACGGCTTTTCCTACACGGGACCTGACATTTGCGGCTTCTTCAATAATGCGACTGAGCAACTTTGCTCAAGATGGACTCAATTGGGCGCGTTTTTCCCATACTCAAGGTAAGTTAACAAAATATAAAAATTCGACTTTATAAATTTTTTAGAAATCACAATGGTAATTACAACCGACAACAAGACCCGGCCGTTTGGGGCGAGGAATTCGCCGCAATGACCCGAGACATCCTTCAGCATCGATACCGCCTGCTTCCTTATTTGTATACTCTTATGTACCGAGCTTCCGTCTTCGGCGATACTGTCATCCGGCCCCTGTTTGCGAACTGGCCAGAGGACAAGACAACGCATACTATCGATGAACAGATGATGTGGGCCGATGGAATTTTGATCTCGCCCGTTTTGACTGAAGGAAATTGTGAGGAAAAAACATCTTAATTTCGGGTTGGCGTCAGGAGCCGACAAAAAATTTCGACAAAATTTGCGTGGGCGGCTGATTGGCTGATGATTGGCCGATGTGCCAAATCCGGGCTTCTGATTGGTTAAAATTTCGACAAATTTTGCGTGGAAATTTTCAACCAATCAGAAGCCTAGATTCGGAAAACCGGCCAATCACCAGCCGAGTAGCCGCCCACGCAAATTTTGTCGAAATTTGTTTGTCGGTTCCAGACACCATCCCTTTCTTTCATGTATTCAATATTATTATCCGCCTACAAATTTTTCCTTACGCCCAAAAGATACAACCACTGTGGATGCTTATTTCCCCGAAGACCGCTGGTTCGACTACTACACTGGAAACGAGGTCGAAACCGGCAACCAAAAACTCGACGCCCCACTCGACTTCATCCCCATTCATCTCCGAGGAGGCAAGATCATCCCCACTCAGCATCCACTCGATGCGCTCACGACGATGGATTCGCGAATGAACCCGCTTGGCCTGATCGTTTCTTTGGACAAGGAGTTCTCTGCTTCGGGCGAGCTTTACTGGGACCAGGGAACAAATATTGACCCGATCGGAACGGAGCAGTACAGGAAAAGTGCGAACTTAACTTCGAATCATTTTTGCGTAATCTTATGTAAGAATTCTAGCGCCAAAAATATGAAGCGAGAAACTAAAAGCTAGCACAAGAAAAGTCTCATTACCTTCTCCTTCGCTGACAACACCCTGACATCCACTGTTGAAAAATCTGCAATCAAGGAAGAAACCCACAAAAACTCTGGCGAAACCATCACGCTCCAGTTTGAGTCGCTCGAAATCAACGGCCTTGAAGAAAGCATCAGTGGAATCTCGATCGACTACAATGGTGCCATTGCTGGCATTGACTCCATGTCCTGGAGACAAGAAACCAACGGACGATTGATTGTTTCCGCCGAACTGGAACTTCCAATGACTGAAGAGTTCAAAATTATCTTCACTCCCGGAGAGAATCCAGAATGGCCAGACTCGACTGAATCCCCAGTAACGACCGGATCGCCAGAACCGACTGAATCACCAGAAGTGACCACTACTTCTAGCGCTGCTGCTATTTCTGCTTGTTTCTTGACTTTTGTACTCGCCCTTTTCAATCACTGACCAATGAAGATAAAATAAATAGCTCTGCGCGTTTTCATTTTTTGAACAATCAAGCATATACAAAGTCTATACAGTATTTATTCACGATTTTTCATACGAAAAATTCTGGTCGATAAATGACTCCTTCATCAAAAACGCAAGACCCGGCGACTTGTAAATTTTCAAACTCGCAGCAAAATCTATTCGCGTTGTACATCTGAAAAGCTCCATCTCTTTTCTTGCAGCAAAATTCCTCCTTGTCTCCGTCGCCTCCATCGCCATCTCCGGGGCCTCTGAAGCATTGTGAAAGATCGAAATTGTTGTTTGGAGCTTGGAGTTCCCCATTTGAATCTTGAAATTCAAGGAGCGCCGTAGCGACCTGTTTGTCGCATTCACAAATTTCCTCCTCCAAGCCGCCCATTTCTAGAAATTTCATTTAAAAAAGATACGCACATTGAGCCTACCGCAGATTTCATTCGCCGGCCAAATGTAATCCGGAACTTGTGTCCTTCCATCAAACTCCACGCTCATCGCACATCTGATGCATTTCTTCCATCTGAGCAAGACCTTGTCCACTCCATCAACTGGTCTTCCCGATCCGAGGCCAAAAGGATCATTCGGGAATCCGCGACTGGCGCAACCATATGCTCCGAGAAGATCATTTACGACATCTGGCTGAAAATTCGCTCCAAGTCGCCAGGCGATCCAGTCGAAAAGTGGTGGAATTCCGGAAGCAGGAGGAGCTGTAGAAATCGAGCTTGTCGTTGAAGATATTGAGTTTGAGGTTGAAGATATTGTATTGGATGTCGAGGAGATAATTCCTGTTGTAGATAAAAAAGGATATTGAAAATTAAAACTAGAATTTTTATCCGAAACAAGAATTTTTGTGGAAATGAAATATCCTCTCATGAAATTGCTGGAATCGTTGTTGACGATGCACCTCCTGTTGTTGACGAAGCACTGCCAGTAGTGGAGGAGACAACCGCCGAAGTCGAAGAAACAGCTCCCGGTGACGTTGTAGAAGCTATTCCAGGAGAAGTTGTTGACCCCATTTCTGGCGGAGCTGCTGTCGTTGAAGGGGCTGGTTGAGAGCTTGAAGACATCGATATCGTTGTTGTTGTCACGACTTCATCACAGTTCGCTCCTGTAAAACCATCGGGACAGACGCAATTGAAATTCGGCCCATCGAGCGAACAGACAAACGGATCGGCGCATGGATTCGACGAGCAGGGCGTTATTTCGCAATCTTCTCCAGAATAACCGTCTTGACAGGAACATTCGTAATCCGTCGTTCTAGGCGGAGTTGTACATGTTCCATTATGTTGGCAAGGCTCATCTGTTGTACAAGGCGTTATTTCACAGTGAACACCTTCCAAGCCCCAGCAAAGGCAAAAATAACCCGCTGGCGGATCGTTGACGCAAATGCCCCCGTGCAGACAAGGACCAGCGATTGCTTTATTACCAAGAATAAACTCTTCTTGAAATCTCTCGTCGAGCATCATTGTTTCTGATCGGTAGCGATTTGTAGAGTCTGGGATTTCCATTCCTCCGGCAATGTGGCAAGGTGTGATTTCGCATCGATCTTTATGAGGATTCTTAATCGACTAATTCGGTCTTATTTTAGCCCCTGTTTCAGGAACGGACAGAAAAATCCCGACAAATTTGCGTTGAAATTTTCAACCAATCAGAAGCCTGAATTCGGCTTACCGACCAATCAGAAGCCGTAAAGCCGCCCACGCAATATTTGGTCGGTTCCTGATGCCACCCCTAATTTTTGCCCCTTTTTCTATCTTAGTTAAGAATCCCTGCCTCCATAATATCCTTCAGTACAGGCGCAATCAAAAGTCACGTTATTCACCGTACAAATTCCATCGTTTCTACACGGAACCCAAGAACACGGATCTTCGTCGCAAAGTTCTCCCGTCCAATCTCCAAAGCAGTCGCATTCAAAATTCTCATTGCAAGTTCCATTTTTGCAGTCAGGACAAACTTCGAAGCCTTCCACTCCGAAAATCAACGTCCCAGAAGTCGAGTACCGTGGTTTTCCATCTTAAGAGCGCCCAACTTAAGAGCGTTTTTGCCAATATTTTTCATATTTTGTCATCTGCAAAAAATCCAACTTTAGAGCGTTTTTGTTCATTTTTAATTTATAATCATAATAATGTTTATTTAAACCTTAAAAATTCATTTAAAAAGATGTTTTTTCCGCTTCTTTTTAGGTATAATCATTGACCCTGATTAAAGAATCGTAAAAATTTTACCATAAATGGGCAAAAATGACCTCGGATACATTGTAAGAGTTTTGAAAAGAGCTCATTTTATGCATTATTAGCGTCATTTTTTCCCACTGTTATCCTAGTTTGATCATAAATTTTCCAACTTAAGAGCGTTTTGGTCAACCCTTGTCATCCGAAAAACGCTCTAAAGATGGAAAACGACTGTAATACGACGTTGTTGTGCTGGTCTCTTCTGTTGAGTAATAACTCGTCATATAGTTCTCTTCATCGTTGCCGTATCCGTAAGGGTATTGGTAAGGATTTGCTCTGACAAGAAGTGGAAAGAGTAGTAAAAAGAAATAAATCATTGACTTGAACTTTTATTTGCAAGTTTTTGATTTTCTAAGTGATAATTTCGCCGCGCAAAAGAGCATATTCTGGTTTTGATATTTGAAAAGAATTTTTGATTTTCTTTTGCTGAAGTTGACAAAAAATGAACTTTGCCAAAATTAAAAAGGAAAAAAAAATAAAATGAAAAAAAAACAAATTTTTTTGCAGAAATTTTTTTATTTCTCAAAAATGTGCAAAATATTACAAACATTAGTAATTACAGCAACAAACAAAAATACAGTAAGTAAATCAGTAACGATAGTCGTAAAATTCCGGCGATCTTCGTTCCATAAGATGCATTTGTCGCCGGAAAGATCGGACATTTCCGAGTCTTCGTTGATGAATCTCATCCATGACAACTCGGCGGAGACCAGGTTCTTGAAATTTTTCGCGGAGAAATTGCATGTTTCGCGAGTTTAAACTTGTGTTTCTCATTTCATTCCAGTTTCGGCTCAGCGATCTGGCTGCGGTTAGATTGAAGACAACGAAGAGAATTCTCAAAAAAATCATTTTCGCTTTTTCTATTTTCTTTTGCTTTATTTTATTTTGTGCTTGTTTTGAGCTTTTGGCCAGCGGAAAGTTGTATTTATTCAAAAACCCGTTTAATTATGCATTTTACAGCGATCCCAAAGAATTAACGAAAAGCTACGTCGGATTCAGGTGCGAAAGTTTTCCATTGTTTCGGTTGTACGGTTCGTGACGTTTCGACGTTTCAGGAAATGAAAAAAAAAACTCAACCAGATGTTTCTTTAGCTTTTTCCTGAAGGATTTCCTATGCGGAGAGCTACGTTTTGAAAACGTCGAATTTTTTAATGACGACGTAAAAAGTCAATTTGGAACAAACTTGCTACAAACCAAAATTAAAAAAATATTGCATCAATGATGACAAACTCGCCCTTTTTCAGTCAAAAAAAAAGTTTGCTGTGTAAATTTCTTCATCGAAGTCAAAATAAATTCAGTACTGATTAGTTGCTCAGTCAGGATTATCGCTTTCGGCCTAATGGCTGCTCGTTGGTCAGGCTCAGAGAGAGATAATGGCGTGGGAATTTAGCTTGATCAAGGTATTTTTCAACTTTTTCAGCCAAAATTTATCTGAAAATTCAAGTCGACGAAAAATGTCGCATTTGAGCAACGCTGCGAAAGAGTCCAGAAATGCTCTCCTTCTTCGATTCAGACTGGATCGCAGCTTACCTACTTGCCGAAAAGTATTCAAGAGGTGATTCAAGATGCTATGGAAGTAACGATGCAGTGGTACGTCGTCGACTGCCCGAAAAGCAAAAGAGAAGCGCTTGATGACCGCTGGGAGAAACTAATCGGCATTCTTGTCAGCTCAAACAACGAAATCGGGCAAAAAATATCCGGCCTGTGCGTAAAGGTCTCAGAAGGATTCGACCGCCTGGCGATTTTGATGGACAAAGTCAGCAAAGAACAACGAGCAGAGAGGTTCAACGAGTTGAGCAAAATGCTCGATCTTTCGAAGGAGGAAAATTTCACGATGAAGACTTTTGCGAATTTCATGAAAATTCACGGCTGGGAAATTGTTGACAACGCGACCCAAAAAGCGCAAGTGAAGAAAGACCCGAAACAATGGAGAATTCTAGCGCTGGAAAGAAATGAATCCTGGAGTCAAAAACTCAAGTCGTATAAAAATTCTGACATCAAGGAACACATCGTTTCCGCGGATTTATCACTTGGGGTTTTTCTGATAAATGGAGATGGAGAGCCGAATGATTCTTCCTGGTTCAAGAAAATCGCCATTCTAGAGGCTGAAAACGACAGTGAAAAGATTCATCAAATTTTGAAAATTTTCGTCGACAAAATTTCTCCAAACGATTTCCACTCGATCACCGCAATGAGGGTGCAGACTTTGGATGCCAAAACATTCATCGGACTTTACATCACAAAACAGCTCGTCGAAACTGACATTGAAGAAAGTCTCGATCGAATTCTCCGCCCTTTCAAACGAATCCTCTCTCCAATCATCTTCGCCGAGAAATTTCCTAAATTTCAGGCAATACGAAAAATCGCTGAACTCCCGTCTTCGCTGAACAACAGTCCCAAGATGCCGGAAAAGTACAAAAAGCTCCACAGCGCGCTGTCGGAGGCAAACATGTCGCAAAGCTTGCCTAATTCAAAGAGCTCGAAAATTCAGGATCAGCTTCAGAGAATAAGGGACAGAAGCGCGACTCCACCGATTTCGAGGGTTGAACAACCGCAAGTGGAGATAACAGGATCGGATTTTCGATCCGCGTCAGCTTTTTTTTTCTGAGAAACTTTATAAATCCGCTGAAAAGGCCCTTCCCCAACTACCATCCGAAGGCACAAATCAAGTCAAGACCACGAGCGACAAAAATCCCTCCGCGCATCTGGTGTCGATTTTTCATCAAGAGAAGAAACCGAAGTCTTTGTCGCTCAACTTCTCTCCCAAAACGAAAGCCTCAAGAAACAGCTCTCCGAAGAAGCTGCTCAAATGCCGAAAACGCCCTTGAAACAGAGTCAATCGCTACCTCAGTCTTCTATGTCTCCGAGGGAGCAAAGAAATTTGGAACATAAGATCAGCGAATTGAAAAACTCGCTGGTGAGGGCGGAAAAAGATCATCAAGAATCCGTCAGAAAACTGAATCAGCAAATAAAGGAGAAAGAAGAAATGATGAAAAAGAAAGCAGAAGAAATCAAGGGACTCAGGAAAGATTGAAAATGATCATTCTTCTAGGGCTTTTTCTGTCGAGCAATTTTTTCAATCCAATTCTAGGTCACATGCTGGCGAAACAAATCTTCTCCGACTAGAAGAAAAAAGAGCCCTTGAAGCAGAAAATGTTCGCCTCAAGTAAATTCCTCGTGTTTCTTATTAATTAAAATCTCTAGCGATGACAATTTGTACTTCATCGACATCATCGAAAAACGAGAAAAGACGATCGAAGAGCTCAAAGAAGCGAAGAACAAAGTGGACGAGGAATTGAAAAAAACGAACATGAGCAAAACAATTCTCGAATCTGGTAAAAAATTCAAAATTTTGGAGTCAACAGCGATTTTTTAGAAATTCAGGATGCAAAAAAACAGCATGAAGAAAAAATAGTGACGCTCAAAGACGTTCTCGGAAAATTCTTCGATCACAATTTGAAGGAAGTCCAAAGCGTAGAGCGAAAGAAGATTCTCCTTCACTTAGCTTTGGATAAAAAGCTTGTGAGCACGGAGGAAACTCTTCCTGGGCTTGAAGAACAAGAAGAACTCAAACTTGAAATCGAAAAACTGAAGGTCCAGGTCATTGAAGCACAGGTAAGACTTTCCAGGAGAGCATCCATTTCACCTCTTTTTCCAAGGCAAATAGCGAAGCCATGTCGAGTTGCAACATCTGCCAAAACTATTTCGACAACGAAAATCACAAAATGTCGTGTTTGACTCCCTGCGGCCACTGCATGTGCTATTCCTGCGCGCTGCAAATGATGCCCTACGGATTCGTCGGAACCTGCCCGCACTGCAGGAAGGAGTTCAGAAAACAAGAGATCCGACCTCTTTTCTTTGCATAAAAATTCATTTTTCAAGGAATAAAATTTGCCTCAAAATCTTCAATTTTCTCATTCTTTTATTCGATATTTTGATCAATCGAGCTCAGTAACTGTCGCTTCTTCTTGAAAAATCGGCTCAGGTTTTGGCAGAATGGTCCTGAAAGGCTGTTGCATTCTTCGTAAATCATCAATTGTAACTCCATTCGATCTGGTAAATTTGCCATAGTTCGTTTTTCGAATTTCCGACAGTCGGAAAGAAATAACTAAAAAACGGATTTTGTGTTCAATTTTCAAGAAAACTTACTTTGGCGAACTTCAGTCGATCTGCAGTTGTACCAGCGTTGTGCTTCTTTGACGATCATTTCAATCTTCTCAGAGTTGACATCCCTAAAAAGAAAAATTAACAAAAAGAAAAGAAAATCTGCTCTTTACTTGATGCTCTCTACCAGCAGCTCTTCTTTCGCAAAAACGATGTTCATCAATCTCCGGATAACTTTCGACAGATTCAACCCTCGATCAATCTCTTTTCAGAAAATAAATTCAGCTGAAAAAATTTTAACGATTACCTTCCCGTATTGCCATCAGTCTCGTAAGAGAACCGTTTTTGTAAACCAACGCTTCGAGCGAACTCGGACTCGGAATATCAATTGAAATAAATTGAGAAGACCCGTCGAATTCGTTTTTTATCTCCTCAATTTTTTCTTCCCCCGTGTAGAACTCATCAGCAGGTTCTTCTTTTACGATAATCTCTTCCGTCTCTTCTGGTAAACTTTTCGACGCGCTTCTTTCCGAAGTTTTTTGACCTTTTGAAATCTGATCGTATTTTCTAAAAAGGAGAATTGAAAAAATGAGGCTTTAGTTCAAAATTACCTTTTCTTTGACTCCTTCTTCTTTTCTGTTTTCTCGTTATTTTTCCACTGTATAAAAGCCTAAACTCAAGTTTAGCCATTTGTAACACTGGTCCCTCTCTTACAGTGACTCCCGTCTCCGTAATCTCGATTTTCCAACAAGGGGGAACGACTCCATCCCATTTGAAAATGGACTGGTCTGCTAGGTGCTTTATAAAATCCTTTGGAATCGCGGTCTTTTTCTCTCCAGCATCCATTTTTCGTTCAAAAACTTGACCTTCCTGCGTTTTTATCTCCGGTGGAATGAACAACGTGAGGAAGAGGCTAGTGATTGGTTGGTGGGGCCTAAGAAGAGGAGACCCATACTTCCAGATTGGCCGATTCTCGAAAAATGTTTCATTTTTGCAAGAAAATTGGCGAAGAGGTTTTCACAATGTTCGAGTTTATTAATAATAAGACAGTCTGTTTCTAGAATTACAGTAATTCCAATTGAGAAGTGATTTTGACGGGTCATTTCGTAAACGACAAGAATTGGTTTTTCAGGGCGTTTTGGTCATGCATCCTTCATCACGAAGACAGGAGAGACGTTTGGAAAGGCCAGGTCCGATCGTGACTCCGGAAGTAGAATTGTATTCGAATCCGCGTTTTCGTTTCGCCGAGCCTGTGACGCCCGAAATCATCTCGTTGATTGAGCTGAATTCGGAGCGGCGATTCGGACTTTGGTTCATTAAAAACTCGATCTTCTTGCCGACGTGGATTGATTCCGGAGTGAGTGGGATTCGCTTGCACTAGAAAATGATTAGGATGAAAATGGGGGAAGGGGAATGATTTTTAACCTTTGCGGGAGAGATGAAAATCGAGTGTTTGGAACTCAATCGCCTGGGAGAAGAAGTGCTCATCTGAACAAAATCGGTCAGAAAAATGGTCAGGGTTGAAAAACTCACCGGTAGGGGAGAAAGAGGAACTCCAGCATTAAATCCAGCTTGCCTGATCAGCTCCGTCGTAAAAGTCCCGACAAGAGGGGCAAAAACGGCGTTGTAGAACTTTGTAATGTCGCCCCGCTCAGAGGTTTTGGCCGAAGTTGAGGCGGTTCTGACGCTGCGATAGACCTAGAAAGGGATGAAAAGGAGTGTTTTAAGAGGAGTGTTTTACCCTGCTCTTGCATTGAGGCTGGTATCGGTAGGCAGAGAGGATTTCCATGAACTTGATTTCGTTTCGAGGGTTGGACACTTTGCCGACGATGTAGACGCAGCAGAGGATGATCTGAGTAAACGATTAATACAAGAAGAGCGGCAACAAATCACCTGGTCGACATGTCGATCGAGAAACATTTCTCGTTTCTTCGTCAGACAGTGTTCGAAAACGTTAAAAATGTATTCGGTAATTTGCTTTGAAAGCCGCAGCCGCCTAAAATGAATCATAATTTCACCCTCTCATTTTCAACTAACTGTGAAATGTGTTGGATTCTTCTTGTAACGAGGAGGTAAATTTTTCTGTAGAAAAGATGCATCGAGCTGCGCTTTGAGACTATCTTCGCGTCAACCACTTTGTCCACTAAATTTTCAACAGGACTTTCTTTTGGGTCATCGCTCTTCGGATCATCGTCGAATAATTTCCGTTTGACGGAGGCTTTGATCGGCGAGGCAAAGGAATGGCGAAGCGACATCGGCTGAGCTGGAGAATTTGGCAGTTCTTGGGCGTTACGGCGGGTCGTGACATCGGCGCAGGGAGGGACGAAATCGTCGTTTTTCCAAAGAGGCGATTTGTTTTCCCAGCTTAGTTCTTCGAGAATGCGCTCTTCGATCACAGCCAGATGCTTGACCACGTCTCTTGGTAGACGAAGACCTTGAAAAAAAACGACTTTAGAAAGCCTGGAGAGGACAAAGAACTCGGTTAACCCTAACCCATGTAAAAACCTGAGTCAGGGTACTGAAAGAGATATTTTCAAAGGAAGCCGCGATTCGCGAAGTTTGTTTAGGACCCTGACTCAGGTTTCTACACAAGTTTCTGAGCCAGCGCTAGGAGGAAGAGACTTACCGGAACCAAGATCAGCTCTCAAAATCAGCTCGATGACCTTGTAAAACTCAATTGGCACAAACAGGTTTTTTTTAAGTGTGCCCGAGAATTTTCGTAACTTTTGATTGGGTTAATATAATTACAATCTGTAACTTGCAGAATGTAGCCGGGTATTAGTTTACTAATTTGAGATAGAGTTGGTGTCAATATCTATTCTGGTGGTGGAGTTATGACGTCATAAAAATGCATTATAAAAGGGGGCCTTCAACTTTGTGACGTCATAACTCCACCTCCACTGGTGCAAATAACACCAAAAGCTTATTTAACACACTACAGACCCTCCCCAACAAGGTCCAAAAGAGAGAATTGAAATATCTCGACTCTAACACCTTCAAAAACGCTCCACCATTTTTGGGCACACTTAAAAAAAACCTGTTACAATACTCAACGCCTTCAGAATCAGCTGAAAGTTGTCGTGCGAGGAGTAGCTCCAAAGAATAATCTCCACCGAAACAGCTAGAATCGACTTGACAACGATTGGTTTTTGAAGAAGGAAGCCCAAATCGCTGATTTTACCAAGACGGTCTCGTTCTTCCAAAAGAATGGACTCGAGGAATCGCCAAAAGAGCTTCTTCGAGATTTCCAATCGCTCGCTCAGGGACTTGTCTTTCTTCAGCTTCTCTAGAATGGTCTCGGAGGAGGTGTTAACCAGATCTCGAAGGGAGCGAGAGTGATCTTTCTCGCATGAAGCAAGGAGGGACATCAAGCTCGCTAAAGAAAAATGTCATTTTCTCAAAGAAAACGAAGAAAAGTTACCTGGAATATCAGAGGAGTCATTCTCTTTGATGAGATCTTTGATTTGCTGGACAGCACGGGTATGCTGAGAGATGGGAGAGGCAGTGCTTTGCGTTTTCGCCAAATATCGACGATTTGTCAGAGGTGTTTTCGCTCCAAAAGCAATTGTTGATGAATTTTCGCCAAATGTCTAAAAAGAGGGTTTGATTTTTTTAATAATGATAGAGTTACCGAGTCTAAAGAGCCAGAATTCCCGGCAGAGCCCTTGACCGGTGTGCCCAAGCTCGAGTCTGCGTCTGGCTTCAAAAAGATCTGCTCATCAAAGTCCCCTCGGAGAAGAACAAACTCAGAGTACATGTTCTTCAGTTCTCTGATATTCGTTTCGTAGAACTGCCCCTCGAAAGCGCCACAGATTCCCTCCTCGCTATTCGCGTCGTAGGAAAACTTCGCCTGTTCGTAGAGCTGCGCGATGTGCGGCTCGAACCAGTGGTCGTTGATGCACTGCGCGTCGGCGAGAAGACCTTGGTGCCGTTCGGAGAGTTTTTCGAGGATGGAGATTTCTTCGCCTTCCGGGACGAATTCGTCCTTGATGAAACCTTTCAAATTCGACTGCAAGAAAACATTTCGAAAGACGAAATTGACGGAGGCGAGGAGCAAATGATACGAATTGACCAGATCGCCAGCGACTTTCGGAAATTGACTCTTTGTATGAATGAAGAGCAGCCAGGTGAATTCTTTCAATTGCTCGTGCCCAAGTGGACGTTTTCCTTTTCGTCGGCCGGGAGTGGCGAAGCAGTTTATTCGGAAGACGTCGGTGAAGATTGGCGCGAATTTCTTGTAGATGACGGTTACCACTGAAAAGAAATTGAATTCTGGAATGTCTTCTAAAATTTTTTGCTTACCAGAAAAGTTCTTCTCCAACTGCTCAATTTTCGCGTTGAAAGTTTCGCCCAACTGCGCCATTTCCGACCAGCGTTTGATTTTCTTCATGAAATCAATGAGCGAAATGTTGACTTCGTCGAGCAAGCTCATCAGCGAGATGCAGTTTCCATTGATCTCCCGCCCGTTCATACAGGTATTGACTGTCATTGAACAGGCGGCGAATATTGCACAGCCAGCCCAGACGTCGGAACTGCCTTCGAGAGTGAAGGTTTCGGAAACCGAACTGTAGACTTTCCAAGCGCGTTCTAGAGTCGTCTAGAAATAACGAATTAAGTCTGGGTGTTTGATTCTCTAGCAAGAATCGAGATTCAAAATTATATAAATTGTCTCTATTTTGATAAGAAAGAGGAATCCCCTCATTTCAAGTAACAATTATTTTACTAGAATCAAATTTGAAAACATACCTGATCTAATGCAAGCGTTTGAGCAAGTTCAGTCATTTTATCCGTCGGAGAAAGCTCATCGCCCATTTCCTTCTTTATTTCTCTCATCCTTCTTTCTTTTTTCGCGACTTTGAGCGCTTCGGAGATTCGATTTTTCGACTTTTTTGAAAAGTGGCGCCGAAATCGAGTGAGTAATTTTGCCGCGCGTCAATTGGCTCCAGCGGGACGTCGCGCGGCAAAGTCGAATCTCAAAACGGCAAAATTTCTTCGACTGTTTTATTGAACTTTCTATAACAGCCTGTAACTCACAGGCATTCTATTTTAGCTAGTTTGATAAGAAAAACGAGAAATGATGAATATTTTTTAGAATGTAACGCAGTTTTAATCAAGTGCGCCTGTCTGAATCAATTTTATCAAGAAAATGGTTTTTTATTCGATAAAATTTCATGTCCAGTCTTGAAAATCGCAAATTTCTCCCTAGAAATCTGCAAATTTGGGCCGAAAAATGCATAGAATAGCCAAAAAAGACAATTTTTATAGAAAAAATTTCGAGATTTTAGTATAAATTTCGCATTTGGTGTCAATGATCTGCGTTCAAAGCCTGAGTCAGGGATCCATAAGAGGAAGTCAAAATGCGGCCTTTCGTTCAAGCCTTTTTAGTTGCGCACGCAGGTTTCCGACCCATTTCCACATCTCTCCGACGGAGAGTCTCCGTTTCATAAAAATATCAAAAACCATTATGAAGACACGAAAAACATTTATTGCATCTTCAAACTATTTATTTAAAACTAAGCTAAACGCACGAAAGGGAACACCCTCTCCAAAAAACAATTCTGAATCCGACAATCATGAATCGAAACGGCGGTCACCAGCACTCGCGAAACAACCGACGCTCAAATGGCGGTCCTAATGGCAATGGGGGCCCGTCTCCGTCCAAATGGCAGGAGTTTCGAGCTTCCCACCAGAATCCAGAACATGAAATGAACGAAGGTCGAAAGCCGAATTTTGTTCCTGAAAGCGTCGATTTCATTCCAGGAAAGGGAGATTTCTGAGCAATAAAGACCGAAATTCAAGTTTTTTTCGGAAATGAATCCCTTGCCCAGGACAACGCATGTTCGGAACCGTCGAAAAAATGATGAATTCGTACGGCTTCATCGACGTCCTGGATCGAAAAGGCCGCGTTTTTTTCCACTTTTCCCAGTACAAAAACGGAGGGAACGAGCCATTGCGCGTCCACGACGAGGTCGAGTTCGAAATGATGATCGACGATCGGAACAGTCGCGTCGTCGCTTCCAAAGTTGTCCGGCTTCCTCGAGGAACAATTGAGTACGAAACCCTTTCGCCAGAGAGAATTTGTGGCTACGTCGCTGCGCCGCCTACTAGAGCTCATCCGGGCTCGTTGACCTACTCGACCGGTGGAGAGTACTTCTTCATCCCCTTTTTCTACAACGATGTTGTTCCGGAAACACCGTTGTTCAAAAACGATGAAGTGTCGTTCTTCATTTCCACGAATAAACGGACGAAATCGCTTTCTGCAAAGAAAGTTACTGTTGTCGCGCGATCCCAAGCTCCGAAGCGTTTCAGGGGACGAGTCAGTGGAATGAAGGATTCGTTCGGTTTCATCAAGCGCGCGGAAGTGGCCGTGGAAATTTTCTTTCACTACTCTCAGGTAGCTGCCGATGTTCCAGATCTACGAGTCGGGAACGACGTAGAATTCTCCATCGAGAATCGCAAGGACAAGGAAGTCGCTGTCAACGTCACCCTCCTTCCCGACGGCTCCGTTGTTTTCGACGACATTTCGGAAAAGATCCTTTCTGGTCGATTGTTGACGATTCCAACAAACAAGCGCGATGAAGGCAAAATCGAGTGCACTTCGGACGGCAAAATTTACGCTTTCGCCGAGGCCGATCGAGACGGAAACGCCTACACCGTCCAGGAAAACGACATTGTCCGCTTTTTGATCGCCACTGATCGACGGGATCATTCAAAGCGAGCAGTTTCGATTCAACTGGACATTGACGCCACGAAAGCCGAGAAAAATGAAGAGCGCGAAACTGGAATCGTCGCGGCGGTGAAAGTTCTTGAAGGATTCGGATTCATCAAGTGCCAATCGCGCGAAAATCGCATGTTCTTTCACTGCTCGGAAATAATCGACGCTCAGCACAGGGTGAAAATGTCCGACGAGGTTGAATTTACGGTCATGCCGGACACGATGGTCAACTCGAAGCCGCGGCTACACGCGACCAGGATCAAGATCTTGCCAAAGGGATCTGTCCATTTTAGCACTCTATCTAATCAGGTAATCATGCAATGGATTGTAGTCCAAGGGGGCATCTCTATTGACAATTTACTTTGGTAGTTCAACGATTTTAAGCTCTACAACGGCGTCATCTGCGGCGAGAAGTCGATCAAGTCGGACGCTTTTCCCGACCTCGTCGAAATGGAAGAAGCTCTTGACGATCTCGCAGAAGGCGAAAGCGTTGCCTTCCGAATCCGCGAGAACAAACGAACGGACGAGCGAATCGCCGTCGAAGTTCGCTCGCTCAAGCGCGATCTTCGCTACGGAACTGTCATTCTCAAGAAGGACAGCTACGGCTTCATCGAATCCGAAGATCACTGCAAGGAGATTTTCTTCCACTACTCGGAAATCGTTTCTGAATCGGACCAGATTACTCTTGGCAGCACGGTCGAGTACTCGGAGAATTTGAAGGACAACAAACTTTGCGCCGTCGGAATCAAGATTTCCAAGAAGGACTTGTCTGCTGATGAAGATGTCTCGCAACAGGTAAAAAGCTTTTACTCAAAGAATTCTCTTTCATTCCCCCCTCGCGCAGGTCCTCAGCGGAATCGTCAAACAAGAGCTCAAATCATCAAACCAATCATACGGTGGCGTCATCGACATCACCGAGGCAGAAGGAACAACTGAACTTTCCTCCGTTCGATTTTCCTCGACGAGCATGGCGGAAAAGCGCACTTTCAACCAAAATGATCCGGTTTGCTTCCAGCTGGCGACGCACAAGAAAACTGGCGACATTCGAGCTGTGAATGTTCAATGTAAGATTTTATGCATTTTAAAGTTTATCGTCTTGTTTCAGTAAAACGGAAGCAGCAACAATCTACAATCGAGTCGATCAAGGGCGAGTACGGATTCATCAACTACCAGGAAGGCGAAGGAGACAGGTAAAGATCCGAATAAGATATAAGGTCGATTCCTTTCTTTAGCAAGAACGTCTTCTTCCACGCAACAAATCTCATTGATGTGGCAATCGCAGACTTGGGCGTCGGTGATGTCGTGAAATTCTCTGTGATTCACAACAAACGCTCTGGAAACACCTGCGCTGCTGGAATTCGTCTTATCAAAAAAGCGCCAAAGACGGAAATCACTGCGAAAGAGCCGGTGTCGAAGGACTCGCCCGCCCGGCCGGAGAGACTGAAGATGAAGCTCTCTAGAAACTCGGAGAGCAAGGAAGATAGTCCGGTTATTCGGCAGCCAAAGGTACTCTCTTCGAGTTTTGACCGAATCCGCTTAAAAATGTACTAGGGCCCTGAGGCAGCTGGAGTCAAGGGCTTTGGTCGCCAGATGTCTCGAAGTACCACAGAAGAAAATGGAACAGGAGAGCCAGACTCTGTAAGAAAAAATATCTTTCTTGAATTATTTCTTATCACTTATTTCTAGGTGGCGGAGATGGAAACTCTGGAGACAGAAGAAGTCGTTTCCTGCGAAATTGAAGCAGCCGCTGTTTCTGAAGAATGATTTTTTTAAAAGAAACTTCCCCTCAGATTCAAATTTATCTGATGAATCAATTCTAGTTTATTCCTAGTTAAATTTCAAATTGTCCAACTTTGCCGTCCCGAATTTCCAACACAACACTTTTTTTAATAAGAACGCGTTACACTCTGTTAGACCCCAAGTTTAGATGCAATTGAACTGTGACAAGAATTTTCCGCTTTGGATTTTGCCTTGTTTGCCTATTATTTTATCTACTTTTTTCTACAGCTCTTTTCTCTAAGTATTTCTCTCTGTCCTCGTTCACTTAAATAAAAATCCTTGCGAATGTTGCAAATTTTTAAAATAACGCCTGTAAAAAGAGCCCTTTTTTCTGTCTATAATATCTAGTCTCTAGATCCTCTCTAGATCCTTGTCTATATGATGTTCAAGAACTTGGTTCTGTTGTCAAATTAGGCTTGGGTTGGTTAGGGTTAGTTAAGGGTTAGGGTTTGGTTCGTCAATAAGGATAGTTTCCAGTTTTAGATTTGTACGTTAAATATGAACTTTTTGGCTTTTGTAGAAGGCTTTTTATTTCAAAATGAATTTTTTCTGTTGAAAAAGTTGCCCATTCAAATTTATTTAAACTTTTAGTTTTTTAAGAAGAGCATATTGTAGTACTGTAAAGAGCCTTTTCACGCCCTCTTCATTATTTTGTTTTTCATGTTTTCAACCGGAAATGAAAAGGAATGTTTAAAGATATTCGTCCATCGCCAAGAGTAAACTAAACTTGATAAACCGAGAAAATTTCAAAAAAAGACAAAAAAAGAGATTTTTATCAGAACTTCGCCTTGGTCCAAAGTGACCTTTTTGGTGGGGTCAGACATTTCAGTTTCGCCGCGCAAATTTCACCGCGGTCATTCAATGTCAATATTTTGCCAGTTGAAAGTAAACAGCAGTTATTTGCGTTTACAGACTTAGAATGATCTGGCATCGATCACTGCTTGCCTGCCCTAAGGGTGGCGGAGTCCCACTCTTTTCTACTGACTCAGTGAGGCTGATTTCCATTCATTACGGAGAAAGAGAAAACCATCACCGGTCAATGACCGCGCAGAATTTTCCGTCGATTCGTCAAACGCGATCTTATTTGAATTCCATTTCGGAAATTAAATAGAGAAAAGGGCGATTCCGAAAAATTAAGAATTTTTGAAAGTCATTTTTTTTTTAATTTTTTAATCAATAAAGTCATACAATTTGCAATTAGACAAAACTGATTAAAATTAAATTTTAAATTTGATAAATAGAAATTATTTTTTATCAAATTATCCTGATTTTTCCTCGAAATGATTGCAATTTTAGCAAATTTTTGATATTATTTGTCTCAGATTCCGACATCTGTTAAAATGGCGACGCTTTTGAGAAGTCTCTCTTTATTGATGTTTGAAATTTCCCTGGGTGGGTAGTTGTCACGCAAATGTTTTCTCTGATGACGACTTTATGTTTACAAGAAACAAGTCAATCACCGATGCGATCTCCGCTGCTCGCTTCTGATTCTGGCAATTAAATGACTTGATTATTCTGACATTATGTTTTTTCGTAAAACCAAGAGAAAAATAGTTTTCATTAAAAACTTCTTCGGAAATCGTGATTCATTTCATGGCTCCCGCCTCTAGGCTTATTTTTAACAAATGCGCCACGTAATTTCTTTTTATTTTTCAGAGAAAATTGTGATTAATTTGATCGAACTCGGAAATCAACGAAGAAAAGGAAGCTTTTCTGGGCGTGGCCTTCTATTTTCAACACTCCTTTTTTATCAGGTAAATTTGAACTCAGAAATACAAGCGATTTTTTCGATGGAAAGACGCTTCAAATTTTTGTTTGAAAATAAAGCTGAAAGGCTTTGAAATTAGACAAGAAAGCCTTTTAGGAAAGATAAGGTTAGTTAAGGTTAAACCACTTTTCAAGTGAATCAATTTTGAATACATAAAAGTGCGTATTTTGCGCGGGGCGTGCGAGCAATAAGTCGTCCTGCGCCTACGAGGTGATTGTCGAGTTTTGTACGCTGATAAATCTCGCGTCTAAAAATGAACCTCACTGGACCACGCTGCTCTGTTCGATCGATCGCCTCGCGTGGCAAGGGCTAACTCAGAACTTTACCTTCAGAGTTTGAACAGACCAGAGACAACGAGGACTCCCCCCTTTACCCTGTTTTATCAGAAAAAAGCTTGATCGTTTTTGACAAATTTTGACGGTTCATTAAGCTTAACAGGCCTGATTATAACTTCTACGTGAGCCAAAAACACCCCATAATCTAAAATGAATTTATCTTGAAACAGAAACTGCTCTAGTAAAGGATAAAAGAGTAACAGTCTGGGCTCCGCGACCTGACTTGAGTCACACTCAATGCACTTCGGCCAGGTGAAAAACCATGGTCTTACATCAGGTCGAATGCTGAGCCCAGAACCTGTTTTAAAAGCTGAGTTAGGTCCCATAACTTATGGTCCATTTTAGCCATCGGTTAAGCGATCCGATAATAAGCCGTATCGCGAAGACACAAAGAGGCTTCGCCAGAATATTATAAATATTGCGATTATTATCCTGAAGAAGCCGCTTCGCGGCTTTTTTTAAATAAGCCACAAGACAGCACTAAAGAACAGCCCTTTCGGAACTCAGAGCCAGGCTTCTACAATTGAAGAATCTTCATAAACAGATTTAGAAAATAACGGTCAGGTTATAATGGAACAGATAAGGGATGTGATCGCTTCATTTAATTGGCTTAACTTAAGCGTATTGGGCAAACAAGTCAACTGATAAGATAGTAGCCTGGACTCGGAGTTCTAAAATCGCCAGCGGCCATTAATGGAATCGAACTTGGCAGACTCAGTTGACAGAGTTATTTTAAACAGAGAAAAATAGCGAAAGAGGGAACTTTTTTTAGAGCAGCGGATTCTGTATTGCTTGTTTTATATTGTATTTAATCAGCTTAGATCTTGATCTTTGTCAATAAGAAATGCCTTCAAATTAGCAACTTTTCCAGGAAAGCATTCTTGACGAATTTTTTGAACGAATTTATTTTTCTTATTTTCTTTTATTTCAGATAAAAAGGTGAGATCGCGAAAATATGGAGCGCCAAAGCGTGATAATCAGGAACCCGAATTATCCAGAGAAAGAGAGGAAGAGACCAGAACCGGTTCAGCGAAGCTCTGTCATCTGCCAACGGCCTGATCCAGTTACCAGAGTCAGGAATGTGATTTATCAATTTATAGATCGAAAGTTGCCAGTGTCCATTTTCTTCCTTTTTACCTCGTCGCGGCCACTAATGGAGATTACTGAGTGTGGTAGGCTTCCTACAGGCCTGCTACTAGCGACATTGAATCAACCCATCCATCAGTAATGCCTTTCGCCCGGACGAGGCTGTTTTGAACTTTAGTGAATTGAACTCTGCGCCCGAGCTAAGCGTCTCAAAATGAAACAGTTATTGATCACCAGAAAGCCCGTATGAAATCCCGGGAAACTTCAAGCAAAAACATGCAGAACCAAGGATGGACAATGATGAGCTAAGGGACATCTACCTTACTTTGCCACAGCAGAAGCTTTTCAAAGGGTTAGTTTCCTATTCAGAGTTCTGCAGCATGTATGATGGTCTCTCCTATTTATGGCCTTGTTAAAAGCCGCGTAGATGGAGCTGGTTATCTTGCATTCAGCACAGTTTGAGCCTGTTCATATTTGACCCACAAATTCAGCATGCTGAATTTCGCGTCAAACATTTCCGACGGGGAAGACGTCCAATTCATCAACTCTTCCATTCCGACAACTTCGAAATCGCCCGTCATGCATCGTCCGACAGCAAGCCCGATCCGAAGGCCGCCGATAACTTCTGCTTCCATCGCCGGGCCGCCGATGCAGCATCCACGGCTTCCAGTTCCGAACATCGAAAAACCGACAAAGAAGAAAGGACCTGTTCCGAAACTCTACGATGGCGAATGTTGTAAAAGTAAAAAATACGGAAAAGAAGCTCGGTTTGGTTATTTTTTTTAGTTTGCGGCGATAAAGCAAGCGGATTTCACTACAATGTCGTGTCCTGCGAGGGCTGCAAGGGGTTTTACAGAAGGGCGATTCTTGAAACAAGGGCTTTTAGGTGCAAAGGGACGAAAGTCGGCGAGTGTATGAAGGATTGGTTACATTGAATTTTGATAAATCTTATCGACGTTTTCGAGGTTTATGCATTTTTGACTAAATTCAAATTTTCGGGGCTCTAGAGTTTGGAATAGAAGTGTAACCCTTTACAGGACTATTTTCTCAGCCGAAAGTGTAAATATTGCCGCTTCGATGCTTGCCAAAAGGGTGGTATGGCGAAGCACTATCTTCAGAACAAAAACGTAAATTTATCAACGCTGAATGGGCGTGTTATATTGTATATATACAATTATTACAATTATCCATCCTTGCAGCAAATTTAAAGATAAATTTATACTTTTTAGACAAATGGAAAGTATCCGGCGCTTAATCCTGGAGAAGAAGAGCTCTTAAAAATGGTCATAAATTTTTGGGGCTTGTATCGCGACGGAGTATGTAAGTAAAATGTTCTAGGGATAGGGGAGATCCTAGATAGGGGGCAACGAATCAACGAATAACCGCCGATTTCAGCGGCGGCAATGGATAAAAAGCCACCAGAAATGCCAAAAACGATGCGTCCCATCAAAAAGACGAATCCATTTGTGGTCATTCAGAAAAAACTGCGGGAGATATCAATAAACGTTCCTGAGTATCCGGAAGAAGATTCTATCGCCGCGATGCGATCAAGAATGGGCCATCTTATCGCTCTCTCGCAGCTTCATTTGGTACAATCGCCGAATAATTTTACACAATTAACAATAACACTAGCAATTTATCTTGTTGCTGGTCGAAGCGATGCCGTTTTACAACGATTTGACGGAAGCAACGCGGAAATTGATAACCAAGGAGTCGATTGTCGAGATTATCTTTCTCCGAGCTGCTTGTTGCGCAGGAGGAAACGGAGGTAATTATGATGTTATTCTTCTTCGCCCTCAAAATCTACTGTTCTTGTTTTACGAGGTCGTTTTGACATCTAATAACTCTAGTGGCGAGCGTGAACGGCGCACGATATTCCGCCGAATCGCTCCAGAAGTCCGGTGTTTCCTCAAGTTGTATTTCAATTCTGAGCGACTTTATCAAATGGGTCAGAAAACTGCAACTCCTGGAAGAAGAATTCGCGATCATCGTGGTTCTGATTCTCATGTCACCTGATAGAGGAGTCGCAAAAGATGTGGACAGATGTCAATTGTACCGGGTTCAGGAGATCTTCAGGGACATTTTGAGGCAGTTCGTTGTGGATAAATTCCCTGAGACGGCGACGAAGCGAATAGGAAAGGATTCAACTTTTGAAGAAATTGCGCTTTTATTTGGTTGCATTCAATTTTGAATCCAAACTAAAGCTAAAATCGTTGATCTACTGATGAAACTACGAATGATATCCGGTAATCTGAACAAACAATTCCATTCGGCTGCGAAGGGATGATCCTCCACCCAACTGTTCCTGCTTCATTTTCGCCTCGTAATAAAAATTTTGGAAGAAAAAAAACGAAGAGGAGAAAACGTTTTGTCACGTGAAAATGATGTCCTTTGTGCATTCATATTTTATTGCCTGTTCAATTGCCTTCTTTGTTTCTACTTCAACGATGCTCGATTGATTTTTTCGCCCAGACTTTTTGAACTTTCAAACTTTGAAAAGAAATATAACGAAGATGTTCTTGAACTTTATTATTTGATTTTAAACAATGAATTCAAATTTTTACAGACGCGCATGATAGTTAGCTTTTCTTAGCTACGATTAATCTTTTTTGGGTAGTTCTTAGTAAGGCTAAGCCCAGGTAAAATTTTATTATTTTTTTGTGATTTCGTGTAATTCAATTCTGATCTTGAAATCGGTGCTATTATCTTTCTAGTGAACCCAGGCAGGAACTCTTTTGCAGCTGTGATATCGGACTCTTATCGAATTTCCCCCGTAACAAGGTTAATGCTTCTCTTTCTCAAGACACAGTAGATTCGAGAAACTTTGTCGCTTCAACCCACCACCAAGTTAATCTGAATTTCTTAGCCTTGAGTTCAGTCAATCATACTTATTTTTAATTTCATTTCATTTATTTAGCAGAAGCTTTTCGCCATTTCGGCTTCTTAAGTGCTTTTTTGATGCAAAGACAGAACTTGAGTTTTGCATAAAAAAGCACTGAATAGGCCGAAATGGCGAAAAGCTTCTGCTAAATAAATGAAATGTTATTTTTAATTGATCTCTTTAATGGAATATAATTTCTGTACTCTAAAACTGCAAAACAAATGTATGTATTCATAATTTCCAAGTTATGACGAATATATTTTATTCAGAAATCGGGCCAGCACGATCTACAGTTTCGTTCCGTCTTTGACAAGCTGATTTGATAAGTAAGAATTATCCGGGGTTCTTACCAGTGGTGAAGACTCGTTGCTAAAGAGTCTTAGCTTGGGGCCTTGCCGCGGAATCCTTACTAGTTAAAACCCCCGTAACTGGTTCTGTTTTTTGGACCCCGTCCTGTTTCCTATCTTGTGTGCTAAAGTTAACTTGAGTTTTTAGTAAAAACTTTTTTACATCAATGATTAAGCGGAACAACGTCTTCGCTATTTATACACAAAATATTGCCTGTTTAACACTAAATACAAAAGGAAATGAACCCTTGATAAGACTTTGGCATCTTAGGACCACGGGCAGCGAAGCTGCAGAGGCTCTGCAGTAGAGCTGTTCACCACAATTTTCAAGGAACCCCGTTTTTCCTCCGTCAATTAAAATTTTCAAAAAAATGACATATTTTTTTGGCTCTGAAAAGGTCTGTATGTTAAATTTTCAATAAAGGCCCAAAATCGTTGTTTTTCCGGAAATCCGATAATTTGATGGCTTAATTGCAGCCATGGTCTGATCAGGATTCGTTCTGCAAAGTATTTTTTCCAAAAATGAACGGAAGTAATTAGGGATTACGGTACTCACAGATGACATCAGCGAACAAGTGTTGGAGCTTTCAAGCGGGCGCAAGCGAGCGAGCTGCGTTGTTATCATTTTCAGCGCTTGTTATGAAAGCTTTATCTCGCTTTTTTCAAGTCTTGGGGCGATTTAATCCGACACCTATTTTTAATTTGAGAGCGGCTATTGATTGGAGAGAAATATATCTGCGAAAATTGACAAATTAACGTTAAACACAGTGTTTAACGAGATAAATAGAAACAGTTAAGAACAAATGTGCGTTTTTATTGGACGTTTCTAAAGGTCGCATATTTTACTCTTGGCACTTGAGTGTACGCTTCAAAGCTAAAAGCTTGACTTTGTCATCGCTTATTATGAGCGCTTTTCGAATCCCTTGACAAATTTGGTAAGAAAAAGAACCTGTTTAAACGAGCTGAAATGTCCTTGCCCGGTGACAATACGGAAGGCTGCAATGGAATCCGCACTGCGAAGGCACATCCCTGATCCTAGGGATTACACACAGGATACCCTTCAAAAAGGACTCCTAGGGATCGGAGGATACCCTTCAGAAATGAATCATGGGTATAAGACCCGGGGTACCTTTTCACAATCATATCCTGGGGACAAAAGCGTCGAAAAAAGCTTGTTTTAGAACCATTATTTTAGGACCTTAGAGCAGAGCCTCCCATGGTTTAAGGCGCACTCCAACGCCTCTTATTTAAGAATATCGATTTTCATCCAAAGCGTGAGTCGGGATCGGTGCCGATTCTTTTTTCAAGAGTATTATTCATTTTCAATCGCGAAAAAATGATGAATAACGCAGGTTTCTAGCAATTGCTCTTCAATTTCCGCCTTGATCGGGAAATACCGTCTAAGAAATTACCAAAGTTGCAATATGTATAGGGTTAAGCTGTCGAGTACGTCTTTTTTGGCGTGCGCGGCTTCCTTCCCTGTCTGCTTTGGCTTGGAGAGTTTCGCCAGCTCAGAAGACAAATGAGCAGTCATGCTCGCAACGAACCCGTGCCTATTTGCTAACACTCTTTTCTTAGGTCGGCAAATTGTAACTGTCAAATATTTGCGGAGTCTCTTTTATCTCAAACGAACCATCGTGCAGCAGACGAAAGAAACTTGAAGCAGAGACACGCGCTAGGAAATTTCATGTCAGCGATTGTCAAGAAAACGGGAAGGATCGGGTTTAAGCGCGGTCATTTTCTTTTGCTTATTGAAACCTAACACTGAAAAGCTGCGATTCTAAATGAATATTTGTTGCTTGCCTCCTGCGGCTTCTCTATTTATGACAGCAATTTTACTTTGTTAGCAATCAGTATCGCAGTTTTAGACTTTCAATCAGCGATTCACTTTTGTAAAGCATCATTTCTTTTGGAATTATAAAATCGTAATAATATTACTTTGAAGTTTAGACTCTGAAGTTCAGAGCTGAACTCGAGACTGAAAGTCTCGAAGTCAGAAATTATATATTCACGCATTAGTAACTTGCACCTCGAAAAAATCGATTCAATGATTTCTACGTACGTAGCTCTTTATAACGATATCCATCAGGGCTGTTGATTTCGAGTCCTTCAAAATTACCCGCAATTTTTCTCCGGGTAATCCGCAGATTTTTCAACGGGTTACTCGCGCGGAGAGTCTTTTCGCGGGCTACCCGCCCTACGATTTTTCTCCTTGCCGCCGAGTAGCTCGCGATAATCCGCTACCCTTTTACCCGTTTCTACTCGCGCGGCGGGTTACTCGAAATTACCCGTACCCCTTTTTTCCTCACGCTAAGCGACAAACTGCAATCAATTTTCAAATTTCAAATTCAAAATTTTCGAAAATTTTTTACTGATTTTTTACCGTTCTTAAAAAAAATTAAATAAACAGACAATTTATTTGCGAATAAATTTATAAGTAAATTTCGCAGTGTAAATTCGCCAGTGGAAAAATCGACTCTTTTTGCACTTGGTCTGGAGGGATGAAATTTTGTGGACATATTTCTTCAGACCTCAAGGTCCTTATCAAGAAAAAAATCAAAAAAAAAATCGAAAAATTAAGGGTATAGGTGTCAAAAAATCGATTTTTTATTTTTGCAAAATTAAGCCTGATCAAACATAGAAGACCCTTTTATAAGTCGAATAATGATTTTATAATCAAGGAACTTGGCTGAGACGGCCCGAAGGGCCGTCAAGCCCCTTAATTTAATAATCAAGGAACTGCGCTGAGACGGCCCGAAGGGTCGGCAAGCCCGTTAAATTAAATAATCAAGGAACTGGGCTGAGACGGCCCGAAGGGCCGTCAAGCCCCTTAATTTAATAATCAAGGAACTGCGCTGAGACGGCCCGAAGGGCCGTCAAGCCCCTTAAATTTAATAATCAAGGAACTGGGCTGAGACGGCCCGAAGGGCCGGCAAGCCCCTTAAATTTAATAATCAAGGAACTGGGCTGAGACGGCCCGAAGGGCCGTCAAGCCCCTTAAATTTAATAATCAAGGAACTGGGCTGAGACGGCCCGAAGGGCCGGCAAGCCCCTTAAATTTAATAATCAAGGAACTGGGCTGAGACGGCCCGAAGGGCCGTCAAGCCCCTTAAATTTAATAATCAAGGAACTGGGCTGAGACGGCCCGAAGGGCCGTCAAGCCCCTTAAATTTAATAATCAAGGAACTGGGCTGAGACGGCCCGAAGGGCCGGCAAGCCCGTTAAATTAAATAATCAAGGAACTGGGCTGAGACGGCCCGAAGGGCCGTCAAGCCCCTTAATTTAATAATCAAGGAACTGCGCTGAGACGGCCCGAAGGGTCGGCAAGCCCGTTAAATTAAATAATCAAGGAACTGGGCTGAGACGGCCCGAAGGGCCGGCAAGCCCCTTAAATTTAATAATCAAGGAACTGGGCTGAGACGGCCCGAAGGGCCGTCAAGCCCCTTAAATTTAATAATCAAGGAACTGGGCTGAGACGGCCCGAAGGGCCGGCAAGCCCCTTAAATTTAATAATCAAGGAACTGGGCTGAGACGGCCCGAAGGGCCGTCAAGCCCCTTAAATTTAATAATCAAGGAACTGGGCTGAGACGGCCCGAAGGGCCGGCAAGCCCGTTAAATTAAATAATCAAGGAACTGGGCTGAGACGGCCCGAAGGGCCGTCAAGCCCCTTAATTTAATAATCAAGGATCTGCGCTGAGACGGCCCGAAGGGCCGGCAAGCCCCTTAAATTTAATAATCAAGGAACTGGGCTGAGACGGCCCGAAGGGCCGTCAAGCCCCTTAAATTTAATAATCAAGGAACTGGGCTGAGACGGCCCGAAGGGCCGGCAAGCCCCTTAAATTTAATAATCAAGGAACTGGGCTGAGACGGCCCGAAGGGCCGGCAAGCCCGTTAAATTAAATAATCAAGGAACTGGGCTGAGACGGCCCGAAGGGCCGTCAAGCCCCTTAATTTAATAATCAAGGAACTGCGCTGAGACGGCCCGAAGGGCCGTCAAGCCCCTTAAATTTAATAATCAAGGAACTGGGCTGAGACGGCCCGAAGGGCCGTCAAGCCCCTTAAATTTAATAATCAAGGAACTGGGCTGAGACGGCCCGAAGGGCCGTCAAGCCCCTTAAATTAAATAATCAAGGAACTGGGCGATTTTTTTGCAAAAATGGAAATTTTCAAATTGGCATTATTTCCGTTACCGGACATTACCGGACGAGGTTACAATTTATTTATAGAGAGCATCGTCCGCACTTTCTTTTGGTGGTCTTGATTCGGTTTTGGGTCGTTGTGGTTTCGAGTTATTCGACCAAATGTCCGTTACTCGTGGTATTTTCCGAAAAAAATCGCTATTCTACCATCAAAAATCAAAAATTTTTAATTTTCGCTAATTTTTATAGGATCCCCTTTAATTTACGTTTATGGTCACTTGGTTTCAGCGTTTGTTGAAAACAACACGTTTCCGGCCGAAATCCCACCAGCGCAACCCCATCCATTCACAATCGTAGCGTATGTTTTCGCGAGTAATCCGGGATTCTCCGCTACCCTTCTCTCCGATTCTACTCGCGTCGCGGGCTACTCGCGATTTTCCTTTACTCATTTACCCGATTTACACGCACGGGTCTCCGCGCGAGTTACCCGTGTAAAAAACTGCGGGTTACCCGGAGAAAAATAGCGGGTAATTTCAAAGGACTCGAAATCAACAGCCATGATATCCATTTTGAAAATGTAATCAGCATATATGATTCGCTTTATCGATCAAAACGAAAAACCTGGCATATACTATTTGAGCTCAAAGGACGCGCGCTCGATGACTGTTATTCTCTGGCGTCAGATCTTTATATTTTGCCAGGCGTCCTTGCGCTCGCTTGAAAAAGTTGAAATCAAAAAGTATGCTTCGAATACCCGAGAAAAGACAAAAGAAGCTCTTTGCAGGTGAAAAATGCTCAATCTGCGACCGAGAAGCGAACGGAATCAAGTACAATGCGATCAGTTGCGATTCGTGTCGCGTTTTCTTCAGAAGGATCGTCCTTTCTATGGAGAAAAGTAACAAGACGCAGCTCCCGTGCATCCGGGTAACCTTTGATTAATGCAAACTCGTGTCCATTTCTTCATTTATCGATTCAGAACAAAATGTCGAGCTCGTTATTTGGTCTTACAGCGAGAGAAGCATCACTCAAATGCCAACACTGTCGTTTCCTCGCCTGCACGAATGCGGGAATGTGCGCAGAATACGTACAAGGTAACGATCTTCAAAATCAGATCGAGTTCTGACCATCTGATTTTACCCTATTTCGCCTTTCAAAAACCCGTTCAGGAACTGCTGCGTTTCGAAACAAGAAGCGGAAAAGGGAAAGCTCCGGGGCCTCTCAAACGGGTGCAAGCTCACCAAATCGCGCACGCTTGACTTCGTCCGAAAACTCCCCCGCCGCCAGTCCTCAAAGTTCAAATATCTTCGACTTCAGCAGCAGAAGCCCGAGTCAGCAAGAGCAGACTTCAAATGCTCTTTATCGCGTTCCACCGGTGGTGCAAACATTTTATACAGAATCGAGCGAGGTGCGAAGGCTCCTGTCATTCTGGGAAGATTACGCGGGCATACGAGCAACGAGCGAAATGAGCATGAACAGATTTCAGCAGAATATAAACGGGCGCTTTTTTGGCCCACCAAGTCCGCCTCAAGTCGCTACTATTTGCAGTCAGGTACGACTTAGATCTCCTTTCCGCTGTCGATATCTTGATATATCCAAAGTTCCCAAGATTTTGACATCTTTGGTCATTTATGAATATCTTGAATCCATTATGGAATACTATTAGTATTCGAAAAATGTCTACATTTTTACAGAGAAAAATTCATCAAACATCAAAAGATCGATTTCAATGAAACTAGTTAGCATCTGTGGACATTTTTCGACACTTATCTATCGTTTCGCTCCGCCTATCAAGGGTTGAAATCTCCGTCTGAACCCGCTTGAGATTGAGACTTTAGGTTCAGTGAACCTGAAGCGCTACGGTCCTTTTATATTATTAAATTATCAACTGACTGCTAGACTGATCGTCCCGTTCTACGGCAGAAAGTAAGCGGCCTTCTCTTCTCCCATCTGGAAAAAGTCATGGGTTTCGTTGAATCGCTTCCATTCGTGACGCAATTCTTTCCGGACAAACGCCAACGCGATCGAATCACAATGAGCTGTTTTGTCGAACTCATCGTTTTACGTTGGGCGGCGACGACGAATGCCCGTGCATCGATGATCACCGGCATAGACGGAGCCAACTTCAGTGTTGCCAAAACGGTCAGCGTCGGAAACAACTGGGGCGCCAAGTTCAAGGAGTATTTTCTGCTCTCTCAAAGGTCTGTTTTTGTTGAAAAATAGATTCAATATGAAAATTCAGAATTCGAGCGATCGGGGTCGACCAAGTCGATTTGAGCCTCATGGCCGGGCTCGTCCTCCTCACCTCCGATCGCCACGACGACCTCGACCAGCAACAACGAAACGCCTTATCATACGTTCAAGAGCTTTTTGCCACTGTGCTCTACCAAAAAGCGAGCCAAGCGGGTCAATCGTCCAAAGTCCACAAAATCTTTTCCATCCTCTCTTCGATGCGCTCAAAAATCAAAAGTGTAAGATCTCGAATACATTTCAAGACGGACTCGCCAATCTGTGTAGAAAACCTGAGTCAGGGTTCCGAAAGAATCTTAAAAAAGCGACGGGTATTTTCGAAAACGCTGTTTTGGGACCCTGACTAAGTTTTTCTACGCAGGTTGTTGGGCTCTAATTTTGAGAATGGCTCATTTTCTTCAGTTTTGAAAAAGTAATTTTAGCTTGACTTGACGCCTGTCTCCGGCTTTGAACGACGAATCATGCTTACTGACGATCTGACAATTAAAGGTTTGATTTTTACCTCGAATTATATGTTTTCTTAAATAAATTTTTCAGTTTGACAATTCCTGAACTGTTGATGACGCAAAAAAAAGGAAGAAAAATCTTTCAAATCGAATATTTCGTCTGCTGTTAATTACAGCCTGTTATATTTATAAATTCAAAAATATTGTTCTTATTCTGACTCAACAATTATTTGTTTATTTAATAATTGATAAAAAGATAGTTGAATCGTCGGTGCTTAAAATTGTTTCATCCATACCTTGTCTTCTTATTGTTACTATATATTTTTCGCATCATGTTGGTTTTCTCAGAAGTTGACTTTTGAACATCATTATTTATAAGTAAAATAGTTCAACCTTAATTCAAGATTTACCACTTTTATGACGAGACGAATTCGAAGTATCTATAAAAGGATGATAAAATAGAAAGTTGAGCATAAGAAGAAACTTTTAATTTTATTAATTTAAAAGTCTCCTTTGAACCTATCTAACCGGTTATATTTATGGTGGGGTCTACCCTCAAAACATGATCAATATTCAGAAATAAGAAGCAAGGTCAATATCTCAAAGATATAATATTTAAACGGTGCTCTTTCCATCCTTTTCGTTTTTTGTTTTTCTTCTTTCTTTTCTCCTCCCAATCTCTTCAAGCTTTCATTCGAGTGTTACAGTGTGTGTACTAGTTCCTCAAGTTTATTTCAATCATCCATATTTAATTTCCTGAATTATGAATTATTGCCAGAAATGCTAAAAATACCATCATTCTCAATGTTAATTTTCATCTGATTGATTTACTGTTTTCTTGCTTTGGTTGAATAAATTTATGATCAATTTAGAAAAAAAAACACAAATAAAAAAAAAGAAGAAAATTGATAAAAAAATTTCTTCTTTTATTGAAATTTCAAATTTTTATTTGCAATTTTTATGCAGGTTCGATATTAAAATTAATTTCCAGCGCTTACAAGTCTTCAACTAAGCCTAATAAGTAGGGGAAATCACTAATAATTGAGCTTTTTTTTGGGCTTAGTAGGGTAGGCATATAATACAGTTTTAGATAGCCCAAAAGCTGGGGATCATTTTGACTATTGATACTGGGGGGTGATCTCGTACCCTGAGGGCATTTAGGTACCTCCAAAGTCCCAAAATCTGGCCAACTTCGGAAATTTGAATTTTTAAGTGCCTGGAGTGGCCTTTCAGAGCCAGCGACTATGCTAGAATTGTAGCCCAGGCTCTGACGGTCATTTTGAGATATAGAAAAGTACTGAGACCCCCGGGTTCCTGAGGAGCTAGAGGCCCTTGAAGTTGGGGAACTCGACAAAAAATGAGTACTTTTTCACAAAAGTACACTATTTGTGTCACAAATGCCTCCCAAAGACTTTTTATCTATGCTTCTTCATGAAAATATGTTCGAGAAAATATTTGGGGTCATCCGAGGTCACTCTAGGTCAGAAATTATGAAAAATTTAGAAAAACTGTCATTAGTGACCCGATCTGACCTCAGATGACCCCAAATGATTTCTCGAACATATTTTCATGAAGAAGCATAGATAAAAAGTCTTTGGGAGGCATTTGTGACACAAATAGTGTACTTTTTGTGAAAAAGTACTCATTTTTTGTCGAGTTCCCCAACTTCAAGGGCCTCTAGCTCCTCAGGAACCCGGGGGTCTCAGTACTTTTCTATATCTCAAAATGACCGTCAGAGCCTGGGCTACAATTCTAGCATAGTCGCTGGCTCTGAAAGGCCACTCCAGGCACTTAAAAATTCAAATTTCCGAAGTTGGCCAGATTTTGGGACTTTGGAGGTACCTAAATGCCCTCAGGGTACGAGATCACCCCCAGTATCAATAGTCAAAATGATCCCCAGCTTTTGGGCTATCTAAAACTGTATTATATGCCTACCCTACTAAGCCCAAAAAAGCTCAATTATTAGTGATTTCCCTACTTATTAGGCTTAGTTGAAGACTTGTAAGCGCTGGAAATTAATTTTAATATCGAACCTGCATAAAAATTGCAAATAAAAATTTGAAATTTCAATAAAAGAAGAAATTTTTTATCAATTTTCTTCTTTTTTATTTGTGTTTTTCTAAATTGATCATAAATTTATTCAACCAAAGCAAGAAAACAGTAAATCAATCAGATGAAATGCTAAAAATACCATCATTCTCAATGTTAATTTTCATCTGATTGATTTACTGTTTTCTTGCTTTGGTTGAATAAATTTATGATCAATTTAGAAAAAACACAAATAAAAAAAGAAGAAAATTGATAAAAATTTCTTCTTTTATTGAAATTTCAAATTTTTATTTGCAATTTTTATGCAGGTTCGATATTAAAATTAATTTCCAGCGCTTACAAGTCTTCAACTAAGCCTAATAAGTAGGGAAATCACTAATAATTGAGCTTTTTTGGGCTTAGTAGGGTAGGCATATAATACAGTTTTAGATAGCCCAAAAGCTGGGGATCATTTTGACTATTGATACTGGGGGTGATCTCGTACCCTGAGGGCATTTAGGTACCTCCAAAGTCCCAAAATCTGGCCAACTTCGGAAATTTGAATTTTTAAGTGCCTGGAGTGGCCTTTCAGAGCCAGCGACTATGCTAGAATTGTAGCCCAGGCTCTGACGGTCATTTTGAGATATAGAAAAGTACTGAGACCCCCGGGTTCCTGAGGAGCTAGAGGCCCTTGAAGTTGGGGAACTCGACAAAAATGAGTACTTTTTCACAAAAGTACACTATTTGTGTCACAAATGCCTCCCAAAGACTTTTTATCTATGCTTCTTCATGAAAATATGTTCGAGAAATCATTTGGGGTCATCTGAGGTCAGATCGGGTCACTAATGACAGTTTTTCTAAATTTTTCATAATTTCTGACCTAGAGTGACCTCGGATGACCCCAAATATTTTCTCGAACATATTTTCATGAAGAAGCATAGATAAAAAGTCTTTGGGAGGCATTTGTGACACAAATAGTGTACTTTTGTGAAAAAGTACTCATTTTTTGTCGAGTTCCCCAACTTCAAGGGCCTCTAGCTCCTCAGGAACCCGGGGGTCTCAGTACTTTTCTATATCTCAAAATGACCGTCAGAGCCTGGGCTACAATTCTAGCATAGTCGCTGGCTCTGAAAGGCCACTCCAGGCACTTAAAAATTCAAATTTCCGAAGTTGGCCAGATTTTGGGACTTTGGAGGTACCTAAATGCCCTCAGGGTACGAGATCACCCCCCAGTATCAATAGTCAAAATGATCCCCAGCTTCTGGGCTATCTAAAACTGTATTATATGCCTACCCTACTAAGCCCAAAAAAAAGCTCAATTATTAGTGATTTCCCCTACTTATTAGGCTTAGTTGAAGACTTGTAAGCGCTGGAAATTAATTTTAATATCGAACCTGCATAAAAATTGCAAATAAAAATTTGAAATTTCAATAAAAGAAGAAATTTTTTTATCAATTTTCTTCTTTTTTTTTATTTGTGTTTTTTTTTCTAAATTGATCATAAATTTATTCAACCAAAGCAAGAAAACAGTAAATCAATCAGATGAAATGCTAAAAATACCATCATTCTCAATGTTAATTTTCATCTGATTGATTTACTGTTTTCTTGCTTTGGTTGAATAAATTTATGATCAATTTGATCAAAACTGTATTATATGCCTACCCTACTAAGCCCAAAAAAAAGCTCAATTATTAGTGATTTCCCCTACTAATAAGATTTCTTCTCCGCGCAGCTGCTAGAATTGAATAGCTAGAATCGAATAAATTTGGCGGTGGAAATACAATTTCAAGTTTGTTCGCGCTCGGTTGCGCTTATCCGCAAAATGCACCTGTTGATAACACCGGCCGCACTACGCCATCCACGCTTACAAATACACTGATAACAAAATAATGTACAAAAAGTAACCGCAACAGTATGTCACCTGCTTCCTTTGGTTTTCAAAACTCTTGCGCGCTGGGAACGCGCCGTAAAAAGTTAAAACTTGGCTGCTGATTGTTTCAGAAAAATATATTTATTATTCCATTTATTATTCGATCCTTATTTTTGGTTATTATTGAGAAATTTCGCGGTTTTGAAAAACTTCTGAAATCAACACCTTCAAAGGGTAAAAATGTAATTATTCATGACGCGGAGGATCACGTCGTTATTTCAGCTGGTGGCGCTCATCACGTTTTGGAGGTGGCGCGGCGCCATCTCATTTTTTTTTCTTGCGCTTCTTTTTTTACACCTTCGAGCAATCTTTATTTTTACGCGATTATTTTTGTTTTGGCGTTCAATTTCTTCCCAGAGAATAAGAAAAATATCAAGAATTTGAAAGATCGACAAAGCTGCGGCAGAAAAAGCAAGAGAGCACCTTCTGTCAGATTGCGCCAATATTTGAGAAAACTGGTTGCGAGATAAATTTCCCGGCTGATGAATTACGACTGATTTAATATACACGCGCTTCTGTATTTCGCCGAGAAGGACAGAGAAGATAGAAGAATGAAGATAAGATGGAGTGTGATATTGAACATAGCGCTTGCAACCCTGCAAACTGCGAGCAGATACAAACGGCAGCACAGTCAACTTGCCAGTAGGAATCATGGTTCGTAAAGTCAATATTTGACGGCGGAAGTCAGTGTTGGAAAACCCGCAACATTTCCCGCGGGCGCGGGCGGGCGCGGGGGCCGATTTCAAAATTTTCCGCGGGTGCGGGCGGGCGCGGGGGCCAATTCCAAAATTTCCTGCGGGTCCGGGCGGGCGCGGGGGCCAACTCAAAAATTTCGTGCGGGTCCGGGCGGGCGCGGGCGGGGGCCCCGCAGATTTTCGCGCCCGCGGGCGCCCGGGGGGTGGAGGGCGCCCGTAACCCTCGCGTCCGCAAGCCCCGCGAGTTCAGAAATCAGCAAATAAAAAAAATAATTTTTGATAAAAACCATAATAGAGTTATAAACTAAGATAATTTGAATTTTTCAAACGATGGGTGTGGGTGGGGTTGGGGACAAAACTGAGATTGATCAACTAAGAGTTCCCAGCCATTGTCAAGCCCCTTAAATTCAAGAATCATGGAACAGGGCTGAGACGGCCCGAAGTGCCGTCAAGCCCCTTAAATTCAAAATCATGGAACAGGGCTGAGACGGCCCGAAGGGCCGTCAAGCCCTTAAATTCAAAAATCATGGAACAGGGCTGAGACGGCCCGAAGGGCCGTCAAGCCCTTAAATTCAAAATCATGGAACAGGGCTGAGACGGCCCGAAGGGCCGTCAAGCCCCTTAAATTCAAAATCATGGAACAGGGCTGAGACGGCCCGAAGGGCCGTCAAGCCCTTAAATTCAAAATCATGGAACAGGGCTGAGACGGCCCGAAGGGCCGTCAAGCCCTTAAATTCAAAATCATGGAACAGGGCTGAGACGGCCCGAAGGGCCGTCAAGCCCTTAAATTCAAAATCATGGAACAGGGCTGAGACGGCCCGAAGGGCCGTCAAGCCCTTAAATTCACAAATCATGGAACAGGGCTGAGACGGCCCGAAGGGCCGTCAAGCCCCTTAAATTCAAAAATCATGGAACAGGGCTGAGACGGCCGGAAGGGCCGTCAAGCCCCTTAAATTCAAAATCATGGAACAGGGCTGAGACGGCCCGAAGGGCCGTCAAGCCCCTTAAATTCAAAAATCATGGAACAGGGCTGAGACGGCCCGAAGGGCCGTCAAGCCCTTAAATTCAAAATCATGGAACAGGGCTGAGACGGCCCGAAGGGCCGTCAAGCCCTTAAATTCAAAAATCATGGAACAGGGCTGAGACGGCCCGAAGGGCCGTCAAGCCCCTTAAATTCAAAAATCATGGAACAGGGCTGAGACGGCCCGAAGGGCCGTCAAGCCCTTAAATTCAAAATCATGGAACAGGGCTGAGACGGCCCGAAGGGCCGTCAAGCCCTTAAATTCAAAAATCATGGAACAGGGCTGAGACGGCCCGAAGGGCCGTCAAGCCCCTTAAATTCAAAAATCATGGAACAGGGCTGAGACGGCCCGAAGGCGGAAAAAATCGCGATTTTCACGCTTAGTACTATTTATACCCATTTTTACATGGGCAAACATTTCGGGTTAAGATGTTTGTTAAGAGATAGTGTGATACATCAAAATGATTCTCAGAAAGCTGGGAATATATGGCACAAAAACTTTTTAACGCCCATTTTTCTCTTTTCTTCCATTTTGGTCACTAGACTGGGATGGACACTAGGTTCATGTTCGAGTTTAGGTTTCGGGCTCTGTTTTGGTTTGGGTTAAGCTTTGGTTTCGGGCATTCTATTGATCAAACGATGGCATTAAAATCCATGTGCCATACATGCCACAATTGTCGTCGGCGGGTGAAATTCCGGTTTGTCGTTGTAAGGTTAACATGCCATGAGACCTGTGATAAAGAGAGGGGAATCGGCCATTTGGCCGTCAAGCTCAATTTAAATTCAAGGCGAGGGCAGGGAATGATAACAACGCCCGGGGGCCCCGGGCGGCTGAAAAAAATTTGTACGGGCGCGGGCGGGCGCGGGGGCCAAATCAGAAATTTTTTGCGGTCGCGGGCGGGCGCGGGGGCCAGATCCGAAATTTTTTGCGGGTACGGGGGGCGCGGGCGCCCGCAGCCCCCGCCCGCCGCCCCCGCGGGGTTCGCGGGCGGGTTTTTTCCAACACTGGCGGAAGTGAACTTGATGATTTGGGGATTTTCGAAATGACAGTTTTTCTGATACACCTCATTGTCAAAAAAACTTTCGATTCTTCCGTTCTTTTTTTCGTTTCTTCTATCGATTCTTCCCTAAAAAGATTCAATGATCGCAATTTTTCTTCGAGAAATTTTTTTGAAAAAACTGAAAATAATTCATCAAATTTATGAATTTTATTTTTTGATCCGTAAACTCAAAAAAAATTGATCATTTTTTTCTTTTCTTAGCTCAATTACTAACCCTAACCCTAAGTCTTCTTCTTTTTCTGACTCTTACTCCCTTACCCTAACTCTGGCAAACCCTAACCTAACCCTAACCTTAATTCATCAAACTAATAAATGAGATAATGAATATTCCCCCTGTCTTTTACCAACCCACAAAAGCATGGATACAAAATCAGAAATCGACCTTGGCGAAGTCTCTTGCGCTGAACTTTACACCGGAATTACCTGTTGGTGCAAAAAGAAGCAAGTAGAAGTGAAGAATTTCAAATACGTCGTCATAAGGCGGAAAATCTTTCGCGAGAAAAAATACGGTCGAAACTTGAGTTGCCAAGAATTGGTCAGTATTCAAAGCGATATGAGCAGACTCGGTCGAAGAAAGTTGGGATCAACATCTTTTTATCGTCAATTTCTTCATTTCTCGATTTCTTTTGCCAAGTCATTGAAAGTTGATCCCTTCTAGGAAGATAGATTCGTGCCCTGAAAAGTCGCGCGCTGACTTCAACACGAAATTGAAGCAATTTTTCATGAGCAGAAGCGGTGCAGCTGACATCGGCGCCGCCATTCAACGCCACTTTATCAAGGTCGACACGAACGGCGATCAGCTTGTGTCGAGGAAAGAGATCAAGGTTCGGGTTAAAAGAAGAACTATGCTTATTATGATGGGTTGGAGTCCGGAACCAACAAAAATTTTCGACAAATTTTGCGTCGGCGGTTGCTGATTGGCTGGTTGGCCGAATCCGGGCTTCTGATTGGTTGAAAATTTGGGAAGGTGTCTGGAACCGACAAAAAATTTCGACAAATTTTTCGTGGAAATTTTCAACCAATCAGAAGCCTGGATTCGGCAGACTGGCCGAATAATTTATTTTATTTCATCCCAATGAGCGGCCGAGTAGCCGCCCGCGCAAGATTTGTCGAAATTTTTTGTCGGTTCCAGAAACCTCCCCATTAATAATGCAATCATAATGATTGCTTCATTTAACCCCGTCAAAGTCATTCTTCCATGAGATCAAAAAAGAAGCAACATTCAACTCGCGTGATCGTGGATGTTTCTCAAGTTTGATTTCTCGCTGTGACTTCACAAACGGAGCTTCGAAGAATAAACTGACTCTGGTCGAATGGAGCAAATGCTTCGATCTGCCTACACAGGTTCATTCATTCCTTCTTCTTCAACCATTCATTTCTTCTTTAGCACGCGCCAATTCCTTCATCGGATCCAAAGTCAATCATCGATCTTCTCAAGCAAGGTGAAATCACTCTTCCCCCTCGAGAATCAAAAAAGTCTTCAGTCGACGAACCGGTGACCTCATCTCCAAGCGGAGTCCTCCCGCCAGGAGTGACGCAAATTGTCACCGATCGTCGCTCAGGAAGCGCATCATCTTCCGCCCGGGTACCATGTTTTTCTGAGAAAGAGACGATCGCCAACTGCCATAAAACTCAGAGGACATCCTCCAAAGTATCCGCTCCGAAGTTTACGAATGGCAAACTGGGGGTTTCTTCTAGTGACCAGGAAAGGAATTTGAACTCTTATCTGTTCGAAAAATCTTATTCGAGAAGCCGCTTGCGGCTTCGAGTCAAAAAGAATCGGAGCCGCGGGTAGCGCGGCTTGTCCGTCTTGTTTACTCGAAGCCGCAAGCGGCCTCTTGATTTTCATCCCTTTAAAATCCCGAAAAGCTCTGTCGTCCCCTCCCATCTTGCAGCATTTCCGAGCCCCGACTTTGGCGACGAATTCAGTGCGACGCAGAAAGCAGTCTTTGCTGGTGTGTGGACACAAAAACAGGCGCTGTGGACAACAATTATCGAGTCAACACGCGAAAAGGATCCGCCGGTGGCCTCCGATGTCGGGACGGGTTCGCAAGTTATTAATTACCCTTTTTGTTATTTCTTGTGAATTTGCTTCGAGCCGCCAATCGAGTGATAGTGGAATTTCTGGCTGTTCTGCGAATGTTTTTGAAAATGTTCAGCGAAAATTGGGCGACTTGATGGAGGAGCATTTTCGATCTCATCCGGAGACGCAGGTTTCTGTCATGATGGAGAATAATGAAATCATGGCCAAATATCGACACAAAGGTAATCTAAAAACAAGTTCCTCTTTCTTCATTCGGAATGAATCATTCCATTTTAGGAGCTTTGCCTGCCGCTTGGTTTTTCAGCGTTCACGACACTTCAACCCGTCGGAAAAGAAAAGATACTCGTGGAAAAGACAATGTTTGGCGAAAATCAGAGCAAATGACGGTCAGGCTAAAATTGACGGAAATCCTGAGAAATCTCGAAAGCGCGAAATGCATCCGACGATTTATTTCCTACTGTGATTCGATTGGCACTGGTCGGACTGATCGGAGAATTGGGGTAAAATGGGAATTCAGTGGGGTTTGATTAAAAATTATTTTAGAAAACAGATTTCATCGAATGCATCGATAAAAATCACATCCGCCATGTTGATACTCAAAAAGATTCATCAACTTACCAAGTAAGATGACGCTCATTTTCCCTCATTTTCTGACGAAATCAATTTAAGTTAGTGCATTTTCTGATTACCAATAAGATCGCTGTTTCTGGCCTACCGGCCAATCGAAACCCTGATCCATAATAATTTCTTTTAATTGGTTACCCACCATTTTCGGGTTATACCAATTTATGGAAGTGATTTTATGGATCAGGGTTTTGATTGGTCGGTAGGCCAAATACAGCAATCTTATTGGTTATTAGAAATGCAATTCCATAAATCGGTTTATGGCTCATTTTCACGGTTTTTAGCAATACTTCAACAAACTTCAAGGAAAATCAAGATGATCCAATTCGACATTCCTACTCTTATCAAAAAATATTATTGTTCACTATTTCTATTTAGGATATTTTTTTCGTGGAATAAAAAAAGAGTACTGCCAAGAGTGAAATTGTCGTTTTTGCATATGTTTTACTTCCTCCGTTCAAAGCGTGGCGATCATTCGCCAAAACAGCTTTCATTTTCGATGACATGCTAAAGCAACAGCTCTAATAGAATGAAAACAAGGTGCGAAAATGATTCCCAGAAGCCGTCAATCTCGACCGCCCGGTTAGAACTCGGCGCGCGCTCCGACAAAATAAAATAAATCAGAAATCAATTATAAAGGCCGCTATCGTCTTCATTCGCGATCCAGTTTCGTATTTGAAGCAAAATTTATTCATTTTTTTCTTTGAGAGATAATTTCGAGAAGAGAAAATGAAGAAAAAAGGGCATCAAAAGATATTCCAAATATTCATGCTCATGCTCGGGCTTTTGAGAGAAGCGCAGGCTCAAGGACAGAGTTGCGCTAATTTGACTTGCCCTGGAACTTGTGCTTGTAGATTTATCGAGGTAATGAGGGGTGATAGAAAGGAAATGATTGCCTTTTCAAAATAAAGGGGGGGGCGTCAGGAACCGACAAAAAATTTCGACAATTTTTGCGTGGACGGCTACTCTGCTGATGATTCGCCGGTTAGATGAATCCAAGCTTCTGATTGGTCGAAAACTTCCACGAAAAATTTGTCGAATTTTTCATCGGTACCTGACACTTCCTCAAAAAAGTCGGAGAAAATCCAACATGAAGAACCCGATTTTTGGGTCAGAACTTTTTTATCTTCGTTTAGTTTGATGTAAAATTTGACAATTGCGAGTGCCTCTCCGACCAAAGCCCTTGCGAAGCGCGCCCAACAGAAACCTGCGATGTCGAGGCTCCCTTTTTCTACGAATGTGTTGACATTTTAATCGAAAACTCAGGAGGCGGGGAAGAGTTGGACAAGCTATGCACTTGCCCGCTTGGACGAGCAACGCACTTTGATTTGAGCACTTTTAGCTTGGTTTGCATCGATGTTGATGAGTGTTCTTCTGGGGAGCATAATTGTGGCTCGACGGCGATCTGCGCGAATACCGATGGCTCTTACATTTGTGAGGACATCGACGAGTGCTCCGAAGGAACCCACAACTGCGCCGCCTCCGAGACCTGTCTCAATCACGAAGACGGCTTTTCATGTCAAATAAATGACATGTGCGCGGTCCTTCAGCCTTGCCACGAGCGAGCCACTTGCGAAAACACCGATGACGGGAGCTATATTTGCACATGCGCTTCAGGCTTCGAAGGCGACGGTGAAATAAGCTGCGAGGACATCAACGAGTGTACTAGTGGAGGCTGGCCGAGGGGTGGTTGCGATTGGTGGGGAAATGGTGGAAAGTGCATCAACGAAATTGGTTCTCATCGGTGCGTTTGTCGCAAGGGCTTTACCGGTGATGGAATAAAGTGCGAAGATGTTGATGAATGCGAAGAAGGATCCCATACCTGTGCGACAGACGCTTCTTGCGTCAATACTAAAGGAAGTTTTACTTGCACCTGCAATGTTGGTTTCTCCGGAGATGGAAAATTCTGCACGGATGTTGACGAATGCGCCACTGAAGAAGACAATTGTAGCGAACACGCGATATGTTCCAATTCCGTCGGAAGCTTTTTCTGTTCTTGCAAAAGTGGTTTTTCCGGCGACGGGCAAAACTGCCAAGAAATTGATGAATGTGAGAGCGAGTCGCATGGTTGCTCTGAAAATGCAACTTGCTTGAATCTTCCTGGATCGCATGTTTGCTCTTGTAACGCTGGATTCGAAGGAGATGGAGAGACATGCACGGATATTGATGAGTGTGCTACCGAAGCTCATAACTGTCATGCGAATGCTTCTTGCCTGAATCGACCCGGCGGCTGGGATTGTGCTTGTGATGATGGTTTTCAAGGTGATGGGATGAGCTGTGAAGATGTCGATGAATGTCAAGCTGGAAGTCACAGCTGCTCTCAGAACGCCTTGTGCGTCAATTTAGAGGGAGATCATCATTGCATTTGCAAAACTGGCTATGAAGGTGACGGCAAAACCTGTTCTGATAGAGATGAATGCGCTCTTGGGATTCATAATTGTCACGAAAACGGTGTTTGCTCGAATACCGCAGGGTCGTATTCATGTTCTTGTGCTGCCGGATACGTTGGTGATGGAATCAACTGCGAAGATATTGACGAATGCGCTACTGGTGGACACAATTGTCATGCAGCGGCAAATTGCAATAATAATCTTGGATCTTGGGCGTGTTCTTGCCGTGCTGGATACAGTGGATCTGGGCAGAATTGCTTTGATGTTGACGAGTGCGCCGACGGCAGCCACTATTGCTCCTTAGTTGGCGGAAGTTGTCAAAATACAGATGGCTCATTTTCCTGCTTCTGTGTTGAAGGGTATTCTGACGACGGAGTCAACTGTTCTGATATTGACGAATGCGCAGCAGAAACTGATAATTGTCATGCAAACGCAATCTGCTCGAATACCCAAGGAAGCTATCAGTGCTCGTGCAAAAATGGCTTTGCTGGTGACGGAACTAATTGCGAAGACATTAACGAGTGCGAGAAAGGAACTGATAATTGTGATGAAGACGCAAATTGCGCGAACAGTCTTGGCAGCTTTACTTGCACATGCAACGATGGCTTTTCTGGGGATGGAATCAGCTGTGTTGACAATAACGAGTGCGAGACAAACGAGCATAATTGCCATTCAAATGCAAAATGCACCAATTCTGATGGTTCTTTCCTCTGCGCGTGCAGAAGAGGATTTTCCGGCAATGGAATCACCTGTGCAGACATAGACGAGTGCGAGGACAATTCTCATAATTGTGATCCTAATGCAAGCTGTACGAATACTATTGGTTCTTTTAGTTGCTCTTGCAATTCTGGTTTCGGCGGCTCTGGTACTGAATGTGCGAACATAGATGAATGTGCGCTCGGACAGCACGATTGCCATGCAAATTCCATTTGTGAAAATACTTTTGGCTCTTACGATTGTTCCTGCAAAGATGGTTTCATCGGTGATGGCAAAAACTGTGAAGATGTCGATGAATGCGTAGGTGGTGCGCATGATTGCGATGTGAATGCAAGCTGTTCCAACACTCTTGGCTCCTGGAGCTGTTCATGCAATGGTGGTTTCGAAGGAAATGGGAAGGTGTGTGAAGACATCGACGAATGCTTTGTTGGATCTCACAACTGCGCGAGCACGGAGGATTGCATCAATAGCGAAGGTGGATTCACATGCAAGATAAACGACATGTGTGCGGTTCTTCAACCTTGCCACGAGCGAGCCACTTGCGAAAACACCGACGACGACAGCTACACTTGCACATGTGCTTCCGGCTTCGAGGGTGATGGGGAAACCAGCTGCGAAGACATCGACGAGTGCACTACTGGAGGTTGGCCGAGGGGTGGATGCGACTGGTGGGGCGACGGCGGAAGGTGCATCAACGAAATTGGCTCTCATCGCTGCGAATGTCGCGAAGGCTTTTCCGGAGATGGAATTGAATGCAATGATATCGACGAATGCGAAGAAGGATCTCATACTTGCCATGAAAACGCAATTTGTGAAAATAACGCTGGAAGCTTTAGCTGCAACTGTGCCAATGGATATCAGGGCGACGGAGAAAATTGTGAAGATATTGACGAGTGCAAAGAAAAGACCCATTCATGCGCTGAAGACTCAAAGTGCTCGAATTCGCCGGGAAGTTATTCTTGCCAATGTCTGACTGGCTTTTCTGGTGATGCTTATTTAGGCCTCGGTTTCAATCTTCGATTTCTCGTTTCTCGAAAAATTTCGTTTTCAAATCAAAATATGAAACCAAATGAGCTTGTGATGACATCAATGAATGTCTGAACTCTCCTTGCGCAGAAAATGCTTCTTGCTCAAATACTCGAGGAAGTTTTTCGTGTTCTTGCAATTCTGGCTTCGCTGGTGACCCCCGTACGTCCTGTGAGGATATCAATGAATGCGAAGGCGACCACGGTTGTCCTGTTAATTCGCGGTGCACCAATCTTGAGGGGTCTTTCAAGTGCGAAGGATTCGCGATGAAAAACGGGCGTTTTGAAGACATAGACGAGTGTGCCAACAATCCTTGCCATCATAACGCGAATTGTGTGAACAACGATGGGAGTTTTGACTGCATTTGCCAAGGTAAAAATATTTGTTCATAATTTCTCGGAGATTTTTTTCTAGATGGATATCACGGGGACGGCTTCGTTTGCGATCTGACAGTGAATTGCTTTGTCGACAATGGTGGCTGTAGTCACTTTTGCAATATCCCAAGCGGCTGCTCCTGCCCAGGCTCTTGCTGGAATCTTGATTCGGATAACAAAACATGCGTTCCTGATGTAGAGAAATCGGAGATGCAGTGCCTACCCGGCTCGATGGACATTTCTATTGACGGTTGTTTGTTCGAAGACGGGAAAAATTACGAGCTTCAGATGATTGATCCAAACTGCATATTGAGCAAAAATGGTGGATTTTTCGAGCTCGAAGTTGATTTTGATGAGTGCGGCACTTATATTGACAAGATGAATGGCCAAGTTCTCATGTCGCAAAAAGTACAAGCAATGACAGGCGATCCTCTCAGCCAAATTATCGGTAAGAAAAATATGAAAGGGGCGATGAATACCGTATTATCTAGAGGAATTCGATTTCGAGTGCAGCTACAATTCGACATATATAGTTGCTGCTTCAACCAGACTTGAGCTTGACGATACTCCGTTGGAAGTAAAAAGTGAAACTGAAGAAGGAATTTTTGACTTCTCACTCAATCTCTTTTCCAATGATGAATTTGTGGAGAAATTATCAGAAGATGATGTAATCAATGTTGGGGAGAAGGCGTTCTTTGCTATTCAGGTATTTCTTTCTTCCCGCCTCAAATGATGATTATTTTCAAGGCTGAAAATTTCCCGGAGAGTCTTTACTTTTTCGTGCAAAAATGCTCCATCGAAGAAATCGGCACTTCAAGCTCGTTTGACATCATTTCAAGTCCTGGCTGCAACAACTTGATCACCTCTACTTCTTCTCCCGATCCATACATCACCAGCGGCGCCGGAATGAAACGATTTGAGTTCCAGTCATTCACTTTTACAAGTTCAACAAAAGCAATCGCGGAGGAAATTTTGAAATGTGAAATTCAAGTCTGCCTTCAAGATGAATGTCCCGAAACTGCAGCTTGCGGGACTGCGAACTCCGTAAGAAGACGGAGAGATAATTACTGACGATCTTTTCTGTACTGAAAATGTACTTTTTGTAAATAAACTTTCATAAATTCTCAATTAATTCGCAAGAAAATAATGTTTTCAGAATTTTGTTGAAAGTTCTTTTTATGTTCTTTTCAGCAGGTATCAGATTCACGTGTTTACTCTTGAAACTTTAAGCAGAACCCATCTGACTAGAAAAAGATAGATTATTGCCCGAGGAATTTTTGTGCTGCACTAGAAATACAACTCAAACGCAAGCTCAGCACTTCGCAGGTTTTTTTTAAAGTTAAATTTTCAAAAAAGAGAACACTTCACGAAGATTAATGAAGAGTTGTCTAAGGAAAAAGTTAAAAATCGATTTACAGAAGAGTTTAAACTTTGTTTAATTAATAAAAAGCATAAAGAGTATGCTTTACTGGAATGTACTGTGAATAATATTACTGTGAATAATATTACTGTGTTTAGGGAATAGAAAAGGGGAAATATCCAAATAAAATGATCTATTTATTCAGGTTTTTCTAAGCTGCATTGAGTATTATGCCTTGTTCTTCTTGCAGTGTACTCCATTTCAAGCTTTACAAGGCAAATTAGAGCTAAAAGCACGAACACAAGCAGGATGATAATTTGAACAGAAAGCGTCAGTACAGTAGCATAGAGAGAGGCAACTCCAACAGAACCAGCAAGCAAGATTCCGACCCAGACATATGCTCCAGCTGTTTCCCACTCTGCCTTGAAGCATGAACCTTAATTCACTAATGATAAAAGATGGCTGAGAATTTGTAACCGATAGCTCGATTCATGGCGACTTGAGTCGTGCAGTCAAAATACCCAATCGCAAGGGCGGAAATCAAAATTGAATATTTTTGAGGCGAAATGATCCCTGGAGTTGTTGTTGCGTGGAGAGTGCAGGTATCTGGAAAGGTCAGGTAGAAAGTGATCAGGGAGTAGATCAGGAGACAGAAGGCTGATCCCAGCTGAACTTTGTAATGAGATGAAGGCAGGCAGAATGAACGAACCTGGATGAAATGTTTTGAATGAAGAACTTGAACAAACGTCGCCAAGAGTTCTCCCACTCCGACCATCAAGACTGCCAAGCCCATTAGGGACTTTGAATCGGGCAAATCTGGTGTGGTTCCAACACAAGTTGGGAGAACAATCGAATAGAAACAGATCAAAATCCCGATTTCGGCCATGAGCGGCATCAGCAAGAGCACATCCTTGTTCTTGGCCATTTCCCAAGCACTAAATGAAAAGCATAATTTTTCAAAAGAAACCATAAATTCACCTGAATAGATAAGTCCTAAGCTCTTCCCCAACATCCTTTTGCTTCACAACCTTTCCTTCTTCATTATTTTTCAGGAGCAGAAACGACAATGCTCCTAGCAGCGTGATTCCAGACATAATAATCGCGAGAAGATTCTGCTCCGATTGATCAATGATCGTCCTTCCTTTCCAAGCGTAGAAAACGTAGATATTTCCTCCGAAAGAGCCGCTCATGTACATTGCGAAAAAGATCGAGGCGTTTCTGTGAAGCGTCTTTTTCGTCGAATTTATGACAAATTCCGAACCGCGGCCGATCCAAAGAAATGCGGCGCCGCAACCGGAGAGGGCGGAAAAGACATAAAGGAGGGCTGGAATTGGTTTGATGAAGACAGCGCAGTAGCAGGCAGTGATGACGCCGCCAAGGAGCATGAGATATTTTCGACTCATCAGGCTCATCAAGACTGGGGAGAAAATTGACATGATGCTGTTCGTAGAAGAATATAGGGCCAGTGAAACAAAGCCATTAACATCTGTCTCTCCAGTTCGATTTCTGTACGATCGGAGAATTGTCTCTGAGCATCCAACAATCGTCAAATAGCCTGTCTTATTTTTGGCTCTGAAAATTCCTATTCTTGGTAAAAAAGAAAAATTTTAGAGCCATTCATAAACAAGAAAAAATCCAAGCCCGAGAATGAAAATATTCCAATCTTTCGTATTCATTTTCTTTCTACTTTAGTCTCTATTCGAAAAAGTGATCTTTAGGTTTGAATTTCTTGATATTCTGGAAGTAAGAAAAAAGGGTTGAGTTGTGTTTGTTCACGACTCAATCGGATGATATTGAGCCAATCTTAATTGAATTTCGAAAAAATAGACAAGAATGAGAACTGGCGGAGTGACAAAATGGTTATTTTTGAAGTGAAACAGTCGATTCGACAAGTACAGTGTGTACTCAGTGCTACAGGGTGGGAAGAAAAGACGCTCTTTTCAGTAATGGAACTGTAGGTTTATCCCTCAATAGAATATTTACACGAAAAACGGGATTAAACCAAAAGTTGGAAGTGGTTTTTGGATAACAAATAAGATTTGCGCATTTGACCTACTGGCCAATTAAAACCAAGATCCTGAAATTCACTTCCTTTTTTTTGGTCTGCCCGAAAAAACGACTGTTTTGAGTCATCTATCCGTCAAAAGATTCATAGGAAATGAAATTCTCCTCTGGAACACGCGCGACATTTTTATACGATTTTTAACAATCCGGTTGAATACATCTTCAAATACAGAAAATGCATAAAAGACCCTGCGCCCCAAAAATTTTGACGAAACAAGAGGAAAATGATACGCTGCCTTTTTATTCTGACGAATACTCTCGCTTTTCTCGGCGGAACTGCTTTGATTGGCCTCTGCACTTGGATCATTCTTGACGCTGAATCTATTGGTGAATAAAAATGAAGCAGCCGTTTTCATTTTTCTGTTTTTTAGGGATCGAGGCGGACTTCATTGTCGATTTCATAAATGGCTTTTTGAAAGAAGTGGCTGAGAACCTCGGCGAATTGTATGAAGAACATGTTGGCAACCCGGAAATTTTCGAGGACATTTTTGAATGGATTTCATACGCGACTTATGTTGCCCTAGCCGCCGGATGCCTTGTTACGCTGATAAGGTTTGACATGAAATTTGACAAAAGAAAGCGATTTGGCGATAATTTTTGCAGAATCTGATTGGCGCGTCGGCCAAATGCGGACATCTGATTGGCCAGTCGGCCAAATACGGACATCTGATTGGTCTGAAATTTGACATAAATTTTGACTAAAATAGTATTCTGATTTTTGTCGAATCTTGACAGAAAAATTGAACTTTCCCTTTTTCAGTTTTACTGGCTGTTTCGGAGCTCAAGCAAAGAGCCGTTGCCTCTTGACAATTTTCGAGATTTTCATGGCGCTTCTCATTGTCATCCAGGTAATGAAACATTTTTACAGTTTTCCTAGGACTTCGTTCTTTGACTCATTTCCTAGCTCACTGGAGCTGTTCTCGCGATCTTCTACTACCCAAAAGTCGATGAGTTTCTGGTTGAGCGCTTTGCCGAGTACGAGCCGATTCCGAATCCGGAGGACATTAATGATGTGAATCAAATTCCAGACCCTGATGTGATTTTCAACTCGCAATTTGTTGATATCATGCAGACAAGTCTCGACTGCTGCGGGTGGAATTCGAAAGATGATTTTCCAAATGGTAAAGAAAAAAGACCGAATTTCGATTTTTTGGGGCATTTTTTGGACAAAATTTTAGCAAAATTTTAGTCAAATTTTTGGTCGCAATTTCGAACCTAAATATTTTTTTACCGATATTTTTTTCTCATTTTGATAATTTTGCTTCTAGAATTGCCGGAATCCTGCTTCCAGACCGATGCCCAAAACTTGACCTCCGTCTGGGAAAACTCCTGCGGACGAATTTCAATAAGAATTTTTCGGCCAAAAAAATGGCCCCCCTTTTTATGTGCTCATATGAAAGAGCGTAAAAAGTTATGCTCGAAAAAAATATTTTTTTTTGCCCGAGGGCATAAATTATGACTCATAGGTCAGTTTGAAAAATTTTCAAACTCCCCCCCTAAATAGCCTCCGGGCACTTATTTTTTCGGGATTTTTTGACGTCATTAGAATCCTCAGGACATAAGCTTTTGGTAGACCCCTCAACCGCGGTAAACCGCCCGGTTAACCGCGTGGTTCACCGCGGTTCATTTCCTTAGGCATAGTACACATACCAATATACATATCAATCGACTTCTTTTTTGATGCTGGATTCATTTTTGAGCATGAAAACACATGACCGCATGGTCAACCGCCCGGTTCGGGATTGCTGATGAATATTTTTCAAAAAATTGCTTTCAAAACTGAAAATTTTTCAAAGCTGAATAATTTTCAAACCTGAAAAACTTTGAAAACTGAGTAATATAATGCACTCAAAATATTTCAAAACTGATAATGAACCACTTGACTAACCGCCCGGTTAACAGCGGTTCAAAGCGATTCACGCTCTGAATAATCACAAAATGTGGACATATGTATATAAGAATGCTTTTCTACTCAATAGGAGTCTTTAAAACAGATATTTGAACCGAACCACTAAGGTAACCGCCCGGTTCAAAGCGGTTCAGAATGATTCACGCTCTTAGTATCCACAAAATGCTTAAAATGTTTATCAAAATGCTTCTCTACTCATAAGGTGTTCTTTTTATAGATATTTGAACTGAACCACTTGGCTCACCGACCGTTTCTTGAATCAACTTAGGGAAGGGGCCGGCCGACTCTGAGGTGAGACAAGCCCTGTTTTTTGAATCCAGTCAAGGAAGGGGCGAAGCCGAAACCCTTAACTGGATTCAAAAAACAAGGCTGGCATCGCCTTCGTGTCGGCTTGGCCCTCTCCAAACTGGAGTCAAAAAGCGGGACTGGCCTTACTTTCGGGTCGGCTTGGCCCCTTCCCAGACGGGATTCAAGAAACGGGGCTCAGAAAATTGGTCAGTTTTGAAAATTTGCAGTTTTGAATATTATTTTGTTTTGAATATAAAGTTTTTTAAAAATTTTTTAGTATTTGGCACTTCTGAAAATTTTCTTGAAACTAAGAGCGTGAATCACTCTGAACCGCTTTGAACCGGGCGGTTACCTTAGTGGTTCGGTTCAAATATCTGTTTTAAAGACTCCTATTGAGTAGAAAAGCATTCTGATATACATATGTCCACATTTTGTGATTATTCAGAGCGTGAACCGCTTTGAACCGCTGTTAACCGGGCGGTTAGCCAAGTGGTTCATTATCAGTTTTGAAATATTTTGAGTGCATAATATTACTCAGTTTTCAAAGTTTTTCAGGTTTGAAAATTATTCAGCTTTGAAAAATTTTCAGTTTTGAAAGCAATTTTTTGAAAAATATTCATCAGCAATCCCGAACCGGGCGGTTGACCATGCGGTCATGTGTTTTCATGCTCAAAAATGAATCCAGCATCAAAAAAGAAGTCGATTGATATGTATATTGGTATGAGTACTATGCCTAAGGAAATGAACCGCGGTGAACCACGCGGTTAACCGGGCGGTTTACCGCGGTTGAGGGGTCTACCAAAAGCTTATGTCCTGAGGATTCTAATGACGTCAAAAAATCCCGAAAAAATAAGTGCCCGGAGGCTATTTAGGGGGGGAGTTTGAAAATTTTTCAAACTGACCTATGAGTCATAATTTATGCCCTCGGGCAAAAAAAAATATTTTTTTCTAGCATAACTTTTTACGCTCTTTCATATGAGCACATAAAAAGGGGGGCCATTTTTTTGGCCGAAAAATTCTTATTGAAATTCGCCGAATCACAAATCGAGTCGTATCTCATCATCATCGGGGTTGTTGGAGGAGTCATCGTCGCTTTCGAACTTGTCAGCTTGATCGTTTCTTGTCTCATCAAAAGAAAATTCAAATAAATTCGTAAATTCGTGTTGATGAAGTGATACAGTATTGCAGGCGGAACGATGATATTTACAGTCATATAAACCCGACAGAACAAAAAGTAAACGCGAATCTCGTCGAGTCAAAAAATGCGAATTTCTTCGATTCTTTTTCTGCATCTTTCTTTAGCTTCGATTCTAAAGAGCCAAAATAATGAAACCGAGAAATATTTCTTCGTCCTTGCGGATGACAACGAAAAACCTCGTCTCAGCTATGTGATTTCTACTACTGGAGCTTTCAAGGAAGATCGAGTAATTCAAACTCCAGAGACGGTTTCTTCTTGGGGCTTTCTTGGTCGAGCTGGATCAGCGATGGTCAATGGAAAGATGCATATTTTTGGGGGAACAGCAGACACAAGAAAGGTTGGCGGGTTTTCGGAGTTGGATTAAATGGTCTTTCAGATCGGGATTCTCGATGGTTGTGAGATTAGACGACTTCGATACCGCCTTATCAACGAGTACACTACTAGCTCTTCCATCGTCTCCGTGCCAACATTACAAGGATCGAACGGTAGAGCGTTTCCAGAATATTCTTCTTTATGAAAAACTTAGCTCTCCTGTGCTTCGACTTCAAACAAACCGGCAAAGAATGCGAAGAGTTCAACGGCGAAATTTCTCTGCGAACAATTCCTAGCGAAGTCACTCATCTTGGTGCATGCCTTGCGATTTTCAAGGGACAACCAACGGCTGTTAGCAGTTACGAACCAGACGGATGGAAAACGGTGGAAACAAGGGGTCAGGATGGATGGTCGTTTTTATCTGAACATCCAAGGTAGAAGCAAAAAAGTTGCGGAAAATTCACATTCTAGAAAACTCAAATACCATACATGTCTTGGTCTGGCAGACGGGTTGATGACCATCGGTGGCGAGGATTTCGACGGCTTTCAAAGAATCAACGATATTTGGCTTCTCCGGGATTCTGACTGGAATCTTGTTGGAACTCTGAAACAGGTTCCCTATTTTTTCTTTCTATTTTTGACCGAATTTCTCTTCAAGCAAGCTTGGTACGCGTCTTCTTTCTTGATTTCAGGAGAAATTTTCGCCATCAGCGGAGACTAGTAAGAAATCTATCATCTTCAGCCAGCTTATTTTTCAGCCCTTATGCGATTGAAAAAATTGAATGGGATGGGACAAGTGTTGTTTCTTCGGAAATCATCAACAATCATCCTGCTTACTACGCGAAACCGATTGTTTTTGAAACTGATGCAGAATTTTGCAAATAAAGAGTCAAAACGTCTTGTGAAAAGATTCCAAATGATGATTCTTTATTCTGATATTTTCGATTCAAGTCATTCAAGAGCAGAAATTGCGCAGTTACTTTCGACATGAATGTCGATCAGAATCGCTATCGTTGAAATCGTAATCGCCAGCGTCAAAATCGTTCCCCAAAAATGAGAAATCATCTTTCCGTAAAATTGCCAGGCCGCCTGGTAGTCCTTCTTTTTCAAATCACCTAAGAAAGAGAATCGATTTCTGACTTGTTCAAGCTTACTTTTCATGTCTGAGTATTTGACAGGATCGACGTTGAGGAGGATGAGAAGGGGGATGTTGTACTTGTCAGCTTTGAAGACTTGGAAGAATTTTGCCAAGTTGTATGCAAATTTGCTTCGTCGAGGTGAAAAGTTGTACATGTTTTCGTGTCTTCCATCGTAGTACCACAGTGTCATCGCTAGAAGGGCTTCTCAAGTGCTCAAGAAATGGGACCTACCGATAGTTATATGAGCAAAGACACTTCCCACAACGCTGATGATGAACAAGAAGAGCAGTCGAGGAGCAACTCTAACATTGTCAAAGACGGGAACGGAACTAGTTATCGGTCAAAACGACCGAAATATATATTTTTTTTTAAATTAAAATTTTGGCCGATTTCTTGAAAGAACATCGAGATAAACAACCATAGCCAGCAGCACTGTTATTTGAAAACCGACGCTTTCGCCAGTCGAAACAGGCATCCACATCCCAACGCAGACCAAAATATTCAAGCAAATTATGGGCAGGAAAAGAGTCAGCCCGTATTTCGCAGTTTTGCGATTAAGTGCGAATTCGACTCGCACCAACGACGAGAAATCTCCTTGATTGTCTTCGACTAGCTTCGTTTCAAATTTGTACCCGAGGAGGTTCCACTCGTCGCTTTCTTCGTAAAAGACGTTTTTCAGGGCGGAAAGTGTGGTGTCTTTGTAGTGAATTATGTCATCAGGGATGTTGGTGATGTTGTTCTTTTTCTTCCACTCTTCGATTTTCATCAATCTGTATTAAAAAAAAGATGTTTATCCTCTACAGTGGAAACTCAAAATTTGCCTATTCGATATTTGGCCGGTTTTAGGCGAAATTGACTGATTTTAGAATAAAAAAAAGACTCAAAAATTGGCTGCTTTTTCAAAAATAAAAAATTTTGGATCAAAATTGCGCCCAAATTATGCTATTTCTGGGCATGTTTAGCTTTTTTAAAGTGTTAAAATTATTTAAAATGACTAATTTCAAAAATAAATGTCTCCAAACAAGCAAAAATTTGAATAAAATTAATCAAAAACGTGAAAATCATGCCCATTTTCGAAAATTTCGAAAATTTGCTTCTTAGAAGGGGACTCTTGGCTATCCGGTAAAAACCTCAAAATTTGGCCGCTTTTGTTTGGAATTAGGATCAGAAAACCGGCCAATTTTTGAGTTTTCACTGTATCGGACTATCTTTGCCTTACCTTTTATTTGTGGGAAAACCTGGTGAAGCGAAATCAATATGGCATTGCTGGACATCCAAAGGATACAGCGAAGGATCCATGTTGCAACTTGTGTAGACGAGTACCTTTTGCGTGTAGTAGACATATCCTCTGAGTATAAAGAAAAATAACTTTATGGATAGAGAAGAACCTGTTGTCTAATCTCGCGGGATAGCGGGAAACTTTATTATCAGTCCTCATTCTGTTGATGACTTCTACATCTGGAAACCACAAACTGCTAATTGGGACTGTAATACTGGTTGTATTATCGAAGTCTGCGGGGTTCCAAGTCAGACGAGGGTCTTTAGATACATTGAAATTGATTTCATTCCGCCAGCTTACCTTGCCAGGAAGTGAACATCAAAAAACTCGAGTCCATTCCGCTATTTTTCAGATCAACATCGGCGATCGACTCCAATTCGATGGAAACCTCAACGTCAACTGGCTCCTGAGGCGGACTTATCCACCGTTGATAACCAATGAATATTGACCTGACGATCAATGTCTCAGGCGGCAGTTTCTCGAGCGAAAAACAGCTGGAAAGAAGAAAAGAAAAAGCGCAAAATCGCATTTTGGTAATGGCAAGAAAAGCGATTGTCAGCAGTTTATAAAGGGGATCATTGAATTGAGAAAATCTTCAGCAGATGATACCCCTTTTCTTTGGTTAATAAGAGCCAATTTAAGCTTACCCTTTCTGGCGCCTTCATGAGAACTTTTATAATTACGGATATTTAGGGGAAAATCTGGGGAAATTAGCCGACATTTTTCTCGAAGAAAGATGTAACAAAATCATACTTGAACTTTCTTTCATAAATTTATTGTCAATAATTTCAAGTGTTTTATTTGTTTGGGCAGGACATGGATAAGCAGGTTTTTGAGTTTTATGATATTGTTTTACTGAATTGGAGATTTTGAAGAGGAAGAATTGCTATTTTTTTTATAAATTTTGAGATATTCAGTTTGAGAGTTGTGGAGGTGGAGCGCGGCGGACGCCGAAAATGGAGCTTGGAGTTGTTGAAAATTTTTTCTGGCTCAGATCGGCGGATTTTCCTTCGTTTTTGTTTTTGCCAATTCCTCGTTTTTTCTTCTTTTTCTGCGCCGTCAGTGATCTCGCAGTCAAAGCAGCAATCGTGTCGACGCCGCAATTGACATTCGCCATCGTTTCAGTCAAGTTCCGCATTTTCTCCAAAACGCTTTCTAGATTTTTTGCTCGACACCTTCTATTTATTTTTTTTCTACCTTTTGGAGAGTGCCAATTTCCCGACTGATTTCTGAGACAGCCAAGGTCGGATAAAAAGTCCTAAAATAAGTTTTAGAAAAAAAAGCGGAGAAGTTTTGAAAAAACCTGAATTTCAGGATTGTCGAGCATTTCCAAAACTGGCGCCGGGGCCTTTTCGAAAAGCAAGAGAGAAGAATTATTTGAAGAAGAAGGCGAGAGGGCGATTTCGCGAAGCCACTTGAAAAATGCAACCTTTTGATAGTTCAGCGATTTTGGCGGTGATTATTTAGGGCTTTGCTTTCTTCAAAAATATATAGAAATTCATGATTGAAAAGGAAATTTTAAGAAAGCAAAAAAGGCTTTATTTCATCTTTATCATAATCCTCTGGGCAAATATCGACTTTTTCCTGCAATAAATCTTTTTTGAACCATTCCTTTGAAGAATCATTCAGCAGCGCCTGATACTTTTCATGCAGAACGGGCTGAACATCGCCAATCTCCGTCGCTCGTTTTTTCGAAATCGGCTCATTGCTGCAATTTTCAAAATTTTCTTTGAAAAATGGGGCTGATTTGGTACCTGACAGAAAATAGCACGCATAGTTCTCGGAGAAGATCGGCATCTCCAGCGCTGAGATTTTCGAGTTTTTGGCGAAGTTCGACTTCGCTCGAAGTTGATTCGTTGATTATTCGGCAGATTTTTGACGGAAGCGCTTGAAAAAAATTTCAAAAGAAAAATTCAAATTAGTGGTGGCGCCGTTTTCTGAAAAGCGCCAAATAGCGGCGAGAAATACCGGCCGCTGATTGGCCGAGAAGCGGAATATGGCTTTTTGATTGGCTTAAATTTTTTGACTTTTTTTTGCTAAAAAATTGTCGCTTCCGATGAAAAAGAGATTTTGAACCGAGAATTTAATAAATTTTCTGTCAAAAATAAATTTCTAGAATATGCTCGATTCGGACTCACGATGCGAAGTTTCGCTTTTGAGAAGCACCAGTTTCATGAAATGCGGCGTCGTTAGTTCTTTAATACTCGTCGAGAAGATTTCTGAAAAAAATATTTATTGTAAAATCAATTTTGAATAAATTACCGAGAACGTCGTAAATGGCAGTGACCAGCACATCATCGATTTTGGCGGGCTTAATTTTTTTCTAATATTTTTTAAGCCTGGAACGGTTGAGCTTACGTGTTCGTGCTCGATAAACAGAAGCACTGATTTGACAATTTCCATTTCTTTCACCACGGAAAGAGTCGATTCCTCTTCCTAAAAAAAACGATGATAGAACCGGGCATTTTCGACGCTTGTTAATTATTAATTAACTCCAGATAGTTACATAACTTGATATCGGAGGAACGCCGGCTTGTATCTAGGTCAAAATATGATAAGCACCAATCGATAATTTATGGTCGACTTTTTAACTAAACTTTTTGTCAAATTTTACACCAATCATTTTTCAGAAGAAAATGTCGCGAAAATGATCGGTCTAAAATTTGACGAAAATTTTGGCTAAAAAAGTCGACCAAAAATGATCGATTCGTGCCCCTCATATTTTGACCTAGATATAAGCCGGCGTCCCTTCGAAAGGAAGTTATGTAACTATCTGGATATAGATTTTTTATTACGGAACATGATTAACTCCATTTAACATTCAGCCTGTCTATTTCGCTGATCAGTAAATTACCTCTTTCGTCGTTGTCATTATCAAACAAGCGCACATGGCGATTCCCAATTTTTGTTCCGCCAAATTTTTACTAAATAAAATTTTATCTGAAAATATGCGATTTCAGGTCTACCTTTGAATGAGAGTTCTGAGCTTGGCATTCGTTATTGCTTGGATTTTGAGGTTTACGTCGGTGAATTCTTTGAACTGAGCGTTTTCTCGAGCAATTTGGGCGAAGGCGAGGAAGAAAAGGCTGGCGTGGTTGAGGAAATCGTCGTTTCTCTCGCTGAAAATTTTGTATTATTTTTCTATTTAATATTTATAACAAATTTCATTATTCATTATAAAGATAATATTAGTTAATAAAATTTTATTTATTTTTAAATTTATTAAAATTAATTTTTTTGTACTTTTTTTTATTAATAATTTCTCATAATATGATCTTACGTGAGGGGAACAAGACTATCAGCCAAATCGATGCCAATCGTATTTATTCTGTTGAGTCGCTCAACCGTGCTGAATTCTTTCAGCTCTGCCTCGAAAAAGCCCAAGAAGCGGATGAACCAAAGACACATTCCGGCGATAGCATGCTTCGAGTTTCTGCCCACCGAGTCGATTTTCTTGCGAAGGGAAGTGAGTAACACTTCGGAGGTCGATTCGTAGAAACTATCCATGTAAAAGCGCAGGAAAAGCGTGGTCGTGCCTTTGATTTGGTCGCAGATCGAGAGACGGTGGTCCATGGCCGGTGAGTACTTAAAACAATATTATATGCAAGGACGACACGGGTTTTGTCGCCCAATGTCGTCGAAGGACGCCGAATGTCGCTGAATGTCCCAAATGTCGCCGAATGTCGGTGAATGTCGTCAAATGTCGCTGAATGTCCCAAATGTCGCTGAATGTCGTCGAATGTCGTAAAAAATGGCGGCATTCAGCGACATTCAGCGACATTCAGCGACATTCGGTGAAATCCAGCGACATTCAGAGACATTCAGCGACATTTGGCGATATTCAGCGATATTCGGCGACATTCGGCGACAGAACCACTGCGCTCCATAAGCAAAGGCATTGAGTTCTTACGTCAATGGAGCAATCATCCAATTTGCGAGGAGCTGAAGTGAATCGCTTGAAAGACAGAGGATCCAGCGTCGTCTCCATTTTGAGCGAGCTTTGAATGATGTCCTTGTAGAGACTGTAGATAATTTCCGTCACGTGGAGGTGCCAGATGTTCATTTTTTCTTCGAGGCCGACGAACTGAATCAATTTGGCTATTCCCGAGTCGGCGAAGCAGCACAGAGTCCGCTCGTTTCCGAACTCGCTGTCGATGTCGATCAGATTTCGGACGAGATTGAACGAATAGCCAGTTACTTCTTTGAGAGATTTGGTGTACTCCTTTTTCAGCCCCTTTTCGATCTTTTCCCGAATCCTGACCCAATAAACCGCCTTGGCGAATTGCCTCTTGAACGCTTCTTGGTGGTCGTCCATGATTTTCTTGTTGACCGAGTGGACCTTGTCGTTGGCTTTCGTCGAGAGAGGACACGTGATCGCAGACATGAACTTGATCAGCGGGTCGAAAATCGCGTCTTCGTCGTTTTGATGCTCGAAAAGCGGGAGAAGATCCGTTTCGAAGATATTCGAGGCGGCGAGTTGCTGCCGCATGCTTCCAAGTTCGTCGTCTTCTTGAATGAGTTCGTTGATTTGCGCAAGGGTTTCTGAACAGTTCTCGTCGGGTTTGTAGACTCCGTCTTCTACGTAGCCGATTTCGGAGGTCAGCGCTGATAAAAAATCATTCAAAAATCGAAAATAAAAAAATTATTTTAATTTTAAAATCGTTAAAATTCAACTTACAAAGAAGATCGATGTTCATAAAAAGCAGATCCATTTTCTCCAATTTCGATCAATCGGTGTTTTTTTTCTTTCTGAGGAGGCTCTTCGAACGTCGGAATTATTATGTTATGATCGCGTATTCGAGGCGTATTTATATGGAGAGAAGGCGCTAGAGAAAAAGATATATAATTCTGCCCGTTCCAGAATGCTGAATAAAAATAGACACTTTCATATAAGTCTAGAGTTCCTGGTTGAAGCTATCAATAATCGCTATTATAGTAATATTTGACTGCTGCTTTTTCTGCGAAATTTAACGTAGTGACACCCTTATTATTGGGCTAGATGTGTCCATTTTTGATGTAGTATTTTGGGCTATGAATTTTGCCTAAAGAATGAAATTGTCGGGCTGAGACAAGCGGCAAAGGCGTAGCGGCTTCTCTAAGCTACTAGCCTCTGGTTACCTTATGGCAGAGTTGCAAATTTGTTGAGCTGAGTGAGCTGAGAAGTCGCTCAGCTCAGCTCAGTGATTTTCGAAAATGATCTGATCTGCTCAGCTCAGCTCCGCTCAGACAATTTTCACTCAGCTCAGCTAAATAATTTTCGAACATGATCATTTCTGCTCTGCTCAGCTCAGCTAAGCTCAATGATTTTAAAAGAGTTTTACTACTAAAAAAGAGTAAAAAACTGCTCAGTTCAGCTCACCCAGCTCAGCTCAGCTCAACTACCTAAAAAAAAGTCTGCTTAACTCAGCTTAGCTCAATGACCTCTGAAAAAGGGCAGCTCAGCTCAGCTCATTGAGCTGCGAAATAGGCCAGCTCAGCTCAGAAAATTTTTCACGCAGGTCAGCTCAGCTCAGCAAAAATAAACCAAAATTTGCAACTCTGCCGCAAAGTAGGATCATTTCAAAGGGCCTATTTCAAATTGGCCATTTGTTTAAAATTAAAATTTCTTCAAAAAATTCTAAAAATTCTTCAAAGATAATTATTTCCATTTATTATATAAGTCATGCATCTCAAGTAAAGACTTCTTTTTATAGCGCTATTTCATGGTCAAATTATCATAAAAGAGATGAAAATCGACTGATTATATAAAATGGTCATAAAAATGGAATTAATTGCGTCTTGAATAAATTTATTTGGGGAGATCATTTTTCTCCCCTTCGAGAAAATTAATTTCATTCATCAATTTTTTTAAAATGGAAATTTATAAAATTGATTAAAATTTTTTCTTTTAATAAAAATTAAGCTTTTATTAATTAAAACACTAAACGAAGTTCAACATAAGTAATTTATGATAAATAAATAAATTCGAAGAAAAGGTTTCCGAGCTGCGAGGTTACCTCATTTCAAAACGGCGTTTCGTTGAATCTTATATCAATCTTATATAACTTCTCTCTTTCTGGCCCTTTATCCTTGCGCTCCATCTTTTGAGGAGCTTTTAGGCGCTTCGATTGGCCGGATTCGTCTACGCCCCGTGCCCCCAATTCGAAACGAACCCAGCTGACCTTGACGGCATTCTTCCTTGATTTTACTTTTTGTTTGCTTTATTTTTATGACTTGCAAAAGTGGATTTTTCGATTTTTTATTGCTGAAATTCGAAGAGAAATATCACTCATTTATTTTTTAATTCGGTGAACAGTTCATTTCGTTTTTCGTGTTAATTTGATGGAGTAAGCTTGAGGAAGAAGATACCAAACTTTTTTCTTCATGTTCAAATTTTCATTCGCCAGTTTCAAAAACTCGTTGTTGGCTCCCCTGTAGATGTAAGCGTTGAAGGAGCTGTAGCAATCGTACATCATTTCGAGTTTTGCGTAGTAAGGCCGGTTGAGAGCAGGGTTCTAAATTTGAAGCAAAATCTAAAAGTCTAGTCTGTCCGTGTCCGTGTCCTCCGCGAAAAACCCAAGTCTAGTCTATCCGTGTCCGGATCGAAAAAACGGATTTTTGTCCGGTCTAGTCTCGGACATGTCCGTTTTGTCCGTTTTTGTCCGTAAAATCCGGACACATTTTTTTTAAAGAAAAAGTCTGGTCTAAAAAGTCTTGTCCGTAAATGTCCGTAAAATTCCATGGGTAAAAAACTTATTTTTATGGAAATAAACCCGACGAGACCAAAAAAAATCTTTGAAAATAAATTCGGCAGAAAATACATCGTAATATCGAGTTCTTTTCAAGCCAATTTAAGAAAATCAAGGGACTTGCCTGGGACAAGAGTCGCAAGTTTATTGCTTTTTTTTTGGAAGAGGATACGCTCAGCCCAAAGACTTCGTAAAATTTCTAGCTAAGCTCAGCATCAGCTGGTTAAAACCAGCTTGTCTCAGAGTAGATAATTTATCTCAGATATAAATTTATTTGAAGAGAGAAATAAGAAGTGATTTTCTCAACTTAGAGAATAGTCTTTTTGAACTAGACTAGAACTTTCACAACGGTATATTTTTCTAGGACCTTTTTGAAGCTGACCTGAAAGAAAATTTCTCATAGCTGAGCTAAGCTGTATGAAAATTTGCGAAACTGAGCTGAGCTTGCGTTTTCTTAATGTCAGCTGGTGTTATCCAAGCTGACCTTAGCTGGCTTTATGAAGAAAATCATTAGTCTGAGCTGAGTTCTCTCAAAATGATCGAGCTGAATGACTGAGCGGGCTAGCCCGACCGCTGACTCCTCAACACGTTGAGCTGGCTTTTTCCGAAAATTGCCGTGCTGAAAGTCCCAAATTAGGACTCGCAATGAATTAGCGGAATAATGAAGGACCTTATATAATATTAAGAATTTCTTAAGTTAACCATTTTTCCTTGAGACTCGGTCCTCAAAGTTCCGGCTTCGCACCATCAAAAAGACATATCAATTAAAAGTTATCATCGATATTTTCCGGCAAAAAATCAAAATTTTGATATTTTTAAATTTAATTTAATTTTTAAATCGATATTTTTTAAACTGAAAACCTGGCTTATTTTATCAAACAATGACGTTGGTTCAGGCTTTTTGAAACGAGTTCGAACTCAAATCGTGCTTTTTAACGGATTTTTACGGATTCTGCCCGGATTTTACAGACACGGACAAAAGTCTGGGGTTGTCCGGATTTCACGGACAAATACGGACAAATACGGATTTTGTCCGGATCGTGACAAAAGTCCGGTCTAGGCTGTCCGTTTTTTCCTCAACCAATAGACTAAAAGTCTAGTCTGTCCGTACGGACAAGACCGGACAGACACGGATAAAATCCGTACACGGACATGTCCGTTTAGAACCCTGGTTGAGAGGAACTCTTATTTGGGAACCAGAATGATCAAGAGCGGTGTTTTGGAGAATGTATTCGGAGTTTTCGATTCGGTCGATCACCATTTGGTGGAAAAAGACGCCGCCCGTCTCCGGTAGAAAGGCGCCTGTTACCAGGGTTTGAAAAGTCACAAATTTTGCCTGAGCATGAGCACGGCTGAGCACGGAGAGTTCAAAACTTTGGCTGAGCCTGAGCACGATTGAGCATCGGCGTGCTCAAACTTGCTGAGTAAGAGCACGACTGAGCATTGGCGTGCCCAAATTTAGCTGAGCCTGAGCATGATTGAGCACCCGCCTGCTCAAATTTCACTGAGCCTGAGCACGCTGAGCATGCTCAATGCTCATGCTCAGTGCTCAGAGCATGCTCAAGCAATCTTGCTCCATAAAAGAACAAAAAATCAAAATTTCAATGAGAACCATAAATATGCTAAAAACCATGATAGTTTATATTTTTAAAACGATGGGTGTAGGTGGAATTGGGGACAAAACTGAGATTGATCATCTCAGTGTTCCAAGCCTTTGTCAAGCCCCTTAAATTCAAAAATCAAGGAACGGGGCGGAGACGGCCCGAAAGAAAAAAAAATAGAAAATAAAGCAAAAAAAGAAAATTTTTGCTCAGACGTGCTCAGAACATTTGAGCACGCATTTCAGAGACTCGTGAGCATGAGCACGGCTGAGCACGCGAATGCTCAGATTTTATTGAGCTTGAGCACGGCTGAGCACGACACGCTGGAATTTCCGTTGAGCTTGAGCACGCTGAGCATGCTCAGTGCTCATGCTCAGACTTTTCAAACCCTGCCTGTTACAGTCAGGGGGCGGGAGAGAGTGAAAGATTCGTGGAGGAGCACTTATGAATGAATTTAAAGTTCAATTAAGGCCCTTAATTTAAGGTGGTGGCGTCTGAAACCGACAAAAAAAAATTCGACAATTTTTGCCTGGCGGCCATTCGGCTGCTAATTGGCCGTTAAGCCGAATCCAGGCTTCTGATTGGTTGAAAATTTTCAATAAAATCTGTCGAAATTTTTTTGTCGGTTCCACGAATTTGAGACTTTACCTTGTTCAAAGTCGAAATCAGCATTTACGGTCGAGTTTTCGTCGATAAAGTCCCATCCTCTTTTATCCAAGTAAGTTTCAAATTTTAGTCTTTTGAGGAGCAGCTCGATTTCTGTTTGTTGAAAGTTTTGCTCTTCCTTTTTCGGGTTGAGATTGAGTCCGGCCAAGCTTCGTGGATAAACTATCATTGTCAGAGCAGTCAAGACTTTTTCCATCGAAAAATAAGCAAAAATGATGTTATCATTTGCATCCAAGTCATTTTTGATGGCCCATCTGAGAAGAGAGCTGACCGAAATGGGGACACAAAGATTCGTTTCTTTCTGGTCGACGACGTTTTTCGTCAAATTTTTGAAGTCATTGTTAATTTGCCGCGTGTATTGCGCCTTCCAGTTCGCCAGTACTTTCGATTTCGTCAGATTTGAATCCAAAATAAAAGCAGAAGAAACGTTTTTCAGCGATATAATTTTTGAGACGCCTTTGATTTCGTCGATTCTTGGCTTTTGCGTTTTTGAGAGCCATTGAGCGTTGAAAGACTAAAATCAAATTAATTCTTCTTTCTTGAAAAAGCAAACCTCCAGCTCTTTTTTAATCGCTTCTTTTTCATCCGCCTCTATTGGTTTGAAAAGAAGACTCCAGGCCGTCTCCCAGTCGCAAAGGGTCCAGACGTGAACTGCGAACTCAGTATTCGAGTTTCCAGTATTATCCACTAACTGACCAATCTGCGTAAAAGCCGGTGTTCCCGCTCCTGAAAGAAATCGATCTACAATTTGAAGAGCAAAACTTACGAAGAAATTGAGCGCCTCGATATCTCGACCCTTTTCTTGAATAAGCCATCTCTCGATAGCCCTTTTCCCCTTTTGCTCCGCCTCCCGAGATGATCCCGAAATCCGACCATTTGGGAACTCCATCTTTCAGAAGAATATTCTCCGGCTTCCCATCAAGATGTCGAATCGCAATTGCCTTCAAATACCCCTCTCCCTCAACGACTCCGATCGCAATCTTCATTCTCTCTTCCAAGTCCAAGCTTTCTTCCCTCAGTCGCTTTCTTAAATCAGACTCGCACTTCTCCATGATTGTGATCCAGCCGAGACAGTCTTCTTTTTCTTCATCTTCCTTCAAGAAAATCTCAATATTTGAGAAATTCTTTACGACGTTTTCATGCACGGGGATGGACTTTTCGCTTCCTGTCTTGTAGTTTTTGGCGATTTCATAATCTTCAGAAAGATGAATTTCAAAATGCAGCTCCTCGTTGTTCTCTCCAGTAAACAGCGCGGAATCAAAACACTGGACTCGGACGGCGACTTCCAACTCCCGAAAATATTCGCTGAAAACGATCGCTTCTCCTCCTACTGAAATTTGTTTCTTCTCCAGCGACGAATCAAGAATCCACTCCCCAGTTTCCCGTTTCACTTCCGATCGGAGAATTTGCCTTCCTTCAAGATCTGGATTCCGCGCGAGAATTTTCTTCTGAAACTCAGTTAGCTGCAATTCCAACTCCATCGTCCGAAAGTATTTGATCTTCCCTCCTTGCTCTTCGAAAATCACCTCCGTCCATCCAGCCGGCCCGACCATTTCACTTCCATCTTCTTTCCTAAAGTCCATTCTCTCGACAGACAAGATCAGTCTGTCCAAATCGTCCCTGCTCGTTGTTCTTTTCAATTTCTTTTTAAAATCATTTAGCCAGCTCTCAATGGCCTCTCTTGTCAGTTCTTTCGGGTGCATTATTTGTGGTGGTGGTGGTGGTGCTCTTCTGCTTGCAAAGAACGAAGCTAGGAATGCGGAGCGATCACGGGTAGACGTCATTTTTTGAAATTGTCGTTTTCTGGTGTCGAAGATTTTTTGGCCGTTTTCGAGTCGTGAATAAGCGCTCTCCAAATTAGTCAGGAAATTACGGAATAATTCAAATATTGTTTTCCGGTAAATAAATTCTGATCGATATTGGTGTCGGATTCTAGTGGCTCCTCCACCTGACTCCTTGGCGCAACGGTAGCGCGTCTGACTCCAGATCAGAAGGTTGCGTGTTCGAATCACGTAGGGGTCAAACTTTTTGTCTTTTTTTGTATCGAAAAACGGAAAACCGCGCCTCGGAGTAAAATATTTGCATTTTGGAAAGTGACTATCTGGCTCGATTGAATTCGGCGTGTTCAAATATTGCATGATCGGGCTTCGGAGGAAATAAAAAGAGAAACAAGATGGCCTGGTGGAGGATACCGTTGAAGGTGCTTTCGATTGTTTGTTTCTTGTGTTTGGCGCTTATCGGAGCAGGTTTGTTGAAATGAAAAAATTATTTTATAAAAATTTTTTTAAGGACCCCCGTCAGCTTTTTTTGAAAAATCTAATTTCGGAATTTTATAATTTTGACCCCGGAAATGGATTCTTCAGGTCAAAAAACGATTTTGAGGCTTCATTTTTCGGGGGTTTATCTCGACTTCTTCACCCCCAAAATCGCAATTGAAAATTGGTCTTTTCCCGACAAATTGACGAATTTGCCCTTATTTTGGCAAATATATTGATTTTTCTTGGTCAAAAATTCTTCTTATCATGTTTTTGAAGAAAATTTAACCTGAAGACGCATTAAGAACCAAAAATATGGTGCTTGTAAAAATTTCAATTTTTCGAAGAAAAAAGCTGACGGGGGGGGGGGTCCTTAATTTATGTTTCAAATAAAAATATATGAAGAAATTTTCTGTATTGAAAAAGGCTTAAAATCGTTGTTGATACCCTTAATAATCGCATAAACAACTGGTTTTTTTCTTTTAATATATTTTAATATTGGGCGCTAGAAAGACTCCTGTCATTTTCAAGAGGAATCTCTTTCCCGATTTTACTGATTTACACTGTACAAGTGCAAATGTCACCGTTCCAAGCGATGATGTTTGCGCCGGCCTCAAATTCAGAGAATAGAAAATGAAGATTTCTCCTCTTTTTCTCGCATTTCTCGCCGTTTCAGAGGGCAAAAAAGGGAAGCACAAGAAAAAGAAGCATTCAACAGAGCAAGTTCATTTCGAAGCAAGGGAACCGTACGAGTGCGTCTGGGATGAACAAACTTGGAATGTAGAGGCATGTAAGATTGAGGAAGACGATCATCATGGCCACCAGAGAAACGAAGGGCATGGAGGAAGGGTTCTTTCTACAGACGAAATTATAGAGCTTGCTTTTTTTCAAATTTCAAGCGTCGAAAAAGAACCCTAATCGGAGGAGAGGAGCATCATGACTTGTGTCCCTCTCAGTTGATCAAGCTCAATCGACACCCAAAATGCAGCAAAGACGAGGTTTTGTGGCATTTTTGTGCGCATAGCTGCAACTGTGATACAAGATTGGATACTTTTCCCCATGCGATGGTTAGGAAATTCGAGTGTGACAAGTTCAAGGATATTTTAGCTCAACCAGGTATTGCCGTTTTGAAAAGTTCTCTTCCCTGAAACAAGCCCCCTGAATAGAAAGGGGGCCGAACCCCCTTAAGTTCTGACGCCCACCCTTGCCTTTATTTTGACATTAACATGATGTCTCTTCAGGATATCCCGAAAACAACGAAATCCAAAAACCCGAACACATCGAATGCGACAATTATCCACACGGAATGTACGTCAACTGCCATTGCCAACCAGACGACAGCAAGGCAGCCATGCTTTCTCTCGTAATCATGGGCGCTGCTTTCTTGGCCTTCAAGCTCGGCGCTTTCTTCTGGGTCAAATACACCACCTACAAAAGGAGGAATAATGGAGAGAAGGCCGGAGACAACGAGGAAAAAAAGTCGCTGATCAATGGACATTAATTTTAGATTTTTCTGCAGATTTTAATAAATTTGATTAAAATATTTATTAAAAATTTCTTGGGCGTTTTCCTATTTAAAAATCATTCAAAAAATGAATCATTTTTTTTTGAACATCAAGTCTAATCTCCTTCTTTTTTAGCATTTATGTACATTGGCTGCCGAGCAATTCTCGTCTCATCCTTTTCCATCCACTTACTGCTTTTCATCGCTGCCGGCTTTTTGAACATCCTGATAGCATGTTCCGGAACTGGTGGCTTTATTTGCAAGTCGAATTGGATCAAGGGCTCAAGTCGAGCTTTTTGCATTTTGAATATTTTTTTACTTCTCTTGGTTTTGGTCAGAGAAGTGCGTTTTTCAAAATGCAATTCGATAAAAAGCAGATGTGACGTTTGTCTAGGAGACGCTCTAAATAAAAAGAGGCTTTTTTTATGGGAAAAAAATTTCGACAACTTTTGCGTGGGCAGCAACTCGGCTGCTCATTGGCTGGTTTGCCGAATCAAGGCTTCTGATTGGATGAAAATTTCCACGCAAAATTTGTCGAAATTTTTTGTCGATACCAGACACCTCCCCTTTTTTATTCGAAATTTTTTGAGCGCTAGAAAGATCCGCTTACTCCTTACGAAATATCCGTTATGTGGGACTCAGAATGCGATTCAGAAAGCTGCAAAATCGAAGGAGAAAAATTTTGGGACGGTTTGAGCGAAATTAAAAGGCTAGAAACAACCATCGCACACAGGTCAAAATTTTGGCCAGAAACATGCGAAGATTTGCAACCAGAAGACTGTCAAAAAGAATGCAAAGATCAAGGTAAGGAATGCCGCTCGCCAAAGGTTCATTTTTTCGAAGGGGTTGGGGATATAATCGTCGAGATTTTCCCGCCAACCTGCGAGGAAACCTGCGGAAGCATGGAAAGAAACGAGCAGGCTGCTTCGATAACGGAAAAATTTATTTGGATGCTGGTCCTTGCCGAGCTTTTGATCTTGATCATTTGGTCGATCGATGTTCTTGTCGATGACGAGAAAAAAGACGTAAGTGAATTTGGAAGTTTTGAGTCAAAACTTTTGACCTGATTGTTTGATTTTTAGCCGTATCAAGCAGCGCAGTCAGTTTTGTTTCAACATGGGCTGGCGAGAAATATGGACAGATCTTATCAATTTTCACGCTGAAAATAAAATAAATACACAATAAAAAATTATATAATTATTCTGCAAACGATTCTCAAGGTCAAGCATATTCATAGCAGGGTTCTAAATCTGAGCTGAAAATCAGAAGTCGAATCGAGTCGAAAGCGTTTTTGAAAATCGCTAATCGAGTCGAGTCGACTTATTAGTCGAAAAGTCAAAAAACTTGTAAAATATATAAATTTAGTCGAAAAAGTCGAGATTTAGTCGAAAAATCAAAATAAAGTTGGAAGTCGAAAGAGAAGTCGAAAAGTCGAAAGCAAAAAAGTGATTCTTTTCGACTTTTTCGAATAAATTTACAATTTTTTCGACTAGATTTTCCGACAATCCGACATTTTCTGCAATTTTGTTGACGACTTTTTTTGACTAGTCGACAATCTAGTTCCCTCATAGGGTCAAGTCCAATCGATCCGAGTCGACTTGTTTCCACGATCAGTATAGTCAAGTCGAGCTAGTCGTTTCGATTCAGACTCGACTCGACTTCGACTTTAGTCGAAACTCGACTAGTCGATTTGGAACCACTGGCAAATATTCGCCGAATATCCAGAAAGCGTTATCATCGTAAAAAATCAAGTTTTGAATTCTCAATCGCCCTTCTAAGAAACCACCAAAATCAAAACAAACAGTTGTCAGTGCTCCTTCTTCTACTCCGCCCAGATTTTCGACATTTATCCATCAACAGAGATGAAGGTCAAGAATTTATCAATTTTTATTTCTAGCGTTTTCGCGGGTAAAAGCTCGGAACGAGCGAGTGGATTGCTGAAAGAGTTTACTCAAAATTGTGATGGCTTTGATCCAGCGAGCGCGAGTCGGTCAGAGGATTTTCTAGAGAAAAAGAAGAAGAAAAAAAGAGTAAATTTGCTGGGAGAAAAAATTGTTGGTGGATCAAAAGTGCCAACAGGAAAGGATTATTCATTTTTTCGGACTAAATCAATTCATGGAAGTGATTTTATGGATAACCAATAATATGGCTGGATTTGTCTTACCGGCCAATCAAAACCCCATAATCCCTAAAATCAGTTCCATTAATTGATATAACCAATTTTTTTATTGTTTCTTTTTGATTTTTTTCGAATAAATAATTTTTAAAAAGATAATACTTGGCAATGGTTGGGCTCGCTTTCCGGAAGATGCGTTGGATACGACGGGCCGGGTTGCAATGGAGACTTTGTTGAGGTAAGCCTTGCCAAAAGAAAGAAGGCCTTGTTGGTTCAAATTGTTTAGACGGACGCTGGAAAAGGAGCTGGACATAGATGCGGAGGATCGTTGATTTTTGGTGGGGCGTATTTTCTTACCGCAGCTCATTGTGTCGACAGGAACGATTTTTGAATCTTTTATGATTTCCCTGTCCCGAAAGTGAATTCTTCAAATCGTGAAACAGCTCCTTCCCAACGCTCGGAATCAAAATCGACAAACATCTCTTTGAAAACAACGAAATCTTATTCGGCTCAAACAACCTCAACTTCGCCTCTAGCTCTAGAATCGCCGCCGCCGTCATTCACAAAGACTTCGACAACATGAACTTAATGAACGACATCGCTCTTCTGAAGCTAGAAACGCCAGGTCAATTGGAAGCTGGTGATGAAATTTGTATTCCAGAGAATAATTGGAACATGGACGATGATTTCCCATTTGCGACTGAAGCGTTCGTTGCTGGCTACGGTGTCACGAGCTTTGGAGGGTTCGACAAGCAAACGCAGCTTCGAGAAGTGCGAGTTCCCCTCGTCGATGACGTCACTTGCGAAAACAAGTACGACAATCTTGGCTTTGGCAACGTCGTCATGCTCGACGACGCCACCATTTGCGCCGGCTTCCCGGACGGCTTGAATCAAGACGACAACGAGGCGGACTCGTGCCAGGGCGATTCCGGGGGCCCGCTCGTTCAATTCGACGAAGACCACGGCTACCATCAAGTCGGAATCGTTTCATGGGGCTTCGGTTGTGCCTCGACGTATGGAATTTACACCCAAGTTGGGAACTATGTCGACTGGCTGAAGGAAGCGAGGAATTCTTTGGACAACTGCAGCTCGAGCTCGGATTGCCTCGATCCGGCGAAAGTTGAGTCGACGAAACCAAAACCAACAGCAGCTGTGCAAGTCACTCAATCCGGGTCGGGATCCACCCTCATGTGCAAAATGAAAAAAGGTCGAATCGAGCCGCTCCGCGCCGGCTGCCGAAACTGCAAAGAAATGAAAAAGAACAAATGCACCGGAAACCCGAATGATCCCCTTCAATGCAACGGTGTGGAAGTGCACAAAACTTGCAAAAGCTGCAAAAACTTCAAAAAGGGAAAATGCATCGGCTCCCCTTGTCGGCTCAGCTCGGGCATTGTTTCGCTACCCGCCGGATGCAAAAATTGCAAAATGCTGAAAAAGAATAAATGTGGCGCTGTTCCCGGAAAATTCACGAAAATGTAAAATCGCGACTGAATTTTTCAATTTATTTTTTTCCAATTTTACAAAAATTACTCATCCGCGCCGCCGAAATCATCGTTTCCTCCATCATCGAAATCTCCTTCTGCAAATTCAATTTAGCGAATTTTTCCCAAAAACAAACATGAAAAAACATGCAAACAACAATTTACCGTGCACGAATTGTTAAAAAAAGAATGATGTTAGTTCTGATGATGGTTCTGATGATTGTTAGTAGCATTGAAGTTGACAGTGATTTGTGATTGTGCGATGTGAATGAAAGTTGTTATGGATCATTTATGCTAAAAATTGGTTTAGAATCCGTCGAATTTTACCAATGTCGAACTCAGCCATTGCCATTTCCATTTCAGCATCGAGCTCAGCGGCATTGTCGACGTCTGCATCCGCCTTTTTTCATTGGTCGAAATTTACAGTGCTCAACAAGTGCCGCATTCTTAGATTTCTGCTAAACTGACCCTTGGATCAATCATCTCCTTCTTCATTTTCGACCAATTCCTGCTCCCCTTGATTGTCGCCTTCTTCGCCACCCTCGTCGACATCGCCTTCGGCATCATCATTTTCAACCCTGGTCGTGCTCTTGTCATTGTCAAGCGTGGCGGAGGAACTCCATTTCGATATCAAATGACCTTCGATGCATTTTGTTATCATCAAAATTAAGGGAAGAAATACCGTAGATTTCCGGATATTGAATGGCAAGATCAAGCTCGATATTTCGCGCCTTGAATTTGTCTACCAAGTCTGAGTACCTAAAACTCGCCATCAAAAAAGTAAAAAGATAAGTAAAAGAGCAAATTGAAAAGCCGCGTAGCGGCTTTTTTAAGAACGAAGCCGCGAAGCGGCTTCGCTTAATAAAAAGCCTCAGCTACGCGGCTTTTTCTTTGACTTTTTTGGAACCCTGACTCAGGTTTTTACATTGGCGCCCGAACCAAGAATCATGCAAGATGAACCCTACCTCAATCCAGCCGAGCAGCTAGAGACGCCAAGTAAAACTTCAAAACTCGCCACTATCAAACATCCAAGACAGGCCCACAAGCCAGCAACAGCATCGCGCGTCCGCCAAATTTCGACAAGTCGCTCAGACTCAATGTTGAAAAGCACCAGGATTCGGGTTATCAGCGCTATTGCTGCCAAAGAGGTAAATAAACAGATGAATGCGATGAATTTTGGATGCTTGTTTCGAGGATCGATTTTGCTTGAAAATTTTAAAGTTTTTTTTTCAATCAATTCCATTCCTTGAAAATCAAACAAATCGTTCCCGCAGAAATGAGCAAAAAGCCGAATAGAATTTCTTCCCCATACATGTAATCGATAGGATTATCGATGACAACGATAAGTCCAAAGATGACTTTAAAATAGCCCTTTTCTTTCTCGAATTAAAAAGTACCTGAGAGAGCGCCGCAAAAGATGTGGGTCCGAGCATGGCGACTTGCGCTCCATGACTTGAAATATTTCAAATCTGCCCAGGAGTGATGCCCTTCTGCCAGTGCGAGGTACTCTGTTATGATGACTTTCTTTCGATTCGGAGCGTACTTACAAGAGTTCAAAAAGAAGCAAATAGGGTCAATTTTTTTTGTTTAAAAATTCTTGATTCATGATTCATGAATCATGAATCACGATTTTTCATCAAAAAATTGGCAAATGTTCGAAAAAAAAAATTTCCCGTTTCTTATTGGCTGGCAATAAGAATGCTGTTTTCTGATTGGCTTAGAGGGCGCCGAGATAAGATCTATGAGGATATAACAGGACATTCATTGATTTGTGTTCTAGAACCAACAATTTTTAACAAAATAGGGGCGTCACTATGTTATTTGAAAAAATAATTGTCCCTTATAAAAAACTACCAATTTTACCATATCAATATTCCACAGACTTTGATTGTCCCCTTCGAGCGAATTCCTATCATAATCTCTAGAACCCTGGCTCATCTCTCGGCATGTAATAAGTTTTCTTCTTTCTCTTTCTTTTGCTCGAGTCTTTCTTGCAGGAGCTTTATCGGCTTTTGAAGAAAATCGAGGGAAAACAAAGAAAAGGACCTTTGGGTAAAATATTCATCCAAATGAGCTAGATTAACATTGATGCGCCGAGAGCTGCGGGTAATTATTGATAGACCAAAGAATCAAAACTCTGAAAAACATTTCTTTCTGCTTTATCGAATATTCCAACTTCGATCTTTTGGTTAGCTCAAAAAGCCGCTGCCTTGTCTCATAATGACCCTGTTGCTGGTTGCTTCCAAAAGTGATTCTCTTTTCAGTTAGGGACTCGTTTGTCACATCTCGATTATGCGAATTTCTAGCATTGCGAAAATGAGAAGGAGTTGACCAAGCATTTGACTCGATTTCGGTGTTTCGGAGACGGGATTGTTGCTCCGATCTTTCGTTGTCTGAATTTTGTTTTTGAAAAATTTTGAGAGAAAAATTAGAATGAAGAGCTTTTCCCATAATTTTGGATTTTCGAGCTGAGCCATGCTGAGCCAACTTAGGTCTTTTTTCAGAAAAATAATAGCAAAGCTCAGTTTTAACAGCAAAAATCTTAGCTAAGCCTAGCTTGCCTAAGCCTAGCCAAGCTAAGCCTAGCCTAACTTAACCTAGCCTAGCTTAGCTTAGCCTAGCTAAGCCTAGCCTACCCTAGCTAAGCCTAGCCTAGCCTAGCTAAGCCTAGCCTAGCTAAGCCTAGCCTAGCTAAGCCTAGCCTAGCTAAGCCTAGCCTAGCTTAGCCTACCATAACCCTAATCCTAACCTAGCCTAGCTTAGCTTTTCGTAATTCCAACCTTAGCTAAGGAAACTGAGCTTAAATTTCGGTAAGCTTAGCCTTACCTAGAGCTTAATTCCAAAAAATAGGCTCAGCCTAGCTAAACTGGCTCTATCTTCCATTTTTTAACTCAACCTACTTTGCATTTCAAAATCAAGAATTTCGCTCATTTTCTTCTCGTCTCCGTTAACTCTTTCAACGCCGAAAAAAGATGATCGCAAAGCAGAATGAATTTATAAAAGATCGATCTTATAAGTAAGTCAGAAAGTGCACCTTTGTAATGAAACCCACAACTAATCAAACTTGCAGATTTTTGATCGGCGAGTGTTTACCAAAGAGTTCTCCCTTGAGGTGGGTTTTGAGGCTTCTTTGATTTATGATGGGTTTTGAGTAATTATTGTGAACAGAGAGATCCTTCTTTATCAATTTTTCTTCAACCGAATTCGCCAGGAAACACTTAATTTCGTTCAAAAACTAGAATCATCCGGCATAAGAGTGTTTTAATTGCTCAATTAAGAGGATCGTCGATTATTCTTTTATTTATTTTCTAAACATTTAGCGGAGCCCGTAAGTTTTTTTTTTAAATAATTCGCAGGAACCTAGGGTCTGTTTTGACTCTAAACTTTCTTCTTATTATTTGATCAATTTCTTCCCTGCTATTGTTTTTCCAAAGAATTTGGGAGTACAAAATAATACAATTTAAGCATCAATATCAGAACAAAATTATAAAAAAATTATATTTATTAAGGAAGCCCACAGAAAAGAAAGATTCACAGGAAAGAGTCAAGATCATGATTTGACCGACTTCAAGAACGAAAGTCAGCATTAATTTACACGCGAAAGTCGACGAAAAATCTCATCTTTTATTGGCAGTTGAGATGAGCCAATTTGTTTGTAAGAAGAGCACTACGTTGTCGTTGAAGTTTGCTGATCATTCGTGGTGGAAAGTAAGTCGGGTTGGCGGAGTAGTCGACACCGTCCAAGCAGACGAAGATATCGTGATAGCTCATGACAGCGTCGAAGAAGGACTTGAGCGAGTTGCAAACATTGCCATCAATGACGGGAGGGGTGAAGGATCCAGCGTGGCCAGTTCCGGCGAAATCGTTGCAGCTGCTTGGGGATCGATCCTGGAAGTTGGCGATGATGCCCATGTACTTCATGAAACGAGTGGCTTTTCGAGACTGCTTGTTCAAGTTGGTGCTGTCATAAGCGGTGAAGATCGTACTGGAGAGGCTGTTGAAGGCATCGGTGATGGAAGTCCAGGCAACAGCGCTCGATGGAAGAGGAACTGCGGTGAAGAGAGCGTTGAAGCCGCTGTCGACGATGGTGTCTTCGTTAGACTTGAAAACGACGGTCAAAGTTGTACCAGTGGATGTGAGCGAGTTCCTGTTGCCTCTTCCGCAATACTTCGTCAACTCGTTGTTTCCATCGGGACCGTCGAAGATGATGGCGGCATCGTTGCTACATCCACCAGAGTACGTTTGACCTTGAAGGTTGAAGTTGGAGAAATCGACGCGGATCTTGTAGCCGGAGGGAGCCGTGACAGTGACTCGTTGGTACTGGTTTGGTTCGTACACGCCGTTGACCCTAGGGACGGACCAGGAGGAGGTCAGGGCGTCGGTGGTCAGGGCGAGGTCGACCTTGAGAGTGGTGTCGGGGTTCCAGACTCGATCTTGTTCTGTTTGGGCGGAGGCGAGGGAGAGGATTGGCAAGAAAAGCTGAAAAAGAAATGGTGACTACGAGTACGAGTTTCTTGTAAAAAAAATTTTTTTTCGTGAAATCTCATGTTTTTTTCTGTGGCAAAATTGCTCGTCTCTTGGAACTTACTTTCATCTTTTTTTCTCTTTGTAAAATTCAGAAGAAAAAATCGATATATTTCTTATTTGATGATAATTTGCCGGCTCCTTCTAGTTTAAATACTTTCTCGATTATCAGTTGGATGGCGCCCGCGGTGCGATAAAAATGAGTATGGATTGCAAACACGAGCTTTCTAAGCGCAATGAGTCGAATTGATGATGTCAAAAACAATGTTTTTCAAGTAACGCGCGCTTGCTAGAAAAGGGGATTATTTTTTCTTAGCTTTCGTGTTCCTGCGAAAATTCTAGTGTACAGTTTCTTAGCTATCACCGACTTGAAAATTTTTAAAGAAAAAAATTTCCAGTTAAATTTTTGTTGGTTTTTCGGATTTTTTATGTTTTTTTCGCATTTATTTTTGATTTTTGACAAGAAAAAATTTTTTTTCGAAAATTTTATTTTTTCTGACAAAAAAAATATTTTTTGAACAATATTCTTAATAATTTTTTCGAGTCGAAATTTTTTTTAAAGAAAATCCTCCACGTGGACGAGGGATTGGCGCTAGAATGTCTGTTTTGAAACGTGACTGACGGACTATTTCAGGTTGTGATTTGTTTTAGTTGGAGAATCTAAAATAAGACTTGAACTTTTTTCTTGATTATTCAGAACAGAATAATGAATGTTCAAAAATTGTCAGAGACAAAAACTTAAAAAGAGACAGTGTAAGTACCGTATTTGATAAATATCGAATGAGCAATCAATAGATTGTCAGATAGAAATGCACAAAAGCCCTCGTAATGGGCATCATTGAGTTGAAATATTGATGAGATTAAAAGAGCTGCTTCATCAAGATAAAAAAATCCGCAGTTCTCAAAGAGAAGAAACCGATATAATTCATACAAAATGCTGAAAATAAAGCCGATTCAGTCCTCTCAATGCTCAAGGTACGGAGGCCATCTCAATTTAAGGGGCTCCGGATTTTCACAAGGCAGTCACAACGTTACGTGCCACTTAAATTTTTTCCGATCAAAAAAAAGAAAAGTCCTTTATCTATCCTACCTAAAGGATGTAAATTCAAATATCGATATGAAAATAAACACACAAAAACGGGTCGAATGAGGACGAGAATTAAGGGTTCGCGTCAGGAGCCGACAAAAAAAATTTGCGTGGGCGGCTACTCGGCTGCTGATTGGCCGGTCAGCCGAATTCAAACTTCTGATTGGTTGAAAATTTCAAACAACTCGACATATTTTACTTGGAAATTTTCAACCAATCAGAAGCCTGAATTCTCTTAACCGGCCAATAAGCAACCGAGTAGCTGCGAACGAAAAATTTGTCGAAATTTATTTGTCGGTCCGTGACTCATCCCCGAATTCTGTTGAATTTGAAATAGAAAATTTGGCAGAATATCGATCGTAACAGCTCCATGTCAAATTTGAACCTGTTCATAATCTTAACATTTTGCCCTGTAATATAAATTCCAGCGTGTCGTGCCAGCAGCTCCGACGACATTCGACATCAAACATTTTCACCAAGATCGAGAATTTCGACATCGACCCGTTCATCCGACCGCCAATTTGTTTTTTGTTAACATGGTTGACTCTTGTCAGCGGAATCTGGCTCCTCTGGAAGATCGAAGAAGACGAGTTGGTTTTCAATTATCCCAAGTTTGTTTTGAAAATAGTTTTTCTAGGTAGCTCTTTTTTGAAAAGCCCAAAAGATGAGAAATTTAGTTTTTCTTGGTTTCGGAGGCTTAGTTGTCGGAATAATTTGGCTGTTGAAAACAAATGAGCAACGGAAATTCTTCAAGAAATTTTCGAAAAAACGTCGATCAACAGGTTCTAGCTCTTTTTCAGCATTATCTAATTCTGCCATTTTTAGCATTGAGTTTTCCAAGAGCTTCCTCACGACTTTCAACGACTCAGATCAGCACTGAATGTGATTTACAATAAATAAAACAAAAATAAATCGATTAATTTGGGGCTAATTTGATAAAGAAAGATAAAACCGCTGCAATTGAGTGAGGGGGTAGATATCATGAAAAGATATAATTTTCTGGTTTTAACTAACTTCAAAAGCTAATATAGTGACACCCTTATTCCAAACCCCAATTATCGCTCTCTATCTCCTTAAAATGGTCTAATTTTCTGGCGATCAAAGTAGACTTATTCGAAAAACAATGAAAAATAGACAAATAAGAAACATAAAGCAGCTTGTCTTTGTTAATTACGTTCATTAACAAAGAGCTTAGAGAATGACGTTAAAGTTTATTAATAATAAATTATTATTATTCCGTACTTACCTCAGGAAAGAAACCTGTCTAAAATCAAGTGTTACATTTGAAATTAATTATTGAAAAAATCAAAAGGGAGGCAAAATGATCCAAAAACAAGAATCACTAGAATTTTTTCTGATTCGATTTTGATCTTTTTTGATTGGTCAATGTATAAAATTCGAGATTCTTATTGGCTGAAATCAAAAAGCGCCTTCCCAAATTCCTGCTTTATAAAAAAAACCCGCTCCGAAAATAGCTTTTTCTGAAGGAGGAAAATTAACTTGCCAGGAAGCGAAAAGATATTTGACCGCAAATAGTTCGGCGCGTTGGAAAAATGGAAAAGACGCCTGTTCGAAGTTTTGTTTCTGGTAAAAGCTTCAAAGTTGTGTTCAACAATGTCGTTTTTCTTCGTTACAACCTGTCGCCGGCTGGAAAAAGCAGTTTGTTGATACAACTAGATTTAAATTTCTCATCTTCGAATTTCGAATTTCAAAATCTTCGTTCTTTTCAACTTTTTTTTTCTCGATTTTCCGTAATTTTCTCGATGACCATTTTTCATGCTTTCTTCGGTTGAAAAAAGCATGATTTCTGGACAATAATTATTTTGACAAAATTTATCTCGAATCGAGCATCTCCGACTCTCCGCGGGGGATTAAAACCGACAGTGTTCGGAAATTGAAATTATTGGCTTGATAAGAGCTGACAAGAGAACATGAAGCTTTCGCCGATTTTACTCGCTGCTGGTGCTTCAGGAGTGTTTTAAAAGATGGTTTGGTCGTTTAAAATAATTTTTTCGATAAGAATTTTCCTAAAAAATGAGCGTTCTCTATCGACCCCAGCCTTAATTTTCTAAATTTCATTTTAAGTATGACTTTTACTATAAATAACTTTTCCTCATTATCCCCAGCGGAGATACTTTTGAAGTCTTTATCCTATTCCTGATCGCATTTAATTAAGGGAAAACAGAGAGGTCCCTGCTACTTATTCCGTGTTTTTAAAAACAACACAAGCAGCATGTTTCATTTTCTTGATAAAAACAAGAGAAACGCGAGTTCTAACCGTATTTATGGTTATAATGCCGCTTTCATTGTTCGTTTGAAGGAGCATCTTTTCGAGTTTATGGTCGTTCCAAGGTGGCTAAGAGACCAGAGATTTTTTAATAATCGGATTCAATTTTAAAAACACATTCGATTAATAAATTGAATAAGGCACAAAGGAACAAAATCGTTTTGGCGTTGTCTTCGTAGAAAAAAAAATGTAATCGAAGAAAATTTGGATAAAGTTGAAAATTTGAGAGGAGGCTAGAATTATTGCTTAAGGGGGTAGAAACATTTTTCTCGATGTTGTACTCTAGCTACATAAAAGAAAACATCATTACATTTATTTAAATTTATTTACATTTACATATATTTGAATAAAATTTGTTTTCCTATTACGTGACTCGGAGTATTCGAGGCTGAAAATGTAAGAAAATCAAGAATTTCGTAGAGATGAGTTGCTTCTGAGCCCCATTTCTCAAAAATTTGATCATTAAAACAAAATTTCGAGGGAGATGTTCCTAGATCTAAGATGTTTCTATCTAAATATGAAGAGAAAAATAGAAAATCTAAGATTTTTTTGTCTGTAGCGCCAGTCGAAATGCGCTTATTTTCGAAAAAAGCTGTTTCTACCCCCTTAAATCCAAGACCCTTCAGATAAAATTTTTGGGGGACGGGCGGCTACGTTAAAAATTTGTAACGCTGTTACAATTTTGTAACGCCGTTACAAAAACTCAGATTTTTTACGCAATAAAAATTATTTTCCATCCCGTAATCATTTTTATTTTAGACAGAATAAGTATAACAATAAGCAGGTATACCAAAAAGTAGTTTACTTTAATTCAAGCGCGAAGCGCACACTCGTTCAATGATTTTGATTTTGAATTTTTGTAACGCCGTTACAATTTTTCTACTTGTAACGTAGCCGCCCTACACCTAATTTTTTCTCTAGTTAAAAATTGAGAAGATAAAGTTCATAGAGTCACTTGTGTACGATTAAAATGGAATATCTTGCCAATATTTCCCCAAACACAGTCATAAACCATGAGTTCTTTATTCCACTTGTTTTTGGTATTTCGATTAATGTTGATGAAAACAATCAGGAGTCTTGCTCATTTCTTTCTTTTTATTTTGTAAATAAAAAATGAACCAAATAATTTGTTTCCACTTTATTACGGAATTCAGCGTAATTACAATAGAAAAAAGCGCTAAATGACCTAGAAAGCAGAAAACCTCTAAAAGAACTATTTTCTACGAAAAAAAAAACATTAAAAATCACGAGTCAAAGTTGACTTAATAAAAATGAAGGTGATGAAAAAGTAGAGTGAAAAGGTTAATTTATCTCAGCTCAATTTCGTCCTCGAAAGTTTTCAAATTTCAAGAGAAGTCGGAATTTTCGGAATTATCATTTGTCAAAAACACGCAAAAGCCGATTGCCCAGAAATCCTCAACGAAAATGGCTGGGACAACCCAACACCAGGGAAGCTCTCACCAAGCATGCGTTATCCACTTGGCCTGAGCTCCGAGCGAACTCAAACTGTCAAGTACCAAATTAAAAAGTACGGCCTTCACGAATCCGCTTATCTCGGCTTCTTGACCTTCAACGGCTACCACTGCGGCGAGGATTTCATCAACAAGGCCCTTGTTGATGGCCGCATCAAATTGGACATTGTTGACACTCAATACGTTTACGCGTTCAATTCTACGACCAGTTACGAGACGCTCAAGGAATCATCGCTGACTGGGCGATATGTCGATCGAAGAACTTACCAATTTGTGTACGTAATATTTCGATGATTATTTCACAAATAAATTTTTAGCGCTCGACCTCGGCCAGATGATTTCTCTGGAAACAAGTGGGGAGTCGGGAACAACAAATGGGTCGACACTCTCAGTGTCACTTTCAACGGTCTTGACAAAGTCGAGTGGGGCGAGCGCAGCATGACCAATTGTCTTCAAAAAGTGAAGCTCGGATTCACGTCCGATGAAGACTTCACTGGACGAGCATACTACGATGGCGAGGATTTCACCCCCTGCATCTTTCCTTCTGATAACGTTGTGACGACAACGACCCCACAAGGGCCAACGACGACGACGACTCCTCAAGGACCAACGACGACTACTCCACAGGGACCAACGACGACAACGACTCCACAGGGGCCGACGACAACAACAACTCCAGGAAGCGGGCAGATAAGAACTCTATGTTTTGAAGCGATCCATGCTTTCCGGGGTCCTCCGGAAGTATCAAATTGCGTTCTTGAATTTGTTTTTTGAGCCCGTTGCAAGGTGAATTCACTCACAATGGCGATGGAACTGGTGGCAACGCTCCACAATACCGAGCTTATGTTGCAGTCAATGGCGAGGAGAACGTTGCTGCCATTGGGATAGTGTTACAATTTTCTCGAGAAAAGATAAGAGAATAATGTCGTGGAAGCTAAAGGAATGCAAAAATTTGTTCAAGCATTATCGCGTGGTGAAAGCTGTTTTGACGTTGATCGTGATTGCTATTTTGATCGTTTTGGTTGTTGTTTTTGAAGTTCCTTTATGATCGGATTCAGAATTATTTTTAAAGCTAAATTAGAACCTTTTTCTAAGTGCCTTCGTTTTTTTTTATAAATATTTTGATATTTGATGATTCTGATATGATAACACAATCATGAATCTTTTCAATAGCCACACCAGCAGATGATGAATATGATTATGATGACGATCGCATTTTTGATCGAAGGGTTGAGTCAAACGATTCCACACCAGCCGCATAGCCGAGTCGAGAGTCATCACAAAATACGATTTATTTTTAAAATTATTTCTTGCTTATTTACATATGTATCTCTTTTCAATATATTTTACTAATTTTTTATATGTGAGATTTCTGATTCAAAGCAAAGATCGGATATAAGACAGTATATCGGCGTTTTAGATGTCGATTCGTTCGGGTAAAGAATTCTCTCTCTAAACATGTAACACAAACAAAGACACGGCCCTCATGCTGCTGATGGCCAACTTCTTTCAAACGGCGGATATGTCGCGACCGGTATCTCCAGCGCAACAGAGGGCGGTCAAGTTGGAATCGGCTGGGTCGCTCGGGTCGATCCCTGCCCGAACCCAGACAGTTACGAAAACACGCTGGGAACCATGCTCACTGGAGCTGGATCAAACTGCGCGACGAAATTCAAGTGGGCTTGGAAGCAGGCTAGCGGTGGAAAACATACTCATATGGTCTCGGTCAAAGAAAGTCCCGATGGAACATATGTTCTTGCCGCTGGATTGAGAAAGTCGAGCAGTAATGGTAAGATTTTTTTTTTGTCTCTTTTTCTGTTCTTTCATAATCCTTGTTAAAAATAAGAGAAATAGGCAAGAGAGAATGAAGATCAGAAGAAGAAGATTCCTCGTCGAAATCATCTCACGATAACTCTAGAATACAACGGCTACGTGGTAAAACTTGACGTCGAAACCGGAAACCTCATCTGGGACTTCGACTTCACTTCTGGCTCCGGCGTTCGATCGGGGTTCGAGACGATTCATTTCACATCTGACGGAGGCTTTATCGTTGGCGGCTTCTCTCATCGGGAATGGGAAGAGCATCCTTATTTCAAATCAGGAGGACAGGTTGACAATGGTCGCCCAGTTTTGCATAAATTCAGCGCTGAAATTGCGAATGCTGCTACTGTTTCTGATCCAATGCCGGAATGGACTTATAGATGTGGCGCTGTGGGAACGACCTGTGATCTTAACGATGGATCGATGAAAAATGCACGGGTGTATTTTGACGATGGGGTTGAAAAAATCGTTGCTCTTCCTGTCTGGCGAACGATCTTCATCATTATCAATGCTCAGACTGGGGAAGAGCTGATCTACTCTGGCGATGCAATCAACTCCGGCTTCACAGATGATGGAATCGCGAATGATGTCGAAGTCGAATTCGACGATTCCGGCGCTGTGATGGGTTTCGTCACTACAGGCTTTCGAATAACAACTGTTTCAACTGATAACGGGATGCCGTGTTCTCATGCAGAGGACGGAAAATGCGGCGTCTTCCATGGCTTCTTTGCGAAATACAGCAAGAGTCTTGACCAGCGACTTTGGAGAACCACTTTCAATACTGGCGATTGGCCCGGAGGAGCTGGGCAGTTCAAGGACCTCGAAGCAAGTGCTTACAAATCGTTGGTTTACACCGAGTGCTGGGGCATGACAAAAGTCACAGGTCCAACTGGCCATGTCGGATACGCTGCAGCTTGCGGCTCGGGAATCGAAGGTTGCGACATTCACGGAGAAATTCCCTGCGAAAACGATCCAAGAACCACTTGGCGAGGAGCTGTTCCGAGAATTGACCGAGAGGGAAATCTCGTCTGGTACCGGCTTGATTCTTTCCGTGGCCTTTTTGACGATGGCGAGACGGTAACAGATGATGTTTCGGAATCTGCTTCGGAGTACATTTTCGAGGACAAATTCGGAAGGATCGTCTCAGTTACCGATGAAGGAATGGGCGGAGTTGGGTTTTTAACCTACGAATGCGAAGATGGAATCACTTGTTTCTGAAAATTTCTCTGATTTCGCATTCTCTGATTTCTCATTAGGAATAATAAGCAATAAAAACTGAACAGTTTTGAATGAGTGAAAACATGTCCAGTCTTGTCTCGAAAATTCATCGAAGAAGTATATTACTAATCAAAAAATATTTAGCTTACAATGGATACGTTGCGAAAATCAACATCAACACTGGCGCTACGATCTGGGACTTCGACTACAAAACGAATTCTGGAACTCGATCTGGCTTCGAAACAGTCCACTTCACTTCGGATGGCGGTTTCATCGTTGGAGGTTTCACACATCGAGTCGACGTTGAAATGCCTGGCTTCAAATCGGGCGGACAAGTCGACCAAGGACGACCTGTCATGCACAAGTTCAGCGCTCAAACCGCCAATTCTGCTTCGGTCTCGAATCCAACGCCAGTCTGGACCTACAGCTGCGCCTCTGGCTCCAACAGCTGTCAGCTTGACGACGGTTCGGTCAAGAACATGCGAGTCTACATGGACAATGGGGTCGAAAAAGTCGTTGGTCTTCCCACAAGCCGAACAGTCTTCATCAACTTGAACGCCAACAACGGTAACGAGCTCATCTACTCCGGCGACGGAATCAACAGTGGACACATTGGCGACGGAACCGCCAATGACGTCGAGGTTGAATATGACGATGCTGGTAATGTGATTGGTTTCGTCACTACTGGCTTGAGAGTCACGAAGATCCAGAGCGACAATGGCGTCGGCTGCGGAGCTCAAGAAGACGGATGCTCGGTGATCAAGGAAAAGGGCACGATTTCTTATTTCAAACTAAATAAACTTGAATTAATGACTCTTAGTAGTTGAGCGAAGGCCACGTTTGAAAATTCTCACTTTGTTCATACTTGAGTGATAATCGATTTGAGTCCTTCTTAGGGTGTTTTTACGAAGTACAACAAAGCACTTACTCAGCGAGTGTGGCGACAAGCGTTTAACACTGGAGAATGGCCAGGAGGAGCTGGACAGTATGATCTTTTCATTCATGCAGAACTTGTTCATTCTGTTTAGATTTTCTTCTGTCTCCGCGACTCCGTACAAGTCCCTTGTCTACACAGAATGCTGGGGCTTGACAAAAGTGATGAACAACGGTGTCCATGTCGGCTATGCTGCAGCTTGTGGTTCTGGTGTCGAGCCTGGCTGCGATATCCACACCGGGGCGATCAAAACTGCTTGCCAAAACGATGTCAGGAACGGGTTTTTGATACAAAAAGACAATTTTTTCTAAAAAAATATTGATAAAAAATACCCTAAAAAAGAAAAGCCTGGCGAGGGGCCGTCACTAGAATCGATCGCGCAGGAAACTTGGTCTGGTACCGACTGGATTCGTGGTTCTGGTCAGCAAATGAGAGAGGAGAATCAGCTTCGGAGTACATCTTCCAAGATGCCAGCGATAGAATCGTCTCTGTAACAGATGAAGGATTCGGTGGTTTTGGATTCCTGACTTATGATTCCTCATAAAGTCGTGTGTAACTGATAATAGAATGAATAAACTCAAGGTGTTGAAAAAGACTTTTATTGAATAAATTAAAGATGCAATTGGAAAGAATGATCAGAATCGTGCTCGCTGAAACTCGTGAATTGTGACAAAGATGACATTCCGTTGATTAAATAGTCGATTCTTGCTCTGAGAAAAGGGTATTCAGCTAAAGACTGCGCGATTCTCTCGTTCAAAGAAAGAGTTTTTCTCGCTCCAAGGGCCAAAGAAACTAGTAAAAAAAGAAAACGCATCTTTTCTTCTCTTCTTGAAAAATGAGCTCTTTTTATATATTTTTTGATTGAGTGCTAGTCTGCTGAGCGTCGTCTTGTCAGATAGACTACCGAGATTGTCTTATTAACGTCGATTAAATGAAGGCCAGGATAGAATTTTTAATTAACAAATAGCTGAAAAGGTATTCTCTGACAGGAATACCTGGCTGAAATGGATTAAAAGGCCAGTTTTAATCACATTTACAAATCCGAGACTTCCCAAAATCCTTACTTTTAACAAATCCCATTTTGCCCTTCAGATTTCCGTTAATCCTTGAGCTGCTATTCCCTAAGAAGCGTTCGTTCAGAAAAGAGCTAGAAGGGCTCCTGTTTCTTTACGTAGCCCAAGGGGACAAGCAACAGATTAGGCCAAATTAATTCTACGCCGCTTCTTTTTTTCGCGTTCTTTTCCATTCTAGATCTCTTTCAAAAACACGCTTCTTCTCTTAGTCCACTTGAATTCACGAAAAATGAGCAGCCTGAAAGAAAGACTTTTAAAGCTCTTTGGCTGTTTTACGGCAAAAGAGAATGATGAACCAGAACCGATTAAAAGAGGAGAAATATCAGGTCAAAGGCTAGAGAATCAAAGTTCCGAAAATGAATTATAGAATCGTGGTCGCATTGGAGAATAATCATCATCGACAAAAACGGAGAAAAGGAAGCTGATCCTAATCTGTACACTCGGCTCGGAAGGGTCAAAATCAAGTTCAAGCAAGAATGTTTCAGCGTTTCTACAATTCTAAACTCGATTTTCAACATAAACAATGTCTCAAAAGATAGAGAAATCAAAGCAAAGCTGATTTCTATCCTTTTTTCATCTGGAAAGGGTCTTTTTTAGTTGGAAATAACTGGATAAAGCTTGAAAAAGACCTTCATAAGTGATGATAGAAACGAAAGAGTGCATTATGCGATCGAATCCGAAAGTAATTTCCAATAGCGAGAGGATCGCTTTCATCAAAAATCCTCCGAAAATCAAGTGGCTGAAAGAAAATCGCGAGGAATTCGACCTAGAGGAAGCTATTAACAATTTCTTCCAGGTAAAATCAATTCCCTCAAGGCTCCTGTGTAGCAACCTGAGCAGAAGGCTGAGTCAGGGCTCTAGCAGAAGTTCCTCTAAACTGAGAAGAAACCCTGACTCAGAATTCTAAACAGGTATCTGAGACCACCACATCCTTCTATCGCCCTAATTTATCTGATTTTAGAGAGAAGAAGACAATTTAGGTTCAACTGACGCTAGACTATTTCCTGACCAAGAAAACACTTTCTTCTTTCAAATTCTGTAATTTTAATTTGAATGAATAATAAATTAGTTATTTTTGTACAAAGCGTTAAAATGGCGACCGAGAATGAGTTTTCGAACTTCCGTCGTTCCAGCGCCGATTTCTCCGATTTTGCAGTCTCGCATGATTCGCTCAGAAGGATATGCGTTTGCTAAAGAAAAGAGGGTCAGCTAGAACAATATGACTATAATCTTACTGTAGCCATTGCCACCGAGGATTTGGATAGCTTCTAGGGCGACTTTTGTTGCTTGTTCGGCGCCGTACATTAGCTAAAAACGGGGTAAAAATGACTTGAAATGTTCAATTTTCGTTCTTCTAAGAGAGAAAATAAGCAACAGTTACTTACAACAGCAGCACAATCGTGATTTGTCAGCGTTCTTTGATCCCTATCAGCCGCCTTCAGTAGGGCATACAAGTATGCTCGAGTTGCGCTCAGCTGAGCGTACATTTCCGCCATTTTACTGAAGAAAACGCTTATCAACTAATAATTCGAGAAATCATTACCTCTGCATCATCTGAAACTCCCCAATCGGCACTCCAAATTGCTTCCTCTCATGCGCGTAAGGAAACGCGCAATCGCAAGCAGCTTGCATGTATCCGACCGCTCCAGCAGCTCCAGTCAGTCGCTCGACATTCAAGCCCTTCATCAGTACCGCTGCTCCTCGTCCTTCAGCGCCCAGGACGGAAGAAGCGGGGATTTTGACATTGTCGAAATGGAGCTCTCCCGTGTAGCTGCCTCTGACGCCCATTTTGCCAGGAATCGCAGTCGCTGTGAAGCCTTCCAAGTCGCGGACGTCGATCGCAAAGGCGGTGATACTCTTGCTGCCTTTGGAACTTGGATCTGTTCGAGCGTAGAGGACGAGTGTGTCGCAAATAGGACCGTTTGTGATCCAGAATTTCGTGCCGTTCACGATGTAGTAGTCTGTTCCTGGCTGTTTAACCGCTTGGCATCGCATGGACATCACATCGGAGCCAGATCCGGGCTCAGACATGGCCAGGGCACCTTAATTTATGTGTTGACTGGTGGGGAAATCTTCAGGTCATAAGACTTACCAATAGTCTGACCAGAAACCAATCCAGGCAAAAACTTGGCTTTCTGCTCCGGAGAACCGTTTTTTTCGATGACATAGGAGGAGAGACATGTGTGCGCAAAGATTCCCATGTAGACGCCGCCCGATATGCGCGACAACTCCTCGAGCATAAGGGATGTTTCGAAAAGACCCATTCCAGTTCCGCCGAATTCTTCCGCAGAAAGGGTTCCCAAGACGCCTTGCTCGCCGCATTTTCGCCAGAATTCGCGGTACTCGGGGAAGGAATCCGTTTCATCGATTTCACGACATCTTAAAAAGTCATTTTTAAAGGCAATAGAAATAATACAGTAAGAAAAGCCGGGCTCTTTCCAGATTCCAAAAAAACGACGAACCTTTGTTGGGTAAGTTCGCTTTCGAAGAAGTTCCGAAAATTCTCCCGAATCGCCGACTGCTCTTCCGAAACTCCGAAAAGATGATCTTCAATCGGCACAATTGACAAATTTCTCTTGACAATTGTTTTTTGCTGCGCTAGAATTCTTCGAAATCCAAGCTTCATTTTTCTTTTTCAATTTCTCTTACAAACGAATCTGATTTTAGGAACACGCCCCAGGCATCGAAAAGAGGGAAAATATTTGATTTGAAAAAATAAAGTGAACTTTGGTCGTGCAAGAGCATTTTTTTGAGAAATGAGGAGGGCGTGGGAAACGCAAAGGAGGTCCTCACTGTGCTGGAAGTTTGGAAATACGCAGGAAGAATGGGAAAGCGCACCGCCAATCAGCGCGCGATGAGATTTGAATTGCGAAAAAGGCTTTCGATTATTGCCGATTTCTGCGGCTATTTTATGGAGGCGAAGATTTTTGATTCTTTCATTTTTCTTCGTGGAAGATGTAGATTCTATTCTTTTTGTTCTATAAAAAGTAAATATATAATGACTGTTTATCGTCACTTTTTATTTGAGTTTAACTTTCAATAAGGATTTCTGAGTGAAATCCTGACCCCCCTTTTTTATTAGCTCATTTGAAAGAGTGTAAAAAGTTACTCAAAAAGTTGATTTTTTTTGTCGAAGATGACGTCACAGCACGTGATCGAAGTTCCGAAGTACCGGATTTCTCCTACGCCCGCATTTTAAAGTCCTCTTAGCTCCCCGAGCGTGTGATAGCTGAAAATGATCGTCTCCTCGAGCTCTAGGTCAGCATCTACTTTTCAACCCTTTTTTTCGAAATTGAAATTTGAAAAAAAGGATGAAAGGGAATGAAAAGGGTTGAAAAGTAGATGCTGACCTAGAGCTCGAGGAGACGATCATTTTCATGTATTGCATGCCCCTCTAGCTCAGAGCATGTGAAAATGCGGGCGTAGGAGCAATTCAGTACTTTTGGGACTTCAATCACGTGCGGTTAAGTTAATAACTCCCATTCCACTTATCTACCAAACTTCTGAAATCAAAGGCGCGTCATCGCCCCTTTTAAAGAGGCAAAAAATATTTGAATATTATGACGATACTGTATCGTCGATACAGCTATACAAGCAGAATAATTAACGAGTTGCTAAAAGTGCTCGCCTCTCTTGTCTAAACTGGATTAGAAAGGGCACTTAGCCAAGTACTCCACGAACAAGAAATGATAGATCGATCACCGCCCATTAGTAGTCCACATACAAATCAAACATATTAACACGGCAATTAGCATTTTAAGGCGGCCAGCTTTGAATTAGACCCAATTTTTCGGCCAAAAAGGGTCGAAATCAAGGATGAATTCTAGAGCAGCCGCTCTTCTATGATTTTCTTCGGGATTTATTGGAGTGACACCCTCATTCTTCCAAAAGAAAAACAGTAGATAAAATGAATATTTATTGATTTGAGAAGTTACTGTCTACTTTTCGATGGGGGTAAAAAGCTGACTTCGTAAAAAAGCAGCTTGAAAATCGCAGAGCAAAAGAGCAGTTCTCCAGCCAGTGTCGCGAAATCGATCTCCTTGAGTTGCACGAATGCAGTTTTGCTCGTATTTCTGGTATACCATTTTCATAATCGATGTCCGGCCGCAGCTCATCCGGGCACCCCATGCTCAAATTATGAATTCGGATAAATGATCCATTTTCGGTAATTTTCGCGAACTCGTAACTCCTCATTGATTTTTTTCGTTGGCAGAGCTGATTATATATTTCTAATTGGATCATTTTCAAAAAGGTGTAATTGAGGACTTCCTTATCGGATCCTCCGGGAGGTGCGTTTTTCGTTGCGATTAGGGAAGCCACTGCCTCGATTTTTTGTGCTCTGGATCTGCTTATCGCGATCACCTGTTACTCGGCTATCGGGCACTTGCCATAACTGCCATTTTTACACATTTATGAGGCAGGACAATATTTTCAATATTTAGCCGCTGACTTTATAAGGAAAGTTGATTTTTCTTTTGAAAAACAATGGAATTCAATATTTGCATACGACTTCTAAGCGATTATACTAGCCATTGTAAATTACTTCTCTCTTGCTTCTTTTCCAAGTTTAAAGCGGATTTTCTTATAATCTGCAAAGAGAGGCATAAAATGTCTGAAAAATCGTACTACAGCGAGAGTTTTCTCTCCGAAGATTCAGTTATTACTAACTCAGCATTAGTTCGTGAGGAAAATAATGGTTTGAATAGAATTTTTTCGGGTGTTTAGAACAACTGAGATCTGAAATGAAAGCAGAATCAAATATACTCAACGATGAAGTACGACGGCTAAAAGTCACACTTTCGGATGCATTGATAGACAACGCTGATTATAAAAAACGAATCGCAGAACTTGAAAATACCGTCGAAAACCAAGGTCTTAAAATAGACCAGCTAGAAAAAACTGTCGAAGAGAAAATGTTGGAAAATGAGATGGAAAAACTCGATGTCAGTAGTGAAATGAAAATTTTCAAACCAGCTCAGAAGCGTGCTGCTTTTCAAGAAAATTATGGCTTGCATGAAAAACAGCTTGAGAGTCTTCAAGAATACGGGAATGTTTTTAATTTAAAAATATCTTATTTTTGTCATTTATAAAACTATTACTTTCATTCGAAAAGCTTAAAAAGTTGCCTTGGCCACTCTACCGAGGATGATCAGAGTGAAACTCATGGTGGAAAAAAATTTTTTGATACAACGTCTTTTGCGCTCATTATGAAAGCTTATAAAAATGGAATGAAAAAATTCACCCTGAAGGTTGCTCGAAGAATAAATTAAAAAATTGAAAATAAACGATTAAATAGTTCGGAGCTTCAGATAAACACTTTTATGTTGGAAAGTCACAATTTCATTACTTCGATGAAAAAATAAAACCGGTTGGTGATCAAAAATGGCGTCAATTTTTTTCCATCGCTCACGAAGGTAACTGATTCTGAGAATCTGTTTTATTTTTATTCAGGGCGAAAACTTCGGTTCAAAGCGAGACTTCAAGCTATGGATGCAGTTGCGGGTTTTGAACGAAAACTATACGATTGGAAAGAAACAGATTCTGAAGGTGTTCTCGAGCAAATTATTGTTCTGTCGAATTGGCCTCCAGGAGGACAATGGTACAGCAGATATCATCTGATTTTTCTTGAATAAACAATAGTCAATAATTCGAAACAAACTTTTGAGTATACTTTTTTAACTTCGAGATTTTCAAGATTTTCATTCTGATGAATTTGCTGGTGAAATTATCTCAAAAGGCTTTCTCAAACTCTCTTTATCGTTGTTTTTGCTCTTATTAGTTGTATTAGGTATTTTTTGAAAAAAATAATGCACTGGAAAATTTTTATTTTTCAAGACGATCATTTTGCGCCAAAAACTCCGAAATTGACCTACAGAAGAAAAAGTTATAAAATCTTTTTAAGCTTTATTATAAAAAAGCGCGTCTTAGGGACACCCCTGGTAAAAGGACGAGGGACAAAGCTCTCAGGGTATGGTTTAGGGTTTCCATAATCACAACGGTATCATATCGTTGAGTCAGAAGACTGGCTTAATAAATCATTACTCAAAGTACTTTCCCTTGCCTCTCTTTTCTCGTTCAAACAAGTTAAAATATTAAAGCGTTAAATATTCAATATCCGCCTTGCGGTTAGAAATCCTCGTTGATCCCTCTTTTCTCCACATTCTATGATCACCTATCGATGAGAATTCTAGCTTTGCTTTCGCTTTTCTCCAACGCGGAAGAAATTTTCATATCCGCTCAAAATAATGAAGAGAGAAAAATTGCAATTATAAAATTCAATCTCACGGAAATAAATTCGTACTCTGGCTCGGGAGACAACGAAGAGAAACAAAGAAAATCGGCGAAAAATGGGCTTGGAAACATTTCATTTGGAATCGATAAGATTTTGGAGCGAAAAAGTCAAAGAACATCGGAGTCATGTTTTTTGCCTCCCGAATCGAGGCAATTCTGCAAGGCGAAAATTCGGCAAAAGATGAATGCGAATCCCTTTGCTGAGTTTTCTTCAGGACAGTTACTTTTGCCCTCTTAAGATTTTTTCAAAAAAAAATGAACGAGGAGTAGCACGAGAAAGACTGTCTTGTCAATTGCTCAACTGTGGAAACATGGCTAACACTTGACAAAACTACAACTTCCCTGATTCTAGCCGGAACTGAAATCTCCACGATTCGACTAATTGAAAGAACAGTCGAGCCCCTTGAAAACCTCCAACGACTAGACATCAGCTACAACAACCTTAAACACTTCGACGGAAATCTCCTCCGCCACAAATATCACATGATCGAGCTCAAAGCCGCTCACAACAAAATCCAGTATCTCGGGCCAACTTGTTTCCGCCACACGAGAAATCTCGAATCACTCGATTTTTCGTTCAATAGAATCCGCTTTATCGCCCACAATATGCTCGCAACATCGAATGGAAACCGGCAAGAATATCTCACCTCCATCAATTTACAAGGAAACTCCTTTAAAAACCTCCACCCGCGATTTTTTCACGGAACGAAATCGCTTCAAACCCTCAATTTGTCGAAAAACAAATTTGGTCGAGTTTCACTATCGCTCTTTCGGGGGCTTTATAATTTGAAGATTTTGGATCTTTCGGAAAATAATCTTAAAGAGATTCAGGTAGAAAAGAAAGAGAGTTAATCTGACTGTAAAATATTGTTTCAGTTTGATCATCTGAAAGACTCGAAAAGACTGGAGACCCTTAATCTCTCGAAAAATCGGATAATCATTTCAGATAAGGGCTTTTTATAATTCAGCCAATGAAACCGCTTTATGTGGTCAAATGACCAATCAGAAGTAAATGGTCAAAATTCTTAAAAAGCCCTTGAAAGATGATCCTTTTGTCATGAACTCAGAGCTGAAAAACCTCGACATTTCATCAAATCATCTTGGAGAAACAACCCTTCAGCCCTTTATCTTCCAAAAATTAAACAAACTCGAAGTCTTGAATTTGGACTCAAACGCTATCCCCTCCCTCCACGCTGAAATCTTCGCTGCAAATGTCAATCTCAAGAAACTCTTTCTCAACAACAACACCTTGACAACATTAGATAAAACGATTTTCTTAACGCTTGGAAATCTCGAAAGCCTCTATCTCGCAAACAATGCGATTTCGGACCTCAACAAGCATACTTTCAACACTCTTCCCAGCTTGAAAATGCTCTCTTTATCGGTAAAAATTTCATAAACCAGGATTTTTCAAAGAAGGCTTCAGAAAAACAAGCTGAGAAATCTTCACGAAGACGCATTTTTGAACCTCGACAAGTTGACTCATCTCTACCTACAGGACAATTTGCTCACGAGACTACCAAAAGGACTATTGAAAAATACTCCAAATATGCAGTTCTTGCATCTTGACGGGAATCAGGTATCAGAAACCCCTGAATCCGGATTTGTCTGCCAGACACCTGTCTGGAGTCTAGACAATATTTATCATTTCTTTCAGATTTCATCGATTCCTTCTGAAATATTTACCAGTTGTACCCTCGTTTCCCTCGGAATGTCCAACAACCAGCTCACTAGAATCGACAACTCCTTCGGTAGCTTTTCCTTCCCTTCTCTTTCTTATGTGAATTCAAGGTCAATGTTCGAACTTGATGACGATCGACTTGAGTAACAACCAAATGCTGAGCGTAAGCGGAAATTCCTTCAAAATGGCGAGAAAGCTCGAGTTCGTCAACATGAAGAACACGAATAAAAACGGCTGTAGAAATTGCGGCATCGAAGAAAATTGCTGTCTTTTGTGCTCAGTCGAGTTTCAAGAGGTGAGAAATCAACAAAGAACCCCCAAAACGAACCTTTTTTTAGAAAGAAACTGGCTGTCCAAAAGCGCTGATTGGAAGTACCTCCCGAAGCTCTCGAACACAACAGACGTTTCACGACGATTTGATTGACTTTCTTGAAACCAAATAAATGATACCAAATAATTGTCAACGAAACTGATTTCATAACGGATTTTCTAGAAAACGTATTTATCTGAGTATTTTAATCACTATCAAAAGCAGTTTCGATTATTGCGCCTAAGGGGTAGCAAAATGAGGGATGATTGGAATAAGGAAATTCCTCAATTTTGGATCGACAATGGACTCAATGAAGAAACTCTTCCAAGATACTACCTTTATTTGAGCATCGGTAAGTCGACATTTCGATTTTGAATATTTTCTGATTCTCCAATATCAAGTTGTTTACATCTTCCTGATTCTGTCCACGGCAAACTACATCTTCACCTGGTGGACTCGTAAGAATCTAGCCCCTCTCAAGCGCCTCGGAGAAGAGCCCCTCACGAAAATCGAGCAGTATTCTCAAAACTGTCGCCTCGGACAAGAGCCTGCGATGAATTTTATTTCCTCGGCGTTGATTACGAATGACAGAGCTTATATCGTCATCCGATGCATTTTGGCTTTTTCTTCATTGTTTTTGACAGTTTCGGCGAATGAAGGAGTAAGATCCATTTTTCTTGGAGCATATTATCCCTTAGGCAAGATTCAAATTAAAAGAGCTCCTTGAAAATCACTGATTTGAATCTTCAAAAGCCCTTATCATGACAATATACGTCAACTTCAACCGCGAACTCATCATCGAAGGTTTCGGAAACAAAGCTCAATTCCTGAACAAACTCCTTTCCTGGCTCCTCACCATTCAAGTGCAGCTGCGTCTCTTCATCTGCATCAGTTGGTGGACTCAATGGCTCGGAATTTGTCGATACCGAGACATGGCTCGCGCCGCAGAGCTTTCTAGAGCGCTTTTATTCACTAAGGAGTTCAGTCCGCCGCTCTTTCTGCTCGTTGAAATTTTGTGGTTTGATTCGATGTGTAAGTAAGCTTTGAAAAAAAACAGAAAAAAGAATTGGGTTCATAGTTAAATTTGCTGGTGTTTGGCACATCATCTTCGCTGGCAATTTGGTCGGAGCTGGAATGCTTAACGATGGAGTACCGGAACCTCCGCAAGCTATGCTGTGAGTAAAAGATTCCGAACAATATACGGAAGCCTGTATAGAAAGCCTGAGTCAGGGTCTGAAAGAACTGAAGTGAAAAGCCGCGCAGCGGCTTTCTTTGAATCGAAGCCGCGAAGCGGCTTCGCTAATACAGTTTGAAGCACTTTTAAGGCCGACCCTTTTAAGGCCACTTTTTCGAAAAATTCCCAAAATCTGTCATCCTAAAAAAATCCACTTTAAGGCCACTTTCCCTTCAATTTCAGTTCAAAATCCGAAAGTTACAGTGTCACTTGAAAAAGCTTTTTATCTTCGACTGCGTGATGCCTTGTGTTTTTATCTTTATTTTTCTTTTTTGGTATTTTTCGATGTTTTTTTCTCGACTTTTTCAATTAACGATAATTTCTTACGGTCTTGTTTAAATTTTCGCTTAGATTTTGAGTCAAAGTGTTTCAATCGATCATCATTATATAGGCGTGAAAAATACGCAGAGGAATGTCTTAACCATTTTTTTTTCGAAAAAGCTCAGACTCGAGACAAAAAATTTCCATTTTAAGGCCACTTTTGAAATTCGCTGTCATCCGAAAATCGGCCTTAAAAGTGCTTCACACTGAATAGCCATTTAAATCTATGAAACATTCCCACGAAGCCACTTTGCGGCTTCGTTTTAAAAAAAAAGCCGCTGAGCGGCTTTTCATTTAAGTTCTTTCAGTCCATGACTTAGATTTTCAACACAGGTTGCCAAGCCCAGATTTTTAGGTACATGCCAGAACGACCGGCGCCTTCAGTAATTCAAGCAACAATTTTCGTCTTCGGGATGATTTTCATACAGTTTTTCCTCTCCACCATCTGTCTCCTGAAAATCTGGATATTCAAAAAACTTCCCGTCATTGGCGACAGAATGAGAAATCGACAGAACTGCATTGCGATTTTCACAAAACGACAAGCTCTGAACAAGTTTATGGGAGCAGCAGCGATGGAGAAACGAAAAACAACGACGAATGGAGCTTATAAGAATTTTGGTAGAAGATCGACTTTGAGAAGATCTACTGTTGAACAAGCTCGTTAAAGCTGAAAAAAAATTTTTATGAGTAAATAAATTTTTTAAAAAACCAAAATGGCAAAATCCTTGATTTTTAGGGGAGTTGCCAGGAACCGACAAAAAATTTCGACAAATTTTGCGTGGAAATTTTTAACCAATCAGAGTCCTGAATTCGGCTTACCGGCCAACCAGAAGCCGAGGAGCCGCCCACGCAAAATTTGTCGAAATTTTTTGTCGGTTCCCGACACCAGCCCGATTTTTCTTCCTTGTTTTCAGAAAATATTTTTCAATAGCGAAATATCTGTTTAACCCTTCGCTGGGTGGATAATTGGTATAATCATCATAAAATAATTGCGTTATGCCTTCCTGATGGACAGTGTAAATAAAGAAGTCGCTCGATAATTTATTGAATGCGGTTCACCAATTTCGCCAGAGCAATTTGCATATCGATGATTTTTTGTCAATAATGTTCTTTTACTTGTTTTTTTTTTCTCGATAATTTGCTTTTCTTTGATGCTTTTTTTACTGTATATTTTGACCTGAGGGTATGTCTACAGTTTCAGTAAGTTTACTGTTGCGTTGAAAATGACCTTGTTTATCTATTCCAGTTCATCAAAAATCCACGAAAGGAGCCCGATTAAACGAGAAATTAAAAAAGGCGGAACAAAGGAGCGGAATCGACGGAGAGGGCCTTGATCCAAGAATAAGCAATACGGATCTCCTTAATTATGCAAATTATCACCCCAGTTGATTCGCTCGATACTTGCTTCTGTTTTGTGTACGTCAGCTAATAATTTAAAAATATGGAAGGGTATTCGATTTTATTCTGTTTATAAGGCGTCTACAAGGGTAAAAGAAAACATCAGCTCCCTTATGTTCTTTTGAACTTTTCCGTGAAATAAGGGGGTAGCGGCGTAAATCGACAAAAAAATTTCGACAAATTTTGCGTAGGCGGCTGATCGACTGCTAGTTGGCCGGCCGGTAGAATCCAGGCTTCTGATTGGCTGAAAATTTTTTCGCAAAATTTGTCGAAATTTTTGTCGATTCAAGCCGCTACCCCCTTATTTCAGGGCGAACGTTCAAAAGAAGATAAGGGAACTAAAATCCTGAAATAAGGGTGTCGCTTTGATAAGCAAAAAAAATGCTTTTTTTCGAAAAAAATGCCTTGAAAAAGCCTCTCTTCTGGATTGAATACCAAGTTGGACATGTGTTTTTGCGGTTTATTTTGTGCAAATAAAGCAGTTAGATCAAGTTTTGTCCGTTGATGATGCCATTTTAAAAACCGATGCGTCTCAAATTGAACTGGATTAGATGCACCCAAAGTCTGCAGATTTGCCTCGGCCGAGATTTCCGAAAGCATTAAAAAATAAATCCATGCAAAACGCAATGGTTGATTAATCTTGCATAACTTTTATCGCGTTGGACAGGTTTAAGCCTGCGAGGCATGATCGCCTTGGCCCGCGGCGTCGGTGTTGCATTTTTTCGTGAATTTCGCCCCCGGCGCTCCTCTTTTGCGATGGCGCCTCGGCGCACAAATAAGTTTCCAGTTGAAATACTATCCAACATATGTATACAAGAGGAAAGAGATACAGAGGAAACGAAAAAAAAAACTGGAAACTAACTAATTGAAGAAGAATATAATCATCACAGAAGGGAACTGTAATATGAAGGGACAGGAACGGGGCAACACGTGAACTTGCTCTTTCGAATAGCATTTAACTTTTGATAAAGCGTACCCCTTATTTCCTAAAATGATGAAAATGACGACGTGACATCGCAAATGAATCATTTTTGCGTCATCTTTTCGTTGTTACGTCGTAATTTCCGACACTTAAGGGTGTCAACATCGATTGTGCCAAAATACAGGGGTAACGCCTTATCAAAAAATAAGGGGAGGGGCACGATTTAACAACATTTAAAGGGGCCCTCTGGTTATTAATATCGTCATTTCTCGAGAAATTTTCCAAGTTCTGAGACGTGGTGAATGGGCTCATATTTATCAGAGCTGTATATACTATATAGTGAAGAGGCCACAATATCAATTAGAAAATATGTTAAGAGGGGTCGAGACCTTAATTTGCTTTTAAAAGATCTAAATTATTTGATACGCTGTATAAAGAAGCATATACAGAAAAGAACGAGAATAGGGTTAGCGCACTAGGCGGACTTGGGTTAATTGTGACTGATCAGAGCTGACAAAATTGTCCGACTCGGCGATTAGGATAAGCATTTACTATGCAACCACTTTTCTAAAATGGAGCTTTTCACACGAAAAGCGAAAAAAGGAAAGAAAATAGAGAAATCAACAAAGCTTTTTTTTTCAAGAAATTTTTTTGATTTCAAGAGCAGTTTTTGTAAGACTTTCACCACGTGAGCCCTATGGCGAGGCAATTTTCATACAGAACGAATACAGTGATGATAACCAGCCGCTGTACCAAGCTGATTGCGACGATTATGGAGGCTTGGGAGTTTCGAGCTCGGATATGTCTAGTCCCGAGATTTTACGAAGGAAAGGGATGATAGAAAAAATCGCTCGAATCCTTGGAAGAATTATTTTTATTACGATCTTTTTTCGTAATGAAACGAGAATTTTCTAAATCAAACAAGTCTATCTTTAAATAAAACAGTTGAAAATAATGGATTTTAGACGTCTAGATCATTGAATAAATAAAATCTGAGTTCATCGACAGGCGAAAATTGTCAATTATTTTCTCCGGGGCAAATGCGTCTATCGCAAAAGCTCATCTCCCCAAAGCCCGATTCAAAAATCCGACTCGATATTCTCGCTCGCCGGCGATCGCGCCAAGGTAGGATTGGAAACACTTATTCAATTAAACTTTTTTCGAATGCAATGTGTGCCTACTTGAACACACTTTCTGGCTAAGAAGCGGGCACTACAGAATTTGTACTACATATTCAATTCATATTGATACTAGACACGTTTTATTTTCGGATAAAAAATATATTATATTATATTTTTTAAAAAATGGATTAAAATGGCCTACCGGCCAATCAAAACCCGGATTCTTAAGGGGGGTCGACGAGAATTTTTTCAGGGGTGATCGTAATTTAGCTTATGCACATAGTCAGGATATGAAACTTATATTTTTGGAATCTACAGATTCTCCCGAATCTGTTGAGCCTAAAATCATCTGATAAAAATTAGATTTAGGGGTCGAAATGAACAAAATTGTAAAAAAATTGACCATTTTTGGTGCATTTTCGGGAAAATGGCCCGACTTTGACGGGATTTTTGACCGATTTTTTTTGGCCAAAATTTTTTCTACTTTTCGCCGCCTGATTTTTACAACCCTTTTCTATCCACCAGTAAAATCAGATTTTGCCTTTCTTATCAGGTTTTCCCGCATTTCTGGCCACGGAAATCCCGATTCTCGTCGACCCCTCCTTAAAATCAGTTCTTTTTTAGTTCTTTTCTATAAAATTAAGATTTCTGCATGGGATGCTGGCTGGAACGTCACAAATGCGATCCAAGGAATGTTTGTTTTATGCCTCCCATTTGCGATCAAACACGGTGGATACATGGGTAAAACAAGAGTTCATTGTATTCATCCGACTCATTGGAAATGTTAAGGGCTTATCTTAATTATTGGAACGGCGGTAATTTGCAATTACACAGGCTTAATTTTGGTGGATTGTCTTTATGAAACGGAACCAAATGGCAGAAGGGTCAGAATAAGGTCGAGGTGAGGAGCGACTTGCAATCTGCTTTTCTTCAAAAACAATCTGTCTTTCAGCTACTCCGATATCGCGGCCGCGGTCTGGGGAGAAAGAATAGCGAATATTATCATCAATACATGCATGGTTACAGAATGTACGATGATTTGTGTGCTCTACATCGTCGTCGTTGGCGATCTCACAACGGTAAGAAAATCAAATGAAGATGGATCGAAATAAACTTCGAAATGAAAAATCATCATCGAAAAAAAGATGATTAATTTTCATTTTCAGCGCGCGTTCGAAAGTCTTGACGGGAGCACACCTATTCCGCATATGGCTGTATGTATAATTGCCACGCTGATTCTACTTCCTTGCATATTTCTTCGTGATCTCAAGGTAAATTATTTATCTTATGTCGTAAACTCACATATTGCCAAAAAACATGAGACATATTGAAAGTTCTTTTTTTCATGTAAAAAAATGTATTTTTATTTTTACAAAAAAATTTAAGGACCCCCCGTGAACAATTTTCCTCAAAAATCGAAAATTTCAAAAAAGCCATATTATGACGGGGGTCCTTAAGGGGAGGGGTCAAGAATTAAAAAAAACGACAATTTTGACCAAAATTTTTGGTCAAATTTTTGAATTCGTGTATTTTAATCTTTAAAATTTTCATCCCTTGTTCTTCGTTGACCATATTTTTGGACTCAATGGTGTAAAATTTGATCGACCAAAGATACAACTAGCTGTGTCGGTTGAATTAGCTCAACTCAATATATGAATACATCCATTTTTAAGGAAGTGTCGAGATTCTCCATGGGATGCTCTGTCGCGCAATTCCTCGTCCTAGGCATGATCATGATCTACTGCTTCTCAAAGGTTTCGACTTGGCAGTGGAATGAAATAAGGTCTTTTCCTTTCTCCATCAATTTTCACAATAAATTTAGGTTTAATTATTCCGCTCAAGAATTTCCAGTGTCCGTTGGAGTCATCGTCTTTTCTTACACTTCTCAGCTCTTTTTGCCGTCTTTGGAAGGCGACATGGAAAAACGAGGAGATTTCAAGGTCTGTTTCTCAATTCTTTGATTTCTTAAAAAGGCTCTAGAAAATGCTGAATTTCACTCATCTTGCCGCAGCGGCTGCTAAAGCAATTTTCGCCCTGGTCTGCTTTTTGACTTGGGTGGAAAATACGGAAGAAGAAGTCACAAGTAAGCTCCCTTCTGACGATTCTAGATTGAAAAAAAAATTCTAGACAATCTTCCCCGTGCCCTTCGTTCAATTGTCAATTTGAGTCTCGTGATCAAGGCTCTTCTTTCTTACCCCCTTCCGTTTTTCGCCGCTCTGGAAACGCTAGAAATCAGGTTTGCTAACAATCATAGTCGAAATCATGGAAAAGCCTCGAAAATTGGCTATCAGACAAAAATTTTCTGGTGAAAAATTATCAAACTCCGAAAAAGTTATCAAAATTTGGGTTAAACCAATTTATGCAAGTGATTTTTGGATCAGGGTTCTGATTGGCCAGTAGGCAAAATACAGCAACCTTATTGGTTATCCAAAAATGCACTTCCATAAATTGATTAAGTCCAAAATTCGGATTTACTTTTGAAATTTTATTAAAAATCTCGGTTTTGCAAATTTGAAATTGTCTAGTCGACAATCCTAAATAAGGTTGGCCGGATAAGCGGTCGGCAAATCTGGTGAATTTATGAATTATTTAAAGTGAGTTTCGTTTTAGTCTTTTTCCATTATTTGGATTTGGCAAGACCTGGTTCACCTTCAAAGCCGATCGCTCGCTTACTCTACAGGTGAGCGACGCAATTTACAGTGAGCGAGCAAGCCAATTTTATTATATTTGCTAGATGTTAATTGTTCGCCTGGGCTTCATTTTGGGCACATTGCTGCTCGCCGTTTGCGTGCCCCATTTCGACCTTTTGATGGGCTTGACTGGTTCGCTGACTGGATCTGCGCTCAGCTTCATCTTTCCCTGCATATTCCATATCTCCATAAAACGACTCAAACTTAGATATCATGAAGGTAAGTCGACAAAGTCCTGTCGAACTTTTTGGCCTACTGTCGAAGAGTCGGTTTTCATATTGTTGTGTCAGATTCCCAAAACACTAGAAAACCTTATGTATTCTTTTCTGAAATCTTATTGGCCTATCGGCCGATAGGAGAAATCTGATTGGTCAGAAATTTTATCTAAATTTTGGGTAGAAGGGACGAATCGACAATTTTTGGCCAAAAATTTGAAGGAATTTTCGGCCAAAAATTTTAGACTAGAAAAGCCAGAAGGTTTTTTTTCCCTCTTGCAGGAATCTGATTGGTCGAAAATTTGACCAAAATTTTGCGTAGGCGGGACGAATTGGCATTTTTTGGCCAAAAATTTCGGTCAACCACTTCAGGGAATTTCAGACGAATCAGATTTCCGCATTCAGCAGATCAGCCAATCAGATTTCAGAAAAAAGCTTTCGCTAAAAGTCGAAAAATGATCCCATATTCAGTCTTCTTTGATGTGACGATAATCATGCTCGGAGTCTTCTTCTCGGTGACGGGATTCTACAACTCTATCTCGTTACTGGTGCAACAGTATTTGGACGATGATCTGGACAGTGATCTGAGCTCAACGCTCGCCACTCCGCAAAAATCTGAGCTGAGCATTTTTAATCTAACAGGTAAAGCCGATTCACAAATGACTTCGATATTTAACACTCTTTCTTTTAGATATCTATCAACCAGACTACTGAAAAACACCTTTTATATATATTTTAAGAATATTAACTGCATTGTTCTTCATTCAAAATAAAACAAAAAAAATCAAAGAAAAAAATTCTAGCAATTTATTTTTCAACTTATCTTTTGACTCTAATAAGTGTAATTTTCCACGAATTGGCTTTTCTCGTCCGCTGCAGTGGAATCTTCTCCAGCGTATTTTCCCTGAGCAGCGAGTGAATTTAGCATGCATCGCTTGATGAGCGCTTTTTGAGCCGGCTCCTCGTTTTTTCCTTGCCAGGCTTCAAGAACCGGCCCTACAAAAAGACATTGAAAATACCCTCTTTTTCTCTGAAAGGATGAACCTTGGATAGCCCGAGAGTAAGAAAACGAAAGCTTCCACGGATTTCCTTCGATCTTGTTCATTTCGTTCAGATTTTCTGTCGCGTCAGTAGGGCTCTGTCCGCCAGACAAGAAGACGATTCCAGGCATCGCCGCTAGAAAATGTTCAGTGAAATTTTCAAGCTCGCTTCTTACTGTACCTGGAACAGTTCTTCGATAAGCTTCCACACTCTTGGCCGCGATAGTCTTTGCATCGACTTTTGGGCCCTTTGCTCCAGGAGTGACCATGTTTGTTTTAAGGAGGATGCCTTCGACGAGAACATTGTGTCGTTGTAGTGCAGCAAAAGTCGTCATCAAAACTTTTTCGGTGATTTTCTTGCACAGCTCTCTAAAATATTATATTATATTATATTATATTATATTATATTATATTATATTATATTATATTATATTATATTATATTATATTATATTATATTATATTATATTATATTATATTATATTATATTATATTATATTATATTATATTATATTATCACAATACTCACATATCATGATCCCCATCAAGCATAACATCCGGCTCCACAATCGGCACCAATCCTTCCGCCTGCGAAATCGCCGCGTATCTACCGCTAATTTCCGCCGCTTGACCAATCGCAAGATCACTCGGGGTCAATCCTCCATTCTGAATCTTCAGCGGGCATCGCCACTTCACAAAGCTCGCTCCTTCCTTCTTCCAGGCAGCGCATCGTTCGTGGAGGTTGTCAAGACCTTGAGTCGTCATTTCTCCCATTGAACCGGGCATAAGCATCCAGCCCAAATCGGCTTTGACACCGACTTTGATTCCGGCATCGAGAAGGGGTTTGCAGACTCGATTTCCCTCTGAAAATAATGAAGGAAGATAAATCGAAAGATTTTCTCACCGCTATCTTTTTGGGCAAAAGTTTCCTTTTCCAGAATCACTCCTCCGAGGTATTTTCCAATTCCTTCAGCTCGATACATCATGTGCCGAAATTTTTGCCTCGATTCGGGAGTGTTTTCGACATTGATTCCCTTCAGCCGAGCGCCAATGACGGGGATGCCTTCATCGGACGCGAGAATTCCTTGTTGATTTCAGTCAATTTTTTAAGAGATGGCGTCTGGAACCGACAAAAAATTTCGACAAATTTTGCGTGGGCGGCTTCTCGGCTGCTGATTGGTGGGTGAGCTGAATTCAGGCTTCTGATTGGTTGAAAATTTCCACGCAAAATTTGTCGAAATTTTTTTGTCGGTTCCCGACACCTCCCCCTTTTTATGGGTGGTGTTTTTTACCTTTTCCATCCTTGACAATCGAATTGGCAATCTCAATCAACTCTTTTTGCTTCTCGACCGTGCTAAAAGCCGCCATTTTTTCGACTCAGAACTGTAATTATTGAACAACTCGGGTCACCTTATACCACCAAGAGCTCTCGAAAAAAATAAGGATATTTAAACACTCGCGGGCAATTAACCACTCGAGCTTAACATCTTCCGCTGTCGAAAATTTCGTTATCGTGATTTGATTTCACGCGTTTTACGAATGCCAAGATGCTTACATTTGGAATTTCAAATTTTCTTTTTCCGATATTTGCTGCGCTCTCATTAAAATAATCAGTGCTTGAAAATCTCCGATCTGATGATTTCAGCGATGATTCTCGCCACTAAAAAAATGATGAAAAAGGCGGAAAATCTTCACGAACAGATTAAATCACGAATGATGATGAAAAGCAAAAGGATTTTGAGAGATAAAGATGGCCAAAGGTTTCAAAAGGAAATCCATTTTTTTTGTATTGAAGCTGATTTTTAAGATATTGCAAGCCTTTATTCTGCATCCTCTGCGATAGAATCAAAACTAAACCAGACCTCCAGGTATCGCTAGGGGCTGGCTTAAGGCTAGGGTGGTCGATTTGGCCCAAAGCAGAGCTCATAAACTCTGGACTTATGAATGCTAGAATACCCAGTAATGGCTAAAAATAAAGATCTATCCTAGATCTTCTGAATTACAGAAGGTTTTTTTGTTCTGTCAAGATTTCTGCCAAATTCCGGAGTTTTTGAGCCTTGAATATTCGCTATTTTCGCGATTTTGGACGAGATGCCAACTTTGAAGCCTCCGGAAGTGATTTTTTTGGCAGAACAAAAAAACCTTCTGTAATTCAGAAGATCTAGGATAGATCTTTATTCTTAGCCATTACTGGGTATTCTAGCATTCATAAGTCCAGAGTTTATGAGCTCTGCTTTGGGCCAAATCGACCACCCTCGCCCTAAAGAGGGGAGGTGTCAGGAACCGACGCAAAATTTCGACAAATTTTGCGTGGAAATTTTCAGCCAATCAGAAGCTTGATTATGTTTATCGGCCGATCAACAGCCAAATAGCCGCCCTCGCAAAATTTGTCAAAATTTTATGTCGGTTTCTGACGCCACTCTTTTATAGAATTCTTTGATTTGCTTGTCTCAATCTTCATTTTCAAGGAAAGCATGTATCTGGGCAAACTCTCCAGCGATCATCAAGAACATTTGTTCACTGCCTGCGAAAGAGTTTCAAATACTCCCTGCTGCATTAATCGAAATAGAACCCAAGGTACTTTTTTGCTATCTTCGTTGATTTGCCTTTTCGATAGATTATGCGCCAAGAAGAACGGCAATCGACGAAGCTGACGGAGGCAACATTCTGATTGCGGCTTTTGTGAGTGGTATGCTTGCTGTTTTTGGAGGAGTGATTGTCGCAAGATTTCTTCAAAGAAAATTTCTCAGGTTGGAGAACTTTAAGAATAGGAATATTTGGAAAAATGTTTAAGGGGGTGGTGGTCGAGAATCGGAATTATTTCAACAAAATTAGCTCAAAATCTTTCAAAAAAATTTTTTTTGTGCTCAACGAAAATGGGTTTAAAAGGGTTCAAATTATGTGGGCGACTTAGTTTTAAAAAATTTTATTTTCGGAAAATGCTCAAAATATGCTTCTAAAGTGGACTTATCTCTTGACAAAATTGTGAGGAAACCCTTAAATTTTTTTCGAAATAAAATTTATTGTGAAGATAGTTCAGACCCTTAGGCGTGTGGGCAAAAGAGTTTCAGAAAGGTTTTGAGGTCGCAGAATCTGATTTAAAAAGTGTTGATTTCTTAAAAATCGTCATTTTTCACCAAATTTGAACTTTAATTTTCGAAAAAATCACAAGTATTCTAAATAATTACCTTTTTATTAATATAATCTTTTATTTTAACAATATCTCGCAGCAAAAATCATGTAAATAACGGTTTTAGTACAGAAAATCAAATTTCAAAGTTTCGAAAATCGTGAATTCCCGATATTCTCTAAAGAAAAGTTGATCCCATCAAAAAATTGTAGGGACCAAAAATGTTCCTTTTTCCTCGAGGAATTCAAAAATAAAATCAAAATTTCGAAAAGGCGAAAAAATTATTCTCGACCACCACCCCCTTAAGGCGGGCACTCTCAGTCGTTAGCATTTCTACAGCTTCGAATTTCGAGAAAACAAAAGAGGAGAAAGCGAAAACTGCTGATGAAAGTAAGAGAAACAACACTTCTTGTTATGAAGCCTTTCAGATGAAGGAAATAAGAAGCTGCCGACAATAACAGAAGCAAGTTTATAGATGGAACTTTTATTTTCAAATTTTGAGAAAAAAAAATATCAATGATGATCTGCGGAAACGCACAGTTCTTGAAACTCCTCTGAATTGACGAACTCTTTCACTGAATAAAAAAATGAAATAGCCCTAACTCTTCACGAAATAAGGGGCTCTTACGCTCATCTTCATTGCAAAACGCGCTGGAGCAGGTATCGCAGCTCTCGTGGCAACCCTTTTTGCAATCAGCCGCCAGGGAAACGATTCCAAGCACAATGCAAAGTAGAAAAAGAACAATTTCAGTTCCGCCAACACTTTTTAGCCCGAACATGTCTTCTCTCTCTCTCTTTTTTTTGAGTCAAGTTGAAAATGGAAGAGCGCGATTTTTCCTCGAGTATTTTTTTATTCGTTTGATATTTTCATGGCAATAGAAAAAAATGACGCGCTGGAAAGTTTGCTCTACGAGAACACTTTGTAAAATATGGAGATGAAGCAAAATGTGATGATCAAGATGCACAAGAGGAAGATACAGAAATCGCAGCAGCGGCAACTTAATTTCATTTTTAATCGAAAACGATCGGCAAAAACCATAAATTAATATTTTATTTTAGAATATCGGTTTTTATTTTAAATTGTCTTTGGAATTTTTTTATGATTATTTGTCTTCATGTACTTGTCAAAAAATTTCGGGGTGGCGTCTGGAACTGGCTACTCGGCTGTTGAATGGCCAGCGAGCCGAATCCTGGCTTCTGATTGGTTGAAAATTTCCACGCAAAATTTGTCGAAATTTTTGTCGGTTCCAGACACCTCCCCGAAAGTCCTCCAGAAATTTTGATGAGACATTGATTTTGATTGGTCCTCTCTTTAATTTTAAGCGGATTTTTTCACCTATAACAGCATGGCTTTGTCACTTGTTCTCTTGGTCTCCTACTATGAATCTTCTCAATAATCTTCTTTAATTTTTCCGGGTCCTCTATGTCCAAATTCCTCAGCTGAGAGTAGGGCATTGAATTGATTTTGTTAACCAAATGTTCATCGAGCTCTAAATCCGTCCATCGATTCTTGATTATTTCAGCTTGTTTTCCCATCCTAACACTTTCTCTTTCTCAATTTTCTCGGTATTGAAAATGATATAAAAAACGATTGTCTCGAAATCTTAGACTCCAATATTTTATTCATTCCAAATCTGAGGTTAGATTGTGGACCAGAACCGCCTTTCATGAAGATTGAAGCATATTTTTATTAAAAAAGACAACGAAGTATTATTTTCTTCAAAAAACAGAGGGTTGATTCAGATTTCTTTCGCGAAAAGAACGGCTATTTCTTCCTCGGGAATGGTCCAGCAATTGTGATTTCGGTGAAAATCGTGCTTTGTTGCGGAAAATTCTTATTTTGGCTTGAAAATTTCAGAATTTTTCTCAATTTTTGACTCAATTTTTTCGCATTTTTGCAGAATTTTTTATTAAATTCAAGCCCTTTTCCTAATTCTTGGCTGATAACAACAGCGGTTTCTTCACCATTCTCTCCTTTTGTGTGGAGATTAAGGACATGGAAGGCTCCTTCATGAATGAAGCTCCCAAGGATACCCTTAGTCTTATCTGACAGACCAGTTGTATCTTCAATTCCGAACGACATTGATCCTCGACTCTGTTTTGCCTAAAATTTCTTCATGAAAATATTTCTTTGGAAAAAGAGTTTTTAACCTTGATTAAAAATTTTGGACCATCATCGATCTCAACCGTGATTTTTTCCCGTGTTCCATCAGAATTTCTAGATAAAATTTAAATAAGGGTGTCACTATGCTATTTTTTGAATCAAAATTTGATCAAACCTGTGTTCGGTAAATAGAATGTCCATAAATCGAATAGGCTCTTTGTAGTCATATTGCATCGTTTCTTTCAGCGAGAAAGACTTGACAAAGACTCCGTCGGGATTGAAACGAAGATTGCCGCCCTCGGGAGACATAAACTGAATCTCGTGGATGAAGGTTTTTCCTTTGATCGTCTCATCGCTGATGATTCCGGAGACATGGAGATTCGACTTTGGGTCGGAGAGGAGGTTGATGTTGGAGCCGAGTTCCGGGTTGAAATCGAAGCAAATTCGCTCGCCAGTTTCGCCGGTAACCATGAAGTGCGGATCGCCGTAAACGACTGCTTGCTCATCTGGAGGGTACTCGGCGTAGGATTTTTGGGCGTTGTTGTCGGACGGAGAGATATCGATCGGTCTAGAATATTATTATATTATATTATATTATATTATATTATATTATATTATATTATATTATATTATATTATATTATATTATATTATATTATATTATATTATATTATATTATATTATATTATATTATATTGTGTTATATTATATTATATTATATTATGGAAGTTCTCTAGAATCTCATTAAGGACCCGCCCCCGTCAGCTTTTTTCTTCGAAAAATGGAAATTTTGAAACACCATATTTTTGGTTTCGAATGCGGCCTCAGGTTAAACTTGCTTCAAAAACTTGATAAGAAGAATTTTGACCAAGAAAATCAACATTTATGCAAAAATAAGAGCAAATTCGTCAATTTTCGGCAAAAAGCCCGATTTTCAAATGCGATTTTGGGAGTGAAGAAGTCGAGATAGATCCCCAAAAAATGCAGCGTAAAAATCGTTTTCTGACCCGTAGAATCCCTTTCCGGGGTCAAAATTTTAAAATTCCGAAATTTGATTTTTCGAAAAAAGCTGATGGGGGGGGGGGGTCCTTTAATAATTATACCTTGGAGATTTTCGCTGAGCAAAAGTAACACTGAAAAAGGCAAATTGAAAAAGCTTCATTTTTGTTTTTTTTTTCTTTCTTTCTCAATATGGAAAAAATGTTGATTGAAAAAGACTGCGGAAGATGCAGAGAAATTTATAGTCGGAGCATAAAACCGCAAAATTGGCATGAAAGAAGCGTGTGGTAGTTTTTCTTGTTTCCTTGGAGCACGGTGGAAAATTTGATTAGTTGTTAAAGGTGGCGTGGATATTTATTTCTTGCTGATAGAAAGACTTCTTGCTTTTTATCCCGTTTTATTGCGTCTAAAAATGAATTTATTTTCACTTTTTACTGGATTTTTTTTTCATTCTGAAATCAAGGAAGAGCAATGGCGGTTTTCGACCAGAGGCGGAAATCTTCTTAGAATTCAAATCTTGATTTATTTGAGGGCCCCCTCCCCCCTGTCAACAATTTTCGAAAAATCTATTTTCGGATTTATAAAATTTTGAACCCGGAAATGGATTCTACGGGTCAAAAAACGATTTTAAGGCTCCATTTTTTGGGTGTCTATCTAAACTCTGACACCCTCAAAATCGCGTTTGAAAATCGGACTTTTTGACGAAAAATGAGATAAAAAGTCCTAATTTTGCTATTATTTTAGATTTTTATTGGTCAAAAAGTGCTCCGATCAAGTTTTTATGGTAAATCTAATTTTCAGGCACACAAAGTAGCCAAAATATGGCTTTTTTGAAATTTTCGATTTTTTAGGAAAATTGTTGACGGGAGGGGGGGTCCTTAAAGGAATTTTTCCCGTCTTATTATTCTTCTATACTTCTTCATAGAATCGTTTGTTTCATCCAGCTCCTACCCGACGGGAACTCTACCTGCTTCTTCAGCTGTTTTGGCCGATCGACGTGGCGCACGGTTATCCTTCGAAAATCCTTCAACGAATCATTTTTCTTTTGAAAGACTCAATCAATTTCATGGGAGATAAATAATGACGACAAGAAATCATGACGAAAACCAAGTTTGATCATAATTTTCAAGGGCTTATCATAATCGTCACATAGGGAATTCCATTGAAACATGATGTTACGCGGTAGAACCCAAGATACAAAACATGGTTCTGACAAGCTAAAATAATCAAAAAAAAAACTTGAGCACGATTTTTACAAGCTTCCTCACGTTCTTCTTGCATAAGAACCCAAAAGCAAAAGAAAAGCAAAAATTCTTTCTGAGAAAAGGGAAAAATGAAGACTGATGGACTTGCTGAGCGAAAGTCCTGAGAACACAGCGCCGCTAATTCAACATCATAATTTGACAGTTGAAGTGATTTCAGAAATGAATCGAACGGTTAAATAATCGCTTAACCGATCACTGAAAATGATCGACGAGGTTTCATGTTGAAGAAATTTTATATTTGAAAAAAAGATAACTTCACCATTATTGGATTTTTCATTTATAAAAGATAGACTTTTTTCCTCATAAAGAAAGAGCGCAATTGTAAAAAACGTGAGTTCTGGAAAACCACTTTTATTTCGCAAGTTTTAATTTTTTTGTCGACCTCTGGGTCGTCAGGGTGACATTATCTGACCATGATTTCAATCGCGACAGTTCTTTATCTCATCCGCCGCGATCTTGGTGAGAAAGAGGGTAATTTACGAAAAACCTGAAAATGGCAACAAGGGCAACATGGGCAACAAGGGCAACACGGGGCAACAAAGGCAACAAGGGTATCTAAAAAAACAGCTTCAAGTCTCCAAAACCTGAAAATGGCAACAAGGGCAACATTCCTTCGCTTAGAAAACAACATCTTCTAGAGATGAAGGCGCGAAAGTAGAGAAAGTTGGCCTCCTGCAAAAATGAGTTCTCTACCAGATTTTGCGCGCAAGGGCCGCAGGCCCGCAGCGTGCTCAACAGCGTTGATTGTTACCTCCTTAAAATATTGTGAAACAGTGAAGTTAGTTGTTTTTTAAGTCGTCATTTGATTTCGGAATGCCATTCGTTGCACAACAATATCATTTTATTTAGCTTAATTCGTCTTTGCTGTGTGTTGCCCTCTTGAATTTCCCAGACTAAGCCAAGTAGAACGCAGAAGAATTCATAAAAAACAATTCTAGAGACGCGCTTTTAAAAACAACAACAACTGCCAAATCAAAATCGGCGCAAGTGCTCAAAACCTGAAAATGGCAACAAGGGCAACATGTTGCCTTTGTTGCCCTTGTTGCCATTTTCAGGTTTTACCGTAATTTAGAGAAGTACATCTCTTGAGTCGATTTTCTTCGCCACCTGTGAACTTGACGCAAGAAACGGTATCCTTAGCTGTAGTAGGGAGGGACGATTGACACGTACCCCAACGGGATCGTCAGTTCTGTTGGCAAAATACGAAAGATTGGGACGGCTTAAGAGACTCGAGTGGATATAGATTGTTATCTCCTAAATTGCTCTCGGAAATATTTAAATATAGTTGTTTTTATCTCCATTTTGGTTTGGTATAAGAAGTTTTCTTAACATTTCGACAAAGTCTCTCATTAAATCGAGTAATTTTCGGTTGAATGACCGTCGATAATGACGAATTCAAGCTGCGAAAACGCAAGAAAACGAGGTTTTTTGAACGAAGAAAAATGGTACTTTGAGAGAATCGATGACTACTCACGATTTGGCAGTGAGATTTGACTAATGGAAGGACTCTTTTTGGAGAGGAGCTCTCCAAAGTGTTTATCGAATTAGCGAGGATTGAGGAGTGGGAGTTATGCGCCACGGTGGGAACATCTTGAGTAACTGTTCTAAATAGTTGGTCATCGAATGAGGACAGTTTCTTTCTAATCTGGACTTGGTGAGAGTGCCGCGTCACCTCGGACAGTCTCAGACGCTAGAAATAACGTGAACCTGACAGTTTCAAAAGAGGACACCGACCAAAATTTACTGCTTTGTGAACAAAAAAAAAATTCTTGCTCAAAAAGATGTTTTTCAACAAAGAAATAAAATTTTTAAAATGGAGATTTTTCAAATTTGATTTTTATTTTAAAGACTTTAAAATATTTATTAATTCAAGGCGATGGCACTTTATTAGCCCTAATTGAGCAGTCTGAAGGAGAAAATCAACCTGTTGTTATTTTAATTTTGGGTTCACAACATTCTTTGAATTCATGGCACTTTTTATGCACCTTTCGACTCTGAAAAAAAATGCGGTAAAGTTCGGTTCATTTTAGAGCTTTCAAAATCCCTTGTTTTCGCCGACCCGACCCTTCACCTTTCGTTGTTGAGAGTTCTTTTTAAAGACATGTATTAGCAACGTGGCTAAAAGTAGACCAAAAATAGATAAAGAGGACAGCATGGTTTGATGACACTGGAGCTTCGAGTACTTTTCACTTTCCGTTTGTTTTTTCATCACCGCAATAGATCGAAAAAGGGGACGCTTTTTTGAGTGACTAAGGCGAAAAGAGTCCTTTCTATTTATTTTTACTAAAAACATTTTTTATTTTTTAAAAAATAAATAAATATTTATTACAAAATTTTGAGTCGAAAAACTGATAATTTTTATTATTCGAAATCGACCAAAAACGGGATGTTTTCGTGCCTTATCTGATTTTACCCGAGAAAGTTCAAGCCAAAAAGCGACCGGAGTTATCCTAAAATTACAAGTATAAATTGCTCATTACGAAAAGTCACAGATTTCGGAAGAACCCAGTCTTTGTGCTTGATGCAACGTTTGACTGATTTCTTTTTAATGGGCGGCGTGGTTGACTCTTTTCGAGCTCCCCGCCAATTGTGGCTGGAACTCTCCGCTTCCTGCTCATACAATACGCTCTCATTCGTTTTTCATTTCGAAAAAAAAATATCATATTAAGAAAATTAAAAACTTAAATTTAAAATAAAAACAATATTTTATAAATTAAAAAAAATATTTTAATATTATATATAAATATATAATATAATAATAATTAATTATAATATAATATAATTATATATAAATATATAATATAATTATATAATATTGTTATAAATATAATTTTTAGATATTTTTTTTAAATTTTTTCTTAACTTTTTTTTCTTTATTTTTCTATTTTCTTTTAATTCAATTTTTAAATTTTTTTTTCTAAAACTAAAAGGCAAGCAATCAGCGAGTGAAAATGGTTGAGCGCAGCTGTTAGATCACATTTCTGATGAAACATTTGGTTGTGCAAATTAAGCAACCGCACGTGATAGTACGGATGGACAGAATCTGCCCAACGAGGTTTGTAACTGTTGATTTAGGCGAAGACTTCTCAAAATCTAGAATTTTATGGCTTTGGGAAAGACGCCTCTAAAATTTTGATAAGAAATATATTCGATAAATTTTAAAAGCTACGAAATTTAAAAATATCGTCTCTGAGGCTTTGCATAAGAAAAATTTCCCTTACATGAGGTCTTAAGTTTGTTGAACAGAATTTTGAAGGATTCTAAATCAAGAGTGTTCAGATCCTCACGGAATCACTTGATCTTTGCCGATGTCAAACATGACTTCTTTGACTCTTCTGTCAACCCTGGAATCCTTGTCGGATGACTTTTTCGAGATTTTCTTAATCTTGAAATCTTTAAATCATGATAACCCTAACCCAAAAAAGTTATCCAATGTTCAACTTACTTTTTCGCATGTTTCCGAGAACGGAGAATTCAAGCTGAAGAAAAGAAAATCATCTTTTCGGGGGCAAAAATGCAGTTGACAGGATGATTTGGCTCAACAGAATTTTTCAAATGCCTAAGGTACCTTGCGTCGTACTCGGCGATTTCCGATTACAAGGTGGCAGATATTTATAACACGTCAAAAACGGAATTCCCAGAACAAGCCTTTCTTACGAAGGAGTCGAAAGTTTTGTGTAAAAAGAGTTTTATCATTGCCAAAGACTTCGTATATTTTAATTTTACCATTTTTTATGATGATATTTTTCATTATTTTAGGAAAATTGGGGGTTTTCGATGAAAAATTCCGTGAAAAAAATTTTCAAAAATTGAAATTTTAGCTTTTTTAAGAAATAAATAAAGGTCTAAACTTTGTGGTTCCGAAGTAAAATAAGGGTGTCACAATGTAAAATTTTGA